TGTTTACTTACATTCCCTTGGCGCCTTCGACCAGTGACTCCAAAATGTCATCTGCAAGAGCCGGTGGCCAGCGGCTCAGTCGAGGATTACTCTGGAGCTCGGCAGTCACGTAGACGCGAATATCCTCATCCACCAGAGAGTTCGACATAGGAAGGGAAAATGAGAGAGGCTCTAGCCGGCTTCGGATATCAATATAATCGCGGCTGGTGGAAAGCAGACGGATTTTGTTGAACTCCGGATCAGTCAACATGATTGTTAGAGCGTCGAGAAGATCGGCCCTCGTGTTACATTCATCGATGGCGTCAATGACCAGGTAAACGATATCAAGCCCTTGGAGTAGGATCTTGGAAGCGTGGAGTAACTCGGACGATGTCGGCTCGGCATTTTGGCGGTACAGTTCCTGTATCTCTTCTGGTACGTAGCAGAGACGACGGCAAAGCTGGCTCAGCATCCACCTTAGGAAGGCCACGGTTTGATCGTCCGTATGCCGATATGAGAAGTAGAAGTAGAGATGGAACGCCTTAGAGGACTGTCCTGCGCACCGAGCCTGGACCTGCTGGTTGATATACGAGGAGAGAATGGTCTTTCCGGCTCCTGGAATGCCATATATCCAGATCGGGCGGCGATTCCCTCCACGCCAATCTCGCCATTCTTGTTGGCGGAGGATCCAGCGACATGTCTCTTCTTCACGTATTTTAACGGCGTCATTGTGGGAGCGCGTGGGATTGATCTGTTCCAACCAGTTGCAGACCTCCCTGAGCTTCGCATCTGAGAGATTCTGCTTGATCTCCTTCAGTTCGCGGCTATTTCAAGCGTTAGCCAGACTCAGCTCTCACCCCAAGACTATCCACGTCCCAGCACAAAAGGACCGAGATGACCGATAAGGTCGAAACGCGTCGTAAAACACCGCATTAGAGTGTTGAGACCCAACCTCCCTCTATAAAAATATCCGCCCACTTACGCTACGTCGCCCAACAAGGCTAGCGTGATTGTAGATTTGTGCTGTATCGCCGTATCGAGCAGCTTCCGAGCCTTACTCTCCTTCAAACACCATCCTAACGAGCCTTTGAGCTTCTGGCGCTTGCTAGAGGACGTTTGAGCACTTTGCGAAATCGAAAGGCCGTCGAGCTCCGAGGCTAGCTCCTCCACGGTATCGCGACAGCCTTGGATTGCGCCATCGATCTCGTTCGTCGTCCGCAAAGTGGCCGAAACGTCCGTGGCAGACTCGGAAAGGAACTGAAGACTCTCGAGCGCCGCTTTGAGAGACGAAATTTCGATCAAGATGTGGCGTAGGTCCTTCGGTGCATCGCGCGTCGTCTCTATAAGGTGCTTGCACTTGCTGATGACTTTGGCGGTGAGCTCAACGACAGTGATAATGCTAGCTACGGCACCAAGGGCTTCCATGGCTGTTGGTATGGGCGCGATGAGATTGAATCATGGAGAAGAAGGGAAGATGCAGGAATGCTGAAGGCGTGGGAAGGCAGAAGGTGGTGCGGGTTGGGATTTCAGCTGCATAGTCCCGCCACAATGGCGCCTGCGGGCATACTCCAAGGCTGAAAGCGATGGTAGCACAGGGCGGCAGCCTAGTGGGATATCGCACCCTCATTGCTTCGCTTCCATGCTCGTATCGTCCCTCCTCTTCACAGCCAGTCACCCTGTCTGCCGCGTAGTCATCCGATGCAGCTGTCGTGACGTGGCTTTTGCGAGCGCTTTAGCGATTGATGGAAGTAAAACTGCCACCCTTTCACCGAAACTTTTTTTCGCAAGGCATAGTAAAGGGCGGGTGCTAAGGTTGACAGGGCGTCGTTTTTCGAACCCAAGAGAACAGACCTCGAGGAATTCTGGCATCTGCCAAGGCGCTAATACTATTCTAGCGATAACGCTTATCGACCAATGAGAGCTCTGCACACGGGAGAGATCTGAGGGTCAGTATGGGTGAGCTTATGTATTATACTCCATATAATGTGCCAAGCTATCTAGAGGAAGCTGCGTGATGGAAGTGGGCGGGCGGCTGCTAAGTTACATTGATAATTTAAGAGCCACGCCACAAACGACGACACGAAACACCTCCAAGACACCAAGAAGAAGGTAGAAAAAGCGCCCCGTAGTTAATCATTGACAAACGCAGTATCAATGCAATAGGGGTATGAGGTAAAAGCACGCAATCCATAGATTATAAAAGGTCCCCAATCCTTCAAACCCAAAGACCTTCGAGAGAGTAAAACATACCCAGGTACGAACTCAAAAGCGCATTAAAATACTCAGTCGTAAGATGCCGCCAACACCCCCACCCTATTGCAATCAAGCACTCTGAACCCCTTTCCCATCTCTGACAACTTTCTCCGCCTTCGCCCTGTTAAACTCATCAGTAGCAGCACCAGTCTTAACTACCACGCTTGGTGCATCCAGCGGCTCCAAACCAAGCTCGACAAGCTACACTAAACATTAGGAATCCTGCGCCACCATGAAGGGAGGAGGCGCCGCAAACTTCAACGCAGCCAGCGTTCCCGGATCCCGGATCGCTTAGCAGCTTGTTTAGATCACCGCGCGTCTGAATCGGGCCATAATACCTGGACTCGAAAGGTTATCCAAGATGGCGACGTCGCCGTAGAACGCGGCCTTTCCATGGGCGAGCCGCTCAATGGTGCAATCGCCGTTGTTTAGGGCAACGCTGTATCGGTATTAGCATATCCATAAGACACCGTCAAGTCCTAACAATGCTCACATGACAGGCTTCAAATTCAATTCAAGCATATCCGATGGCCTGGATGGCCAGATACATCGAGCCCTCACCTGTTACCAAGATCAGCCTCTTCTACTTGTTGTCACTCTCTTTAATCGCCTGTGCAGCGCCCACGGTCATGCCCGTGCCGCGTCTAACGCTCCAGAAGATGGCTTTGTTTCACATCATGACGTCTTAAGCAGATGCGAGTTGCAGAGGCCGAAGGCTTGGGGTTGAATGTATCTCCTCGCAACCTGAAATTTTTGTGGTTACAGCCCATCCTCGGAGGTTGCGGACGCCTAGAGCTCAAACCGTTCAGCAAGAGGACCGACGTGGGTAGCGGAATGAGCCGGTTAGGTAAGCCCCTACAGCTCCAGCGCGAGATTCTCAGCTTCATACCAGCTGCATGATGGCGATGAATGCGTTCGGCTAGTAGGTTGCAATCTGCAACCTCGGCGCTTAGTACTCCCGTCCGGCTTCCTTCTATGTTGACGCTGTGCGACCAATACCACCGGCCGAGCCATTTGAGTGGCAAAGCTGCCCTGTAGCCCTGCTTCGAAAAGGTCGCCCAACGCCGCACAACGTTCGAAGATGCAACTATTCATTGAAACATCCTAGGGTGAAACGAATACAAGCACTCCCCTGTGAGACCGGAAGGGGGTCATCAGCCGACAGCGAGCTGGAACGAAGGGAACAGAGGTGGTTCAGAAGCCCATACCGCCACCAAAGCCCATGCCTACGTAGCTCTCGTCGCCCCAAAGACCCATATCGAAGAATTTGTCCATTTCGAAGTCCATATCCCTCATGAAAGCGAAAGGGTCGTGGCCGCCGTTGCCCATGTTCATATCCAAGTTCATGGCACCTAATCTGGCGTGAGGGAATTCGACAGCCGCATCCGCGGATGGCGCGGCTGAAGGACCAGCTTCAGTAGCTCCTTGGTTGGAACTCTGCAGAGTGTCCGGCGTTGGTAGCCCACCCGGCGTGTTTTTCGTCGACACTGTTGTCTTGGGTTTGATCTTCCGCACGAACCAGGTCCTGGTCAGGTCCATGATCATCCTTAACGCGTGCCAAAAATCGAGGTGCGGTTGCTTGATTTTGTCGTATGTGCTCAGGCCTTGCATGCGGTAGCAAAGGGATTCGAGGTACAGATCTAGTCGGACTCGGTCCTGGGCTGCCTTTACATCCCACTGGGCAGCGGCATGGGCATCGCTCGGTATGCATAGTCGTGCCACAGTTATAACGACGTAAGGGAGTCGCATCCACTCAGAAAACGAGATGAGATGATAATCCGATACAGGGAAGGTGAGCAGCGCGTCTAAGAATCGTTTTCCCGCTTCAAGGGCGGCAAGCAGCGCGTTCAACTGTGTGGGATCAGCTATAGGTGATTGCGTCAGTGTCGCAGACGTGCGAAGCCCGATGCTGTGCAGCTGCATTTCAGTAAAGGAATAAGATAATTCGAGCGCTGTATTCTGTGTCAGCCGACCAACAAAGAAAGCGCGCTGCATCACCTACTGCGTTGAAATTCGTCATTGTAGGTGCTCCGTTTAAACTCATCTAGCTGAGTCTCCATGAAGCGTAGATTCATGAAAATTCGCGAGTCCGTAATGGGCAAGTCGATTGTCTCTTCCGTGTAGAAGGAATCGTGGATTTGGTCATCGAGGCGACGAAGGGCGATCAAGGGTTCAATGACTTCATCGGAAGGGTACTCGCGATCGTACTTCAGGTTTCGGCTACACTCCGCCATGTAATCATTGTACTTAAGAAGGTTAGGCCTTTGGACTCCTCCAGCAATCCTATAGGCTTCAGCAAAGTTCGATTTTGCACACACGGATACTCACATAGAGGACAGGAAATAACAGCCAAGATACGTCCGCTGCCGCTCTCTTTGCTCTCCTGGTGACGGAAGCTGGGGTTTTGGTCGGCCTGGGAATTCGATAGGTGGCCTTTTTGACCTCTGGTGTAGGCCCAAATCAAGAGCTAAGCCGATAGCAAGCTGCTGGATAAAGTAGATCTGTTGCGTCTTGTGGCTGAATACGAAGTGATACCAGGATAAGTACAGAAGGACGCTTTGCAACAATGATAAGGTCCTGCGCGGGCGAATAATGGTGCGATTGGCCAACTCCGTCCGGTACAGTTCGTCGAGAGCCAGCTGCCGCTGGTGATCCTTCCAAGACGCGACCGTGATTAGAGCAAGGAAAAGCATGGGTTTCGCAGCATGGAGACCTCGCGCAGTGGTCGCTAACGGAATAGGGACGAAGGGGAATGAAGCGGACATGGATCGATACTCCTCTAGCAAAGCGTCGGCGTCTCCGTTTGCGAGTAGGTTCTTGACCTTTTCATTCTCAATAGCGGGCTCCGTGCTCTGTGAGACCCTAAATACACCATCGGGTGGCTTACTCATGTCATGGTTGTCACCGAAGTTGTGTATTTCACGAAGTTGCTCGAGGAATTGATGTGTGGGCTCCGCATCCCGCCGGGACTCCTCGTTTGTCTGGCCAGCCGAGCTCTTCCGTGCAAAGGAAGATGAAAAAGGCAGCCAGCCCCCTGGGAACACGGAGAATTCCGCAGAATTTTGGGATTCAGCTGCATTCGGCTGCGAACCATTCGCAGCGCTCGGCGACTGTTGCGAGGGCGCTGGTGTTGAAGCGGCCCTAGGCGCATCCGGGTTCACGAGACTAGCAACCAGACCATCGATCTTCTGCTCAACCTGCAATATGCGCCTTTGCAAGGTCAGTCCCAGCTATGGCGTCTTCCGGGGAAAGCTTACGAGGGTCCGCGCACCCTCCTTGCTCGTCGAGGAGTATCCGACCAAGCGCACTCACGTTTCGCAGTGAAACATCTGTTATGGGTTATTAAACATCGTGCACTTCAAATTCAAAAGTAATTCCGCCACTCCTAACCACTAAGTCTCTTCGCAGTCTTGGAAAATAACATACCTCTGGCACGTGCCGGGTCGCTCGCTTGGCAGGCACCGCGTCTTGAGGCTACGGCAGCGCTCGCAGGCGTGTGATGTTCGGGCTGGAACGGCCTTTTCAGTTCCCGGATGGCTGGAGTCTTCCATTCCACGATCGGATGGCGGCGGTCGCTGGCAGTAAGGTTGGAAGTGGAAGATGAGGTTGGGTGGCTCGGGACGGAAGAGACAAAGCTATCCGACCGACGCTAATGACTAAGCCACGGAGATAATAGCAACCCTCAGAGATTTGCCGGTCAGGCCTCCTGCTCTGACCTTTCCATCGACAACGTATCGCTGCCACCACCAGAGACATCAAAACCGGGCCCGGGCAAAGCCTTTTGTGGATGGAATTACATATGGATTTGATGGGGCCCGGAAGCACCCCTATTCTTGGACAACGGCACCGCACAGGGCACGTCACAATGGATTCCCCCGATATGTACGCTGAAACTGGACTTAACGAATCAATTCTGACCCGACGGGAGACTCTCGGTGTCCTACTCAGCATCGAACCTCAGTCTCGAAGCCAGCGTCCACCCATACCACAGCGTCGCGCCAATAGTAATGAGATTCAAATGCATGCACATCGCATGGTTCCACGAGAAGGCCCGGTTCAGCTTCTTCATCTCGTCGCCGACGAATCCATCGACGGGAGTCTGGGCATCAATCTTTTCTAGAACCATGTTAGTCTCATGCCGTAGAGCTCATCCACTCCGAAGCACCCCTCCAGGCATTGTAAGTGGCATACCTTGGTACTTCCTCACCATCATGATCCTGCTCGTCCTCGGCCCAAACACCACCAAGTTCAAAGCAGCCGTAACGCCGGCGACGAGGAACGAGATCCAATCTGCCTTCTCTCTTGCCAAGGACATCGGCCCGTGAGGCGGAAGCGTGACCGCTACCAACGCTAACAAAAGCGACTGACTGCGGAAGTAGGCCGGAAACACACGCTTCTGCAGGGTTGTGAAAGCATCACGAGGAAGAGCTCGATGCGCGATCTTGACCATGACGAAGGTTTGGTAGAGCTGAGTGCCGAGAAGCGTAGAGTACGCGAAGAGATGGAAGGGCGCAAGAAAGGAGGAAAAGACGGCCATGATGGGCATGTTGGATATGGGCAAAATTGGCTTAGACTTCGCGAAAGTGTTTGAATGATGCTGATGTGCTGTGGAAACCATGTTGCATTGAACTCTTTATGACCTTGGCTGCAGCCTAGCGGGCCGGGAATCGGCTCGCAGTCTGGCATCCGATCCGACTCGGGGCATTGGATCTGCCATGTCTACCGATGGGATATGAAACTTTGGCTGAAACCCTTTAAACATCCGCAGTTGACGGTCTGCAGTAGTATCTTTGAAGTTCCTTCTTCTCTTTCGCATTCCGATTCCCTAAGTTGCTGCCAGCGCACACGCATGCACGCACTGGAGGGATGGCTTCTATCACGTTAATCTTTCCCGGTACCATTCTCCGGCGTCTACATTGCCTAGGAAGACCCAATGCATTGCTTCTCTGTGCCTATATTCCTCACGTTCGAAAGAAGTTCCCAAGAACTGCCCAAGCCAGCATTCCGGGCCCATTTTTTGGGTGACCCTACCCTCCCTGTCCACGTGCCTATTCCCTTGCCTATTCCCTTCGTTTCCTAAAACCCCAACCACAATTTTCCGCTCTCAAGCATCAAACCTAAATCGAGTCAGCCCTAGGGCGCTGTTTCAATCCGGGGAACCGAACAGCGAGCTCGGGCAGAATTATCGCGAGAACCCTGTCGATTAATTCATCCCCGCATCTATCCCACGTTCTCAGATATACCATCCGAAATGAAATATACCGGTTAGCATTCTAGACCTTCCCTCTAGGCATATGGAGAAGCTTCCTATTCCTGGAAATTCGCACTTTCTGCTGTCCGGATCTTGCTAACGTACCTAACTATTTCGCCGGCACTCAGCCCTACCTAGGATAACTATGCCCAGCCAAGATCCGACAGTGCAACAATATCGAAGCTCAAGATATATATCCCAAGGTAGCCGCCGAAATGAAATCTAAAGGTAAAGATACTTTCTCGGTCGTCATCCATTCTTCCCCTTCGTTCCGTTCCTACTATGCGCATTCCACTCCTCCCCTTCCTCCTCTCCTCAGCCCTCGCCTCCCCCGTATCACACTCTGCAACAGCCGCAAAAGGAGTATACTGGCTGCTAGCCGGCGACTCGACCACCGCTCCCAATGGCGGCTGGGGCGACGGCTTCCTCGCGACGACCGTAGCCCCCGGCTCCGCAGGCCACAACTACGGCCACAGCGGCGCAACAACCGCGTCCTTCCGCGCAGGCGGCGACTGGGGCCAAGTAATCCAAGACATCGGGACATACAAATCGCAATACGACGTCTACGTCACGATCCAAGTACATCCCCTGGCCTTCCCTTAAGTCCCGCGCCGCGCCGCAAGCTGACAGCAGTAGTTCGGCCACAACGACCAAAAAGCCACCTCAGGAGTAACCCTAGACCAATACAAAACCAACCTACTCAACTTCGTCAAAGAAACTACCTCCGCCGGCGGTACCCCCATCCTGCTCACGCCGCTCACACGGCGTAACTTCAACTCCAGCGGCATGGTAACCGAAAACCTCGCCGAGCAGCGCGCGGCCACTATCTCCGTGGCGCAAGCTAACAACGTCAAATGGATCGACCTGAACATGGCGAGCGAAGACTACGTGAATGCGATTGGCAAAACGGTAGCGAGCAAGTATAACCTAGCGAGCGATGACTGGACGCATTTGAATGAGTGGGGCGGGGTCGTGTTCGCGCGTATCGTGATTGATTTGTTGGTGGAGAAGTATGGGGCGTTGTTTGAGGCGGCGACGAAGAAGAACGAGACGTTGAGCGAGTTGATTAAGGCGGGGAAGCCTGCGTGAGGGGAATGGGTGCTGTGTGGCACGCTCCGCGAGGCGCATGCTGCGCATTGGGGATCATATCAAGAATTCTAATCTTACATTGCGCCGCTACGGTCTACCCAGCACTTTCCACCTTTTGGGATTCACGATGGAACCACCTCACTTATCCGTATCCCTCTCCATCATAGCCTCCGCCGCCCCACCTGCTTTTTTGTCCCTGACTACTGAAACCGCTCGCCTGGCTCGAGTTCGGTGTCTCGTATGGCGCCTGCTCGCCTCCTCCGTACGGCGTGCTACTGGCATTCTGACTGCTCTGGAAAGACGTTTGGGAAGAGGAACCAGACTGCTGACCGTAGGGGATGTACCCAGTTTCTTGCCCTGAATATGGCTGGTACTGTGGAGGAGGTGACTGATACTGTGGTTGAGGGGGGAAGCCGTACTGCTGCGGAGGCGAAGCGTAAGGGTTCTGCGTCGGTGGTTTGTTATAACTTTGCTGAGGCGGAGTCTGACTGTGACCTGCTTGGGGGCTGGGATAACTTGGTTGGCGCTGCTGATACCTTCCAACAGAGCCTGGGTTAAGCCCCGTTCGACCGGGTAATTGCATGCTGTATCTTTGCGACACCTGCTCCTGGCTTCCAGTACGCGGCGGTAGCGGCGGCGGGTTCTCCATGGTGGAGCCGCTTGAATACTGACCTTGATGTGGCGGCGGTTGCTGGTAAAGAGGCTGTTGTCTTGGTGGAGAGGCGGAAGGAGAGGCGTACGGTCGTTGAGGCAACTGAGTGGGTGGAGGTCCGCTGACAGACGTACGATATGGTGCATATCCCGCAGCAGATGAAGGAGGATAAGCCTGCTGCGGATATCCACTTCCTTGCTGGCTTGGTCCGGGATATGCCTGGAATGACTGCCTATTCGGATTGGGGTATTGCTGCCCATAAGCGTCGCCAGCTGCCCGAGAATCAAACTGTTGGTAGCTCGTACGCGGGGTCAATTGCGGTGGGGTCCCGGCGGTGAGGCTCACAGGAAGAGGACGACGTTTGACGGTCCGGAAGCGCTGCACACTTGGATTGCGCTTCACTCGGGCTGTGGCATCGTCCAGCAGCTTCTGTATCTTGACCTCTTCAGATTCTTCATCCTCCAATTGAAGATCAGTTACGCTGCCTTGCTCGCTCGCCGCAGCTACGGATTCGCCATCGCCCTCCCACTCGTCATCTTCATCGGCATCATCATCCTCATCCTCGTCTTCATCTTCATCTTCATCGTTAGAGTCCTCTTCAACTGGATCCTCGGGCTCATCGTCCGAATTGTAACCGTCGGCTTGGTCAGCTTTCAGCGCTTCAAGCGCAGTACCGAGCGTTGGATGTCGTGCATGTACGTTGGCTCCTGACTTGAGAAGGAGTTCCACGCTTGTCGACTGACGATGGGCACAAGCTTCGACCAGCGCTTCATCAAGCATCTGCTCCGGAGGCCCCATTTTTAGCAACTGCTCCAAAATGGTCTTGTTCCCTCGAGTTGCTGCAGCGGTTACGGCGGTCCCGAATTTCCCTCCCCGGAACCTGAAGTCCGCTCCAGCATCGAGTAATTTCTGAACGACTTCTAGCCGGTCATAGTATGCTGCTGCAATGAGCGCCGTATGGTATTTTCCGCCCCGATAGTTGACATTCACCGCGTGCGAAAGGAGGATATCAATGCAGCCCATGTCGGTAGCTCGGACGGCCGCTGCGCAAAGAGCGTTGCCGTATTTGCCTCCCTGGGCATGGGCATCAGCTCCGCGATCGATAAGCAGCTCCAGCAAAGACGTGTTGTTAGCGAAAGCGGCGGCTGCTACGGCTGTACCAAATACTCCCCCTTCTACCGAAGCCGTAGCACCGTGATCCAAAAGCAGTTGAACGATATCGAGCCTACCAGTCTGCGCCGCGGCTAGGAGTGCATAACCGTGGAGGCCACCTTCCAAATTGACGTCCGCATCGTGCTCCAGGAGAAGTTCGACGATATCGTGGTTGCTTTCTGCACAGGCAGCGTGGAGAGGGTATCCGTACTTCCCATTTGCTGGTTGCAAGTCAATCACGGCGCCGTTTTCGATGAGTGCGCGCACAACATCGATATCTCCGCTCGCGCAGGCAGCCTGTAATGGGCTACCATATTCGCCGGATACGGTCTCTAGCCCAGTTGCGTCCGCTCCCGCTTTCAAGAGCACCTGCACCGTGTCAAGATCAGGCACACCGCAGGCTGCCTGCAAGGGCGTTCCAAAAGGGCCTCCCACGGTGTTTACATCCGCGCCAGCTTTTATAAGAATTTCGCAGCAGTCTTCGTCGCCTTCAGCTGCACAGGCGTGTAACGCGGTGCCCCACTTCTCACTGGATATGTGGACATCAGCGCCACGAGAAAGAAGAAATTCCACGCCGTCGGTGTCGCCTGCGTCGGCACAGTTGATCAGCGCGGTGGTACCGCGGTCACAGGCGGCGTTAATGTCGGCGCCGTGGTCCAGAATGGCTTTCATATCGTCCTTCTGGAGGGTAGCGCCGGCAAGCGCGATCAGGGGCATGTTATCCTCTCCCCCAGTGACATTGACATCGGCGTTATGTTCAAGAAGGATACCCAGCACCTCGCCATCTCCTTCGTCGACAGCCGCACTAGGGCACGTTAGCAGAAGCTCCAGATGGCATACAGACCTTTACTGACATGATTGGATAATTATGTTTTCCTCCTTGCGCACCTACATCTGCGCCATGCTCGATAAGGATGCGTATTGTATCGGCATCGCCAGTCTCGCATGCTGCCTGGAGGGCAGATCCATAGATCCCAAACGGTTCAGTGTTAACGTCTGCACCATGTTCCAGCAGCATCTTTACGTTGTCTGCGTCGCCGAACCATGCAGCCGCTTGGAGTGGGCATCCGTAGTCACCTCCGCGTTTGTTGACGTCCGCTCCTTTGTCGATGAGCGCTTTCATAATGCCCTCAGTGCCGTCGTAAGCACTGGCAGTGAGGGCACAACCGTATCTGTAAAGGTCAGCGCGGATTGACTCGCAGAATATAATATACTCACATAGGTCCTTCCGCATTTGGATCTGCTCCGAACCCAAGAAGCAGTTCGACGGTTGATTCGTGTTCGTGATCGGCACTCACATACAGTGCCTCATTCAGCTTGTCCTGCGGCATGCCTCTTGGCTGAAGGATCTTCAGCACTTCGTCTCGCCCGTAGTCGGCTGCGAGCATGAAGGCCTTTTGATGTCGCAGCGTAGGTGTCTTGTCGAGAATAGCCTTCACCACCGCCGCCTTCCCGTTCTGTGAAGCCGCTACGGCTCATTAGCCTGGAAGGTTGCGAAAATGCTAGAAATTCCGTGCACTTACCCGCTAGTGCTTGCTCCAGCACAGTAATACGAGCCTCCTTCTGAGCAAGTATCTCGACGACGTTGAGATGACCATACGTCGCCGCGCAGGTTAAAAACGATCCATAGGTTCTCATGGACTTGCTGGGACTCCACCCTTTTGAGAGCAGCAGTTTGACGACCTCTGCATGACCCCTGACGCAAATTTAGCGACGCCTATACTATTAACGCGGGAATATCCATACCTGCGGGAAGCCGTCCCTACCGCAGACCCGTACCAGTACTCTTCGTCGGGGTCGATATCTGCGCCGTGTTCAATGAGCAGTCGAACGGCTTCTACATTACCATTCCAAGCTGCGATGTTGAGCGCTCTCCGTCCCCCGCCGCCAATCAGATTAACATTTGCCCCACGGTCTAGCAGAAGCTTGATGATCGGCATATGGTCACTCTGGGTCGCAATATACAGACTGCTTCCGTACTGCTCGCAATGTGCGTTGATGTCTGCATCCCGCTCGAGGAGGCACTCCACGATTTCGAGGTGCCCATACTCAGCAGCGGCGTAAAGAGCAGGTACTTTGCCCTCCGCGCTCACGAAGTTAATATCCGCGCCAGCTCCGAGCAGTGTTTGCATTATCTCGTAATTCCCTGAAGCACACGCATAGTATAGAGGCTGGTAACCAAGCGAGTCTTCTTTGTTGATATCTTCGGCCCATCTGTGATTCAATACTATATTTTGCATTAGCGACTTGACCTTGGGTGGTGGCGTAAAGCTTACAGTGATCAACAAAGGCGGGAAACTCAGCGATGGTAGCCACGTGCAGCGCTGAAACATTAGTTTGGTTGGGGAAAAGGTGCATTGCGTCGTTCACGCTCCACCAGTTCTGTCGCGGCGGGGATTCGTCTCTCCAGAATGCATGGCCAGTACGAAATTCTTCAATGACATCCACTGGAGCGAGCTTTGCGTGCTCGATCCAGTACTGCACAGGATACTGAAGGGCATCGTCGTCATCAAACTCGTGTTCGTCCGTGTTACTGCTTGCGTCTGATACTTGCACGACTTCAGTCTCAGGTTGATCATCATCACCCGGGTCCTCCACGGGCTTTTCTTCCGCCGGAAGTGGCGATGGCGGTTTCTCCTCCTCATCGCCCTGACGATCTTCGGGCCTGGCTGTCTCATGCTGCTCTTCATCCTCGGCATGGTCTTCGTTGTCCGCGCCTGCGGCATCCTCTTCCGCTTTCTCCTTTGTGGCTTGAGCAGCCTCATATTGCTCGGTAACGGAGTAAATGTATTCGAGGCAGCGGAGAGCGATAATACCGTGCTGCATATCCTTGAGATCCAAAGCGAGCTCGTCCTTCGCAAATTTCTCTAGATGCTCTTGGGCTGAAATGTCGATCCACTCTACAGTCATGTTGTTCTCATCCAGCTCGTTTCCGCGGAGGGTGAGGAACGCTCCGCAGCGTCTAACGTGCTCCTTCAGCTTCTCCAGATCGTCTCGATCTTCATGTGGTAGATCAGCCATGATGGCAAGCTCGCGCATAGTAGGCGCGCGCTGCGCGAGAGTCAAACAACGAAGGATCTCCTTCGTGTATTCAATGCCATCAGCGCTGGGATTCAGGACCCGCTTATGCGTATGTTCGAACATGTCTGTCAAGCCGTAAGGGAAGGATTCGAGTAAAGCCCGGATCTCGGCATGCTTTGTGAGACCTGAGGCTTGCGCATTCTTAAGCTCTTGTATGACCAGACTGACGTAGATGTAGTTATCCTCGGCACGCGAATGAATGTGTCGCTTCACAAAGTAGGTCAAAGGAGCTGACAGGCCAAGGTCGTCCACTCGTGCAGAAATATCCGCCCGTAAAGCATCGCTGACGTATCCCGAGTTCTCGGAGTCGTCGATATTGATTTCGTGGGCTCTGGGCTTCAATGTTCTTTCGATATCGGGACGGCCAGACCTACTCAGTAGCATCCATTTGATGGGCGAAATATCGTCGTCGTCATTTGAAGAGCCCTTATCCGACACTTCCTTCATGTATTCAAGGAAAGTTCCAAGCGATTCCTTGGCAAGCTGGTCCAGCCCGTAGAGGATGATGTAGATGCACCCTCCTGGTAGGTCCTTGGCCATTGACTGTAGTGCGTCCCACAGAGTAGGTACCTTAGAAAGTCCTTCCGGATCAAAGTCTTGCTTGCCGGCAGATTTAGCCTTCTTAGAATCAGTGAGAAGGTGGACCGCAAGGTCCTGGTTCAAGTCAATGATCTGACGAATGAGTATCTTAAGCATCCCCCGCAAAGATCTCCGATTCTCATCGGATTGATCGCAGAAGAACGATGCGACGATGGATCCTTGATCCTGTGTCTCGTTGAGAGTCTCGATGACTGACGACGCGATCGAACCCTGACCAGTGCCGGCTTTGCCGTGGACCCAGAGGAGTTGCGGAGTTTGATGTTCCCTCCACTGCTTGAAGCAATCGACGTCAGCGACCCAAGACTTCTTGGTACCCTTCACACCTTTGTAAGTCCCCTTGACGGTAACATCAAGGTCTGAGAAACCTTTGCCCAAAGCATCAATAATGGCGTGGTATGTGCGATCGTTAATGAGGGCTTGTCGCAGAGCATTCTGCCTTGACTTGATGATGCCTGGCGCCTTCCGCGCAGTAGCTTTAATCTCATTCATTACCGAGACAAAGTTCCCGTCCTTGGGGCCGGTGTACTTGTTCAAGCTGAAGTGATCCGAAGCTAATTGAAGGCTCTCGACTCCGGGAAATGTTGCCGATTCTTTGTCCACGATGAGTTCTTGAGTCTTAAATGGGAGACCCTTCAGCAGGAGCGCCGCGACATCGCTCTTCTGTGATTCAAAGAAGCAGAAGACGCGGATCTGAGCATCGTTAGAGAGCCGGACAAACTCATCGAGCATGCGATTCAAGACTTCGGAGTCCTTCTCTAGGAGCTTGAGGAGGCTCGAGGGAGCACCCATGCCGATCGTCTCCGCCATTTCGGCCAACACCATGGCTTTCGACTGCGTCTTCGTTCCATGGAAAGGAGTCCCTAGGAAAATACAACCAGCGACACAGGCGAAGATGCTAGGAAAGTCATTCTGGCGGAGCCTGGCAGTCAAGAGAGCCCTTTCCAGTATGATGCCTCCTAAGCAGTGGCAGACGAAAATGATCGGCGTCTTGTTATTGTCCTGAGGAGGGTTAACCTCGAGTTCAGGGCAAAGAACTATGGCGCTTAGATTTTACTCACACCTCGGGAACGCTCCAGATAGTAGAGTAGTTGATCGGCTACATTTTCCACTCGCTGATCTATAGAGCCCTTGCCGAACCATTGGGACTGATACTGAAGGACCGAGATTCGCGCATTCGGTACTTTGGCGCCCAGCATGTTGCTGTCGCGTAGCCAATGGACCTTGTCCCTGACCCATGTCCATTCTGGGTTCGCGCCGAGGCCGGGAATCGCGACAATACTGCGCGAGTGAGATGAAGTTTCGAAAAGCTTTGGCAGCGGTAACTTGCTCTAGTGTGATCTTTGTAGAGGCCTTGGAGGATGAAGGTTCATCCGGATTGGGATATAGGACTTGGAGACCGATGTTGATATGCTAGACCACGAATGAGCGTTCGTTTTCGCGTAGAACGGCTTGTGGAGCAGCCTACCACGGGATCGAGCTTCGAATATTTCGTCTTCTTCGCCGGTGCAGCCGCCATCTTGCGTCGTCACGCCCGGCTTCAGATGGACAGGACACAGCTTCAACGCGTCGCGAAAGACATGTCTGAGGACGTCGAGCACTCAAGGAGGCCGAACAGATTTTGGAGACAGTGTGCTGCCGCCTGCGCCCCTTTCTTCTTCCATCCTGACGTCGTGTTCCGAAGGATTGGGGGCCGGAATACGATTTTGGAATGAGGCGGCTGCGGCACGATGTGTCAGCATGCAGCTAGTGTTGCATTATCCGAATGGGGTTTAGACTGTGGGCTATGCGGCCACGACTGAGGCTGGAGGTCGGCCCCGCCAAATCTCCCGCTCTCCTCCTTTCGAGCGGGCAAAACCAGCAGCGTCTTCTTATCTTTCGTCTGGTGTCTGCTTATGCCACGTCCGTCCGAAAAGGGCAAATATGTCGGACTATGCCGTTGTAAGAATGCCGTTGTTGAGATGGACTGTAGCGCTGACCCCTGCCGCTAGAAAGAAGCGCCGCGAGAGCCTCCGTTTCGGAGAGACGTTTTGTCGAGAAGCGATGCGCCCACCAAGCCACTCCTGCCCGCGACTTATCGCAATAGACATCATATGGTTCGACTCGTCAACGTCGATATCCGCTCTTTCCTCGAATGCGAACTGGATGTCGACCGTTTGAACCGGATCCACAAGTGGCTCTGGCTGGTAGGCCTTCCCGCGGCTCCGCGACCCCTACATTATCAGGCCCTGAAGAAAAGGGAGATCGCCGTCGCTGAGCAGCTCGATCTTCACCTCGTCTGGTCGCCATCCCGCATCTTCATCAAGCCGCTTCCAAGATTCCTGCTGTGCCCTGCGTTCTGGCGAGCCAGCATTTGCCCGTCCGAGCTCCTGTATCGGACGGCGTATGGCTTCTTACTGTCTTATATCGCACTCGTTGAACGAGAGATTGACTATAATATTGCCATCGAAAAGGGTCTGATACCGAAGGAAATCACGTGGCCGGACTGGTTGGCGTTCGCCGAGGAGGTGATGTTGACGTCGGCGCAGACGAGGGCATACCTATTCCAGCCTTCGACAACATCGCTTTCGTCGTTGGAAATGCATATGCCGGTTAACCCACGTTTCTTCTATGGCGAGCTGCGTGTGGGCCGACTGAACTGGATCTACCGGCTGGTTCTGGGCCATCCTCGGGGATATTGGAGTGGATGCACGACATACGGTGCATTTGTGCGCGAAAACATCAACTCACTTATCAGCTTGTTTGCGTACACTACCATAGTGCTCTCGGCAATGCAAGTCGGACTGGCAACATCGTTCCTCGCCGAGGACTACGCTTTCGGTATGGCATCGTACGTCTTCTCGGTGTTTTCGATCGCAGCGCCTCTCGTGGCCATAGCAGCGATCCTCGGCGTACTTGGAGTGTTGTTTACGATCAACCTACTGCGGACATTGAGGATCCGAAGAAAGAGGAAACGCCAAGGTGCCGGCGTCTGAGGATGGGACTTACACAGATAGTTTCGAAGACTGTTCCTGGACTTTCGAGCAGAAATACAAATCGAGCGAGAGGTTTTCTTCCTGCTGCAGACAAACTAAAGAGTGTGGGAAGCTGCACTGGCAGGCTCCATTTGCTCTCCAATCCGCCTGATGGCTCGGAGCGAAACCGTGCGAATGGGGTGTGATGTGGACCTGGGCGGTGTGGTGCTTAAGGTGAGACGAGGTTTGGGTGATGTGACGAGGGACGAAATCCTGGACGAGGAAAGAACGCCGGGCGCAAGCACGTGCCGTCACGTGACCTTCCGCAGACCTCGATACCTACCTAGGTAGGTAGGTATCCTACCAACTAGTGGCTTTTGAAGCACCGACTCTCAGGAGAGAATACTTTGGAAAGCGAACCACCAGTTCTCGTCCAATTGCGTCCGAATAGCCTGCGGGTTACCCCGCTTCCTCGCATTCCCTCTTGCAACATTATCGCGTCCTCTCCATCCTTTTCCACGCAGCGCTCAAATCTCCAAACACAGCTCAACAACTTGTATTCCTCCATTGCATTTGGAGCTGTGATTAGTCCTATACAACCACCTCATCCATGCCCAGCCATCGATATCGGCTAGCACCGTTCGCAACAGCCTTCAAGGTCTCCCTTCTCCTGCCGCCATTGCATTTACGCGCTTGCCCATCAAAAATATAAGGCATGACCTCATGAGGTGAACGCGACGCACGGTGACTCGCCTTGGATACGCCTAATGCTGAGGCCTGACATAACACCCTCGGCTATGCCTACTAACCCATCAACAACGCGATCGTGTAGGTCTTCAATGCTGAGGCCTGAAATTGAAAGTGCGCCGTGTGCGTATATGTACCGTTGAGAGCTGGACAGACAATTGGATACCCTTGAGCGCCACATTTAAGCGCTGGGCGCCTAAGTCCATGGCATGTAAGTGCGACGAAACGGGTAAGCGAAGTGGCCTATCACGCGAGCGGATCACCAGCTACAACGGGTAACTCTTTGTTAGGGGTCTTGGGACGAGGCGTCTGTCTTCTATGGTCACTAGTTTCACAGATAGCGCGCAAGACGATTTTTCCAACGAAATCACGTCAGAACGTACATGCCGCCTATGCCTAGCTACAAATGCTCGTCTTTTCCGAGGCCTCGTTCCTCTCCGCACGTCACTTCACCTCCATCAGTACCTCAACGATGGTAAAGCAGCAAACGATGTCATTCTTGGCCCTTCCGCCAGAGCTGCGTGTACGAGTCTACGAAAACGTTATCCTCTCTGCGCCTTCGTTTCCGCCAACTTCAATGTCATTCCGGCAGTACCAAGGCTTCATTCTTTCAAACAAGCAAATCTACACCGAGTTCGAAGCGGAATGGTTGAAGGGCTTTCAAGACACCGTCCAGGCGATCAAACACGCGTTCCGGTTTCAGCCGGATGCCGAGATCCCCACACCAACACGACTGGGCGAATCGAAAAAGATTCTAGGATGGATAGCGATGATGTGATGGAGGGGGGCGATGGCGTGATAGTGGGCTCGTCGTCTGTCTGTTTGCTGCCGATCGGTGCTTCGCGCTTTCATTGGATCATCTAAACTTCGGAGAGTCAAGCGGCAATTGCAGAATTACTTGCATAGCTTCCGCTACCGTTCTTCGCAGTTGTTTCTTGGGAGCATCTACAGTAACCCCCATTCCGTATTTTTGCTCCATTTGTACGCCTACAAACCAACAAACTTCTCTCTTTCGCCTTCACCTTAGCCTTACGAAGAAGATGAACGATGGAGAAGACAAGTTAGTTCAGTGCGCCTACAGATCAGGCGGGCTATCAATAAGTGGGGCTTTCACCACCCCAATGTGGGATGGTTGCACGTACGCTAGCGAACGCGTTGGAGCGGATACTGAATGAAGGTATTATTTGCCAAGAGTAGCTTTCCGTCACTGTATTAAAAGCCATTCACGGCGAGATGGTTCTTCAAAATATATAAGCCCTTCCTGGGTCAGGAAAGCTTGTTCACCCCACGCTCGCATCCCGCAACATCGGGGCACTGGTTGCATATAGCCTACTCAGGAATCGACTTGCCTCATCTGTCCAATATGGCGGTCGCTCCCGCAACCCTTTTTCTCCGCCTACCATCCGAGCTGCGCTTTGAGGTCTACCACCATACTATTCAGTCGACACTGCCTAATGCGCCCACGTCCTACGCACTGAACGACTGTAAAGGCTTTCTCCTCTCTAGCAAACGGATCTACGCCGAGTTCGAGTCCGAATGGGCGACGGAGTTCAACTACTTACTCGACGGTATCAAGGAAGCCTGGCCATTTGACAGTCCTCTGGTAATGCCTCCTGTGGCTCGGCTGTGTGCTTCTGCATGTATCGATATCGGATGTCCCTAATCCTTTGGCGACAGGCAACCCGACACCTATACCAGCCTGAAGGACTTCTTTGCTAGTCTATCAGAGACATTGCCACGGTTCACCTTCACTCTAAATCACGATGGTGTAGATACGCCGATACGGCGTCCTTTAGCCACTTGGCAGAGCCGAGCCATGTACTTTGGAATTCTTCAATCAGACCATCCGAAAACCAATCCTCTATTTTTCTCTGGAGGCAAAGAATTCTTCACTGTGGAGTATATCTCGGACGAGATCCTCTCTGTAAGAAGGTGTTGATGATCGAGTGCGGCCGCTGGCTGGCCGTTTATTTAAGATGATGTGGTTTCTGGAAGGAATAGACAACGGCGCAGTAGGGAAGCCGCATAGAGTACCTTATAAATTTTCTATCAGTCTAAGGCATTAAAAGCCCGCTTTTGACACGGTAGCTAGCAGTTTTGGTGGAGACATGGGGATGGAAATTGAATCCAGGACAGGTGGGAGCGAATCGTACGACGAGGTGCTCAGCGCGATGTATATAGATATGCACTACGAGGCACATCAGATTTACAAAAGACAATCGAAAGAATTTGCCTTTCATTAAAGCGGTGATGTGGTGGGTGCCCGTGCTGACCTTTACCCTAATTGCTAACCATCATCTTGCCAGTACCCCAGAGATGCAGAGAAACCAGAATACCGGCAGTTCTCCGTTTTTCATGGATTGCGCGATCATCTTTCGCAAAGGATTCTTATGATGTTCACTTGTACCTTCCTCGCAGCTCACGGTACCGGTCAAACACCTTCTTTCCACGACTCTTTCTGCTTTCCACCCTACGTCAAATATGTATTAGCTGATATTGAACGCCATGACTTCTATGCTGTCCCCAACATCTGCCTATCTCCTTTCAATCCCGTGTAGTAATTTGAACCTAAGTAATACATGCACATTGCCACGCCTTGTGCACCAATTTCCATTAATACCATGGCAGTCCACTACCCTGCCGTTCTTCCGACGTACAGAAGAGAACAGGAGACCTGGGCGAAGGTAATAAGGCAGTTGCACTCGTATGAGGCGGATTTGAGCGGCGTTTAAGACCTCGTTAGCGCCAAAATTCGGAAATATCTAAACAAAGGCTTCGTTGGCTAAGTGGTACAGCGTCCCACTCGTATTGTGCATCATGGGAAGATCGACGGTTCAATTCCGTCACGAAGCAGATTTTTTGGCTATCTGCGGGAAGTAGTTATAGGGAATCTTCCATTTCTTCTTGTGGCTTCATTCACACTTTCGAAACTATTCTAGTAACTGCCAGGCGGATACTGCGAAAATACTCCCACTTGCGAGGTAACATAGAAGAAACAACGTCCAAACAAAGCCCATAATATAAGGAGCGCACAACTTGTCAGTGCTGCTGACATTTTAGTTGCTACGAAGCAAGCCGCTCTTCGGATCATGGCGGCTCCGCAATCGCCCCTACTCTCGCTACCTAGTGAGCTTCGCATCAAAACCTACAAAGCGGTCGGCATTACTACCTCTCACGCATTGCTTCGTTTATCCAGTGGGCTGTTCTCGTCCTGTCGCCAGATCTACAAAGAAATGGAGGCCGAGTGGCTGCAACGTTGGACAACTTAGCTTAGATGTCTTTCAGGGACTATAGCGTTCATGGATTGAGTGAGCCGCGAGTTTGCCCTTAGATGCTCAGAAAGCAGCGGCGCAGAATTAGTAACGCCCGTACACCGTCCAGCGCCTCACGCTCCAGTTCACCGCACCTTTCGCTCAAGTCCACTTGGTTATTCAGCGCTGAATATCGAATGTCTGCTTACTCATTTTGGCATTGCTGCATCCAATAAATTATTCTTGCAAATCAGCTCGTGAGCGATGCTGATGCATCAGCGGGCATGGGTGTAAATCGTGCTGACGTTTACATCTGTGCCTGAGACTCCACAGAAACGCCTGCGACCTTCCACATTCGAGAAACCAGTTGACCACAATAAAATAAATACCATCCTGCTATACCAGAGAAGTAGAGTTCGGCGACCGACGGTTCGACGGATCAGTGCATTGAGCATGACATTTACGTAAACTGAAGCACCATCGCCCGGTCCGCCTACGACCGTGAGATCCCTGGGTCAGCTGGCAGGTAGAATCGTGAGGCTGTGCGTCCTTACCGTTCCCCTCATCCTTCTTTTACTAGGATAGTGGGAAAGAATTGTCGTACATCCAATATTGTTGCGGTCGCGGAGTCACAACGAACTTCGGCCACCGCGAATATGGCTCCCAATCCGGCCATGGAAGCGGAGTGACAGAATCAGCAAGCTGAACTTCCAGCAGACGAGCCAAAACTCGAGATCTATAAAGTCTCATTCATACTTCTCGTTCACTGCCAACCCCAACCCAGTACATCTTCTCTCTCAAGCCTCCGAAGATTTCACCCCCGAATCCACCCATCGACATGAAGCTCTCCGCCGCCATCGCCATCCTCGCCTCCGGAATCGCCCTCGCCGCCCCAGCTATCAACGTCGAAAAGCGCGCCGACACCGGCGTCTACCTCTGCAACGACCGCAACTTCGAGGGCTACTGCGTGCACATCAACTCGCCCAGCGGTACCTGCGTTCCCCTCGCTTCTGACCTCAACGACAAGGTCAGCGCGGCTGGGCCTGACCAGGGCAGCTTCTGCTACTTCTTCGTGTAAGGTCTCTAATCCCTGTCGGAAGCGACATGAAACTGATGGAGACATAGCAACCCGAATTGCGATACCAATGGTGACTTCTTCCACGTTGGCTACCCTGGATACCCTGACCTCTCGGTTACACCAGTCAACGGGCCTGCCGGAAGCACAAGGAACTTTGAGGATAAGTTGAGCAGCTATCGGTGTACGACGGAGTAAGCGTGAGGGGTTTTGCGGGAAGGAAACGTGGAACCTAGACGCAGCTAGCGGAAACAATAGAAGCTGTAATGGGATCGGAATTGCACTGCCTACAATCTTGACTTCTCCACATGCTCGTCAGCGTCCCACCTAACCTTCCTTTAACTTTATACTCATCATGGGAAAGGAGTGAGACCGAGCTCAATGAGCCTGGGTGGCCAAGAATTGGAAGTGTATAGGGTTCTCGTCGAGACGCGCACAGAGCGGTGTCGATAAGCGGAAGCTACGTCATCGTGCGTCTGTCTTGGGGCTGAAAGCCTAATCAACCCATGATCCAGAAGAGCACAGGCAAAAACCTGGGCTATAACGCAGGCAAATAAACCACTTAGGATTAGGCTGCAAAAACTTTACATTCATTCAAGCCGTTCAAGGACTGTCATCCTCCAAGATTGTCAAATACCATGTTACGCTCGATCGGACGCTGCGCTATACACGCTCTCCGTCCCGCAAATCCCTCTCCTGCATGGCAAGAGCATCATCACTCACAGTACCCTCCTCATCTTTGATGCCAGTAATCTTCGTTATAACCATAGCAGCGAACATATCCCCACTCACGTTGACGGCGGTCCTAAAGCGGTCCAAGAACCAATCGATCGCGACGACCACTGCATACATTCCGGTGATCGGCACGTTGACGCTGCCGGCAATCATGACTGTTAGGACCAGAGAAGAGGAAGGAATGGGTGTCGTGCCGATGGATGCTAGTGTCGAGAGCAAACACACGACCACGTAGTCTGCGCCGGTCAGCGTTATGCCTTGCGTGGCTGCGAGGAACACGACTACGATGGGGAAGTAGATGGCCGTTCCATCCATGTTGATCAGACAGCCCAAAGGTACGGCAAACTCCGTTACGGTGAGAGGAACTCCCCGAGCCAATACGCAGCGGATGGTAACCGGGAGAGTAGCTGCAGAGCTAGCAGTACCCCACGCGGTGATCCAGGCCGGCGAGTTCTTGAGCCAGAAGGTATACGGGTTGCGACGCGTGACGGCGAAGAAGATGATGGGTATGATAATGAAGAGGTGGATTGCCATTCCGCAAAGCGTTCCTCCGATCAGGATGCCCAGGTTCTCGCCAATCTCTTTGATGTCGAGCTTGAAGAGGTTGGGCATGATAAGGAAAAAGACGCCGATGGGCGCGAGCTTAATCAAGATGCCGATGATCTTGATAACAATCTGCTCGACCTCTTCCACAGCTCTCAGCAGTGCGGAGCCGGGACGGATGCAATAACCCACGACGATGCTCGTGATGAGGACCGAGAGCAGCGCATCCGTCGCCAGCGCATCGACGATATTCTGGGGGATGAGCGAGTAGAACATGTCGACAACGACTTCGTGGACGGTGAAGGCCTCACGCTCGTCGACGGTCTCCTGGTCTTCTTCGGAAAGTGCAAGCGCGTCGCCGGACACGGTGTCCATTTGCTTGGACCAGACGAGGCCGACGAGGAGTGCGGAGTGCATGACGGCGATAAGAGTCGTGACGACGTAGTATCCAATGGTCCACCGAGCGAGAGGACCAGCGCCACCAGAGGACATGTTGCGCAGGCGCTGCACGGCGAGGATCATAGCCGTCACGATCATAGGGAGAACTACACTCGTCAGCGACGGCAAGGGTTGAAGGCTATTGTTGACTCACCGACAGCCCTCAACGCGCGCAGCCAGAGGTCACCGGGGATGGCAAGGAGAGCAATAGCAGCCTCAGGTACTTCCTCGACAGAAGTCGTCACAGCCAGGCCGATGATGATGGCGAGCAGCGCCGCGATGATGATCTGCCATACCGAGCCAGGCTCTTTGACGCGCTGCCACAGCGTCTTCTTCTCCGTTTGGCCTTGCTCCACAGCGTTTTGCGGGGAGATGGGAGAGCTCTCGCGAGCGTCCTGCTTGATCGTCTTCTCTTCCATTGTGCCGGGTTTGTGTTCCCAGGATAAATGCGTCCCGGCGCTCAACAGGGCATGCCCTCCATCTTATACTGGGCCCAGCAGCCAGGCCCAAGAGATAAGAATGCGACCACCAGCTCGCCGCCCAGCTGCCTCAGCCCATTACTCTATCTTGAACGAGAAGGACATGGCACAGGAATTCTCAGCATTCGGCATCTTCTCCAAGACAGGAAGGTGATATGGAGACGAGGTCGTGTGCCGGTCTTCCGTGGTGTGCTTGTGGTGTGCTTGGTATGAAGTCTTGGAAATCCAATGTATACACTAGAACAGCCTTGATTGGGCGGGCTAGAATGCGGCGACTTGGCTTTGTTGGCGGGCGGAGCGGAGCGCGAGTCGTTCCACTTTCCAAGAACAATACGGGCTTGGCTAGAAACGCAAAGGCGGGGATGCGCTCTGGGCTGTCGCGCTCTCCGGACTCCACCTGCGTATGCTAAGTGATAACGTCGCAGCGCTCAAGAATGCCTACGCCATGCGGATCTTCCTCCTGCTGTCGCTCCCCAACCGAAGACCAGGATTGTGGAGCCCGACGCTACCCGCCATTGTTCGCCTAGAAGATACTGGGACCTTTGCCACGCTCCAAGACCGGGAAATTATGGCATATGGAACCTGACGGGGACCTCGAGGGACCAGGGGCTCCACACAAAAGGGCTGCGTCGGATGCGCGCTTTGCTATCGCTGTTCGCCAACATGATTCCCCAAAAAATTGGGGCCGATACGATACGAGCAAGATAAAGATCGCGCCCGCTGTGTTGGATAGATGCCGTGGTGGACTCGAAGAGCAGCCCAAAGAGCAGACTTTTCCAAGGTTTCCAAGTTTAAGTATTGCGCTAAGCTTAATTCGGAACACCTACCAAACCCCGCGTACATGCCAGAACTGTGTCTAACACGTGCCAGATGTCCACTGGAAAGCGTTCAAGATAATATGTAACACCGGAGTCTTTATAGCACTAAGCTCTTCATCCGGTACCTTCAAGGTGCTCTGAATGCACATTGTGCATGATCGCCGATCTAGGATCCACAATGTAGAGTTCTCACTGCCTGGTAGGTCCGTAGAGGCAGCATTGTGCTAGTATGCTACAGCATAAGAACGTTAGTATTCCTCCCTTATATTTAGCTCCCTTCAGGCCAACCGAAACTCGCGCCGTTCCGCACCAATACCTCCGTCAACAACTCTGCAGGGCACTCCTGTAAACCCTAACCCACCTCGAAAGTTCGTAACTGCCCGCTCTCTTCGCCCACAATGTGCAAATTCATCCGCATAGCCTACCAATGCGGCCACGGAAAACTCCTCACCACGCCCTCTGGCACTGCGCTCTGCTCCACCGCGCGAATGTTCGCATGCCGCCAAGGCATCGACATGGCGCCTCCGAGCTGCTTTCCCCTCCCCGCACGAGACGTCGACGATGAGGACATTATTTTCTTACACAACTGGGATCTAGGGTACTGCGGTGACTGTCGGGTCCGACGTGGCCTTCTGGGGCTCACTGGTGGTGCAGACGAGTCTACCGAATCAGAGTACTCGGACGAGCACTGGGATCAGCTTAGTGCGTATGAAGTGCAGCTGGAGGAGGAGCTAGAGCATGGAATGCTCATCTGCGAGGATTTTGAGCGGAATGCATATATGCGGGGTAGAGTGCCGTATCTGGAGCATGAATGGCTGCGACAGGTGTTGCGGCCGGACGGTCCGGAGAAGTATGGGTATCTCTTCCTGAAGGACTTCCCCGAATGCCTACAGTGGCTCCCACATCTTCGCACTTATATCACGCAAAATGTGCCGGTGGAGACGTATCGGCGGGTGCTGGAGTTCTTCCTCGAGAAGAGCAATAATGCGCTAGAAAAGCTCGGAATTTTCCGAACTATTGTTGACCTGTTGGTCGACTTCGAGCCAGAGACTGGATTCTACCAGGAGATCATCAGCCACAATGCTGACCAGCTACAAGAGTTAGTGCAAGGTAAGCCGGATGGAGTACCGGAGGGCTTTGAATATCTCAAAAAAGGCTTTAGGATGCCGCCCGGGTTTAGAAGGCCGCGACCTAGGTCGCTGCCTAGCCGTGGCTATGAGTTCAGTCACTTCAGCGTGCCTGATTCGCCTACGGATTCCCTGGTATCCGAGCACTCTGAAGTGGAAGAGCGTAAGGAGGGCGTGTATGAGTTGAGCCACTTCAGGGTTCCGACCTCGCCCACGGGTTCCACGGTGTCGGGGAGTTCTCAGACGGATCAAAATGTGTTTATACCTTCTTCTCTGCCTCTGCATAGGCGCAAGGAGCGCCCGGCGCCTATCCTCATCCTCCCGCCACCACCGTGCGAGAATCTGCCGGACGCCGAACATATTCCCATTCCGGACGTACCTGCTGAGCAGGTAGTCGAGACGGGATCTCTAGAACCGCTCGAGTCTGAGCAATCGCATATCCGTAGCGCGAGGATGCAAGCGGTCCCGCTCGCTCCAGCGCGCATGGCTCCACCGTCGCCACAGCCGCCCATAACGGTTAGTATCTTTCCCTGTCTTCCATGCTAGGCATGATGTCGATGACTCCGGGTGCCCTGGAGGCATCTGTAACTCACAGGGCGGTGCGCTGATTTGCAGTTTTTCTTGTCGCCCTCAATACGTTTTCCAGTTGTTGTCTCAAGTATTGTGCTCGATGAGCGACCCCGGCGGTCGATCCACCCCTAATATCATAACATCACACTGCAATCCAGATCCTTGCCAATGTTATCCGCAGCCGGTTGAACTCTGAGTTCATGGGCCCCCAACCGTAGTTGTAGTTAAACTAACCGCAAGCGTCCTCTTTGAGCTAAAGAATATCCGTCTCGTATTAGACTACGAGATTTCTGAAATCGAGTCCGCGGACGTCGTAGATCCATTCCCCGTGGTATCAAACTCTTTCTCGCAGTTGACGCAAATTGCTTACCGCCTTCCACAGTAGTCCGCTCGTTTGCGCTTCAACCCAGGTTCAACTCGCTTTTTTTGCGCTGGCCTTCTTCTCTTCCCCTTGGCCTGCGGTCTTGCTGATATCATCGACTGTATCAGAGCCCTCTGCGACCGTGCTTAGATTCTCGGAACTGATTAATAGCTCGTCACACGCTACAAGAAGCGCGCTGGGAACCTTCGCGCATAGTTTCGCCAGTGTGAGACGAAGACGGTGCTCATTCGCTGAAGTGATAGCTCCAAGAAGAGATCGGAGAGGAAGAGCCCATGCCGTTGGGTCAGTGTCGCGGTGATGCAGAGATTAAGACGACGTGAACGGCGACGCGTTTCGACTTTGGGTAGTCCGTGCGCATGTTTAGCGCGAACATTGTGGAGAAATCAACTGCGTACCAGCGAGACCTGCGACCGTGATTTGTTCGAACAACGCCTGCTACACAAAGTCAACGGATCCAGAGGTGCGAGAGCAATCTCCTGTCCGTTGAGTTGTAATGACGAAAGCTCGTAGACCATTCAACGTAGTAGGTTCGCATCCTCCAGAGCCCAAATATACAGTGATGGATTCCTCAAAGCGTCTATAACCATGCCCTACTGTACAGCATATTTTGCACAGAAATTCGACCAATGCTCCGGCACGTCATCGCCGAAAGCTGAAGCACCAATTCCTTCTATCACTCTTATGGCCTCATCACTCGCAGTCCGTCTTTCGAGGGTGCCGCCGTGCGCTTGAACGACTGTCATTCATCAGCATACAACCTTCCTCCACAGTGTAGGGTTACTGACATTATCGCATTCTTCCCAAGCACGTCCAGCCCCGAACCCGAGACCAACCCAGGCCGGCCATGCGCGTCGTTTGAACAGAAGGACGGAGAAGACAACGCCGAAAGATACGCCGAGGCCGGAACGGATGAGCATCGAGGAGAGGCAGCGATCCCACTGTGAAATGTATGTTAGCATTTGAAGAGCCGAAAACACAGCTGAAGCCTATCCGGCAGGGGCAACCGAGGTCGAAGAGGGCAGTCGCGTGAGCCGGCTGGAGCAGCAATTGAGCGGCAAAGCTCCATCAATGCAGACATGCAGCTCAGGAACCCGTCTCCGAAGCGCATGCCAATAGTTTGGCCGGCGATAGGTCCGAGGACAGTACCTTCTCGTTGAGCAGAGCTTCGCTCATGGGGCGGGTTGTTCGCGGCACCGGCGCTGTGGGCTTGGGGGACTCGTCGGCCATGTCGAAGCGATATGCGATCAATTGAGCTATTGGGAGTCGGTATTGACCGCGAGCGGCGAGATGGGGCGGGATTGGGGGTGGTACTTGATGTGCCTCTGGCGATGCGGAGGCGGAAGAGCTTCGGAGTTGCGCACGCTAAAATGCTTATGTCATCCAAACTTTTTTCGACCTCGAACGCTCCCCGCTGTCGCTCGCCTTCGCGCTGACCACGAGCGGACGACAACATGGCGACCATGATCCAGGTATATAGAACGCGTCCAGAGCTTGCAAAACGAAGCTAACCAGGATGCTAGCCCCCAGAGACAGTCCCGGCGCCTACTCGCCCACGACTGCAAGCCATCAACCAGGACTTTAGCGACATAAACGAGCAAATCCACCGGGCTGCACGCATAATAGGCCTTCCCGATGACTGGGAGACGCTACGAGGTGATAGCCGCTTGGCTGTCATTCAGAGCCTTGTTCGTGCACGAGCAGAATGGGTTCTGCGATGGCTCCTGGACAAGCTCAAGAATACAGAGGATGTTGGCGCCCAGGCGAGAGCGAATGTGAAGACATGGAGGCTCACAGACTGGATGATTCATGTTCTCCCGGTATCCCGCTGCGCACCATATCTCCGAGATGCCGACTTTCTCACAATCTTCGAGAAAACGCTGGAAGAGAGTTTTGGCACCGATGCCACCATCCAGCCTGTACCTGTTCCACATGATAGACACCCCCGAGATGTGTCTGACTCGAGCGAGACCGTATATGAGGATCCACAACCCTCGCGGAAACGGAAGCGAGGCTCCTCGGGCACAAGCACTCCTTCAAAGAGGGCGGCCGGGGAAGAGCCTCCTCAGGCGGAACTCTTCGAAGCGGCCACCGCGGTAGTCAGGTCTGTAAGAGATAGGGCCAGCTCGCATGAGTCGGGCGAGAAAGCCGTCCAGGGAGAACATATGAAAATGGTTTTGAAGACGGAGACTGCCCAAGTAGCAAGGATTCTCAAGTACTGGCTAAATGCTACGCAAAAGCTTGTGCAAGTGCTAGCAGGCCAGATTGGATCTAATTCTGCGGGCTTTTTAGATCTGACACCGGTCATGGACATTTGGGACTTGCGCTCCATCGACAAGGACGGTTCGGGACCATCTACAGAACAGTTCTCGACGGAATGCTTGATCCCAGCATTAATACTATCGGAAACGCTTCGAGCATTCGCTCTTGAACAACAGAACACACCTGAGTCCCTTCAGTATGCGAGCCAGGCTCTCGACAGATTATTCGCAAGGCATATACTTGCACCATCAAGAGCTGCTTTCTTCAATGACGCAAGTACAGAAACTGCTAAAGAGGGTGGAGCAAAACGATTCAAAGCGGAGCTGCTCTCAACCAACCTTGCACCGCTCCGTGCGAAACTTTTACAAGCCGCCCAGATCGAGGATGCCGGTCAGCCTATGCCGACATATTTCAATCCGCTTTTTGCCGCTATCCCGCAATTACTCGATCTAGCAATTCGATCATCGCCGGCGCGCACTCCCAGGAGCAGGATCGCGGAGAAGCCATGGATACAGGCCGTGTTTGTTGCGCTCGTCGAGTGCGCGGGCTGCTCGCTTGAGCCGCCAGAATTCGTGACACCTAGAGCGTCCATCGTCGTGGTTGAAAGATCGCTCCAGGTTCTTGCTTCTCACGACATCAGTATCGACTCTGAAATAATAAAAGACCTTCTCTGGTTCCATTCCGGCCTCGAATTTCCGCTCAAGCAGAAACGTGTCGTTCACTGGTCGCTCGTTGCGGCCTTAATCGACCTTGACGCTGGAATTTTCGTACCGGACAGTAGATCCTCACCGTCTACCTCCGGCGGCAGGCCCAACGATCTAGCCGAGTTCCTCTTTGAGCAGATTTCGGCAACTACATTCAACGACGGCAATCGTATGGATGACGACAAAATGGTCGTTGACGGCCCTAAAGATCGACCGACCTTGGCCGAGACTCATGGGAAGGAAGAGCATTTTGGACGAGAGGCAGTAGCTGGGAAGATCGTCATTCCAATCATGTCTGCGTTCGCGCGAAACCGGAATCTCACTGGATTCCTCGGGAAATGGGATACCCAGCTGTGCAAGATTGCACAGGACGACCGCCGTCCACTGAAAGAACTAACACCACCAATTTGGCAAGACCGCGGCCTCGCTAATGCTTTGGCTGGCTTTTTTGAGCAGTCTTTGACGCCAACGCAGATTTCAAAGCTCTTTCGCGAGCACAGCAAGCGGCTCGAACCTGAAATACAAGCGGACGAGCAAGAGTCGGCAGCACCCGATTTCTCCGCGGAGGCTTTCAGTAGCGCTGTTCTTATACAAGCTATGCTGGGATCAGTCAGGGCGGACGAAACGATTGAAGCAGTCCACGCCGAACTTCTATCTCTATGGAAATCGTACGCTCTGCGGGTCCAATATGAGCACCGCGGTTCAGCGTCTAGTCTTGGGCTATCATGGATGACCCTAAGCCAGCTTCTAATCGCCCTTTGGCCAACTCACTTTCACGGGTCCTCCTCTTCCCAACAAGAGCTTCTCTATCCGCTTATTGACCAGGCGTCCAGAGACGTTGTCGGAGGTCGAAAGGACCAGACCGAAGTTTCTGTTGATTCGTACAGTCGTTCCACCGCCTTGGCATTTATGTTCACTGCTTGTGACTGTCTGCGGGCTCTTCCCGATACCAAGGAACTGATCCGCAAGAAGTTGCGCAAGGCTCTCAAATCCCTCTCACCAGGCCAGCTCAGGGATACTGAGCTCATCAAAATGACCGAGATCTTCTGCGCCGAATATGCGCAGCTCCTAGAATGCTTCGAGCGAGATGCTTGCCAAGCGTCATTATCTGGCCTTCTCTCGAGTATATCCAAGTTCGATAACGGTTTCTCGGAGCAGACCAGCCAGGCTCTGTCTCAGTGCGTGTTTGCATACGGAAGTGTTTCTCTTCAGGCCTCCTATATGACAGCACTTCTGAAGGCTCTTACGCAGGATGACAAGCGACTGCGTACACTTGTAATCGACGCTTTCCTCCAACTCACACCTTCGTCGATATCCCGGGAACTACGAGAAGCTGCTTTAGACAAGATCACAGACATGCTAGCCTCGGGACCTGAAGACGTCAACGCCCTCCTCAGTATCATGGTCCATCTCATGGAAGTGCCCAACGCGACAGCCAAGGTTTCTTCGGAAGGCTCTATTCTATTTGACGTGGCTCAAAGACTGCACGACGGCCAGCTTGAAACACCTTCCTCGTTATCGCTCCTCCTGAATCTGGCTCGACTTACGCTTCGGCATATCATTCCGAACAAGGACCAGGAACAGAACAAGCGGTTTCTGGAGACATACGGAAGCAAAATCGTGTCGGTTACCAAGAAGACGCGCAGGTGCTTCCCGGCCAGGCTCGCTGTCCTTAGAGGCACACTCCTCGCCACACACAAGGAGGGCATGCTGCTCACGGCTGGTCAGTTTGTGTCCTTGTTAGTTGCTTGCCTGGAGGAAGAGACCGCGTCGCACGAACACATCCTAGAAGCTTTCAACGATATTCCCTTTCAGACTTTACGCAGTCATGAAGACATTTTCCAGAACGCTCAGGCCTCGCTCCGGGCGTGGATTGAATCCAGAGAACCTCTGCGGCATCTTCTAAGCACACCCTGCGATGCCACCCTCCCCGCCGTCCCATCAACGCTCTGGCCCTGCCTTCATACCACTCTTGCGAGGTATCGACTCTATCCCGACACGAAACAGTTCATACATTTTTCTGTGAGCCTACTCCACGAGCCCCTCACTGCCAAAGATAAGGTCGCCATCCTCAATGCCGTGAGAGAGGTATTGCTTCCTCTTCCTCATCTGGAGAAGCTAGCTCTAGCGACCGTATGCACCCAGAGCGGCCCTGGTAGTGATCCAGCATCTCCGTATCGTATACTGGCTACTATTTTGGCAACCTTTGAAGACAAGCAAGGCGATGATGCAACCATCAGAGAGCAACAACTTGCGCTGCTCCCCAAAGTATGCACTCTCCTAGGCAAGAGTCCAAATCACGCAGCTTGCAACGCATTGCTCGACGGCGTCAATACGATCATCCGAGACAAACCCTCTCTCACAACACAGTACAGCATCGAGTGCGTGCTCACAGTCCTGGTCAAGCTCGTCTCACGGCACAGTTCTCGCCTATCCACGGAACATGCGCCAACCATCTTTGGACGCCTCTGTGAAACGAGCCGCATGCTTCTCCTTCTCCATCGCGGACGACTAGGTGGCCGCTTTCACCTCCTTCTCCCGCTCCTGCAGAATCTCCTCTTCTGCCTCTTCATCCCGAACGCAGGTCGACACGCCGCCCTGCCGCCGTGGCTCCAATCCACCAGACTTACTCCCGCAAACGCATCCCAATACACGCGCGTCCTGAGCACGCTCTGCTCGCCCACCCAGTCGTCTGTCCAGCGACCATCGCACCATTCTCGCTCCGCCGGCTCGAAGAAAGAACTCAACGACCCTGTCAAGGCGGCGCGCGAATACGCCTCGCAGTACGTATATCCGCTTCTAAGCTCCTTCTGCCGCTTCCAGTTGAACGGCAGGCTAGACCCACAGGTCAGGGAGAAGTTGATGCCGGGGATCCGGGAGGTTGTGGGTGTTGGGGCGATGGATAGAGCGGGCTTGGATGCGATGTTTGCGGGGCTGGATACTAGCACGAGGGATGTTTGGAGAGGGCTCTGGGCGGAGTGGCTGAGGGCGAATGGGAGAAGGGAGCCTGGGAGAGACGGCGCGTGATTGTGAGTTGGCGTGCCGGGCGTTCTCAACAGGACCCTGTAGGTCTCGGGCAATGGAGCTCGACAGATTCCGGCATTGCGGCGAACACGAAGGTAGCCCCGTTTCACTAGCTTTTAGTAAAGATTTGTCCATTTCCAAGATCAAAATCATCGGTCTTCTGCGAACTAGGTCTTCTATCGCCATTCGGAATATCGATGGAGACGCTTGCTCCGACTTGCAATGCTGTATGAACCGCTCTACGATTGCTTATCTGCCTAATCTATTTATTTCTATCTCAGCTTCCTGTGGCTACGAAACCCTAAGCCTAGCTTCCTCGATAGTTAGAACATGAATGCTTGCGCTTCTTCGCCTCGTGGACTTGCTTGAGAGGACACCCTGGAGGCTTCCAATCATTGTCAGCATCGTTTGATCATGGGACAGACGGACCCAGAGGGTGCGCAAGCGGCAAGGGACAATGCCGGATCAGGAGTTCCTAGCAAGGACAGTGGCTCTGCTTAGAAGAGAGCCTCTCTTTTCGTCCAGCCTGTACAAAGCAGTCTCTCCAGCTCACCCGGCTGGCTGAATAAGACTGGTTCTCCAATGGAGAGGACTGCATCTGCGGGAACGCTCATGCTGGCAAGGCTTGATCGGGTGCAACGGGTATTGCAACTCGCGTACATGACTGCCTCATCGGGAGCACGAGGCCGATGGGTAAGTGCTGGTAACGGCGGTGCCTGGAATCCGTGGACCGTGAAATGGACACGGGCGTGTCTAGCTATGGCGCACGTCGTGAATCATTTCGCACCGCTGTAGAAGGTCCCATAGACTTGCATGGCACCCTCCACGCTCTGTATCAGCCCAAACAGCAGCGTCAAGCCAAGCACGGTTATCGCCACCCAGAACGTGTACCACTGCACGCCGTTCCGCCTGTCGTGCCACCATTGAGACATGTTCTGTGGTGTCGCCTCATCGAACACCTGCTTCAACACTACCAGGCGATCATGCCAGTATGTGAAGTTTTCGATTTGCCGGTCGTCAGTCTTCAGGTGTCCGCACAGCAGCAATTGAGGGTCGAGGGAAAGCATCGGGATCACTCGGCGCAGCCATTTCCTCGTCGGGGTATCGGTTTGGGGAAAGAGGAGCGCGAGCGTGCGGAGGGTTTCTTCGGCGAGGTCGGCAGGCAAGATGGAGCTGCTGTTGTCAGTCTGGAGCTCCCAAACGCTAATTGTCCGGGAGCGCTCATACCTGGCAGACTGGCACTTGAGAACGGACGCATGGTGAAATATGTACAGCTTCGTGTCGTCGTCCGTCAGACGCAGGTGGTCCGCAAGGTTGTCCGTGGGAATAATGTCTACCCCCGCGATCCTTTGCAGGTTGAGCGCGTTGAAGACTCGCTGCAGCTTGACGCCTTGATGGCCCAGGACCGGCGCTTCACAGAAGTGGCGCTCGAGGCAGTCTTTGAGGGGCCCCTTGGTCCAGTTCAGCCGGAGCCTGCCGGAGAAGCCGTAGTGCAGATGGCCGAAGTCGATCATCAGCAGAAGGCCGGCGGCGAGGTCAATTGAGCAGTCGAGGAGCTCGTCCTCGTTCGGGTATACGTTGGTCAGCTTCCAGCGCAGGAAATCGCGGATCTCATCGCGCGACCGCTGCTTCTTCAGGAGGGCGACGATGTCGAGGATGTCCTGATGGGTCCGCACGAAGACGTGCCGCCCGCCGTCGTGGAGCGCGTGCTCGCATTCTTTGGTGTAGAATTCCCAGAATTGCTCGAGCTGGCAGTCGTCGCAGCTGCGCGAGAGCCGGGCGGGGATGGGGCCCCAGAAGGCGTCGATGACGGCGGATTTGGTGGAGGCGGACAGCGGCTCGAGGAGGGAGGCGGCGACGGAAGCCATTCGGAAGCGCACCAGCCACAGAGGGGAAGTGATGAAGACGGCGTGGGGCAGCGGATGGCTTTCAACTCAACACCATTCGGTCGCTCCCACGAAACTCATCACGGCGCATCCTCCGCTTATATCCATCACTTCCATCACTCCATCGGCATCGTCATCGTTTCCTTGGCTCTGCATGCTCGTGGGCGCAGCCGCCTGACTGACGCGTCGCGCAGCTCAGCCGCACCGCCACAGAATGCATGATCAAAATGAAAACCGCAGCGCCGCCATCGTCGGCACTTTGCTGTTCCCAAGTATCGACATCATCACCGGCTCCATGGCTTTCTCGCAGTAGACTCCGGTATTGATGTCTTCCTTGCTTGCGCTTTCCCGACCAATCCCAGCCATGAATGCCCTCGCCAGAATACGACGCAGCCGGACCTCCCGCAGCACGATTGAGAGGAACAGCTCCTCCAAAGCATCCTGGCCAGACCCTCAAGACTCAATCGGACGCTTCATCACCAAAATCGGAGCCCAGAGCTGCTGGGAAGCTGTGGGCCCGGCGCGGTCCGCCTTCCAGTGCGTTGGCAGAGCGATGAAGGACTATCTCAACGATTTCAGCGAGCCGCTCCCCAGGTGGGTAACGTGGTCTATCTACATGGTCGGGACTGCACCGGAGACAGCGGTGCCTACAATTGTCTTTTGCTGCGAGGAGGTGGCTCATCGCAAAGCCGTGCGGAACACCATTAGGGACAGCAACATCCTCGCCGATTATCCCGGTATCGCGCTCAAACACCTTCCGCGTGCCCCAGACTACAACCAACTCGTTCAGCTAGCATCGCAGAGCGAAGGTGCGGCTGTACCGAATCCCGAAATGTTAGCCTCGGAGCCGGTGGTATACTGCACTGCGAAACGCATCACGCCAGGCACAGAGCTGTTCATTCAAACCTCGGGGCCCACCAGTTCCATACAGAAAGCGACGGCTGGTGGCCTTCTTCGTATTGGTGGCAAGCATTACCTTATGACCGCTGCTCACGCATTCGCAGCAGGGTCAGCTGCCACCACTGCTATTGACGACGAGGAGCTCTACTTTACCGACGGCAGCGACGACGATTATGATGTGGAAATGACGAGCAGGGGCAGTTGCACTCCGGAGCCGTCGGATGCGGGGAGTAAAGCTTCTAGGTCCATACGCTCTAGCAGGTCCTCAAGCACAAGTTCGACGAGCGACCATGCGTCTGCCACGATGCTTGAGGGGACAAACTATGCTTCTAGCACCCAATGCGAGGTTGCGTCTTCCGATGAGTATAAGCCGCCATCTTCCGCTCTACCTGCGACTGCGTCACCGATCGGTAAACTCGTCCTCACATCCAGCGATGGGCCACGACCGGAGCTGGACTACGCGCTAATCGAGGTAACGGACTGCAATCTTCTAGATGACGGCCACATTTCACTTCCTGGATCCTACCTGGCTGCCTTAGGGCGCTTCTCAAGAAATCTTCCCAGTTCAGTGGACTCGGAGCTCGTCTCATTCACCGCATCGGGCGGCTTCATGGCCTGCTCCAAACTTGGAACCCCGGTATATGTGCGACCGCCATGTATCTCGAGGTACCAGGAGGTATCTTCTGTTCGATTTTTCGGTCGACCCCTCGCCAAAGGCGATTGCGGATCTTGGGTGATTGATCCCAGGACCGGTGTGCTCCACGGTCATATCATTGCAGGCTCCCCAGAAGTAGGCTCCGCCTATATAGTTCCAGCAGACCAGGTTTTTGAAGACATCCGGCAGCGCTTACATCATGAGCCCACCGTATGCCTAGGAAAAGATCAATGCCAGGCCGGTTCGGCGGACCTGTCTGCGCCCGTCGTCGGCACTAGGAGTCTCAAATCCGAGAATAAAACTCCACGAGTAGAAGGGCTCAACAACGAAAAAGAGCGGCACAATGCGCCGATCGATAGTGGACCGCCCAAGCTTGTCAACGCTACGACCCCGCCTCGACGGATGTCACCGATTACGCCCACGCAGGACCATTCAGCCGAAGCCACTTTAGCACAAGAAATGACTGAACGGTTCCGGCAGGTCCTCAGTCTGAAGCGCATGAACGATCTGTCGGCGTCAAGAGTCCATGCCCCAGTCTCGAGTTCTCCAAGAGAACGCACCCAGATACAACCAACTGCGAAGCCCGACGCCCCCCCTTCTTATTCATCCCTGCGCAATATTCCTCTTGTGCCAACTCCGCCACAGGATGCCCGTTCTCGGAGGTTTCGCAACATGCTTCATCGTCTCTCTAACATACCGCTCAGATGGGAAAACCCCGGGCTATTAGATGAGGCTTTGCAGGCGGTCCCTCTGGAACAGATATACAACGAGGCCGAAGATGAGTCCGAAAGACTGCGCGCTGAAGCAGAGAGCCTAGGGCGGAATAAGAAACCAGCCTGGGGCTACCAAGATTGCGTTGTCCGAGCACTGCTTCGCTGGTTTAAGAGGACTTTCTTCACTTGGGTGAATAATCCCGCCTGTCAGAGGTGCTATTCGCCTACCGTCCCCGTGGGCTTAGCGGAACCTACTCCGGAAGAATTCGCATTTGGTGCGCAGCAAGTGGAGCTTTACAAATGCTCCCACGAAGCCTGCGGCAACTATGAACGATTCCCGCGTTACAACGATGCTTTCGTCCTTCTTCAAAGACGGTGCGGGCGGAATGGAGAATGGGCGAATTGCTTTGGCATGCTCTGTCGCGCTATCGGGTGTAGGGTCCGATGGGTGTGGAACTCGGAGGATCATGTTTGGACGGAGGTGTACTCTACGCACCGGCGGCGTTGGGTTCAAGCTGACCCTTGCGAGGAAGCATGGGACAAGCCTCGGCTCTATACGGAAGGTACGTTGTCTCAACTCTATGCCATGATGCCTCTATTAACCAACTACTCAGGGTGGGGCAAGAAACTCGCCTACTGTATTGCCTTTTCGTCCGAAGGAGCCGTTGACGTAACTCGCCGCTACGTACGATCCTACCGACACGCACTCGATCGTACGCGTTGCAGTGAACCTGAACTCCTCTATATAATGGATGAGATCACGGCAATGCGGCGCGGAAAGCTGGAGGGAAGAGACAAGTTTCGGCTCGAGGGCGAGGTAATGAGGGAGCATCGGGAACTGTGGGGTTATGTAATAACTGGGATCGCCGCCGAGCTTTGCAGGCTGAGAGTAGAGACGCGCAGAGACGGAAGCCTCGCTATCGTTGGGGAAAGAGTTGGTGAAGGGCTCGATCCCAAGGTCTTGGAAGGTCTGGCTGAAACCGGTACGTAGACCTTGCCGTATGTCCCTGGCATATTTACTAATAATGGTTGTACAGGTGCTTCACAGTGGGTTCCAGCTCGGGGAGAGGATCAGGCTCGTTGATCTGGAGGAATTATGGGGAAGACTGTCTACGGTGTTTCTATTACTGAAGATCGAAAAAGACACAGAATGCCTACCTCCACAGAGTCTGGTGGACAGAAATCCACATCCGTGAGCACTTGGATGTCTTTCGCATCCGGCGAATTAACCTGTCGTATCATAGCTTCGTGCTCCCGCAGGTGGAATTCCACATTCTGTCTTTGCTATCAGAACCTACGAAGATGCTGGATTATCATCACTATACACCGAGCAAGCCATTCCACCACGTCAATGCCACTACGCGACTATAATTCGACTACTTGAAAGACCTATAAAGACGTTCCGTGAAATACAAAGTGTCTGTACTTTTAACCCCGGCCGCCTTCCGAAGCTCGGCCTATCGGCTGTAACGCCCCGAACCATCTCCGCCCCACCAACGGCATCCGCGGGGTTCGTCATCAACTGCTCATCAAGCCTTCAGCATCATGTCGAGCAAAATACCAGGGAGCTTTCTACGCACCTCCCTGAAAACGTCAGCACACTGTTCGCCGCGCATGTCCTATCCGGGATGAGCGCATCCCGCCCGTCTCCGCGACCCTGCAATCGAGGTGCTACAGCGGAAAGAGACTGAATGATAGGCTACAGGCAGCATTTATCATCGTCCTAATGGACAATGAGGCTCTTATGACTTCATCGTTGAGCGTAGTGCTGGGGTATATGGGAGAATATAAGGAGAGGAGACGCCGAGGAGAATGGCAAGCTCTGAAGCAGCAACCCATTGCGTCTCAAATCTTAAGCCATGACTTCGGTATGTATGCAATTATGGGAAGATTTAAGCTGTGTGGCTAATGAAAGTAGCTACGCAATCAGGATCAAGCCGCGGCCGTCTACACCCTTGCCGAAGGTACGCTACGCTGTTGTCGGGCTTGAGCGTTGGGTAACGGAGTTGTGAATAGGACGCCCAGTCCAGGATCCAACTACATCCACGGTCCTTCGGGGACCTACGGTGCGCGGTGGTGGCCTTGCGCTTCTGGAAGATACGCAGTTGATCGAGACGCTTGCCCACTTTCCGCGAGAACGGATTCCCGAACGGCGAGTAGTACAGTCCAACGTGTTTATTACGTACTAACACATCGAAGCGTAGTGCACGCCAAAGCCGCAGGCGCGTGGGCCGAATTTGAATGCACGAAAGACATCACCGACATCACTTCAGCCAACATTTTCTCGGAAGTCGGCAAAAAGACCAAAGTCCTGATGCGCATCTCCACAGTCGCGGGAGAGAAAGGATCCCCTGATACAGTGCGCGACATTCGCGGCTGGGCTATGAAGTTCTTCACTGACGAGGGCAACTACGACATCGTCGGCAACGATCTGCCCGTCTTCTTCATCCGCGATCCAATCAAGTTCCCCTCGCTGAACAGGAGCCACAAGCGCCATCCGCAGACCAATGTTGCGGACGCCTCCATGTTCTGGGATTTCCACAACAGCAATCAAGAAGGCGTGCATTGCCTCATGCAGCTCTTTGGCCAGCGCGGTGTTCCCGCTTCCCTCCGCCACATCAACGGATATGGTGTCCATACCTTCAAATTTGGCAATCCCGAGGACGGCACCTTTAAATACGTCAAGATCCACTTCAAGCCCGATGCCGGCGTTGAGAACCTCACTGACGAAGAGAGTGTGCGCTTAGCGGGCGAAGAACCCGACTTCCACGTCAAGGATCTCTACAACGCCATCGAGAAGGGCGACTACCCTACCTGGACGATGTATCTCCAGATCATGGATCCGAAGGAAGCTGAGAACTACCGCTGGAATATCTTCGATGCGACGAAGATCTGGCCGCACAAGGACTATCCGCTCGTTCCGGTCGGCAAGCTCACGCTGAACAAGAATCCCGATAACTACTTTCAGGACATTGAGCAAGCTGCATTTTCGCCATCGACTATGATTCCTGGCATTGGGCCGTCCGCGGACATCATGCTCCAGGCGAGGATGTTCAGCTACCCCGATGCTGCGCGGTATCGTGTCGGACCGAACTACCAGCAGATTCCGTGCAATAAGGCCAAGTATGTGTACTCACCGTATCAGCGTGATGGACCGGGGTGCATCAACGGGAACTATGGCAGCGATCCGGACTACGGTGCGCAACTTCCTCTCCCCTCCACCGTCCAGAAGCTGACGCAGATGTAGTCCGCTCCTCCTTCCGCAAGATCAAGTCAGGCCCCGCAGATGTCGCGCACGACGAATGGGTCGGCAGAGTCTCCGCCTACTCCTCAGAGGTCACGGACGAAGACTTCGAGCAAGCGCGCGACCTGTGGAAGATCTACCTTGATACGAAAGACGATGAGAACTTCATCAACAACCTGTGTGGGCATCTGAGCAAGGCACTGCCGGAGGTGCAGAAGGAAGCCGTCAAGATGTTTGCGAAAGTGGACGAAGAGATCGGAAAGAGAATGGAGAAGAGGCTGGATGAGCTGAGCCATATTGGTCCGGATCACGTGAAAGCGCCATATGGGTTTATGGCGGCGTACGGCGGCGGGTATTAGCGAGCTCTCTCGTCTCACTTACTGCGGCGTTGCTAGTTCCTTTTTCTTATCTCTCGTGCGAGTCCTCTAAACTTGCACCGTCATCTTTGTTCCTACGCATGGTTGGCCGTGCGGCGTCCAGTATCCCCTCTTTAATCTATTTAACCGAGACCTACCACCTCGCCTCTCCTTTCCTTTCCTTTCCTTCCCCACCCTTTGAAGTAAGTTCGTCAATTCGCTACAATGGGCCTCAAACTCCTCCCCGCCTCCTACTCCGACATGCCTGGACTCGTGCAAGTCCTCTACTCCGCGAACTCGGACCCGCACGACCCCTTCGTCGACCTGTGTCTCCCCGGCATCGGCGCATGGTCGACCTCCACCGTCGAGGAGGGCATGGAGGAAGTACGCAAGAATTATCTGGCTGACTGGCAGGCGAGCAAGACGCAGCACTGGATGAAGGTTGTGGATGAGGAGACTGGGCAGATCGTGAGGTATGTATCACGAGCTTAGATGATACTTGGAGAGGGGAGGGGCCTGCGATGGTAGGCTAACAGAGGCAGTGCGTCGAAGTGGGAGATCTTCGATCATAATCCGTACGCGGAGGGCTTGCCGCGTATCGACGCTACGTGGCTCCCCGCGGATACGAAATTGAGGAAGTACGCTGAGTGGTTGATCAACACGCGATATGGTCAGGCTGCGGCTCGTTGCCAGTGTCCTCATGTTTGTGCGTCCTTGAACCCCTTCCCCCTTTCCTTTGCTTTTTCCTCTTACTCACTTCGACAGGGCTTGATATCTGCATCACTCTGCCCGCGGCGCGCCGGCGTGGCGCAGCAAGCATGTCACTCCAATGGGGCGTCGACAAGGCTGACGAAATGGATGTTGAGGCTTTCATTGAGGCGACTGTGGAGGGCGCCCAATTGTATGAGAGGTTTGGGTTTCGCACGGTGGAGGTTGTGGACCTGAAGAGGGATGGCAAGGAGGTGGAAGGGGATGAGGAGTGGAAGAGTTTGGAGAGGGAGTACCCGCTGAAGTATCGGTGGATGGAGAGGGAGAAGAAGAGTGCGAGGTCATAATCTTCAACTATGCTTATATACAGTCGACGCGAACTCCGTTACCTACTCCGTCTTCGGTGCCTTCTCCTTCAGCGGCACCACCGTTCCCTTATCAAACGGGTCGAACGGCAGATCATCGTACTCGCTATACCCACCCTCCTCCGGCCTCGCAAACATCTCAAACCCCGGCGGTGGATTCGCCTGATGCTCGTAGTACCACTGATACGCAGCATCGAAATCGCGACACTTGTGGTCGAGATTGTAGTTGGGATGCGGCCAGTGTCGGCCCTTGACCCAGTTTGAGGGCACCACGTTGGCGTCTGCGTGGCACATGATTGCCGCGCGGAGAGTCTCGGCGCAGTGGTCTAGCGGCATGTAAGTGGGATGGATGGCCATGGGGATAGGGCGGTGTCGGGTGTACCTAGATGCTCATGCCACAGCTCTGGCTCCTCCTCTCTCATTTTCGCCTCCTCGGTGTACCACTCCGGATACGTTTGCTGCCAGAGCATATACACACAATGCAGCTGATGGTACCATTCGACATGCGCGATGTACCCGTCGCCTACTTCCTTCGGCACCTTCGCACTATATCGCGATCCATTGGTGCGGATTAGGTCTTCTTCCGAGAGCACGAGCGCGCCGAGATTGGTGTATTTTTGCCAGGCGGCGTCGACGGACGCCGAGGGCGGGCCGGCCCAGGGCGACGGCGAGATGGCGCTGAGATTGAAGCGGACGAGCTTGTAGTCGTCGGATACAGCTTCGAGGGCGGGCGCTGGCGGAAGGTTAGTCTGTGTCTACATATTTGGAAAGTTACTGACAGTATAATGAGTGCTTCTCCACGCAGCGCTCGTTACTTTGTGGATTCCGGTACATCATGCCGAAGACGAAGCTGTAGCAGATGAAGGCTATGATATGCAGCATCCACGGCGACCATAGCAGGCCTCTGCCCGAACCATTGCAATCTTCTTGGATTTGGACGTCGCTTGGTCTTCCTGAAAGCATCCCATCGCTCTCGGTTTCTTCCACCACCGGGAGGTACTGCGCTTTCTCCGAAGGACGGACTTTCCACATGTTGCTGCCCTTATCTCAGAATATCAAAAGAAAGGACCCGAAATAGATCGAAAGTACCCAAAGGCGACAACCCAACGAATGAAAAGAATGTCGCAGAAGCTGGAACTGGGCAGATTCCCCTTCACTGTCCTTCGGCTGACGACCCGATCTTACCAGCCGTTAAGCCATCCCGTCACGATAATGGCTCATCTGCAGGCTGTCACCTTATCCAACGCTGATATTCCCACCATATTATTCCAAAGGGCAGGATCGTGCAAGCGACCCGCTATATTGACGTTGCACGACGTAACAAGGTCGAATCGCGGTCCGATCAAGGCGTCCGATCCAGACGCTGGGTAATGTCTCCGGAGTTTCGTCGAGCCCATATGAGTATCTCTGCAGGGCTACCGCTATTCACTATTCATAGAGACTCTTATCAAATCGTCGATCGCAGTATCACCCTGTACACCAATCGGAGAATGCAGGCGCCAGCGTACGGGCCGCAGCCAATATGGGGTACGAGGCTTGCGTCAAGATGCAATATGGACGTTGATCTCGCCGCGCGCTCGGTTGTCGCTTGGCTGAGACGGACACCGCCGGAGAATCAGCCCTCGTACTGCTGGCGAATGACGAGTGGGGTTGAAATCCCTCTGCATGAGCAAAGTACCCGGTGAAGTACCGTGACGATTGCTTCCACGGCGCTGTCTTCATCCACAGTCAAGGGAGCGGGATTTCATCACATATCGAATATGATTCTATATCGCTCCGTTGAGTCACATCCAACCGACCCTGACTCCGGATGCGCTCCATGCCGTGCTAGCAAGCGGAGTACCCAGTAACAGCGACATTGCACGGCAGCCGGACGGCCGACATATATACCGATTCAGCTCCTCGCCACCCACCCCTTTGGAAACAAGAGATCCCCAACTTCCAGCGCCAAGGGTCATCATTTCTCAGTATCTCTTCGCCCTCCTCCCAGCCACCAGGTCCACGAAATCTGAGAATCTACCAAGATGCGCAGCCTCGTCGCTCTCGCCCTTGGACTGCTCGCCGCGGTGGCACAGGCTGCTCCGCTGGCTCAGAAGAACCGTAAGACGACACCCCCCTTCGAAGAGACGAAGCACTGACGCCCAGAAGAATTGGACACGGTCATTGGCTCGTACGCCGACGTAGAAGGCTCGCACAGTGCGTAGGCCGAGGAGTGACCCTATCCAGAGGAGTTAAAGCTGACTTGTTCCAGCACTCAACACCGTCATCAGCAACTACGCAGATGCTGAGCGCCGGAGCTTGACCACGAAGGATGAGCCCACCCCAGCAGAGCCGGAGAAAGTCTCGCCACCAGTTGGGAGTAAGTCCTGGCCACGCACTTTCTCTCAAAAGAATGCGGCTGATCTCTACAAAGCTCTTGATACTATCATTCATCATTATGCGGACGTAGAGGGCGACGTGCACTAAGGGTCGGGAGGGGCGAGGCATGAAGCATGTGAATTTTAGGGGGAGATAGGCCCACAGCAGGGGATCTGGGCGGGAGAGTCTCGGTTCCAATAGCGGCGGGGGATATGGAAGGTGATGGAGGTCGTGGTTAGGCAGTGAGAATCCGACCATGGTAGAACAGGGCAACGCCACATGATTCGCGAAAACAGTCCTTACTCCTGAATGCAATAAAACATTTACAAGCATAACCATCTCAACGCTAATCCTGCTGGCGTGATCTACCGCACCACAGTTGCAACATGTTGCGCGTCCTTCTCCTTCTAGAATCCTCAAACCCTCTTCATTCTAAGCCCGACTCAACTGGTGCTCAAGCTTCCATGCAGTGTCTGTGATAGAACGTGCTTATACGAGGGCATTCGAAGCAAGACGGGAAGGATCTCTCGGACGCTTCCGTGCGACGTCGGCAGTGATTTGGGGACCCTTGCGGTACGATCTGTAGCCATTTTGCCTAATTGGGCTTGGCGCGCACAGATTGCAGCTGTTGGGTACCGATGTGTTTTTTCAAGGTGTGAAGAACCTTTCCAAGCTGATCAACCTTAGAGATAATTGAAAACTGCGTCCGAAATGATAATGCCGCTCAGTGCCAGTTAGGCTAGAGAGAGATGTGACGGCTGGTACTCCATGTACGCACCCAGACTGACACCTACGCAACGGAGTTCGGTTATGCACAGAATCTTCGCCTCGTATTCAATCAATGAAAGCGAGGGTAGATTAGCCTCGTAGATCTCCCACGAAATCTCGGGCGTTTGCCGACGAAAGCTCTGGGACCATTATACTCTTTTCCTAGTGTGAGGCTGGGTCCCCGGTCCCTTGTGCGACTGTTGAGTACCGATGTCGCTTCGCCTGGCACATTCATATGCATAGTTCCCGAGTCCTACAATTTCGAAGCCCTGCGAGCTCGTAATAGCGGGTCGACAGGGAAGAGCAGGGTCGGTTGTTGGGTTTCCATGACTGACCTGTCTGAGGCGGCTGGGTATCGGTAACCGGTTCTGCTTGTGGTGTTATCGTTTCTTCTTGTGATAGGCCGCAGTTCTGCTTGTGAAATGCAGCTGTTTCGCTTTCCGAAGACATTGTTCTTGCCGCGGTCCGAAACCCCAGCTTCCTCAAATGGAGAAAAGACAGAGAGACAGGAAGCACGTGCGCTTTTACCTCATTGGGCTTCTTCGTTGGGAAGTGCCAATACCCGCAGGAGAACAATTTACACCTCGGCAGTAAAGCCCACCAGGGTTATATCCCTTCGATATGAGAATCCCTAAATAGAACTCGGCATCATGATTTGTTGCTGAGCAGAATGAGTGAAGGGTACTATCACCACGATCTGTATCAACTATAGTGCACGCGGGGCTGTGGCAGAATAGTATATGCACGAGATACAGAGTTTATCTACAGCAGGCCCCAAGAAGCAAGGTATACACGCAAACAACCATCCCCTTACACGCCCCTCAAACTTCATGCTTGGAGCTATTCGGCGGACTCGGCACCTGATGCACCCAAGCCTCACCTCCCTCCTTAATCAACCCCGCCCGATCTTCGCTATGCGTGCTGATTCTCCTACTAACACTAATCCCCACATTGAGCCCCTCGCCTCCCCGGTTACTCAGCTTAAAGCTATTATTGCTATTCTGGCTCTTCTTGCTGCGGTTGCCGGACCCGCCGGCCGTGGTGCCAAAAGTTGAGGCGAGCCCGTGGCTAGGCGCCAGCATGCCGGTTTCGAGCGACTCGAAGAAGGGCTTCAGGAAGGGGATGCAGGCGGTGATTATGGAGAGGCCGGACTCGATGCAGGTGCAGACGGTGAAAATCCAGAAGGGATAAGGGGAGAAGAGGACGGTGGCGCGGGAGCGGGAGAGGTAGACGAGGCGGGATGTGGAGGCGGCGATGGCGCTGATAGGTTAGAGCGAGGCTTGGAGAACAGTGGATGGGATGCGGCTTACGCTATCCGCGTGACGAATACTCCGGCTACGACCATCTTGAACTTCAAACCCATTTGCAGAGTTGAAACGATATAGATGGGGAAGATGACGATGAAGGCATCGGTCACGATATCAAGCGCCCCAAAGGCTTCCCAGAAGGCAGTCTAGAGTGCACGGCGTCAGTGAACGAAAAGACGTATCACTATCAAGCCATACCTGATCGAAGCATTTGCTCGACAATATGGTCGAGCTCGTCCCACACTGGAACCCGGTTGCAAACTCAAACGCGAGCAATATCACGCTGACAATGACCGCGAAAGCAATGATCGGCGCCTTGTGTTCTCGCACAGGCGTGATTTGATGCAGTGAGTGGAGGACCGAAAGTTTTGCGATGCAAATCGTCGGAACGAACAGCAATTGCGAAGCGTAGAACGCCTACCCCAGTCAGTCTTCCACCAGCACGCAATTGAACATGTTCTCGAACCCACCTGCTGGAAGCTGATCCAGTCCTCTCCCGTAGGCATTTCCACCTTCGCAAGACGCGCCTGCACAAAAGTAGCGACCATCTGGCCAATACCAAGGACCTTCACACTATTAGCGCACTGCCCCTTTTCAGTTCTATCCTCAGGCTTACCATCGCAAGCACAATCAGCCCATCATCCACTCCCAACAACCTCTTCATCGAAACTTTCGTCCCTAGCCTCACGCCCGTCGCAACCACAAACGCGCTCACCAACAGCCATCCCACCACAATCACCACCTGTGGCGGCGAAACATACGGATCTGGCGTAGGCGGCAGCTCCACAGCGTCCATGACGGCTCTATGCGCTAGACTCTTCCTCGGAGCGGGAGATCGACAAAAGAAAAGGGAGGCAGGTACGTAAGGAACGGCGATGGCGTTGTTGAGGCTGGCGACTAGACTTGAAGTACACAGGGAGAAAGTGCCCCGTGAAGGGGATACGCGCCGAGCTGAAACTTTGCTCGGATGAAGTGATATCACAAGGGACTGGAAATGCGCAAGGTGCTTCGAAGTCCGATTCGCCGTGTTTCCTGCATGTTGCACTGTTTCGAATGTCGGGAGAACAAGCGGAACCCTTCCATGGAATCCATGCCACCCTCCATAGATCCATAAATTAAAAGGGATTCATACCGGAGTAAGACCTACTTGGCGTTGCAGGGCTTGTTGTTGAGTACGAGAAATACCTGCCGTCTTTCACCCGGCATCTGCGACAGAACGCCGCGAGAAGAGCCTTTGCACCGCGTGTATGCACTCCCCTCGCGCTTCATCCTCCTCGCTCTCTATTAGGCACGGAGATGCGTATATTGTTGCATGATCAAGACGTCGAGGCTCGTCCTGTATACAGGGATACATTCGTGTTCGCGAAGCCAAATAGTAATGATTGGTCCGGAGTGCGCCCCTCCGCATCCGGGCGTATGCTGTACAACATTATTGCGTATCAAGCGCCTTTATAGGGAACAAAGACGTACGCGTTCCGCCCCACCGGTACCTATCCACAGTTCCTGCCGTCCCGAGCTTCCCAGCCGAGTTCGGATGAGGAGGTTAGGCTTGCATGCCGAGACGGCGCGAAATGAGCGTCCCTGCATTCAGCTCGTCTAGAACTGCGGCGAGGTCGGCGTCATGCGAGAGGCCGGTATATGGAGGGAGACAATATCCTGCGGGCCTGAAAACGTGGGAAAACGAGTTGTAGCACGAGGCATTGAGTTAGATCGTCGGGAGCAGTTGGACCCTTCCTTGCTACTTCTTACCATTCACCAAGTTTGGTGACTCTGCTACTTTCTCCGCCTTCAATTCCTTCTTTCACCTTCAGTTGTTCCACTGGAACCGCCAAGATGGTCAACCACTACGACATGGAGGAAATCGAGGTGCACGGCAAGAGCACCGTCCGGAATCGGACGCGCCAGAGCGAGCTCTCACACGACATGGACCGCACCGATCTCGCGAACATCGGAAAGAAGCAAGTGCTAAAGCGTCGCTTTGGCTTCATGTCCATGATTGGTTTCTCTTGCACGCTCATGGGCACATGGGCCGGTCTGCTCACGTACTTCGCTGGGCCGTTGACAAATGGTGGCTCTGCGGGTTCGGTGTATGGATTCATATTCGCATGGTTTGGCGTCCTGACGGTTATGCTGAGCTTGTCGGAACTGGCTAGTATGGCACCTACGGCCGGCGGACAGGTACGTCTCTGAGGTCTTAGTGGAGACGTTTACTAACGCGCCGCAGTACCACTACGTAGCCATGTTAGCACCATCAAGCGTCCAGAAGCTTCTGTCCTACATCGCGGGCTGGGCCACCGTCTGCGCATGGCAAGCTACCGTCAGCGCCGTCTGCCTACCTTTGGCGACCATTGTTCAAGGCCTCATTATCATGAACAACCCCAACTATCCGGCTGAGCGATGGCACGCGACGCTGATGACATATGCCTTCATGGCCCTCGCGCTCTTTGTCAACACCTACCTTAACAAGCACTTCGCCAAGCTGGAGGGCATCATCCTCATTCTCTACATTATCGGGTTCTTCGGCGTCGTCATTGCGCTCTCAGCATTGGCTACCCACGTCACAACCGAACAGGTCTTCAACTCTTGGAACAACGGCGGCGGGTGGTCGAGCATGGGTCTCGCGTGGTTCGTCAGTCTGAGTTCCTTTGCGGGAGCTTTTGCCGGTGCAGACGGAGCCACGCACATGGCTGAAGAAATCCACAATGCCTCAATCATTGTTCCGCGATCCATGGTCACATCCGTTCTTATCAATGGCGTCTTCGGATTCGCTGCTCTCATGGCCCTCCTCTTCAGCTTGTCGGATGTCGAAAATGCGCTGATGAGTCCCACCGGATATCCCTTCATGTACATTTTCGAAGCAGCCGCCGGGGTCAAGGGAGGAACGGTAATGGCATGCACCATCGTTTGTCTCGGTACCTTCGGTTCATGGGCGCTTCTCGCGACTGCTTCGCGCCAGATCTGGGCGTTTTCGCGCGATAACGGCCTTCCGGGGTCGAGCTTTCTCTCAAGGGTGAGTCCAGGTGTTTCAGGGTCAAAGCGCTGCGACGCTAATTGCTCGCACAGGTCGAGCCCAACACCGCTCTCCCGCTGTACGCAATTGCTGTCACTATAGCGATCAACCTCCTAGTCCCCCTGATCTATATCGGCTCGCCCACCGGATTCAACGCAGTTATTTCACTGCTCGTCAGCAGCTTCTACCTATCATTCTTGCTCCCATGCTACCTGCTTCTCTGGCGCCGTGTAACCGGCTCCATCAAGCTGCCGACTCCTGCCGACTCCGGATTCAAGAACACTCCGGGCTCAAGGAAGCTCATCTGGGGACCGTGGAGGATGCCTACTATCATCGGTATCATCGTAAACTGCATCGCCTGCGCGTTTGCGACAATTATCTTCGCGTTCTCATGCTTCCCAGCAGTCACACCGGTGGACAAAATGACGATGAACTACTCCTCCGTGGTTACCGGCGGCGTCATGATTTTCTCAATCGTCTATTACATTTTCCGCGGGCGTAACATGTACCAAGGGCCGACGATCGAGATCGATGATTAGAGCGCTGAGGTTTGGCAGGCGTGTAGACGTGTCGGATTTTCGTCCACATTGTATGCAGTAATATTAGCAATCGATTACACAGAGTCGAGCCAGGTTGTCCCAGTCCTCTACAAAGTGGATATTCCTCAAGGGCGTGATAGCGTCAGACTTCGTGAAAAGTTCGGCGGAGTCCAAGGCACTCGCGTCGAAGCTGTCTTTCCGCCATGCATGCGCGTGTGAAATGAAAGCTTTAGATATGCTTACCATAAAGCTCTTTGATGGATGTTGGTCGTATCAGCAATACTTCCCGGGTGCTCATGTATAGATGCGAGCCTTTCCACGCGCGTGGCAATGATTTTCTTTCTGCTTGAACGGTAAGCATGCATAAAGAACCAGACGAGAAGGGGCTCTGTTCTAGGTCGTGCCTGGTAAACGCAATGTCGGCGCCGAAAGTAGCATCCAAGAGCATGGATCATGATGGCGCCTAATATTGTGTGGGTATTTCTCGTCACCGTTGAAATACCATATCTCTTTCGATCCGGGAGACTCCTCAATCGGCACAACACGCTCCTGGGATGGCTCGCTCAAGGAAGGTTCTCCGACGCGTTTGCAAGAAGACTGAAGCCCGGAATCGGGCCGGCGCTGCCGTGATGCTAGAGGATGCCGTCCTCGCCAGATCCGAGGAGGGACGGCAATCTTAGAAATGTGTCAAGCAAGATGCTGGTGCACCTGGTCGAATAAGTCTCCGCAATACCAAATGGAACGGGAAACCCTTGAATACCCATTGCCCTGACTCTTATCGAAAGGCTCAGCTTGCTCGCCTGCAGGTCAACGCAAGTGATGCGACTTGCTCTTTGTGCAGATTCCTATTTATCTCCGTAATGGCTCAGCCTTCATGAGAATCGAATCCTCACGATGCGTCTTAGACAAGAGCGAGGCGTATCGCAGGCGAGGATGTTAAGCAGCTTCTCTTGACGGTAAGTCTCGTTACTCGGGTACCGAATGTGGACGATTGGGACTGAAGCGAGCCCAAACATGACACAGCATGCTGCCGGCGTGGACCCCGTTGCTTGAAAGAAAATCGATGAGCGAAGCCTCCTTATGAATGCCAAGGGTTGCATGCTTTATGACAAGTTGGACAGCTTTCTGACACTTCGAAAGTTGTGCAAATGGTGAGGCTCTCGCTTGGCAATGACTCGGGAATGGCCAGGGATCTGAAAGGGGTAAGGCGTAGGAGATTTCCCCGCACGCATCCGTGGATACGCCGCACATGCGGATCCGCTCATGAAACCTGTCACTCGACTGGATGCGGACGAATTGTCGAACGATGGTCGTTGGACCGACGAAATCCGCAGCGTGTCAGCGCTAGTGGGGCTGCTCTCCGGTGAGAGTCGATGGAGCTTCATCTGGACGTGAAGTTGGAGAAAGAAGAAATGTGCATCTTGTTTCCAACCACCCCAAAGCAAGGTTACTATGCAGTACGAATCTTCGGGTATCCTCGTTACGCGCTGTCTGAAACGTGCCGTGCTCGTGAATGGGGTTTCGGGAGGAATGGTCTTGCTCGGACGTGAAGGTGTATGACCCTAGGGAAATAAACGCTCGTCGGAAACGGTGCTCCGGAAGACCCGTGCGCTAGAGAAGAGGGGAATCCCAGAGTGGCAAAGCTGAAGCGTAGGTGTTCGTGGCAAAGCAGTCGAGGATTCGATATGTATTCCGCGGTCTGCGGATGCGCGTTTGTTCGATGCTGAAATGGAGTTTCCGTCAGGCTCTCGGGTAATAGGGGAAGGGAACCATAACTGGTTGTTGGTTGATCACCTGGCCGCTGATCGGTAAGACTAGAAGGTATGTTTGAGGTCCGACGGGTCTCGCTCCAGGATTGTTCTCATGCAAACGCGTCTTCGGTCTCTTGAAATATGCCGACACAACGGGTCGAGGCAGAGTAGGGCCGACATTGTTGCTTTAATTGGCGAGCGAGCTCTTTCGTGATCCACACACGACTTGAGCTCGTCCATTCTTGAGCTATAAATGCAGATCAGGACCCAGAGCGCGAGGGCTGACGCGCCAGTGGAAGGATTCGTGGTTGACAAGAGGCAGGATTCGGAAATGCGGGGAAGGCTAACGCGGGCTAGAGCTGTATGTGGAGCTAAAGCTTAACACGTGCGGGGTCTGCATACATGGAAGCTCCTCCTTCGTAGCTTCGTGCCACATTTCTCACTTCTTTTCCCAATCTCGCCATCGAATCCTGGGTCGTAGTCATGAATTTCGTCGACGTTCAGCCCAAGTCGTTTCTAGATTATGCCTGGACCACGCCCTCGCCAGCTCCAGCGAATACCGCAAAGGCTTCCAAGACGAGCAGGAAGCAGAATCGATGCTGCGACCAGTGTCGGAAAGGAAAGCGGGCGTGCGACGCGGCCATTCTTGAGGATACATTGCTCGACGCGAACGCTTCGTCTTACAGCAATCCAACGGTCTTCCATTACAGCGGTAGGTCTCGCACAGGCGAGAAACGGCGATGGCGCAGGCAATTGACTTTGCAGATGTCTTTGGTCCCCTAGCGCAATGCGGCAATTGCGAGAAAACGAAAAAGAGCTGCACGTTTGAATGGCTGCGATCACAGCGAATTTCGCAAGCGACACCCCAGCCGAGCTCCGCGCCGCCAGCGAAGAAACGTCGGACACAGAGCGGTTCTTCGCAGTCGAAGGGCGACGAACCTATGCGACCGCGGGCGGGACGAGCCCCGCAGCCGACCGTGCCGTCGGATACGCCACAAGCGGCAGACTTCGCTTCGCACAACGAGCCCACCGAGTTCGGAGTGACGTTTGCTGATTTCCCCGGTGCCATTTCTGCGTTCGACATGTCACTCTCGGTAAGTCGCGGTACGCAACTGGCATATCTCGATCGACTGCGGAAGAAATGCTAGTCGTTAACGCTCTCATTCCCATCTTGTCTTGCTTTGCGCTTCAAGCCATGCGCTAATGTATCACTGCGTTCGCAGTCAACTTTTCCCTTCGAGAATGTCGCAAATTCGTGGAACGGAGATGGCGCGGCAATATCGGAGACAAGCTATTTGGAAGACGTGCTTGAAGACGAGGAGGAGGCTCGTGTCGATCGTGATTCCGGTCAAGGCTCCTCCATTGACACCTCTCCAGAGGATGTCGCCGAAAGCATTGGAGAGGGAAGCCCGAGCGTGACAACCAGCGAGGAGGGAAGCGCAACAAAGAGCACGGGGACCATGATACGGATACCGCGCAAGAGAAGACGTCGCAGCTCCTCGAGTACCATATCCGCTGTTGGGGTTCTTTACCCGCCGGTGCCGTTCGCGACTCGTTTGCTCTCTTCCGCGAATAGCGCCTTCCTCACTGAGGGTCTTCTCAAAATCTACCACGACACATTCGAGCATGCCCTCTCATGTTGGCTGACTGAAAGGACATGTCCGTATAGTAAGGACTCCGACCTCTCTCTTCCCAACGATACCGGTCCGGACTGGAATCGCATATACCATCGGGTGTTCAGACTGGATCGCTTGGCATCCTCAATCAGAGGAAGGAACCTCTCGTTCGCCGAAGACAAAGCCTCATCGAAAGCCGTAAACCTGTCTATATTCGCATTTGCTTCGCAATGGGCTCAGGCCAGCCAAAGGACCAACGCCAAGTACCCGTTTCATAGTGATAAAGTGGACGGCAGAAGCAACTTGTTCACAAACACTGAAGAGACTGAGCCCGGAAGTTTCGACCGCGCTCTCCAAGTATCGGCATGGCATCAAGCTAGGATGGCGCTGCAGGAGGCTGCCGAGATCGAGTCCTTCCGGGTCGTGCTTGCGCAGATCGTGTTTTCCTTGACGCAAAAACCGGTGGAGAAGGACGAACAGGGTAAGCAGAAATCCAATAATGAGGACCCTCACGCTTCGCTGCCCCATGCAGAAAACGAGGAGAAGGCGACCTTGAGCGCGGAGTCAAGCCAGGTGGGGGATAAAGACGTGAACGAGTGCGAAGACTTGCTCTCCAAGTTAAATCTCACCATGGATGGCGAAGGTCCTCCCATTCATCTCGAGCAAGGACTGCGGCTCATCCACTCCCTCAGATCGCGCATGACGATGTCGGGAACCATGGCTCGACCGAAGAAGACGCCACGCTGTTGGAAGCAGTCTCGCTTTGCGTCGAATCGCCTGGATGCCGCGGACCGGGCTACCGTCGATCTTCTGTTCTGGCTGGGTATCATGTTCGATACGCTGTCCTCAGCGATGCATAAGCGGCCATTGGTAGTGTCGTTAGAAGACAGCGATTTGCCGGCAGCAAGAGAGGCCTCTCAGGATTCCTCGCCTCCGGAAAGGGCGCTGAACCTCATCGCGAAGACGGATGATCTCTGGGACGACTATTTGTTTAGTCGGCAACGAAAGCGACTCCAGGGAAGGCCCGTCAGGTGGCCTTGCTCGCACGACGCCGCGGCTTCCATTCTATGCGACGCAGCTCCCGTCAAAGTTCTTCTTTTCCGGAAAGTGACGCGCATACAGACGCTACTCTCACGCAACGCCCACGGCGAAAGAATTGAGAGGGCAGTCCAAGCAGCACTGGAAGTCTACGAGCACTGGCAGAAATTGTATGCGCCCTTCATCCGCGACTGCATCGAGAACCACGATCGACTCCCGTGCCGAGTGCAGTCGTGGTACATCTGCTTGACCGGCCACTGGCATCTTGCGACGCTGCTGCTGGCGGACCTGATCGAGATCATCGACGATGCGGAGCTGAGCCTTGAATCGAAGCGTCGCCAGCGGACATGGTCCAACTTTATTGCAACATTCAGGGAGAAGAACTGCCGTTCATTGTCAGATATTGCGAGATGCGCGTGTCCACGGGAAGACGCTTCGTTCCCTCATTCACGCGAATTCCACTTCGCCGTCAACCAAGGAGCGCTCCTGACGGAGCCTTGGACTGCCGTGCTGATCCGGGCCTTCGCTACAGCGGGCGTCATCCTGCTCGACTCCGCAGCGACCCCTCGCGAGGACGGGCAAGATGTACATGATCAAGAGGATGCGTTCCGTCGAGCCGATGACTGTGTGAGGGCGCTCTGGTACCTCGGCCGGAAGTCGGACATGGCTCTTTCGGCGGCTAGGATCCTCGGGGACGCACTCAAACAGAGACGGAAGGGACTAGAGGAGAAGGTGACTGATATGAGCTCTTTCCTTGAGGCCGAGCTGTGGGAAGGATTCGACGAAATGAATGGGGCGTTCGGCGTTGAATGCGTGTGATGGGCGCGGAAAAGTGAATTACGATCTCTTCCAACTCCCAAGCAATGCAATCTTGATGCATGGCAGTCCTGCGATTGATTGTGAAGAGTGGTGGTGAAGGGGCGTCGAGTGGAAGGGCGAACTCAGCGTAGAAGGCGCGACCTACCAAGCCTTCACGTGAACACGCGTCTCAGCAGGGTTCGGATGAAAGCCCGAGCTTACGGTTGGCTTTAGACATGTCTCAACCTCCTCCATCTCTACAATGGTTTCCAACCCACTCCAACGCCAATTTTTCATTAGCAAATTCACTCCTGCTGCACCCAAATGCTTAATTACCATTGGTGTCTTGATTTCGTTGGACCCATCGCGCTTCTGCAGCTGGCGCGAAGACGCGTCGCTAAGTGGTAGTAATTCTCCGAGCCTGCACCCCACACAATGGGTATTCCAGAGTACGACCCCCCTGTCAATGCCATGCACCCAGATTATTCTATCCTAACCGGGGCCGAAGGCTGTGGAATGTCATCAAGGAGCAGGATCGCAGCTTCCCAATTGCCCAGCTCGCCGAAGAGCACTACAGGAAGCATGGTCGACCCCTGAGGATCGCCGTAGACGAAGCCGACTGGAGGTTCAACAATCTGACCGCGCAACAAGTGTACATCATCCGCGAGAGTAAGTCCCTAGTTCTTGCACAAGCGCCCTTGCTGAGTTGAAGGCTGCAGAATCGAACGAGCCGGCCTTCCAGGGCATCGAAAAGTCCATCTTCTACCGCCTATGCCGCCTCCTCGCACTCAACGTACAACTGCTATTCATCTTCGATGGCCCCAAACGCCCTTGGAAGCGCGGACGGCCCAGCGGAAAGATCGATTACGAGAAGCTGAAGTTACTCAAGGAGCTGCTTCGCTACTTTCGAATACCATACCATGAGGCGCCGGCAGAGGCCGAAGCAGAATGCGCACGTCTACAAATTCTGGGCGTGGTGGATGCGGTGTGGTCGCAGGATTCCGACACACTCATGTTTGGTTGCGATTTCCACATTCGCGACGACCGCGTGGCGAAAGACAGGGGAAACAACGACCGCTCGAAGGAGAACACCAAGAAGAGCGGGAAGAGTGTCAGAGTTATTCGTGGGCGTGAGATACGCGATGAGCATAGCTTGGACCGCGAGGGGCTGGTACTGTTCGCCATGCTGTGCGGTGGAGACTACGACCTGAAAGGTCTCCCACAGTGCGGCCCTGCGGCGGCCATGGGCGCAGTCAAGGCTGGGCTCGGGAAGACTCTATGTCAATGCCGAACGAAAGCGGACTGTCTTAGCTGGAGGGATGAGCTCGTGGACTGCCTGCAGAAGGCCAGATTTCATGGTTTCGTCCCTTACACTTTCCCCGACACCAGGACGCTGAACAAGTACTACCGCCCTACCATCTCCACCGACGAACAGCTACGCAACCTACACATGCTCCGAAATGGGTGGGATGGACCAATCGACGAAACAAAGCTTCTCGAGCTGACTAGTTCGCGCTTCAATATTTGGGGGCGGCTGTATATGAACTGGGTAGGACCGGTCCTTCTCACTAAGTATTTGGTGGCGAGAGACGCATCCCTACCACGTGAGCATATCCACGAAATCCGGCTCACCAAGCGGCGCGTAAAGAAGAACGATGAGCAAGCCGTTCCACCTCTCGAGCGAAATCTCACGTTCTCCCCCTTTGGTCTCACTACCCTCCAAAAGAAAGACTTCGAAGGTGAGCGAGCTGGATATTGGACAAGTGCTATAAGCGACCCATTTGATCCAGATCACCGCGTAGAGTGGGAGATTCCGGAATACCTGCTGCAGAAGGTACTCCCTCCTGAAGTTCTTAATCCACCGCCCGCGGCGAAGAAGACACCGCAGAAGCGTAAGAGGAAGGCGCACTCCAATGCGGATGATGATGAGACGGGCGCCACGGTGCCTAAGAGCAAACGGACGGTTAGAACTAAACCGCGAAAAGAGAATTCTCCACCCAATACTAGCCAGCCGAGGCCAGGAAGGACCCCTCCTGCACACTCAGCAAACGCTCAGGGGCAGAGTTCCGCCGCACCTCTTCGACCAATTCAAGGGAACGACTATATCAATCTATTGTCGTCGGATGACGAGGCCCCTCGGCCGACAGAATCTTACGGGGGAGAGGTTATCGACCTGGGCTCGGAATCTGAGGACTCAGAGGATGAGATGGAACAGCTGAACAGAGCTATACGACTTAGTCTAGTTGGGAAAAGCCCATTCATCGAGTCCACGCCGACGAACCGCAGCAGGCGACCAGCTCCCAAAGACGATATTGCCTGGGTGGATTGGGAGGAAGACCCAGAAAGCCTATTTGTCCCTACCGAATCTCCAATTCAGATGGGGACCAAGAGAGCCACGATTATGCCTAGCTTCCCCGCAACGGCGTCAGCACTAAGTCCTGACCGGCAATCGAAAGAGCCTGTGAAGCATACTGGGAAGAAGCCTCTGCGCGCCGCGCTCGAAGAACCCCCAAATCAGGCCCTCTCATCGCCACGCTTTACCTCCACGTTGCACCAGCCTATGGCATCAAATTACGCGAGCCCGTCTCTTCGACCGGCATCTTCGATGCCGAAGGAAACTTTGACAGCTTCAAGGTCCCAGCTTGACATCGTAGACGAGGGCGGCGTGCCGAGCCCCAAGAGCGTCGCACAGCTTCGGGCAGCGCGCCTGCAATTCTTCAACTCTAACAGGGCAGCGCCTATTGATTCTCCGTCTGCATCCCTTACTGCAAGTCCTTTAAAATGCGTCCAAAATCGCCATACTCTGTCGAAACAAGACGCACCTGCAAAAGTCACTCAGGAGACCACAGACATAGAGGTCATTGATTTGACAGATCTTTAAGACGATGCGGGACGCTGAAAGGCGCGGAGGAGGTCACAATGGGAGACAGGAGCGAACGCAGCCCGTATTGGGACAGGAATTCTCAACAGGAAGAAGCAACCGCAGATATTCGCACATACGTGCCCGACTTAACACTATCCGACAGCCCTTTGAGTCTGAGTTCAGCAGGGACAACACGCTCGCCAACGTTAGCAGACCGCAGCCGCTAAAATTTGCTTCTTCTCGCGAATCTCAGAAAACATTGCTTCTCGCCACTCTTGCAGTCCGCCTCCGGCGATATCTTCTTTTACAGCCTCGCTCACGCCCGCACACCAGCTTGGCCCTGCATCGTAACAAGATTGTCACTATTCTTGGCGCTCCTATCCCACCCTTCAAGTTTTCACGATCCTTGGCATCCTGCACAGACTGGAGTACGCATTCCGGCCTGCAGCCATGGGATCTTACTCGGCACGCACCTGGCCTGTTACCGAAACATCGGATACGACGCTCTGAGCTGGCGCCGGTGCGCGGAGACGTCGTACCTAAGCATGTTTCTTCTGCGGCGCATATCCGAACCAGCCTCAACCTTTACCACGTTGATGGCGGAGAGGAACGTTACGATGTCGAGGTGTTGCGAAGCATGTGATGTTGAAATCGGACAACCAGTCTGAAAGAAGACAATCCACGATTACGAATTCGGCAAGCGACCGTTCCCAACTTCCAATCATCCGGATCACGTTTCTCCCAGCCACGGGATGGCTCATTTGTTGTGCCGTGGTACCTGCTATCTCTCACTAATATTGCGCTTCAACATGATAAGGATGAGAACCCGGATGATATCAACAGTACCTTTACTAGAACCATGACAACATCAATGCGGTCGTAGAAGATCAATTGCGAGTAGCGACAGCGCAGCAGCTGGCCCAAGGAAGGGCCTGGTATCTCTAATCTAACATGGCCAAAGCAAGTCACATGCGTACAATCACAATTCCCTCTCCAATTCATGCAGCGCATACGAGTCGTCCCCAATCCGGCGGTATGTGTACGACGCATCACGCCTGCCAAAGCCAAACAGCGAGCCGAGACGCTGTCAAAAGTGCTTGGACTGAACCTCATCAACAGGATCCTTCCCGTTCCCGCCGGCCATGACCTCCTCGTCGTAGTTAGCCTCGTTATCGCTCGCGTCGTACGCAACGTGGATATCGTCGATCTCACCGCCTACCTCGAGCCACGTCTTGCTAACCGCATCGAGGGGCCAAATCCTGCACAGCACATAATAAACGGACGCGGCGACAATGAAGCCGGCGAAGAAATTGAGATCGTAGATGTGGCGCGCGCCAACGGGGACTTCACGTCCGATTGCGCCAGCGAAACCCACGACGTTGATGAGAATGCCCGCGATGTAGGCGGCGTATGCGCGCAGGCCAAAGCCCCACGTGAAGAAATACGGCCCCGTCTTCTTGCCCGAGTACAGGTCCCGGATCTGCAGGTACCCCTTGCGCACGAAGTAGTAGTCGCAGATCATGACACCGGCGATGGAGGACAGGAAGACAGAGTACGCGGAGAGATACGTCGTGAAGTTGTTGGTGGTTGACAGCAGGTTCCAGGGGCACATGACGAGGCCGACAAGCGCGCAGACGTAGCCGCCGCGGCGGATGTTGATCCAGCGGGGCGCGAGGGCTGTCATGTCGGTGCCCGCGGAGACGCTGTTGGCGGCGATGTTTGTGCCGAGCTGGGCGAGCGTGAAGGCTGCCGCGATCATGAAGACGCCGAAGCGTTGGCCGCGGCCGTTGTCTTCGTTTAGGAAGCTTTCGAGGAGATCCAGCGGGTTCCAGATTGGTTCTCCGCCGAAGATGACGGTTGAGGACGAGGAGACGATGATGCCGATGAAGGAGGTGATGGCGAAGCCCAGCGGAATGGTGAACAGCTGCGACCACAGCGCGTCGCGGGGCTTGCGCGCGAAACGCGCGAAATCGGGGTCGTTGACGATGAGGGTAGCGAAGTTGGCGATGGCGCTCATGACGCCGCGGACCATGAGCCAGGCGAGGGTGGAGCCTTTTGCGAAGCCGGGCTGCTTGACGATGGGGCCGATGCCCTTTGCGCGCACGACGGCCCAGATGAAGAAGGCGACGCCGGCGGTCGGCACGAAGTACGCCTTCACGGTGAAGAGGTGGCGGATCTTGTGCACGGGGAACCAGATGGCAGGGAGCGAGCCGAGCCAGAAGAGGAAGAAGGAGGCGAAGGCGACGGTGTTAGTGCCAGAGCCGGGGATGCCGTTCTTAATGCCGCCAGGGCCTTGGGTGTCTTCCTGTAGAACAGCATTAGAATGGAGTTCTTGCTCGATGGATGGAGAGGGCAGGCTTACATCGCGCCAGCTGTTCCAGATGCTGCGGATCATCAGGTACACGCAGGTGCCTCCAATCCAAGCCTGTACGCCGTACCAGATGCAGGCCATGGCCGCTCGATTGAAGACGGGCCATAGCGCGCCCCAGATGCCGAAGGAGGAGCGCGAGACGACGGGGAAGGAGATGTGGTACATGGCGCCAATGCGGCCGGTAAGGCAGACGAAGCACGCGGCGATGGAGTAGCCGAGCTGTTCTCGCGTCAATTCAATTCACACCCCTGCGCTGGTCGCGTGAGAAGCGGAGTGCCTACCCAAACGCATATCCACGATTGCCACCAGGACAGGCCATCGGCGATGTTGGACGAGGAAATCATCCAAGTGTTGATGTTGAACGAGTCAGCTGGTCGCGGGATGCATGGGTTAGCTGAATGCGTCCTCGAAAATTACCACATCGGGTGTGTAACGTTGGGACATACCGACCCAGAAGCCTACAAAGTTCCATGCTCCCCACTGGCGGCGCGCCTGCTCGACGGGCTTCAAGTCGTGATTGCTGAGAGGAGATTAGCCGTCAATTGATCAATTGAGGGCTGACGTCGACGAGAGCAACTTACAAGAGCATGAGCTGGGCGGTAGTAAGGCCCGGCTCGCTCTCGACGGCGAGCTTGTCGGCCCAGAGGGCGGCCTTGGACTGCTTGACCTTCTCCATGAGTGCGCTGTTGAAAAGAGGAGCGTCGTCGCTGGAGTGGACCTGTCTCGAGGTAGCGAGAGGGGCGTTTATGAAGCTGTGGGAGCGCGAGCTTGAGGCGACGGCTTGGTAGTTGCGGTTAGCAGCATCCCCGCCTGTATGACGTGGGGGCAAGGAAGCATGTCCAGGTCTGGGTGCGCCTGTGCGTCGTGAGGCTGGCTCGTCCAGCAGCGGTTTGCGCTCGGGATCCAGGGTGGCGGCAGCTAGAACAGCCCGGGAACGAGTCACCGAGCAGAGATTTGCTGGATGAAGGGCTTTCTGTGGTTGCTGCCGCTAGCTTCTGCTTTACCCGTTGGTGAGAGCTCTTGTGGGACGGGTCGCCGTGATGTCACGTCCAGACTTGGGCTGATAACGAGGAATATTTGCTACTCTTATGTATGCTAGCTACACTGGATGCACGGGGCTATCGACCCCCATATACTACGCAGACGAGGCATGAAACATATGGGAGGCTTCGGTATGCACCGACTACAGTACAGAGTAGGCGGGCGCGCATCGCGGGAGGCACCCGTCCAGCTTATCGTACCCTGTGATAGCGGCTCCAGCAATCAAAATTTCCGCTGGCTCTGGCTGAGCTGGGAGGACGGGTCCGGTGGGTGGACCCTGTGACGAGCATCTGCGACAAGCGGCCTTATCGATGCAGATGCGCGGAGCAGAGAGGCGCACGAGGGAACTCATCAGATCGTGGTGGAGCGCGGGCACGCGAATAGATCGCAACGGTCGGCGGCGCCAGCCAAGTCCTCGCCGCCGCAACCACAAGATGCCAAATTATGCCTGCTCAGATACGATGTCGGAGCGCGTTTTGCTGCTCGATTTTGACTCGATAGAAACTTGTAACCGAGCGGCGCATCGCAGCAGGAGGCTCTTTATCTCTTGACCCGAACGAAACGCAGGCCCAACGCGCGTGATGTTGCATTCCCAGCCATGCATGTCTCGCTTGGGCCGGCGCGCTACGGCTAAAGCGGCCTGGTGGCCAGATAAAGCGCTGTGGGGTACTTGGCCGGCGCCGGGAGAGGCCACTCACGGCCGCCAGAGCGTCATTTACTCGATCGCATCGAGTAACCCCAGGGCAGCGCGAATATCAAACAGCAGATGGCAGCCTGCAAAACTTCATCTATCATGCGAACCTTCTACGACCTCGACTAGTTCTTCGGCGGCAACTTGCGCGGATCCAATTGCCCTTTTCGTGTAGTATGGAGAGAGCGTCAGGCTCAACGGCGCAGCTTGCCTCGTCAGGCGCCCACTGCGCCTTGAGGAATAATGAATGCCTTATCGTGACCAACACGCTATCCAAGCCAGCCTCCTACATCCACCTGCAGCAGTATCAGAGATGCTGCTCATCGTCTGCAGATCTACATCGTTGCTTTTTCTCCGATATGCCAGCGACCCATCCATGCCTCCCCAGATCCCAGTCCGGGTCGAGACCGGATTCCTGGCTCGGCGTCCCCGTTACAGGGCGTATTCACTCTGCATGTATATCTGCGAGAACGCACGTTCTATAGCTCGGCGGCTTCGTATGGGAACGCCAATGTCTGGTCCCAGTAGCAAAATTTGCAGCCAAGCGTGAGTATCAAGCCCGAGCTCTTGTCCCTATGCGTTTGAGCTGTGCTAGCTCCCCGAACAGCCGTCAGTTTCCTTCACTCAGACGTTGCTTTTTGTCAAGCCATTTTGTTTCTTTGAGCTTCTGAAGTCTTGATGTCGAGGCAAGGCATTCCCTTAGTCACTTCCAAGGGTCACGGCCGTCTCTCGTACTCTTTGGCAAGAGAAGATCCACGTTTATCAGTTCGGAGACTCGGTTCCTGGCGTATTGGTTGAGCTCTTAGGTCTCTGTAGTGTATCCTCCTCCTGAGGTCGTCCCTTTACATTGTGATTGCAGAGACGTTGGAGATAGAAGCTTTGTTGGACATCTGCTTCCGTCGGTGGAAGGCCCATGCTGTACCGCCAATGCTTAGCTTACTATGAGATTCCGATCGTAGGGCCTCCAGGCTGGGCGCATTGCCATCACTGGCGATACACTCAGTAGATATCTTGAAAGGGAAAGTCTACGTTCTAGCAAGTCTCAAGTCTTTCTCCGCTAAATGCCTCCAGGAAGAGGCTTTCGTAGTCGAAAGCTGAGACATACTGGAGCCTGTACCCCCTACGGATTGATGGTGCTGACGGTGAGCTACGGGCTCGTCTTGCGGTTGCGGCTTGGCCATGGAAATTGTGCGAGTGCAGTATGACCTAGAGCGCCCGAGTGATACTTTCACACAAACCTGTGAAGCAGCTCAAGTAACTGCAACATCCACTGGACGTAGAAAATGGGTGACTAAATAACGACCCAGGGCTCTCCCCTATATGAATCCTTTACCCTACTCTTTAAGCCCGCAACTCCCTAAACCATGGCAACCTCACCCGCACCCTCCATGTCTGAGCCCGCCCCACCATCTGGCGTGAGCGGAGCCCACTTCGGAAAACAACTCGGCCTCAAGCAGTAAGTCCCAAAGCCCTAGTCATCCATCTACCCACCGCTACGCGCTAACCTGCCTGCTAAAGGTACTGCAACTCGCCCACCATGTCCGACATCATTATCCGCTTCGGCTCCTCAGGCGAGCGCATGTTCTACGGCCACAAGGTCGTGCTTTGCGCTCGCTCCTACTGGTTCCAAGCTGCCCTGAACGGACGCTTCATTGTGAGTACCCCTTCTTGATCAAAAGGGATGCTAGTAAGCTAAAAAATCCCCAGGAGAGCGTCTCCACGGAAATCCAACTCCACGACGACAACGATGACGCGCTCCAATACGTCCTCGAAGCCGCCTACCTCCCGCCCCTCCCCGAGGGCTGGGATCCCGACCAAAAGCACGCCACCCCCGCTAATGACGCGCAGCCGGAGGACATCTCGAGTGCGAACAAACTCGCGCTCTTCTGGCTGCGCTGCCTCCGCGTCGCGGACAAGTACGACTTCGCAGACATGCAAGCCCGCTTGCAAGAGTATGCGGGGCACGAGCTGGACGACTACACGACCTTAGCCGCATGCCATACGGCGTGCACTCCCGGCTTCCTCGAAGTGGTCCGCGAGATTTACGACCTGCCTCCTACGCTTGCATCAAAGGTGCGAATCCAGTTCTTCGACTGTGTGATGTGTACCCGCAGTTTGTGGAGCTCCACGGCTGTGATGTTGCGCTGTGTGGCTAAGCAGCATGCCGAGTTCGCTCAAGAGCTGCTCGATCATATGCTGCGGGATGAAGAGAAGCAGGAGGATAAACTGGCGCAATAGAGGATGTTGGCCGTGAATGCGCACGTGGAATGCGAGAAGTACGCGCGCCTGATCGTATATGAGCACGGCAGTGTCTGAACAAGAATCTTGCACAGGCTAGCTCGGAGGGTTTGAGGCGCCGGCAACCCGATAAATGTTGGCTTGTTATAGTCATAAGACCTGAGACAGTCGTCACTGTTCAACACGGCAAAGACGGCAGCATCAAACTGCGCAGCCTCAATGCTGTATGGGCCAGCCCGTCCTTTCCCTTGCAGAAATCAAGTACTTCGAGGCCAAGCGGCAGGTCTTGAGATTACCCAGCTGGGCTTTCCTGTTAAGGCTTTCAGGAGTGGCATTCTGCAGTCGACAAAACCCGCATACAACCGATATGGGCGGAGCATTAGGCACCGCATTGACAGGGCTTGATAGACTAAATGCTCAATACCATCTCCAGCTCATTTCCTATCTGCCACGACGAGTGGGTGGTCGTTATGGTGCTGTTTGGGGGTATACGTCGTGTGCACATGCGCAGGATTATGTCTCGTGTAGGTCAAGGCTGAGTTGTGGTGGAAAGGCGGCACAGAGTAGCTCGCGTCTGTCTGGAGACACGGTCACGTGATGCGACTATTCAGCGCGTGCAAGGAACCATACACGTCAGTCCCTTAGCCCTTCTTTGTGCCTACCAATTTTGTGAAATTTCCATGTTCGATCTTAAAACGTGGCTTCCAGAGTATGCAACCATCTGGGTGCTAGGGAGAGCAGCGTTCGAATGTAGGAATAGATTCCTGCAAGTCATTCCATGGGGGCTGAAACTATGAGCGCAACAAGCTCCAATAATATGCCGCATTAGCATGGGACTACGCTAATTGGGGAACACGGAAATTAGCTCCATAACAAGAGGGCTATATTTGGGCAGTAGCGTCTTGCATGGCTCGCTACAAATTCCCCTCCTATCCAATCGACGAAAACAAGGGATTGGCGTGTTACTTTGTCCAGATCTACTACGGCGGTGGACACAGTCTCGTCCCTCGGCCGGAGGATCTAGATCTCTGTTCGACCAATCAGGCATCCACACGCGCGCTAGGCGTCGCCCCTCAGAACTAGGTCCCGAGGTCAGTTCCTGGAGGCGCTATCTGGAACAACGCATCCACCACCCGCACATAAGGAGGCAAGAATATTGCGTTAAGGCCCGGACGGCCTTCAGGCATCTTGAAAGTCGCCGCGCAAAATAATTTCACCCGTTAGCACGAAGCACATTGATATTTTAGGTCCGTTGAAAAGTACGGTAGACGCCTAGAACAGTATCCCCCCTAACGTTAGCAGGGGCCCAGGAGGTGATATGGTGTTGTCAATCTCAAGATGGTAGACAGTCACTTATTCTGGGTTCCTTGGCTTTCGTAGGTGTTAGTTCCTTGATGCCGTGTCCTCGAAACGACTGGCTATTCACATGATCCTACTATTCAGCTGAGATACTATTCTGAGACATCGAAATCACGTGGTGCAACTGTGTAGCCCTACCTTGATTGCTATTGATTGAATACGAGATATTGCAAAGCGCCTTCGGGCTAGTAACCTCACGATTTCCATCTTCTTCTCCATGAATGCGAAATACGATGGAGATATCGAGACTCAAGTAGATGTGTAGGTAACCAAAGAATGGATATAAAATGAAGACTCCGCCTTCGTGAAGACATCAAGTCAAGCAGCCAAAATCAGTAGCTTCCCCGAACTAGCATTACTTCCATCTCGCCACCTCGGCCCTCAACATGCGCTTCCTCACCATCTCGTCCCTCCTCGCTCTTGCAGCCACCGCAACCGCGATTGCCCTCCCCCTCGACGCTGCAGAAGCCCCACTCAACGGCACTATCGAAGTATCCGTCGACCTCCCCAGCTCGCTCATGGCCAAGCGCGCCCTCGGCGCCTCGGGCACGCTCACTTACCGCTGGATCTCCAGGACGAAATTCGGCGCCTCCTACCGCCTCAAGGACACCAAAGCGGACAGCCACCCGGTCTACATCGAGACGACCGTCTACGACATCAACGACCGCGCCAAGTACGTGCTGCGATGCAACAACAACAACGGCGCGGGGAACGAGATCATATGCCCGGAGAAGACGTACACCCACGGGAGTACGGTCGTGGGGATCGCGCCGCATGTTTGTGTCAATGTGCAGTTGGGGAGCGACGAGTGCGCGACGGGGGGCACGGTGACGAATCCGTATCGCTGACGGCCAAGGTAGCGGGTCGCGGTACTCCGGTCTTTACCTGCTGAAAGGGCCTAGGTAGAGCTTTCTGCTGTCAAAACTTGAGACATACTCGAGTCACTTTGCAGGCGTCGACGGCACGGGAGGGCTGGATTCTTGCGTAAGCGGCGACCCGAGGACATATGTAAAGCTCGCTGCAGGAGGATCCACACGAATTCTATGCCCCTTTTGCTTTCTGTTCATTCGTTCCATTGTTGAGTATCCGTGCCGGCTGCATCGCCAACAGAGACCTCCCTAAGCAAAGGCTTGGGGAAGCGGTTGGTCTAATCCGAGCTGCCCGTAGAGTCGTCTGATCTCGAAGTGTGACAGCTGGCACCGAGAGTATAGTCTTCCGGCTTCCAGTACTCTGACTCGCTGCAACTAGGACAAGGCCTCTCTTCGAGGATAGCAATGGGCTTTTCGATTCGGGGCTTGACGAATAGGTCCCGTCCGAACTCAGAACGTCTTTCGAAGCCGCGAGGAGCATATTTGACACCCACGCTTGTTTAGGTACTTAAGGGAGTAAGCGAGGCGTTATGTAAAAGAAGGTGAGCGATGGACATCTAGACGACGGCGATCCTACGACTGATTGGATGCGTTCTTAGAGCATAGTTAGCAATGCCGGTTACAATGCACATGATAAACGACCATCTTCGGGAGAAGGAATGAGTTTGATACATACGTTTGTCTGGTGATCGGAGCATCTATGTCAGAGCGACTGTGAAAATCAGGGGATATGAAAAGGAAGCGTCTAAATCCATCAGCGCGATCATATAGTGGCGAGAATACATACCCAAACGCGAGACCGTAGCGAACAGACACTGAAATATAACATCTCCCTTCCATGGACTTGTATGACTTGTGCGACGACGTAAATCACCATGGCGCAATGAGAACATGGAGATGGAGCAAGAAAGCGAGATGTTAAGGCAATTGCATGAAAAGATCACCTATGACCTATCCATTAACTCCCACTGACTGTATGCCAACCCAGGGTACGCCGGCAAGCCCGGTTGTCTTCCAGCAAGAGCCTCATGCCAAAAAGTCTTGCTGCAATGGCTGCACCGTATCGCCGCTCTTCCTCCACCCTCGCCAGCTCGCGCCTAGTATCCGGTCGCCCCAGGTGCATTCTCGTCCTTCCTCAGGCTCAGGAGCAGCTCTCTGAACCGCTGCTTCTCGCTTCCAGAGGCTCCGCCCTTCACGCCCTTTCCGCTCAGATCCACCAGCTTCGCGATGCGCTCCCAGCTCGTGCCACCCGCCGTGGTGTCGTCCCGGTTCGCGAGGAACTCCTCGGCCTCCCTCCTTGTCTTGGCAATCTCCTTCTCCTTCTTGTTGTTGTAGTTGTCGTAGAAATCGTCAATGTTCTGCCGCGCCTCCTCCATTGTCTGCGCCTTGCGCTCGTGGGATACCTCGTCGCGGTGCTGGATCGCCAGATCGCGCCGCTCGCGCCACTCGCGGATGACCTCAGGCTCGGGCGAATCTGACCGCAGGGGAGTGAAGGAGGGCTGCGGCTGGCCGGGGAGGAACGGGAGTGTTGAGCCGGTGATGGTGCCCCCCGGTGCCATGTGCTGTTCTGGTTAGGACCAATCTCAAAAGGCTCTCGTGCGCTCCTAGAACGAATGCGGGATTCCAGCTCGCTCTGTATTTCAGAACAGCCTAATGTGAGGCGCGGGTTCTGAGCTGGCCAGACCGTGCCCGAGATCGCAGGAACGCAACGAAAGCACCGCACGGCTTACCTCGTTGGTGGTGTCAATCGCTGGGAAAGAGCTCTCGAACCCGGCCATCTCCTCGCCGCCGGTGTTGTCCTGGAAGGCCGAGTCGCCGCCTAGCAGGTCATCGTCGCCGTCCTCGACTGTGGCTAGCTTGTCGTTTGCCGACGCGAATTGGTCTGCGTCGTCGCCAAGTACTGCCCGCTCGCGGGAGAGGAAGTCGTCCGCGCCGGCCGCGTCGCCTACAAGATCGATGTTGGCGTCACCGCGTGCCTCGGTGTGGCCTGGGATAGTTCAGCAAGCTGGCGCTGTTTCCGGGGTTGGTTGACTGGCTTACCGGCGTCGAACTCGTCTAATGAAGGGAACCTGTCTGCCATTGTGTGTAGGACGAGATGTGGAGGGAGGCGGGGGTGATAGAAGCTGAGTCTGGGCGATTGGTTGGTTGGCTGTTGCAGTGGATATAAGTTGCGGTGCAGCACCAGGAGGAGCGATCGGGGCTGGCACGGATAAATGTAACGCCGGTCGGAGCGGAGCTTGTCGCAAGTAAAATGCTCCACCTCGACGCGGACTTCCCACAGTCACCAACACAACATCAGCAACCCGCCAAGTAGTCTCGCATCAGCTGGTATATACGTCAGTGGGGGCATTATAGTGTTGTCTAGCTGCCCTGCCCAAGCGGTGCGCTCTCAGCTCGTGCAAGCGGTTTCGAAGCCGAACGCTCGCGTGAGAGCATTGACCGCGCGTCGACTGTTGACTCTCATCGCCCTGTGATCTAATTCAAATGGCTTTCACCGAAGACAGTCTGAGGGCGAAGCTGTCGTCTCTGAACGAGACCCAGGACTCCATCTCGACTGTCGGTCAGTGGATCCTCTTCCACAGGTAATGCCCCCATGGTTCACCTCCCGCATGCAGCCAGCTCTTCCCTCTATGGAACTCCCTCCCATATACCCCATGCCCGCGACTAATCATGCCTGTAGGAGACACGCCGACAAGATTGCCCAGCTCTGGAGCCAGCGGGTCAAGGAATCACCGCCGAACAAGAAGTTAACTCTTGTCTATCTCGCGAATGGTGAGCGGTACCGTCTATTCCAGCTGTTGTCATTGCTGACTGCGCCTGTAGAAATCGTCCAACAGTCCAAAATCCGCAGAAAGGACGAGTTTCTCAAGGCCTACGACCCGCTCATCGCCGAAGGCACCTCTGCCGCTTACAAGGGTTCCAACCCCGATATCCAGAACAAAATTCGACGCGTGGTGGAGGTATGGCGACAGCGACAGGTCTTCAGGCTGCCTATTCAAGAGGAGGTGGAGCGGTCCCTCGATGGTAGGTGCATAAGCTCCTCGTATGGGCCCTCGGCTGACGCACACAGAAATCGATCGGTCGCGCTCAAACCGCAAGCCCGCGCTTGGTGGCTCACTCTTCTCCAACTCCTCCGTACCGCCAGAGCTCACGTCTGTCGCACCCCTTGCCACTTCCCTCCAGAAAGCCGACCTGACCGCAAAACCGGCCATCGCAACCGCAAACCAAGACTACGAGAAGCTCACCAACCCGAACAATGCAATCCCGACTCCACCGATGCACGCGGCCGGCCTCGCGGCGCTCGTCAAGAAGCTTGCGGTGGCTGAGGGAGCTGTTGCTGAAAGCATCAAGGCGCGACAAGCTCTTGTGGATGGACTGGAGAAACTGTTGGAGGAGAACAAGATCAAGCTTGGCAAAGAGGAAGCGCAACTTGCAGACCTGAGGACACGGAAGGATGCTATCGAAAGCCGCAAGCGAGAGGTTGAGGATGCCATCTTGAGAGGTCTCTCTGCCGCGGAGACAAACAAGATCTCTGCCGCACCACTCCCGGGGCTTTCCCAGGCCGAGCCTGACCGACCAAATGTCGAGGAGCTAACCCCGCCGCCCATGGAATCCTTCACCCCCGTCGGCTCCCCAAGGCCGGATATACCGGACGTCCCGGACGATGTCTACAGGGCGCCGCCAGCGAATCCCATGGAACCGGTGGCCGCCGAAGCCCCTCCAGAGGCATCAGCTGTCTCCGCCCCAGCCACCGCTATCGGCCCCGTGAATGAGGCTGCGGGTGCAGACTTGCTACGCGCCTTACAGCACGCCCGGCCGGACGAGCACAATGGAGTATACGGGCAGGGAACTTATAAGAAGAGGAAGATGAGTCGTAGTGCAGCAGAGGATGAGTTTGCGGCGTTTGCTGGCGACCTCGACATGAATGGTATTGAATCGACGCTCGACAAGATGATCTGAGCTTTACTTCTTTCTAAATTCCGGGTCGGTGACAATTATGGAGGATACTCAGGATGCCAGATGTCGAGGAGAATCAAGTCTCACTACGGGGGAGCTCATACGAAGTTCAAGGCGACTTTCAGATGTAGTACACGATCATAGATACTATTACCGGCGTGTAGCCTATAGTACAGTTCCATACTCATTTTCTACTCATCCACCCGTACGGCCATTCATGTACAGCACCAATCCTTCCCTGCTGTAGTAACTAGCGCTATGACTGGCCCGGCATCTTGTGCGTCCTCTCAATCTCCTCCATGGCCTTCTTGCCCTCGTCAGTCGTTGCATCGATGACACCCTGCTCCAGACTCAGCATGCCGCCATCGCCCAGCTTGCCCACAATTTCTTCCGCTTCTTCAACGCTCATCTTGGCTAGCACTTTGTTCACCTCATCCAGCTTGCTGGTTTCCAGCGCCCTCTGCAGGCCCGGCGGGAAGGTCTCGAATAGCTGCCGTGAGCCTTCTTCGGCTGCGCGCACCTCCGGGTCCTCGGCCGTCGACTCCTTGGGAGGCACGACGATGTTGATGGTGGTGTTCGGGTCTACGGCGTGCAGCTGGATCTGCTCGACGCCTTCCTGCGACTGCGGGTTCTCGTCGCGCTCTTTCTTGATCTCAGCGGCGCGGTCGTGGATGCGGCGGTATGTCGAGTCGACGTCGTCGTTGAACAGTTTACTGGCCTGGTGGTCCTTGGTCTGCACCCGCTTGAAGAACATGGCTACGCCGTCACGGCCACCCAGTTGCCGGCAGTACTGCAGCAGCAGTCCCTGGTGCACGCACTGCTTCGCGTGCTTGTGCTTGCCCTCTAGCTCCGAGTTGAATGCTTCCACCAGCAGGCCGTCTGTTTCCTTCTCGCTCAGGATTTGTGGGTGCTGCGATATGAAGTTTAGACACGCGCCCCAGTCGCCGCGCTTGATCTTTGCGAACTGCTTGGCGAGCGGCGAAGCTTCTACGCTGTCGTCGTCGACGGCGGTGCCTTCTTCGATGTCGCCGTCTGCGCCGGAGGACTGGCCTGTGTCGGCGCGCTGAGCGCCGGGGCGTTTGGGTGGGTTGAGCAGCTCTACGGTTTCTTTCGCTGCCGTTGCTGATGAGGCGGCGGCGGGCTTATGCGAATGCTGCACGCTGGAGTAGTTGAAGCCTTCGTGGATATCATCGCTTGTTATGTGCCGCTTCTCTTCCTTCTCCAGCTCGTCCAGCTTCGCCAACAGCTCCTTCTGCAGGCTCTGCACGCGCGCCCTGTGCGATTCCAGCCCGGCGATGAACTGGTCCAGTCGGTTGCCCTCTCCCTTCTTCTCGTCCACCTCCTTCTTCACCTGGTCCACCAAGCTGGCCATCATCTGCGGATACGTCGGCTTCTCCTTGATATGCTCGTGCACGCCTTCCGGCGGCGGCGGCGGCCGATCCTCCCCGCTCGCCATCATGCCCTCCATCATGCTCTGGAACACCAGCTGGTCCGTCTGGCCCGCGTCTCCCGCCCTGTCCTTGTGCGATTTGAGCGAGGTGAGGAGCAGGCCGATGCGCTCGGTGAGGCCATCGTTGATGATGCGCTCGTACTTGAGCGTCTTGATCTGGTGGCGGCGGCGGTCGCGCTCCTGGTGGATCTGGGCTTGTTTGGCGCGGATGAAGGACTTCTTGTCGACGTTGGGGTGCACCTCGATGTCGCTGTCGTCGGAGAGCTCGAGGGCGTCCTGGACATGCATCAGTATACGTGGGGAGAGTATGAGCGACTGGCAGAAGCTTACCCACTTGCTGTAGTTGATCACCATGGTGCGGTGAGGGTATCGTGAGCTCGCTGTGTCCGGAGGTTGGAGCTGTGATGGCGGGGCAGTTGTAGTAGTGGGCTGTGGCGACCGTGCACCTCGAGAAACTTCCAACACCCTTCCTCCTCCAGTCACACCACTCGTTTCGTTCCATCTTGCTGTCTACGCCTTGACAGTGCATTTATTACTCCTCATAATTCCCGGTTTGGACCTATTGCCGCCTACAACGTTGTCTAACGGCCTGTTCCCAAACCTTCGGCATCCCTTGCAGGAGAACTGCGGGCGAGTAACACGATGAACGACGGCATTTCCCGACCGGAATTCACTTTCCCATGTGCTCTGCTTGATACTGCGCTTAGCCTCGCATAGCTCGTGTTCGATGCCGCAAGCAGCACCCCGCAACGTGGGGTCGTACGCGTTGCGGGGCATTCGAGCCTTGGAGGAGCCAGCTTCGTCTACTTGTTCCGCTCTTTCTTCTGCTACATCACTCAATCTGTACTCGCAAGTTCAATCGCCATGGACGGCTCCTGCGCTTGCGGCGCGGTCAAGTTTACCACCCCCTCGAAGAAACCTCTCAACCTGTACCATTGCCACTGTATCGACTGCCGCAAGCAATCTGCTTCTGCCTTCGGCACCTCCGCAATCTTTCCATTCTTCAGCATCGAAGACCACCCCGACGTTACCTACTTCTCCCGCGTGTGTGACAGCGGGCGGCGACAGAAGTGCTATTTCTGCAGCAAGTGCGGGAGCAGAATCCTGCATGCGCACGTGTTCGACGACGGAGACCCAAAAGTCGTTGCTGTGAAAGGGGGTGTACTCGAGGGCTTGGACTGGTCTGGCGGAAAGCATATCTTCTGCAGGACTGCGGTGGTGCCGATTCCTGAGGGAGTGGAAAGGTGGGAAGCTGAGCCGGACTTTGCCAAATATGGGAAGTGAAACCTTTCGAAGAGCCTTGGATCATGTAAGTGCAGGCCTTCCTATCGTTTAGTGCTGGTGTGGTGAAGCTGCTGATGACGTATCGAGGTACATCTGGTTACATTGTGCTGAGGAACTATCTCCAGGCTTCTTAGATGAGCGTCTACGGCAGACCGGGTTCCGCAAGCGCCTTTTAATCTATAATACGTTGTACGTGCCGAAGCCGAAGTCTGGAGAAAGGTCGACCCGGGTTGTAAATGAGATCACGTGGGATCTACCTTTTGATACATGCGATATCTATCTCCACCAATCACACCACCTTCAAACATCCTCCAGCCGCCAATCAGACTTTCGTTTCACAGAACCACCATGCGTCGTCACCGCCAGCGTAGTTTCTAACGCTTTTTTTCCTCGGCTACACGTCTTCAGCCCTACACCTACTTTCAATGCTTGCTATAGAACTGTCACCCGACTCATAAAACCACCAACCGGCGCCCTGCCCGCTCCTTGCTCATGCCTCGCAAGCCGTTGATTTCCTCCGTCTGGAAGTGTGTGGAGATTCCAAGATCCGCACCATCCTGTTCTAGCGCGTTTCGTTTAATCTATTCACTATCCTTCATGATCACCTACAAGGAATTTTGCCGTGGATGTTTCGATGCGGTGGTACCTGTACCACATGGCGCTGCCCTTCAATCAACGCCTATTGATGCCGGCATCGATATATAAGATGAATTTACCCGCCTATCTTCACCCTTCGGGCCATCCAGCACCAGGATTTTCAGCCTATATTTCGCTATTTCTACTTTTCCATTCTCTTCTTCACTCGAGTACCGGTCGTTATCCTCCACACGATGAAGTACCTCCTCGGCACCCTCGGCCTCGCCGCTGCCGTCGCAGCCCATGGCTACGTTGACAACGCTACGATTGGCGGCCAAGTCTACACGTTCTACCAGCCATACCAGGACCCTTACATGAGCCCGGTTCCCCAGCGCATATCTCGTCCTATCCAGGGCAATGGCCCCGTCACCGACGTCACGCTTTCGGATCTGCAGTGCGGCGGATATACTGCAGGCGGCATCAGCGGGTCTTCGCCTGCTGCTCTTCATGCCGCCGCTGCTGCCGGGTCTGAGGTCCAGCTCCGGTGGACGCTGTGGCCCGATAGCCATGTGGGGCCTGTCGTGACGTACATGGCCAGGTGCCCTGATGCAGGCTGCAATAGCTACATGCCAGGGACTGCGTACGCTCTCCTCCCCACTACGGAAAGCTAAGCTGATATGAGACGCAGAGCTGTGTGGTTCAAAGTCAAGCAAGAAGGGCGAACCGGTACATCGAACACCTGGGGCGATACTCCACTCATGACCGCCGGACATGCGGCAACCTACACCATCCCGAATTGCCTCAAGCCGGGCTACTATCTAGTCCGCCACGAGATCATTGCGCTGCATTCCGCGTATGAGTATCCCGGCGCGCAGTTCTATCCCGGGTGCCATCAGCTTAAAGTGTCCGGATCTGGAACCACCACGCCCAGCAGCCTCGTCGCGTTTCCCGGTGCCTACAAGGGCAGTGATGCTGGTATCACATATGATGCTTACAAAGGTATGTGGTATACTCCGGGGGAAGGCTTAGCTGACAATTTTAGCTACTACGTACACTGTTCCTGGTCCGGCGGTTTTCACCTGCTAGCCAGCTCTCTTCAGCGAGGCTATCTCATGAACGTTTACACTTCATTGTATATATTCGCTTCTTCGTGCATATCTCTTTCTCAAACAGGCCGCATATGTCCATTGTTCCTCTTCGTCCCTCAAAAACTTCAACATCGTGTCTTCACAGTGTTCTGCACCCCTGGAAAGATGCCCAGCCCAGCATAGCCGCTGTGAGCTCGCAGTCACACTTCACAATGAACTCGTGAAGCTTTGCGAATACATAAACCTCCACACCTACCTTCCACCATCCCCAGACCACGACGCTGTCATAGATCAAAGTGCCGACTGCAGTCCATCATTTGTCTCTGTATTACACGATTCATAACATCTTCCCTCGCAGGTAGGTAAGCATGAGCCCCCTCCGCAAACAAATGTTTGTGAAACTCCAGAGCTCCTCTTCCCGCAAGAAGAAGGTCGCGCAGGAGACGCCCACTACGAAGGCCGGCTCTTCAACCAGCAATCGCGTTCCACGTCACTCAGCACCTTCACGTGCCACGGTCGCCAGCGGCGTTTCAAAGCCCAGCGTCGATGCTTCCACCTCACCCGAATTGCAGCTCAACCCCACACACCTACCGTCCTGGGCTGAAATCCTCTCTTACGACCGCATGGAAGCCGAACTCGAGCGTCTTCGGGCTGGACAGGGGCAAGCGGAGCATAGTGCGTGGATCGTGCACGAGAAGGCTGGTGCTGACCGATCCCACACTGCGGGGGATGCAGCGCCTTTTGTGCCGCTGAATCTGAGGGAGGAGCAGGCAAAGAAGAACGAGGCTAAGGACAGAAAGAGGGAAGAGAGGAAGCCGGTTTGCCGATACTGGAAGCGGGGCGAGTGCAAGAGTAGAGCGACGTGTGGGTTCGCGCACCCGGCGGAGATGTCTGGTGTGGACAAGCCGCAGGGGCGGAGGGAGAATATGAGCGGTAGCTGGCGGAGCGGTGGCTTTGACCTGGTGACTGCCTGAGAAGTGGTGTGCCAGCTTTTGGCGCATGATATTTTCTTCAAATTGTATTTCGGTCCTGGGAGCTAACCTCTTTTTCAATATCCTTTTGCGTTGGATCATTCTTTTGGTGAGGGAGATCCCTCCTTTCACTTTCCTCATTTAACCCATAATATAGAACTGTTACCATTGAATGATGTTCCTACCTAAATGGTCTTCCAAATGCCCTACCTTAGCAACCATACCTTCACAAAGCTAGCCGAATCCCTCCGGGCAATTAGATACTTACCTTCAGCCTTTCTTCCCAAGCCGATCTTTCGTGCGGTACCAAGCCTCGACAGTAGCATCCACCACCTGATTCTTCTTACCCTTCCACCAGCGCTTCATACGCTCTGTAACTGGCATTTGCATCACATGCTCCGGAAATAGAGGATAGCTGTGGTTTTCGTGGCAGTACGGACATGTACCGCGCTCGTGGGTAGGAGAATCCATTCCCAGGTCCCCACAAATTGGCCTCGAGGAGTGGTTCCGGTCGTGTAGCGGATATGGAGAGGGTGGGCGTCGATGAGCTCCCTTCTGGTGGCGGTGGAATTTGTTCACCGGTTGGCGATGGAACGAGTTTACGAAGTGATCTTCGCTATTGATGCGAAAGGCGGGCAGGGGGCTAGGCGGGCAGGAGCGGTAGTGCTCGCGGCGGTGATCAGAAAACGTCACGGATCGTTGGCCTGGGAGTCGAATATGCGCAGAGGGGCTCGACATAGGAGACTCGAGACGATATCCTGACCGAGATCCGTACAGCAACTTCTCCGCTGTCCCGCCGGGTCCGCGCTGTTTACTTGCTGTGGCCGGAAGTCGGAGGCCGGGAAGGCCAAGGCAGGGGTGCCGCCGCCCAGCTGAGGAGGTTGATGTCCGTTGAGTGCGGTTGCGGTTGCGCTCGCCAGTGCCGAATGAAGACAGACTTTGTACGAGGCTACTGGTGCCGCAGAGGCCTTGAGCTTGTATGGCTTACTCATTATTTCGGTTGGCATGCTGTTTCCTGTATTGTTGGGGGAAATTTGATAATGTATTCACTGTCATAACGTGTTTGCGGTCACGATGTTGCAAAGTGACTGGAGTGGCCGCGCACTCGGACTTGTTCGGTATGCATGAGGGATGACTGTGAAAACATGATGAAAATGGCTGTTGGAAGGAATAATGGAACAGAAATATGCAGCGGCGAAGAAAGCGATTTGTCGCGAAACTCGACATACAAACAACTCTTCTCACCGAGGATTCGACAGTTGAATGGGCGGTTGACGGCTTTTTGAACGCTTATATAATCAGTCCTCGTCGGGAAGGAAGCTGCTTCTCTCTGAGGACCTTGATGTCGTGCTCGGCCAATGATGTGAAGCCCAGCTGAAGCGAGCGTCGTATAAATTCCAGGCTCCTCCCTTCATCTCTCCTTCATCCACTTCATGTCACCTACTACCTAGCCGAACAAGAGGCGCTCGTGCGCTAAGAGAAAACAGTTCGACGGAACTGGCTTGGAGTCGGCCGGTCGTCAGCCACCATGGCTCCCTGCGATTCGAAAGCCGCAAAAGAGGTTGTGACAAGGCGGCACATGCCTAGGCGGGCGTCGGTGAAGATTGGGTGAGTTCGTCGACCGCGGGGGTCGTGCGTGCCGACGGCGGCTGACTAACACCCGATCAGGAAGGTCCGTAGGCTTTGGCCGTCATCCTCACTGGTGTGCATCGGTGGCGCCGAGTCCTTGTCCATTGCTTGCGTGAGCTTATCTCGGCTCTTGCTTGGTGACATGCACGTCGTTCCTGCGTCGCCGGCCAACACGGCCGTCTATTAAAAGCTGCGGGACCTCGTTCTTCCTGCATCGCCTCCATTCGTTCTTCGCCAGGATGCGATCTTCCACGCTCCTTGCTGCCGCTGCAGCCATCGGATCTTCCCTGGCCTGTGAGGGAGACCATAGCTGCTATGGCGAGCCTCAGCACGACGTCGTTCTGACCCGGAATGTCCGACGAATGCAGCCTGATGCGCAGAATGCCACGACAGGACCAAAAGGGCCCCTGGAATGGGGCCAGCTCAATTTCCTGCATACCACCGACACTCATGGCTGGCTGGAAGGTCATATCAAGGAGCAGAACTACGGTGCGGACTGGGGAGACTACGTGAGCTTCACCAGGGTCATGAAGCAAAAAGCCAGGAGGCTTGGGGTCGACTTGCTGCTCGTGGATACAGGAGTACGTTCCCCACTTGATTCCATATCATTAGTCATCAGGGAGATCTTCAACCGGCAATGTTGAATCGAACTGACGCTTGCAGGATTTGCACGACGGCGCCGGCCTCAGCGATGCCACGGAACCCAACGGAAACGTCTCAAACGCCGTCTTCGAGAACGTCGACTACGATCTGCTGACCATCGGCAACCACGAGCTCTACGTTACCGAGATTGCGTATGAAACGTTCAGCAACTTCTCCAAGGTGTACAGCGACAGGTATCTTACGAGCAATGTACAAATCGTCAACCCGGCCACGGGCGAGTTTGAGTACATTGGAGCAAAGTATCGGTATTTCACCACTGAGCATGGTAGGCACCGATCCGTTCATTTCTTCATGGCCGCGAGCTAACGCTTGAACAAGGCCTCAGGATCATGGCGTTTGGTGTTCTTTTCGACTTTACGGGCAACTCCAATGTCTCCAAAGTCATCAAGGCTGCATCCCTTGTTCAAGAACCGTGGTTCTTGGAAGCCGTGAATTACACGAAGCCGATTGACCTCTTTGTGGTTATTGGCCACAATCCGGTGCGGACAAACGTGACTAGCAGCACCTTTGGTACCCTGTTCAGCACCATCCGGAAGGTGCGACCAGATGTGCCTGTTCAGGGATTTGGTGGGCACACGCATATCCGTGACTTTGTTGTGTATGACAACAAGGCGACCGCTCTAGAATCGGGTAAGCTCTGCATATGGCATCTGACCGTCCAAGTGTTTAGCGGTACTGATGACATTCCTAGGTCGGTACTGTGAGACTCTCGGGTGGCTTGCCATGTCTGGTATCAAATCCTCGACTTGCAAGGCAAAGAATCCCAAAGGTGCCCCGAACCCAACCAAAAGCGCCATTCCGCCGGCGAGCACAGGAACAGCGAGCGTGCATCTTCCTAGTTCGACGACGCCTTCGGATCTGCGATACGCACGACGGTATCTAGACTGGAACCGCCTGACGTTCGCTTACCACGCGGAGGGAAGCCAGCCTTATATGGCCTTCGACACGCCCAGGGGCGTTGGAGTGACCCATGATATCACAACGGAGCGGGCTAGGCTCAATCTGACGGACCTCTACGGATGTGCTCCGGAGTCGTACTGCCAGTTCTGCAGACCATTCCTAGCACCTGGCAACCTTTTCGGGCTGCTGCAAACCGCTCTCTCCACGGTCGTAGTGAATGAAACCAGGAAGGACATTCCGCGGCTTGTCATAATCAACACGGGTAGCGTACGCTTTGACCTTGCCAAAGGCCCGTTCACCTACGACGACTCCTTCATCGTGTCTCCGTTTTCAGATGCCTTCCAGTTCCTGCCCAATGTACCATACTCGCAAGCATCCAAGGTGCTCGACATCTTAAACGCCGGGCCGTTCCAGAAGAAGCGCGACCTTCCGGCATCCGACGTCAGATCCTCCACAGTGCTTGCGGACCGCGACATCTGCATTGACCCGCCGCTCATGCACAGCTTCGAAGGGATGCAGAAGAGACGGAAGCCGAAAGGCCGCCTCATCCGGCGCCAGTCTACCAACCCATCACCTGGATACACCACGACCGACGACTTCGGCACTGATGGCGACGATACAATCCACTCCCGCATCCCGTACTACTCCCAGCCCAACGACCTGCAAGCCAACGCGTCCTTCCCAACCGATGGTTCCATGCCGGAGACTGTTGACCTAGTCTTCCTCGACTTCATCGCCAGCTACATCATCGATGCGCTGAACCAGCCCGACGTGGGTGGAGACTATACGGAGGACGAGGTTATCTACTACATGGACAAAAGCTTCACCACGAACAGCTACCTGCCAGCGTATGCGAAGATTGCATGGCAGGCCAATGTGCCCGACTGCCCTGTTGGATCCGGAATCGGCAGCGCCAAGAGGTCTGTACACGGCGCTAGGTGAGATAAACGGATGGTGGTTATAACGAGCACATGTACGGCCTGCGATGAGTCGATGGGCATATGGAAGTACACATAATTCGTTCCTTTTCAGCTTGAAAGAGGTGAGGAGAGACATACAGGCCGCAGCGACGGGGCAGCGCGTACACATGCCAAGCTTAACCTGCTAACCGCTCTTTCCTCCGTCTTTTATTCGTGCCCTGAGGTCGACGTTGGCTTCGACCGCTTTTTTAGCTTCGAGACGATACCCCAATCTCAACCTACCGTCGCATCTGCTCTTCGAAAAGCAGCCGAACCTAGTCAGGCTCCCTTATCGCTTGCTTGACGTATCTGGCCGACGAGCTCCTTCTCGAGGCCCTCCGGGCTCCCGTCTCTCTTTCGCGGGTATCCAGGCGATTTCGAGGCTTGCGGAGGAGGCAGTACATATTCAAACCCGCGCTCCTGGCATGCTGACGCAATTCGAGCTAGTGTGCGTCCTCTTAAAAGAAGCCCTGGGGATCCCATATTGCCCCTTGGCGCCATGTATGTTATATTATCGAATGCCCGGGATACAACTTCTACGGCCTCATCACAACAAACGCATCCCATCTGGAGTTCTCAAAAGCAACATCAAGCGCCTCCTCCCACTCAACAAAGCCGTACTCTCCCTTCAACCCAATGCCTCCCTTTTCTCCAATCTTCAGCATCCCAGCCTCCACCAACTTGATCAACGCAAGGATCTCGTCTCTCCCGTACATCCACTTGCCCTTCAGCACCAGATCCTTCTGCATCACGAGAAAAATCGGAATCGGGACGTCTTCATGGATACCACCCATGAAGCTTACCCTTCCACGGCGTTTGAGCGCATTGATGCAACTCTTGATGAGTGTCGACTTTGCAGCTTCCGATGGCGATATCTCCAGCACGGCATCGATGGGTCCGCCCGCTGCTTCCGTAAGCGCTTTGGAATCGTGCTCCACGTTCTCCGTGATCTTGACGGTCTTCACCCTGGCCCCAAACGTATCCACAAGCGCTTTCAGCTTCGACTCCGTACGCCCCATAGCTATCACCGATGCACCCATCGCCACAGCGCATGCCACACCCGCACCGCCAAATCCGCCAGTAGACGGAGCCACCACCACCGTCTCACCAACCTGGACCCCGATATCCTTCAGTCCCCCATACGGCACAAGGTATCTCGTCAACGTCGCCAGATCCGACATCTTATATCCCAGTTCCCCCACCAGCTTCTCTTCATTCAACGGAAACACGACTTCGAGCGGAACGCGCGTATACTCTGCCCACGTGCCATCACGCCACACATCTTTCATCAGCTTCTGGCTGCCCTCGGTAAAGCCTCCCGCCAGCCCGCATAAGATGATATCATCGGGGTTGTCGCGTGAGTGGATGGTGCAATCTATGTGCACAAGCTGTCCAATCTTGAGTGACGTGGAGTCCGGTCCGAGTGCGGCGACGCGGCCTACTGCGCTGCTGCCCGGGACGATGGGCGTGACGTAGGGGTACTTGCGCGTGCCGTTATAGACTTCCTTGGCGTAGCTGACGACGGGCGTGGAGAGGATTTTAATAACGGCGCTCCCGGGGATGGCGTCAGGGACCGGGATGCTCTTTATCTCGAGGGGCTGGGCGTAGGTAGTTTGCACGAGGGCCGATTGGGTCTTCGGGAGAGGATTGGAAGCCATTGTTGAAGAGGCCTTGTGTCAAGTCGGTTTGGAAGTGACCTTGGAGGACAGAGACCGTACGGCTTGCCTTTGCACCAAGCATTTATGGACTTCGCTTGCTTACTGCGTGTCTTGGATGCGGTGTTGCGAGCTGGGCGGTCTTTGGGTTAACTCCACGCAAAGTCCGAACGTCCTGCACCACGATAGTTCTTGTGTGCAACCTACACGTTGATTGGAGCACAATGCGAGGTACGGATGGGTGATGATGGTCTGAGAAGAAGGGATGGCGTTTCCGGAATGATTGTCCTGCCGGTGATGAGTAAACACTGTCTCCGTCGCCTGAGCTGTAGAGAGTATACGGGAGATTTCCGTACTACTGAATGGTGCGTCTACGTTCCATGATTGCTGCTGGTCTTTGGCATGCGAGTTGTGCTTCACGACTTTCCGAATCGGGCCAGTTAGCAGGGTCGACAAAGATGAGGAGCGACGTCGGAAACGACAAGACGGATCCTTGTTCGGCGAGAGACTCGCTGTTCAAGCCAACGTTCTCTTTCAAACTCCGTATTCCCATTAGAGATCACCTTCATCACCCTCTTCTACGAAGCTGACTATACGCGCTATTGTACGCACCTGCGAAGGCCTCCAGGGTGGCTGTTACGTGCGTCGTGATATCCAGGGATTTCCACATCGTGTGGGGTAGCTGTGCTCTGCGTTAGACCGCCATATTTCCGTCGGACCCAGGCCTTTCCATACTTGCTCGCTCGTCGCATTGGTTTGCGATTCATACTCGGCAAGCAATGCTCATTGGCTGTCGATGCCGTAGGATCATGCGGCTTACATAGGCTACCAAGCGATATGTCAGCCTCCGCACCGTCGGGCATTGCGGCGCGGGCTTATTAGTCCGAGCTGTGCCGCAGAACATATTTCAGACGCAAACTCCCGTTCTCGCGAGATGAAAGAGCGTACACTCTTCCCATGCCATTGCGTGCCCTACGAGCATCAAGCCGAAACATTAGATACCCGTTTTCATCAACCAGTCCACGCGCGTCGAGACGACTGACATTGCCCGCCATGAGCAACAGAGCTGCATTCTTGGAGTCCGCAAAGGGCGGCTTCGCTATTCGGGATGCAGAGACCGGGAAGCCTGGTGAAGGAGAAGTGCTGATCAAGGTAAGCTGAAAGGATTTGAGCGCGGGTACCCAAAACCTTGGAGTTCACCATCCCAGGTTCATGCGGCATCGATCCAACCGGCCGATGCAAAGGTTGCTAGACTAGCAATGCTTACGATGGAGTACCCTTGTGTTCTCGGTAGCCCGGTCGCTGGAACGGTGGAAGCGCTGGGGGCTGGAGTAAGCAAGGTTGCAGTCGGGGAACGGGTCGTATGCGGAACCAAGGTGTTCGTCCACAAGAAAGCAAAGTATGGCGGACTCCAACGATTCACGGTGGTGGACGAGTCTGAGGTCATTGAGGTGAGTACAGAGGGGACAAAACATCTCCCCCGGAATCGTCAGGGGCTTTCGAGAGAGGCGCGACTGACGCATCTGCGTATAGATTGGCGACACCGAGTACGCAAAGGCCGTGACGCTGGCTTCATACACGCCGCCAGGTGCCCTGTTCGGTGGATCCACGCTGAACATGCATTTTCCGTCCATTCCGGCGGCGCCGTTGCCCGCCAGCGAGGAAGGCAAGAAGATTCTGATTTGGGGCGGGTCCTCGGCCATGGGCGCTCTTTCCATCTCCTACACGAAGCAGGCCGGATACACTGTCATCACCACCTGCTCGCCACATAATTTCGACCTCGTCAGGTCTCTCGGCGCCGATTATGTCTTCGACCACAGCGACCCAGCAACAGTGGAAAAGATACGCGATCTCTTTCCAATCGACTACTGGTTCGACACGGTTTCTCTCCCGCCGACCCTGAGGACCATTCTCAAAATCCTGGCGCCGGAAGGCGAGCCGGTCACCAAGGTAGACATCCTGATGCTGCTTCCGCCGGCGATGCCTGGAATGCCCCAGCTGCCGGAGGGGGTTACGGCGCGTATGCACCGCTTCTCGACGCACTCGCCTGAGAACGCAGGCTGGCAGAAGTGGTTCCTCGCTCGTGGAGGTTTTATGGAGCAGGCGATAAAGAGCGGGGTGTTGAAGGGCGTGCCGCCGCAAGTGATTGGCGGTCTGGATAAGGTTCCTGAGGGGATCGAGATGGTGTACAAGGGCGTGAGCGGGAAGAAGGTTGTCATTGATCCGTGGGCGTGATTACGCGTGTCATGTGCGCCGATCTCAGTCAAGCAAGCCTGACATGGTGGTCTGCTTTTTGTAGGTCGGGATTCCTGTCGTCATACGGACTGAAACGGACGGATGTGCGGTTTGGAACGTCCAAAAGCCCAATGAGCAGCTGTGTTGCGTGTGCAAGAAGTGTGCAAGTGTTGAATGCCCGGCATTTGTCAGCGGATACGGGAAGCGGTTATCCGTGTCAGAAAGTCAGAAAACCAACAGAAAGGTAAACATCGAAGAGGCGCGAGTTAGGCACAGGAGAAACTGGTTAAAAGCGCTGTGTGTGCTCACCTTACGTGTGCTCAGCCATCTTGCAGAAGGCGACTGAATGCACCGTGAGAGCCACGACCGCAAGGGAGCAGTGGACAGCGATTGCCATCATGGCGTACCCAAGCACCTGCCGTTCCTTTCGGCGCACGACAGGCCCGTACCCGCTTTCGATCGTGCCGGCCACCGAGACGCTGCCCGAATCACTTGCACCCCACGATGTCCTTATCCGCATGCACGCCGTAGCCCTCAACTACCGCGATATCGCCATGCTGCAAGAAGGGGGATATCCTGCCCCAGTCGCGTCCGGTGGTATTCCAGCAAACGATTGCGCTGCTGAGGTGGTTGCGGTTGGCGACGCTGTGCAGACGTTCGCCATCGGAGACCGCGTGGCGCCGACTGTGGATCTTGCAAACTTGACCGGCAATGAAAGGAACAATGATCTCAAAGCGACGGGTGGTAACCAGCCTGGGGTGCTGACCGAGTACTCCGTGTTCCAGGACAGCGTCTTGGTGAAGCTGCCGCGGCACCTATCCTGGGAGGAGGTAGGTGCTACTTGTAATTCCGACGGTGACTGGCTTCCGCAGGCGGCTGACAGAGCGCGCAGGCTTCGGTAATTGCGTGTGCGGGCGTGACGGCATGGGTAGCTCTAGGTGCACTCAAAGATGTGAGAGACGACACGACTGCGCTCATGCAAGGTGCGAATGCGTTCATACCAGGAGGCTGCTCCCATATAGCTGTTTACTGACCTGGCTAGGTACTGGCGGCGTCAGCATGTTCGCGCTCCTTATCTGCCTGGCTGCGGGCATCCGGCCCATCATCACTTCTTCTTCTGATTCCAAGCTGGCACAGCTCCAGAAGCTCAGCCCCAAGATCGCCGTAATCAACTACAAGAAGCATTCGAATGTCGCGGCGGAAGCACTGCGCCTGACTGATGGAAAAGGCGTAGACTACGTCCTCAATGTCACCGGGACAGCGTCCATTCCATCTGACTTGGAGATGCTGCGGAAAAGAGGCGGCAGTGTCGCTCTGATAGGCTTCCTTGAAGGTCTGCACGCTGACTGGAAGCCGGACGTCCTCCTCGGCTTCTTGATAAAGGCAGCTAAGCTTCAGTAAGTAGCTGGGCCATTTCGTCTTCCCTTGCTCTTCGTGGACTTTAAATATATACTGATCAGTGCTCAGGGGAATCCTAGCTGGCTCGAGGGATGACTTCGCGGCTCTGAATAAGTTCTTGGAAGCGAAGACGGTCCACCTGGATTCCATCATTGATCGGACGTTTGCCTTCGAAGACTCCGTAGCAGCATTCGAGTACCTGAGGTCCGGAACGCACGTAGGCAAAATCGTGATTAAATTTTGAGTGGATTGAGGGGGCTTTGAACGAGGCGGAGGACGAGGTCTCACGGTGTGGACGTGCGTAACGGCCATCCTGGAGGCCTTCGCAGTGTATACAATGCCAAGGAGAGTTACTTCTAGGAGCGTGGCGAGCCCTTGAATTGGGAGAATCCCCTACCGCGCGAGGGTGGCGGCGGGAGGCGTCGGCGCAGTGACCTTGGAAATTCGGTTGCAATAGGTCAACGCACCACCAACCAGTCTAGGCTAGCGAGCACGACGACGTCCGATGCGCTTCGTAACTGCTGCTATGCCCATTCACGTTTTGAACAGAGACGCTGCAGCGCTCTCGACTTCCGTTCCCCGTAGCCCGACTCCAGTCTGGTCTATCCTCGCTCCAGCTGCTGAAGGCCTAAGTGTAAAATGCAACCCCTCCACACTCATTTGGAATACAGCATGCCTCATCCCTATGGCGACGTCGGTCTTGAAGTATGGGGTCCACCATGTCTAACCCAAAGCCTTCTATTGGTGAGACTACCAAGACTAACACAATCGACGTCGCCAACGCAACGGGAGGTGCTTTAGCGTCAGGGTCGACGTCTGGAAATTGGAATTGTGATCCAAATTTTGGAGGCGCGGAGGCGGTACCCCGCATTCGTCCTCCATTATCCGACATCTTTAGATCTGAGAGCAGGCTCCCGGCGACACGGAAGCTAGTAAGTGTTGCGGGGTTGATAGAGGTTGCGGAGAATGTTTGAGGGATCGCGGGGCCCCTCCCACAGTTTCCCTACACCAAGTCCTCTATCGAAAGTACGCACCCCACGGCACTCCTAATGAATGGAGACAAGATCGAAACATGTCTCATAGGACACCACAGGATAGAAAACATACATAACGGGAAGGTCGCCAGCGGATCTGTTAAAGCGGGCGGACAAGATAAGCCGGCCCCGGGCGAATACGTCAGATGGGATGCGGAGGGCGTCGAAGTTGTCCAGCCGGAGGAACGGGAGAAGATCCAGGCCGTTGTGGGCTGAAAAGGCGGGATAGGTAGCATGGTGACTCATCGTAGTGAAACCGATGCAGGAGATGCCAGCTCTAGGCGTTGATTATGCTTTCCTAGGACGTAAAGTGCAGCCCGGAGTCCTTTAATCCACGATACGATAAAATGCGGCAACCCCACTATAGCTCGAAGGCCTCCGGCCCTCCGGATGCGTGGAAAGACACCTGCTTCTAATTTCCAACAACCAAGGTCGCTGCGACCCACCATGCTACGTCGAATCTAGCGGGATTTAGAACTGTCGCGGATTCTCACATAGAGACATGCGCTAATCAATGCCAGAAATACCGAAGGGAAAGGATGGCCATTTGCGCCACAGGACACTCAACCCGCGGGAAATGAGCATCGAAAGCGCTTGACTTTGTTAGCGAGTCCGGGAATCGATGCTGCTAAAAACGGCCAGAAGCGCAAGTAGAACTGCCCTAGTCAGCTTCCATACAATTCGTACAACGCAGATCCTTGAACTCACCGGTTGCAATGGTCAGAATGAAGCTGGCCACAGTGAACGCAGTCTGAATGTCTCCGCCTCTTGCGCTGCAGATAATGCCGACCATCGTAGACAGAATACACGGCATGGTACCAGCAATCGCAATGCGCGTGCCCTTCCATCCCTCGACGAAATTTAGCGCATGGCGTCTATTCGGCTGTCGCAACCGAAACACCCACTCGATCCAGTCTGTCTCTGAACCGAATTCCGAAGGATGATTATATGCGTACAGGACCTCCCTCATGATATATTCATCCATGGGAATGGGGGTAGGCCACGTATCTGCAGTGTACTGCGGGATTAGTCAGCGTGATGAAGTTGAGAGTCTCCGCGGTTGCAACTCACCGAAAGTAGTCGAAGACGGCGCAGAGTCTTCAGAGAAAAGAATCGCCTCCAGAAGCCACACGTATCCCTCAAATAGCGTCGTCGAAGCGCCTCAAACAGTTCACCATCCGCTGCGATTAGTGCTGGTGTTCCGGCCTTTGCTTGTTGGTACGCTTCTTCGGTGTCGAATTTGCTCCGTGCGGTTACCCGGATCTGGCTCATACGGCACCCCCTGGTGTAGCAAACGAGATTAAGAGAGCAAGTTGGATTCGGCATGCTGGTGTCATTGCCTTGAGCGTACGCCGTCGCCGCATCCTGAAATTCCAGAACGGCAACTGCTGGCGGCACAGCTTCGGGATCTTCAAGATTACCAAAAGGGTCCACGACATGAGAGCCCGGTGGAGGATCTGTTGGTCGCTTGATGAGCTATCTGATTGGTGCGTGAGGCTCTACAGGGTCCACAGAGACGATGGCGGTCCAAATTCCTGTCTTCTTCTCTCTCAGCAGCTGCGGCCGCTCTGTCAGCTCTGTAGGTTCTTCGCAGATTGGCGGCTCTGATTTTTCGAGTGCTGGCTCCGCACGGGCCTCCGATATCTTGCTGTTGCTGACCCCTTCGGGAACGAACGTTTGCTGCGCTTGCTGCGACTGTCGCTCCAGATTTACGGCGGTCACCTGCGGGCAGCAGTCATTCTGACCATATCAGACGACATGTCGGCGTGATAAGAAGGCACGCGAGGCATCGTAGTAAGCAAACATACTCTTTCTCTTATAAAACGAACGACGCACCTGCAGCCACATCCTCATCAAAGCCTCATTTGGGAAATCGAAACCTCCAAGCCTCTACTCTTCTCCGAGACACTATGCGTCCTCTCAAGGAAATCCGCCAGGAAGCAAGGAGAATGAAGAAACAGAACCCCGCCGGCATGCCCGATACAATCACAAGCCTCAAAGCCGAGTTCGTGCAATTACTCGCTGAATGCAAACAGCTTAATTCAAAGCTTGCCGACAACTCTGCTGTCTGGGCCGAGCTGAAGAAGAAGCGAGCGGAATGCGCTGAGAAGTATATCCTTCATGGAAGGCTGTCAGCGATTTGCAGGGAACTCGTGCAAGTGGCTAGAGCGGACAGGGAGGCGAGGATGGAGAGAAAGAGGGGCAGGGAGGCTGGCGAGGATGATGACGAGGTGGAGGTGACGAAGAAGCTGAAGGCGGAGTTTGAGATCGAAGAGGCGTTTGAGAGAGCTCGGAGTGAGGTGAGGGAGGTGGGAGTCGAAGTCGAGACGGAAATGGAAATGGAAATGGAGGATGCGGGCACCGATGAGGAGGCAGTGATATGAGGAACAATTGCCCGTATGAGCTCGTTCTCGGTGTCTCCGTGAGGCGGCTTTTAGTCGACAGAGCTGTGTGAGCGCCCAGTTCGGCGGCGGAACCCTCGTTGCAGGCGTCGAGATAGCAATTTCGCACCTAAAGATCCCTATAGCTCTTCCTCGTTCCAAATGCTAATTACTTCCACTGTTGAAGGTATCCTCGCTCTGGTGTTCGCTTCTCGTGAGGAGCTCGTACGTTGGGAAGGCACACGTTGCGCTCTTGCCGCATTCGGCCACGCTAGGCTCTGGATACATTGGCTAGATGTCCAGCCAAAGATTTTCCTTTCTCCTTCACCACACTTCTCTGCTCTTTGTTCCACTTCGTACTGAGCTATAGCAGTTCGGATTAGCTATATTTTCAAGTTACACTCACACACTCACACACTCACGCCCGAAAAAATCAATTAATCAATCAACCCTCACGCCCTTCGCCACCACTCTTCCGCGTGTCCTCCAAATCCAACACTCATGCGGCTAAATGGCTCACGCAGTACGGATATCCGCTGCCATCCGCACTCGTCACAATACTCGAGGCTGGAGAAGAAAGAGGAAGCGCACAAGAAGGAGCTTGAGGCTAGGGAGGCCGAATTCCAGAAACAGCTTGGGGAGAGGAACTCCCAGCTGGAAGCCCTTCGGGGGTGAAAAGACAATGCTCGAGGCCGAACTGGAAGCCTTTCGAGAAGAAAACGCCGCGCTGAACGCCGTCAACCCACAGTCCCCGTCCCAGACTACAGGAAGCCTTCCCTAATCGTCCTATTCACGACTTCCGACCTTGCATTAGAATACAATGGATGTTGAGGCTCGAAAAAAAGCAACTAAGCGCATGGCTTCGTCTTTGGTCCTTGAAGGCAACCATGCTAATACATACCTCCACAGAACGGGAAGCCACCGTCGTGAGGTCGCAAAGCTCGAAGAGGACGTGAAGTTGGGTCTATAACTCGGCAACCGAGTTACCGAGCTGCTGAAGGAACGGGCCCAAATTCTGGGAATTGAGTCGGAGGGCGAGCAGGAGGAGCAGGAGACAGGAGACCACGGCGACTCCATGGATGTATCGTGAGGAAGGGCAAAGAACTTGGACGTAAGGGAATCCTTGGCATGTTATAGTTTATGAAGGGAAAGCTACCAGATCTTAATAAAATCCCTCCGTCTTAAAGAAGTAAATAATGAGTATTGCAAATTCCCTTCGTTTCTGCCAACTTTCCTTTGATTACTGTGAGTTTTCTTCCTGTAGTATTAGGTTTTGGTCACGTCTTGGAGATCGCTCAAGTCCAAGTCCTTTTGCCACCCTAGATATTGTTACTTTTCTTATACTCAATGCGCCGTCGAGTGGGGAGGAGAAACCGCCGGCGTGGGTTATGCAAACTCAGCGTCGTTTGTCTCCAAAACTATCCCCATTTGACACGTTTCCTGGCTATCCATGGGTGGCTGAGACGAAGCCGACTCAGGGTTCTCACTAATCTCGTCCACAGCCTCTATCAGCTTTCGTGCAGCCTCCTCAAACCCTGCCACACTGCCTCCTCTGATCCATGGTTTCGTGACACGTCTACCCAGCTCCCTTCGATCAAGGTAGATCGTGATCTTATATTTCTTGAGCTCACACTCCGGCGCATTGCAATCGCAATACTGGTAGCCACAGACAGAAGGGCCGCTCACGGCGATGAAGATTTCGTTTGGCGTTACGGAGGGCCGGACGGTCCGGAATAAGTTTGCAAGTCTTGCTGATGCACGGGTTAGATATAGACACAGAACTTTGGGAGGGTGCTCTGCACTTACGGGCCATGGTGTCGAGCTGAGATGCTGGAATCGACCCAGTCAGAGAGAGTCGGAGTCGCTCGTCGAGAAAGGCGTGGAGCGCGTCTGTCATCATGGCTGAGGAAGAGTTAAGTGTATGAGTTAGCTGCTTTCCTTTGCGAAGGCTGAATTGAGAGTGCGAGGAAGAGCGTTGTTGAAGCCCGTTATATCGACGTTGCGAGAATGACGGCGGCGCGTTTGTGAATGGCAAGTTTCTGAATGAGCCGTGTCGTTTGCAGAAATGTGTTGGCGACGAGCTGGACAATCGCAGGTGTGAGCCATCCACCTCCGCGGGAGTGCAAGCATGCGTGAACGATTCTCTTCAATCGAGAGCATCGGGACATGCTGCTCCACTGGGGTTGTTGAAGGGCATCAATCAGCCACGCAGAGGATGAGTATACACATCCAATACGCATTCTCTTACACCAACTGGGTCTCATATGCACTTACCATCGCAGTGTCTCTAGCTTCACGGGAAAGAGTCGCAGAAGTGATAGCGACATGATTGCTGAAGATCACGTGATAAGCTTAGCATCCTCCCGATACTTCGAACCGCGGTACCTAGGGCTCTCAACGACGCCCCCTGGGCCTTCGAACTCTTGCCAAATTGTTCGAGTTCGAGAAGAATCAGGATGCATTTCCGGGGAAGTGTCCGACGAGGCTGAAGATATCCGTCACCAGCACCATGCTGCAACCTTTATGCCGGGAAAAGCGCCGGCCAGCGTTTCGACGCCATCAATACGTGGTGGAATTAGCCTCTGGCGGTGCTTAAACTGCGAACGAGAAACAGATCGATCAACTGCGAACTGGGATGAAACGGCTGATTACGTAATGCTAGCGCACATCCAAAATCTTTCGTCGCCAGAACACCGCCAACCATAATCCCGCACATCCATCCCCGGCTTCGGCAGTCGATGAGAATTCCCAGGAACCCGCGCGGCCTGCTATCGAGGCAGTCAAGAGACTGCATTCCCGCCGTTCCACTGCGCACGACGCTCTTGGCGCCTTGGCCGCCCATGGAGCTCTCTACGGCCGCCGCTCCAGACGTTCGTATGTCAGACGCTATGATTGGACGAGTGCTGCTAACCTCCGTGCAGAGGGGAGGCTCGGTGCACCATGATACCCATGCGATGCCGCCACAGTTCATCCAGCGGGAGCATTGGCGATACCAGAGCATGAGAAAGGGAGCCCTGGAGAAGGACCCCGATGTAGTGGACCTCAGAAACCGAGATAGCCTTTCCGAATCGCAGCAGCAGGCATGGGAGCCTACCGGCGTCATCCCAGCATCCCGGATAGAGGCCGCATGTGAAGCGTACAGCGGAAGACCGCTACAAACGCCACCGCACGATGCACCCATTTTCGAGCATCGAGACTTCCCAGGCCTTCAGGTTATAGCCGGACTGCTCCCGCCGGAGACTCAGGTTCTTTTCACTTCCTGCTTGATGCATCGTGATCTTTCAAATCCCCAGCACAAGATCAATCTTCAGGCCGACTATGACATCCCATACCCACCAGAGCCTGCATCGGGTATGCAGCGCTTCGACACTTCCTTCTTCACGCGCGAACGCTCCGCCGCAGAGGACATCCTGTTGCCGATAGTGCCCGACAAGCACAAGCCCCTCAACAACGAGCAATTTCTCTATACTAAGCTGCGCTGGCTCACACTGGGGGATCAATATGACTGGCCAACCCGCAGCTACGCGAAGCATGCTACTCCATTTCCCGAGGATCTTTCTAAGCTAGTCACCGGGCTCTTCCCTCACATTCGCCCGGAGTCTGGAGTCGTACTATTGTATGGCGCGAAGGATTTCATGCCGGTGCACCGGGACGTCAGCGAGCAATGCCAACGCGCGCTTGCCAGCTTCAGCGTGGGCTGCGATGGCATCTTCATCATGGCCCGCGGCGAGGATGATGGCGAAGGAGAGTACGCTCCAAGGACCGTGGCCATCAGAGTTCGCAGCGGCGACTGTGTCCATCTCGACGGAGAAGCCAGATGGGCCTGGCATGCGATGGCTCGCACCATCCCGAGCACCTGTCCGGCTTATCTGGCGGACTGGCCTGTTGGCACGCCCGGTGCGACGCTGGCGGAGCAGAAAGCGTACAAGAAGTGGAGGGGCTACATGGGCACGAAGCGAATCAATGTCAGTTGCCGGCAGGTTTGGGATTAGCCTGTCGCGACATTGATATTCAGGAGATAGCCTACCGACTGTGGAGTTTGCTTCAGTTACCGCTAAAGGCCGCCGGGCGGAAATAAGCACCTCCCGCGGCCATGCAACTGGGAAAAGTGACGGAGACAGGCTCAACGCCTCGTGACTGGCGTCCATCTCCGCCGTCGACCGCTTATCCGGGTCGTCTTAGTCGCTTCTAGCGGTCTTCTCCGCAGCGCCACGTGCCGGCGTAGCACAAGCGTCAAACAAGCGCGCTTCTTTGGTCAACCTTACTTCACGCTCATCGCTGACAGTTGGCCTTGACATCATAACCGGGCACTACACCGGAATGTGTGAGATACCGCAATGCCACGCTGCAATCGGGCCGCCTGAGTGGCTGCGGCACAGCGACCACTCCCATGCGTCCCGAACCGCACGGAACCATCGACGTGCATATCTTGCCTTCAATTCGTCTGGGGTATGTCCCGAGAGTGGGATATCAACCTCTGTTACCGCTAGCTCCGCGCTAACGAGTCAGCGAGAGCGCACGGAGCTGCGCGCTTAGAGAATGCCTGCACATGTTGGGGCTCTGGTTCGCCAGAGTCGCGCATATCCGCTGCACGTTCAGGAGCGCCTTTCCCGTCTGGTCCAAGATCAGCCTTCGAGACCCCTGCCTAAGATAGGCATACCGGGCCTTGCCGTGTGCCGCGAACCCTGCTTGTCGCCCGCCCCCTCATAACCGACCTGTGAGGTTCCGCCCGCTATAAACGTCCACAACCCGCTTCCAGAAGATTGCCAAACCACCATTCCTCTTTCTCACCCTTATTCGCCTCGTCCTGTCAGTTTCGACGCGGACAAGATGGGTTTCTTGAATCTTCCCCAGATCCGCTACCACAGCCCGTGGATGCAATGCATCATCAGCGGCATCGGCGTTGGCGCGTCAGCCGGCATCTACGTCGCGCTTAATCTGCTTGGAGCCGGTGGTGGGAGGCCCGATTCAGCCCAGGTCGTCCAGGTTGTGAACGCGACGTTGTGCTCGGTCTGGTTCTTTTCCTCGTCGTTCGGTGGTTCCATCTTGAACAAGCTCGGCCCGGGCCTTACCATGTGTCTCGGCGTGCAAACATACGCGGTCTACGTCGGTTCGCTCTGGTACTACGACGAAACGGGCAAGAAAGGATATCCGTACGCTGCGGGTCCCATCATCGGTATTGGTGCGGGCATGGTCTTCATTACAGCTGGTTACATCACCACTGCGTATCCGGAGGAGAGCGAGAAAGGATCCTACGCGACCATCCTGATGAATATGCAAGGCTTGGGATCGGTCATTGGTGGTATTATTCCGGTCATCATCAACAAGGACAAGGACGTCGCAGCCGGCGTGCCCCGAGCGGTCTACATATCATTCATCATCATCATGATCGTCGGCGGATTGATTACACTGCTGCTCCTCCGCCCGCAGAAACTCAAGAGAGATGACGGATCTGTGGTGGCTGTACATCCCCCTCGCGGGGCGTGGGAGGAGTTCCGGTCAAACTTGTTGATCTTCAGCGACCCGGTCCTGCTCATGATGTTGCCGGCATTCTTTCCCGCCGAAGGTTTCCTGGTCTATAGTGGCTCAGTCAATGGTAAGCCTGTAGAAACTCCTTATAAGATGTTCGCTGACTAGCGCAGCCTACCTCAACAGTCTGCGAGCTCGTTCGCTCTTGTCTTTCATTGCTGTCTGCCTGCAGATTCCGGCTGGATGGGGTCTGCAATGGATTCTGGACCGCCCGTACTGGGGCCGCCGGAAGCGTGGTCTCATCGGTCTGACCATAGTTTGTGTGCCGATGGTGGCTGCCTGGGTCTGGGAGATGGTATGCCCATCGCGTCGTCTCTGTTGATCGAATTGCTCACCAGCTGTCACAGATCCGCGTGCGAAATTACAACCGGCACGCCCCTGTGACCGATCCTACTGATTGGGACGAGCCCAGATTCGGGTGGATCTTCGTTCTTTTCATGTTGACTTGGGTCACTTCGGTGAGTGTTGTTAAATCCGTGAAAACACCGCTAATACCTTGTCCAGCAATTGTGGCACAACATCGTCTACTACTGGATTGGAGCCGTCACCAACTCTCCACAGAAGCTCACCCACTATGTCGGCGTCTTCCGTGGTGTCCTGGGCGCAGGTGAAGCCGTCTGCTTCGGTCTCGACTCTATCAAGATCCCCTTCTTGGCCGAATCCGGCGGCATCCTCCTCTTCTACGTTATCGGCATTGCTAGTTTCTACTACCTTGGCATCTACCACATCAAGGACACCAACTACGACCACCACGAGCAGGGCGCCGTCATTCCAAACCACATTCTCGAAGGGAGGGGCCTTACGGAGGGCCAGAACATCGAGGACATCAAGCGCGGTGCGTCCGTCAGCGAGGGGACGCCGGTTTCGGGAGAGAAGGAACCAATGGAGCAGGTTAGGGTGAACGGAGATTCTGCTTGAAGCGTGCATCCCGCGTTGCGACTCTAGCGCCAACGCCTTGAGATTAGACTGGGAGATGGACATACGCACGGTAACACATAGAGCTGGGCTTCGGGTCATTCTCTTCCTGGACAGCGGTAGTCTGCACATTCTCGGCATGGAGTGCCGCCAGCCCGGCACAGTTTCAATGACATGGTACATTTTGAATGACTCAGCCCATCGCATCGGTCTGTATCCCACTTTGACCCCATCGCCGCGTCGTTTGCGAAATGCTGACCCTTTTCTTTCCTTCAAGTGAGCCTGAGCATTCTAGAGCCATGTGTTCGATACCAATCGCCAACTTGTTTTGTTGTTGCGACTGTCTGCCCCTGCTGTGTCTTGGTGCGGTTAGCAAGTGCTTACTTCCCGCACGAGTACTGCCCAATCTAGACCACGACCAGCTAACGGCTAGGCGTGCCAGGCGTTCTACACAATGGAAAGTCTCCGCTTACCTTTCAATAGTCTCCGACATGGCTACTTATGTATGCTCCATGTAGCAGCGTTAAACGTTCACACTGCTGGTCGGTTATTCTGCAAGTCTCTGTCGTCCCCTAGGTTCAACACAATGGGAGCATACGGCGCATCCATGCATGGCCTGGTGGAACAAGTGCGTGGTTGGGGAGTGAAGGAGGCGGCTGTCTTTGCGTGCACGGGGTGGTTGGTGTATTGGATGGCGGTGGGGATATATCGCGTCTACTTCCATCCCTTGGCGAAGATTCCAGGACCCAAGGTGTGCCCCTACTCTTTTCTTCTCAACGAGAACTGACCAGGTATCCATCAGCTTGCTGCTCTCACGTTCTGGTACGAATTCTACTACGAGATCTACCCGCACAAGTTCCAGTACCTGTGGAAGATCAAGCAGCTCCACGAGCAGTACGGTGAGTCAGCGCCGCGTACTTCCTGTCCCGTGCAGCACCTGGTGTTAATGGAGACACGGGCCCCATTATCCGCATCAACCCGCTGCAAGTCCACATCCACGACCCCGACTACTTCGACAAGATCTACGCCTCGGGCGCCAACCACAAGCGCGACCGCTGCAGCTGGTTCCACCACGCAGGCGGAAAAACGCTCTCCGGCGCCATGCTCGAGGCCATGGACCACGATCTGCACAGGATGCGGAGGAACTCTGTCGCGCACTTCTTCAGCAAGCGGAGTGTGCACGCACTCGAGCCGCTCGTCGTACAATGCGTCCAGGGATTGATGGACAGGTTCAGAGGCGAGCTGAAGAACAGCGGAATCGTGAACCTGAACTACGCCTACGCGGCCATGACCATGGACATTATATCCGAGTACTGCTTCGGCGAGTCCATGAAGAGCCTAGAGCGCGAGGCGTACGGCAAGGAATGGCTCGACATCCTGCACGACGCCGTCCAAATGCGCCCGCTGGGGCGCCAGTTCCCCACCCTTGTAAACCTCCTCTTCGACCTGCCGCCCGATATCGTCGCCAAGGTCTCCCCCGCCGTCGAGAAAATGAACGCCTGGAACGCGTCGCTGTTCGAAAGAATCGAGCGCATTATGCGGTACGAAGACGGTGGCGACGAGAAGAAGCTCCAGCAAAGGACGATTTTCCACGAGATTAGGGACGACGTGGGCGGGAAGCTGCCCGAGGAAGAAAAGGCGACGCTTCGGTTGGCGGCGGAGGGGAGTACGTTTCTGGGCGCGGGCACAGAGACTACGTCGCGGACATTGGCGGTCGCCACGTACTACTTGGTGAAGGAGAGGGAGGTTGGGGAGAGGCTGAGGGAGGAACTAAGGGGGGTGTTGAAGAGCAAGGACGACAGGGTGTCGCTGCCGCAGCTGGAGGCGTTGCCCTATCTTGTGAGTCCCTTCGCGAAGTCTACGATGGAGGAAGAGCAGCGACTGACCGAGCCACCAGACTGCCGTCGTCAATGAGGGCCTCCGCGTCGCGCACGGCGTCTCCTCGCGCCAGCCCCGCATCGCCACGCAGGAAGACCTCCAGTACGCGCAATGGACCATCCCGCGCGGGACCCCCGTCGCAGAGTCCGCCTACCTGCTTCACACCGACCCCGCCATCTTCCCAGACCCGTTCGCGTTCCGCCCCGAGCGCTGGCTCGAAGACCACAAGCTCACAAGGTACCTCTTCGCGTTTGGGCGCGGGAGTCGCAGCTGCCTGGGCATGAACCTGGCGACCTCGGAGCTGTACGTTGGCCTGGCAATGATCTGGCGGTGGTTCGAGATGGAGTTGTATGAGACAGTGGAGGAGCGGGATGTGCTTACTACGTACGACGTCTTTCTGGGGATGACGGATCTGAAGAGCGAGGGGATCAAAGTGAGGATCACCGGGGAGATTGAAGATTGAGGAGCGGCACTGTCAGAATGTGACGTTAGCGCGTCCCTTCCCCGCCAGTGCTCCATCGCTGCTTCCCAAGTCGTGCCCCCGCCTACGCGTCGACAACCTCCTCTCGCGCCTTCAGCTTCCTCCCCAAGCACCAATCCTCCACCTTTTTCAGCATTCCATCGTACGTCGTCTCGTACTGCCAATCATCCACCCAAAAGTTAAACAACCCCGGAGTCCTCAGCCCATTCTGAAAGAACAGATCCCCCGCCGCGCCATCCCCGTCCACTGCCTGCGTCATCTTGACGTCCATCTCGTACCCGTTCTTCATGCCAGCCATCTGATATCCGTGCCACGCACTCGTAAGCATGTCTTCGAGCGTCGCACCGCCCCAGCTCTCGCCATTGAGAGTGTCCCGGTCGCTGCCGGGCATAAGGTCGAAGTCGTAGCCCACAGCGCTTGGGGAGTCATCGTCAGCGTCGGCGCGGATGAGGAAGGCGTATTTGTCGTCGACACAGGCCCAGTTTTTCTGGACGGCTTCGAATGCATGCGGCCAGCGGTCCTTGTACCACGATATCCGGCCGTCGTTGGCTTTGTCGGGGCAGTCCACTCGGGTCATGCTGCGGTGGAGAAAGTCAGCTTAGCCGGATGAAGTATGGGAGCGCACTTACATCATCAGCGGTTTGATGTTCTGCGGGCTAGCCGCCCATCCCATTGGAATCATAAGCCCATACAGCGTGTGCATCGCCAGCTTGGTCAGATCCGCCACGTTCTCTTTCATCTTCGGGATCATGACTCCACCCTTTATCATGTTCTGCAGCCGACTGAATCCGTCTTCCGAGCCGCCGAACAGATACTTCAAATACTCATTATTCGAGACCTGGATATTCTCGACCATGGCCGTGAGAGCCGCAGCATCGTCGCCCAGCGTACTAAGCTCGCTCTTCTTGCTCTCCGCCGAATCCTTCGACCAGTTGATGGCGAAGGCGATGCCGGCGTTGAACGAATCCTTGACGGCGCCGTGCATGTTCCTGCTCAGCTCGCTCGACGTGAACGCCGAGATTGTCTTGAGCGGAACGTTCCAGACGCCTGCGGACACGATGGCTGCGCCAAACTGCACCACGTCCAGCACCTTCTTCCAGAAGGATATCTTCTCCTCGAGCTGTGGGCTGAAAGTCTCGGCGAATTTGACCATCATGCCATTCATGTTGCCCTGCGCAGCGACGACTGCGTGCCACAGATCGCTGTAGAGATTGTGCAGGGTGACCATGGAGTTGAGTATCAGGTACGCGGCGGGAGTGTTCACGTCATCGCATTCGACGGAGGAAGAGCATGGGTTGGACCCTGTGTCGGTGCAGTCCCAACCGGTCTCGGTGTTACCCGCCCATTGAAGGACAGAGTTGATGAAGTAGATCTGCTCGCTTGTGGCGTGGTGCTCGGTGCTTTCGTTCCATTTGTTGTTGTCCTGCCAGTAGGTGGCGAGTCCGATCAGTCCGAAATCGCCTTGGGTTTCGTTCCTAGAGGCGATTGTCAAACAGAATTACTAACATCAAGGTAGGAGGCTTTACCATCGCTGTACTGGATCTTCGTTCAGCTGCGTGATGATACCCTGATCGCATGTGACGTTCTTGTACGCATTGAACGCATTCGCCATGTTGATCAGCCAGTCTAGGACACTCGCTTCTAGGACTGGTGCCGTAGTCGCGTTAGCCGAAGTGGCATTTAGGACCGGCAAGGCAGCAAGAGTGGATGTCGCATTCTGAACGGGTGAGGCAGTCGCAGTTGTAGATACACTCCCGACAGACGACGCAGTACCAGGGGCGAGAGTCGAGGTATTATGAAAAGATGATTCGTTTTGTCGAGGGTAGAAATGATGAGGTTCTAGTTGCGGCAACGCAACCGTAAGGACTCCATAGCAAAGGAGCAAAACGAATGACTTGGAAAGACGTCTCATGGTAACGAGTGAAAGCCGACAGCGATGGCGGTAGTATTCTGGAAAAAGAATGAGTGATGGATAATTGCGAAGTTCGACCGGAGTAGATTCTTATATATCTCCTGGACTGCCACGCCTTGCTAGATCGCATGTTGTATGTCGAATATCGGCCGTGCTGCCTTCTGAGTACCTCTATTCTGATGCCCCGCTATGCCACGATAGTAAAGCACGTGCTCGAGGCACATGGATGCTCGCTTTTGAGCTGCCAGATCTCGACAAGCCCAAGCATCACTAAAATGACATGTCTTAGTCTGAAGCAGCGAACGTGCAGCGTCAGGTGTTGGTGAATGGAAACACGAGGCTCGGTGTCGGAATGTTTTTGCCCTCGACATTTTACTACCGTTATTGGAAGTGCGAGTTGAGAAGCGAAATAGTCGGCGATCTGGTACCAGCTGAACGGGGCTGTTTCTGTGAGGCTGAAGCTGAAACGCGATTGGTGGAGACCGGAGTACACCAGCATACCACTTCGTTTCTAAAACTGAAGGGTCCGATACGAGGTTAGATTAATCGACCCACCACGTGCTCATCTCCAGCTGTTTCCACGGACGCATTCGTGCGTGGGTTTCCTTCGTTGCACAGATGTTTGCGCAGTGACATCGGCCTCACATCACTTGCTCCCACCATACGCGGTTAGGGATTGTTGGAGACTGCACAGTGAAAAGTACTAGACCTCGTGAGCGGGCTTAGGGAGAGACGGTGTTGGAATAAGGAAGCAAGACCCTTTTCATTTGTCGCACTCGCTCATCCAGCACTGCCAGGCCTGCTCCCACACCTCAACGAAGCGTCCAAGCGCTCCCGCAAAACGCTTTCCCAAGCGTACCGCAGGTCTCGCCTAAAGATCTTGGAATTCAAACCTGACCAGCAAGGTACACGTCGTCTCGTGGCCCTTCAGATCCAACATCCTGATGAAATTCCAGCCCGGTGCGACGTACAGCAGCCGCACCGCCGCGACGGCAAACATCGGGTTCCGAGAGAAACTGTCGTCGCTCTTGATGAGCAGGCGAAGGAACACCAACTCGTTGTCGTCATACTCCCATTCCAAGACCTCTTTCCAGAAGGGATCCGTCGCAGGCGGGTTCTCCTTGTGCAGGAAGCCTGTCACTTTGTGCGGCTTGTACGGCGCTGTCTTTCGCTTCTGCGGGGGGTCGTCAACATCGTTGGGATGGACGAGCGTGCATGTGAGATAAGGTTTGATCTCATCGTCTCGGTCCTTCGGCAGCGGAACGTCGGTCGCGCCTGCGACGTGGAGGCGCAGTCTCTTCCGCCTGCCAGTGTTGAGGTTGCCGTCTCCGCCCGAGCGTAGAGGAGTAGGCTTCAGAACGTAACCGCCTGACCCGCTAAACAGGGCTTCGTTCAGCTGTGAGCTGGCACCGAAGGTTTGCCAGTTTAACGCGCAGATTTGGGCGCCCACGCCCCAGAACGCCACCGGCTGGAGGTTTTTGGACGAGATGCGAGTGCCTTTGGGAAAGACGCGCATGAGATGGCGGGAGTTATGCACGGCAATCTTCGCGCTGTTTGCTGGCATGTGGGATTTCAAGCCGACTTCGGAGACATTGATAAGGTGGTGGTGTGGTGCATTTTCCAGTACGCTCTCGTACCAGGAGTTGTTGACTGGCTTGACGGATTGCGCGTATACGCCTAGCTCAGCAAGCTCAGGGACGATAGTGCCGGCGTTGACGGCCTTTTTCTTTTCCTTGTACTGCTGGTGAGCTTTCTTCTCTTCTTCATCCTCAGACGAGCTTGAGCTGCTATCGCTGCTCTCCTCCTCGTTCGGGAGGTGATACTCGACGATTACAACGACCTTATTCCCGAGTTCGGCGAGTGTGACATGCTCACCCGTGCCGTCTTGTTCGCGCGTGCCTTTCTCACGCACAGCTCGGCTCAACAGGCGGTCGCCAAAGACCTCTTCCATGATCTGAGCGAGGCGCAGCTGGCCGTGGGCATCGCAGTGGTTTTCAAGAGAGATCATGATGGGCGCGGCATTGGCCTGGTCAGAGGCTTCCTTGTCGACGACGTCACGGATAGTCTCGCAGACGTTGCGGAAAGGAATGTTGGAGACGAGAGTATATCCGTGGGTCACCTTTGGCTCGTCTTTGTTGTCATCGTTGTCCCACGCATCGATCTCGACGCAGCGCGATCCCGTGTAGAGGGCTGTTTCGTAGGCAGAAGCATGCGACTCGCCGAACAGCTGATGAGCCATCAGGTACGTGTTGTGACTCGAGCTGATGAAGTAGTCCGGCAGTGGATGATTTCTATCGATGACATCTGGTGGTACATGGATATGCGGCCGGTCCAGGCATTCTCGCAAAGCAGGCGTAGGTTGCTCCTCATCCAGCCCGGCTTCTTCTTCGGACAAGACGCCCTCTTTGACGAGGAAAGACTTCAGCGCATGACTGACGCGAAGTTGGTTCTTGGTGATGGCCGACGCTCGCGACGCATGACCGCCGCCAGCCACGGTGCCGGCATCGATGGCCTCGCCCTTGTCTTCATCGTCGACCTGCTTCTTCGAGAACGGGCTCAACTTTGCGATGCCTGAGATGAGTTCGGACATGTTGGGCGATGCAGGGATCGATTAAGGATGATAAGGATGATAGGGCTGAGGGATGGGTGCGCGACGATGACGTTGGGCCTGAGAAGCTGGTACGCAGTGAGCTCGGCGAGCGGGGTGGACACGAGGCTAGTCCGGAAACGGAACCCACGATGCGTCTCTGCACCTTCTCTCCACCACCTCATCGCTCACCATGAGGCTTTTGACACCTTCTCCGAACCCCACAGACGCTCTCGCATATAGCGCACGATGAGATTCGACGCCAGACACGCAGCGACGTGGCTACAACGTGCCGGCCGAGTCCGCGCGAGCTCACCGCTTCCCACGCAAGTGGCAGCCGTGCCTCAGCCCGACGCCGGTGTCACGAAATTTTACCGGAGGACGAGCTTCCCGTGTCTCCCGCCAAAGGATTGACATCTCTTGACCTTGCGGCGGCCATCATGCTGTTGCCGCAGTGTCCCATCCATCCCCACGACGACCGTCATCGCGCCGCAGCGTCTCACGAATGTCTCCGATAGCGCTCCGTCTGCGCCACGGCATCAGGGATGAGTTTCTGTTTGACGAAGTTTCTAGTGATGCCGGGCAGTAGAGGAGGCTTACGTGTAGGCTTACCTGGAAAGGCGTACGCATCTATTTCCTCCACGATGGGGCTCTACGCGGTACTACACGCGGCTTGATACAGCCTGGAACGTACACACGCACTCCCAAACGCACCTGGACAAGGCGAATTGCGGAAGGGAAGCGCCACGGGACGGGCCTGTGCGCCATCGGACCTGCACTTGCTTTTTGCGCCGACATTCCGTCAACTCTCTCAACTTGGCGTTCAACATTTCACTATCCCGTTGCTTACGTCCCATCCGACTGTAGATATGCACTCCACCGCCGAGGAAATGTCCTCATTACGGGCACAGCGTGCGTCCAATATGAGGAACGCCACCGCGCATGCTCGGCTAGTCATCTTACAGTGGGAGACGACCAAAAAGCCAAATTGCGCCGTTGTTGTGGACGGCGAATCTCTGAATCTGGCCAAAGCTGCACTCGTTGGAAAGCGCAGGGCTGCCGCCGCCTTATCCAACGACTGCGCGGTCAAGAAGAAGATTGACCAGAGCGTGGAAGTCTTGCGAGCGCAGCTTGATCGAGGCTCTACAATTTACGGTATGTCTCCCGTTACTCATCATTGCCAATAACTAAATAATATGCAGGCGTCAATACGGGCTATGGAGGAAGTGCAGACGTGCGGTGCGAACCGCACGAGGTGCATAAGCTCCAACAAGCGTTTCTTCAGCACCTGAATTGTGGAGTACTGCCTGTTCCTTCACTAGGCGGCGGCCTTGCCGACGCGACTTCATCTTCGTTAAAGGAAGAGTGGGTGCGTGCAGCCATGCTGATACGTGCAAACTCCGTTGCGCGTGGCCATTCTGCCGTCCGCTCATCGACAATTGAAGCCCTTTTGGAACTCCTAAATCGCGACATCGTGCCGGTCATACCTACGCGCGGGAGCATATCTGCCTCAGGGGATCTCTCGCCCCTTTCTTACGTCGCCGGTGTACTAGAGGGCAATCCGCGCATCTATTGCTGGACCGGCCCGGCAGACAATCGACAAATCATCGCTGCGTCTGCAGCTCTTCAAGCGGCTAACATCCAGCCCACAGTTTTCGAACCAAAGGAGGCACTTGGGCTCGTCAATGGGACAGCAATATCTGCTGCTGCCGCGGGTCTCACTCTTACTTCCCTGCACAGCATACTTTCGTTGAGCCAGCTGCTCACAGCCATGCACGTCGAAGCTATTCTCGGAACGGCGACTTCCTTCGCACCTTTCATCTCAACAGTTCGACCACATCCTGGCCAGGCGCAGGTAGCATCGACCATTTTCTCCGCACTTGAAGGCTCCAAGCTAGCCACGGGCATCCTCGAGAGTCACGGCCATACCCTTTTCCAGGACCGTTATTCTCTGCGTACGGTGCCACAGTGGCTTGGCCCCTTCGTAGAGGACCTTCTACTTGCACAGGAGCAACTCACTGTGGAGCTCAACAGCACAACGGATAATCCCCTCATTGATCCAGCCACAGGCGACATCTACCACGGCGGCAATTTCCAAGCAGTATCCGTGACATCTGCAATGGAAAAGTCCAGACTTGCGGCTCAAGCCATGGGACGCATGCTCTTCTCCCAATTTACCGAACTCGTCAACCCAGCCACGAACCGTGGGCTCCCCCCAAATCTCTGCGCCGATGAGCCATCTACCAGCTTCACGATGAAGGGCGTGGACACAAACATGGCTGCGTATATGTCCGAGCTGTCTTTCCTTGCGAACCCGGTGCACAACCACGTCGTGTGCGCGGAGATGGGGAATCAAGCCTTGAACTCGCTTGCGCTGGTGAGCGCGCGGTACACGGACACGGCTGTCGACATTCTCGCCATCATGTGCGCATGCACGCTGTACGGTGTGTGTCAAGCGCTCGATCTGCGGTCCATGATGCGCATTTTCGAGGGGAAGCTGAAGGAGTCCTTCGATAAGAGCATTACTGTCTTGCAAGAGTGGTTCGGTGTTTCGGAGGAATGGGGCGTGGGTGCGAGAACAAAGATCTGGGAGTACGTGAAAGTGGAGCTGGACAAGACCACCACACTGGATGCAAGAGATCGATTCAGGAGAATAATGACAGGCATTAAGGCACCCCTGCTCGAACTCTTGGGAGAGGAGTGCTTGAACGCGAGTGACATACTGTTCCACATCAAGGAATGGACGGAGACGAGTACGGCGGACGCTGTCATACTATTCGAAGAGACAAGACGGGAGTACCTAGCCGCCGGAGACGCGAGCGGACTTTTAGGGCGGTCGTCGAAGCGCTTGTATCAGTTCGTCCGGAGGTATTTGAATGTTCCCATGCACCGCGGCGTGATCGACCATCCGACGTATCAGACACCTGCTCAAAACGGGGTCACTTCGATCGCGAACGGAGCATCAGCGCATGGGGACGAGTGGAGGAAGAAGACCATTGGGCACTGGATCAGCGTCATTCATGAGGCGATCAAGAGCGATGAGATCATGGACGTCGTGGTGGAGTGTTTGAAGGATGGTCTGGTCGACGAGGAGCAGAAGCTTGATGCGGAGATGCGGGAGATGAGCAATGGCGCGAATGGGATACACTATAGGCCGGTGTGACAGTCAACCTGCAAGAGCTCGCGGTCATCGGCAGCAAGGCTTGCTACAAGAGTAAATTTCTTGCATTCAGTCAGTGGGTAGACAAAGTTCCAAGCGAAGAAACCACTCCATGAAGAACGTCTCACACTGTCCGGAGATCTGTACAAATAACGCCAAGGATATGGGCAAATGCGCCTCTTCGCTTTCGTGATCTTCTCATACAAGGGGCTCGATTCCGCGTTCTCAATCTCAATATCTACCCCACAGCTTCTACATCTTCGTCACGTCGTCTGTCAGAACAAACACTGGCGGTCGCGCATCAAAGAATTTCGGGAAGACTAACCTAGGGTCCGGCACCGTATGAGGGGATGGTGTACTGCGTGAAATATGAGAAATGCTCTCCGTCAGAGGTAGCTGGGCCGGCCCGGGATTTTATATCGCCGAGCCGTTAGCTCAGCTTCACCGCACCTCGGGGGGGTCGAGTTCCCCTTACCTAGGTAGACCACACCAACGCTTACGAAGTTACGACCCATTTACGACTTTCTTGCCTGTTTCACTGCCTGTTGCATCTGCTCGCCTACTTAGACTAGCTTTCTGTTCCCCATTCCCGCCCACCGCTCCTCCTGCACGCGACTCCGCCAGGGGCATTCCTATCCTTACTTTTGAAACGCCCTGCCATCTTCGCTGTCCGCCTTTTCGAAAGCACACTCGTTAGCTCTAAACATACCGACGCCTGCGGACCGCAATGCCCGAAACGACGAAGGTCGTTCCTCTCACCTGCCATGGCCACTCGCGGCCCGTCCCGCACATCCACTTCTCGGCCATGGCGGACGAAGACCAGTACTATATGATATCGGCCTGCAAAGATGGCAATCCCATGCTGCGAGACGGCATAACCGGCGATTGGATTGGCACTTTCCTGGGGCACAAAGGCGCTGTATGGCAGGCCCGGCTCTCGTCCGATGCGACGCTCGCTGCGACGGGATCGGCCGATTTCTCTGCGTATGTTCTTTCTCGCCATCTTCGTAATCAATTCTATTCTAACAGTGCACAGCAAAGTATGGGACACCCACACCGGCGAAGCTCTTCACACCCTCTCGCATAACCACATCGTCCGCGCCGTCGCTTTTCCGAACCAGCCCCACCCCCAGATCCTAGCCACTGGTGGCATGGAGAAGAAGCTGCGCATCTTCGACCTCTCCCGTAGCGACAGCTCGTCCTCGTCCCCGACCATTTCGTCTACCCCGCCTCCGAGCTACGAGATTGGAGCTGGCGTACACGGCGGTACCCTCAAGTCGATTGTGTGGGCCTCGGACCCGAACATCTTGATCACGGCGGCGGAGGACAAGAAGGTGCGATGGTGGGATCTGCGGCAGCAGTCGACCATCGGCGAGTACGCGGTTGAGGGTGTGGTCGGCACGTGCGAGTTGGATAATACCTCCTCTGATGGCATCTTGAGCGTTGCCGCTGGAAAGAGCGTCTACTTCTTCAACAGCCTCTCGCCCGCATCTCTGATCAAGAGCGTGAAGACACCGTACGAGATTGCCAGCGTGGCTATACACAGCGGGCAGCGCAAGTTTGTTACTGGTGGTAGCAACCAGAACGACACCTGGGTGAGGGTCTGGGACTTTGACGAAGAGAAGGAGCTGGAGACGAACAAGGGCCATCACGGACCAATTTGGTCCACGAGCTTTTCGCCTGACGGCAAGCTCTACGCTACGGGTAGCGAGGACGGCACCATCAAACTCTGGAAGTTTACCACGGGGCCGTATGGTCTGTGGAAGTAGACGTTGTTCTTTAGCGAGCCGATAGAGGCAGCTAGCAGCCTCATCCAGTTGATCTGGCGTTTGCCAGGCTCGCGCGCGCAAGAATTAGCAATGCATGAGAGGAGTTGGCTTTTGGACGCTGCTTTTCTTATACCGCAACGCTCCCATTCCATACCCTCGAGACGTCAGCGAGTGAAGATGCATACATATTCAAAGCCGAGGCATGGCCTTTTCTCGGTATTCCGAATCCTATTATGATCAACAACCTTGGTTTCACCAAATCCTGAATGGCCCTGGCCGGACCCGCACCCGAGCTTGACTTACTTGACCCATTCCAACAAGGGTATCGCCATCCGAGAATTCCCCGATTGGGACTACCGATAGATCTACAGGCATGCAACTCCACTACCGCTAGTAAGGGTTCTGATAGGCATGCACACAGCAAAAGCCGTTGATAAGAGGATGATATCGCCTGTTCGTACCACTAAAGGTGTTGAGGCAAATGCCAAGGGTGGGAGGTAAATCGCGACTATAAGACATTTGGTCCTCAACCAGGGCATTGCGTTGGTGTTGGGACGAGAGCGCCATTGCACGTCCGATTCTTAGGCTCAGCCCCTCATTTCGTCACACAATCTATCTTCGGTCTCGCTTTGTTATTTGCTCGAGGTCTTGGTTGAACGGCGACTCCTTCGAGATTCAGAGTGGAGGAACTGTGAGGATGTCAGAGAAGGAGCCTGAGATTGTGCCGGCGCCGAGCGTCGATGAGGGCCAACTGGCCGCCGAGAAGCAGATGCGGGACATTGGAGCGGAGCTGTACCTAGAGGTCCAGCAGTACTCGAGGGAAGAGTTGGATGCTGAGAGGAAGATTGTGCTGCGGAAAATTGACTGGGTCATTATGCCTATGGTGAGTCACTACGACAACGCCGCCCGTCTGTCTTGCCCTGCTGCGGTGGGATTGAAGTTGCAAAAGTGACTCTAACGCGATGCAGATCTGCATAACCTACACCATTCAATTCCTGGACAAGCTCTCACTGAACTACGCCAGCGCCTATTCCCTTATTCCGGACCTCGGCCTCCAAGGACAGCGCTATAGCTGGGTAGCCGCCATCTTCAACTTCGGATACCTCTTCTGGGCGCTGCCGGCCAACTATCTCATCCAACGGCTGCCCGTCTCAAAGTACACCGGTACCATGATCCTCGTCTGGTCTATCCTTCTCTGTTGCCATGTTGCTGCAAAGAACTATGCGGGTATGCTTGCGCTTCGCTTTCTGCTGGGGATGTTTGAAGCCAGTATCAGTCCCGCCATCATGAACATCGTAAGTATGTTCTACACAAGGAGCGAGCAGCCTCTGCGGATGTGCGTCTTCCTTGCGTTCAACGGAATGGCAACGATGGTTGGAGCGCTCCTGGGCTACGGACTAGGCCACGCGCACAGCTCGGCGATCAAGACGTGGCAGCTCATCTTCCTCGTTATAGGCCTCATAAACTTCGTCTGGTCCTGGGTCTTCCTTTGGGTTATGCCGGATTCGCCCTCCTCGGCAAAGTTCCTCACGCACAAGCAGCGCATCGTGGCAATCGATCGTATCGCAAGCAACATGATTGGTGTCAAGACGAAGCAATACCAGATGAAACAAGCCCTGGAGGCTGTTCTCGATGTCAAAGTACACTTGCTCGTACTCATCGCGCTCTGTTGCGGCGTCATCAATGGAGGCGTATCCAACTTCGCGTCCTCGCTCATAAAAGGCTTTGGCTTCTCAGGCATCAACGCCACCCTGCTACAACTCCCAACCGGCGCGTTCGAGTTCTTCCTCGTCCCACTCTGCGGCCTCGCCGCAGGCTACTTCAAAAACACGCGCTGCATTATCCTCGCGCTTATCTGCCTCCCACCGCTCGGCGGTCTTCTCGGCATCCGCCTCACAAGCCTCTCCCATCGCTGGACCCTCGTCGGCTGCACTTGGCTGCAATACCTCGTCGGCGCGCCCGTCATCCTCTCCTGGAACCTGCTCACGACCAATATCGCGGGCCACACCAAGCGCTCTACTGCGAACGGACTGTGGTTTCTGTTCTACGCCGCGGGGAATATTGCGGGTGCGAACATCTTCTTTGCCAAGGAGGCACCGAGGTACTTTTCAGCGCTCACGGGGCTGATTACGTGTTATTGTGGGATGGTGGTGGTTAGCTTGGGATTGGCGGGTTGGATGAAGTGGGAGAATGGGAGGCGGGATCGGTTGTGGGGAGAGGGGGAGGATGAGCAGGCGGTGGTGGATGGGTTTCGGGATCAGACCGATGGGGAGGCGAAGCATTTTCGGTATGCGTTGTGATAAGAAGACGCGGAGTTCTAGGGAAGGACAGGAGTATCTTGCGATCCAACGATGGACACGAGAAGCGAGGGGACTAGCAGTCCTACCTCAAGCCACTACTTCCAGCTTCTCGAGCCCCTTGACCAAGTCCTCATCCACTTTCTGCTCTACCTCCTCTTCCTCTCCCCCCACGCAGATACCAGTACCCGCGCAGCTTCCTTCCTCGTCAAATTGCACACCAACGATCTCATTCGCGACCCAATGCGCCGTCTTAGCATGCAAACTTGGCTTCACCAACCCACCCTTCCTCTTCCCGCCAAACACCCTACTCTTTCCCTCCGCCAATGACTGAAACACAACCAGTTGATCCCTCAAATGCTCGTCCACACACCCGCCGTGGTCAATTTCCGCAATCAGATCGTCGAAGACTTTCTTCACGACGCTCGAAACTACTCTGTCGATTTTGCCGCTGCGGACACCGTGATCGTACAGCCAGTCGCGACCAAGCTTCATTCCAGTTGTTGTGGTGGCTACAAGAAGGAGGTAGAAGCGCTTGTCGTGGTGCGAGTCCTCGAACGTGACTTCACTGTCAGGGTCACGCTGCCCGAAGATGTGCGTTGAGCGTTTATCGAACATGGCGTCGAGCTCCTCGCGGAAGTGCTGCTCGCAAGCTCTAGGAGCGAGGATAGTCGCCCGAATGCTTTTTATGTCGCCGCGTTCGGTGAGCTGGAAAGCGGGTAGTCGTTTCGTCAGTGGGGCAATGGTGTAGGTAACGCCTCCTAGTCTCGTACTTCCTGTCGACCAGCCTCTGGAGTGGAGTTCAGCCTCGATGGGCGGGATACCGATGAGCGCGAGCATGGGAAAGAGAACTTGGTCGACATATTCGTAGGATGGCGAGTTCGACACGTTCGTCCCGCCTGTGATGCTCACTCCGATCTTTGCATCCCCGTCTCTTCCACCAGCAAACAGTAAATAAGGTAGTATAGCCTGGAGCACTAGGTTCACACTGCCAGGCGTGTTCTGCTTGATGACTACCTCGCCGCCCTCCCAAGAACTACGCAACCCTTTTCGACCTGGGAGGAACGTGATCTCCTTGCTCTTCAGACCCGCGCCGCTAAGTCTTGCATTGGATGCTTGGCTGAGGAATTGAATGGAAGTGAGGTGCTGTGCTTTTAGGCCGCCGCCACCGGAGCGCTTGCCTCGGATGTTGGTGATGCGGAGGGGCGTGGAAGTCAGGGCGGAGAGGCAGGTTGCGAGGCGGAGGAGCTGGCCGCCGCCTTCGAGGGTTGTGCCTTCGAGGTGGATAGGGGAGGGGGAGGCCATGGGATTCTATGCCGGCTAGTGACTGGGCGATTTCGACGTATTTCAGGCTCTGTGTGCAACGCCAAGGCAATTCGCTGTTGTGTGAAGGTCAAGATTTGCAGTAGGAGACTTATATGTTTAGTGAAAGATGAGTCGAAGTGATAGCGCTGCTGTTCGTGGTTCACAGTCATAATCACAATGTGGCTGTGCTTAGGTGCAGGTGCAGGTGCAGGTGCAGGTGCAAGTGCAGGTGCAGGTGCCTGGGTCGCGCTGGAGCCCCCCTCATTGCAGTGCGAAGCTCATCCCAAGGCCGTAAACAGAGGATAGCTAGGTATGCAAACAGACAGGGTGTTCTCACGTTTCGTTGGTGTGGTTCTTGCGGTGACCGGTTTGTGGCGCAAAAAGCAAACAGCCACAACGCAGCTGGCTCCTGCGTCACAACCACAGAGCGGGGAAGACAGACGGCGCTTTGCCTATACCACGCAACCTACTTCAACTGCAGAGTGAAATGTGAAGAGTGCCTGAAGAGTGCCCAAAAAGGTTACGCGGGGCCCCATCGGATCGGGCACGTGTTTAGCCCCGATCGCCGGCCCGCTACGTCGTTTCGTCATCTTTTCACCGAGGCCGAAACTTTTGTCCAGGAGCTCACCAGCAGTCATCCGCCCCGCTTCCCTTCACTCACCGTCGCCATGTCGAACCCCTCCACGCCCTGCCGGATCACCCGCTCTTGCAGGTAGACACCCGCCTGCCATCTCTCTGAGCCATGCGCGGCTCCTTGGCCGTCTCCGCCAGGGCCTGGCATGGCCCCGGAAATGGAGCCCTCTTCGCCCAGATACAAGCGCGGATACACTCCTCTTCGCCCATTGTCGCGCGTCCTTTTTCCTCGTCCCCCAGCCCCAATGCTTCGATAGTCGCCCGCCCGCAGAAGCTTCACCAATCCCGAACTCTATTCCGGCCCTCCCTCTCGTATGCGCCCGCCGGCACCACGCGTCGCAATGGCCTCCAGCACCCAATCCGCATATTCTGCGCTTCACGGGCTCTGTCGGAAGCCAGCACCAAGGCGCGGCGGCCAGCAAGGGTGCGCAGGTCGTACAAGCAAGAAATGAAAGACAAGGGCTTGGTAGACGTCGAAGAGCACGAGGGTGAGCACGAGGGTGAGCACGAGGAAATGGGCTTTGCGAAATCGGAGAAGGCGAACGCGGCCGCCCACGTCAATCTGAGCGCGAAGCTAAGCAAGGACGGCGTGTCGGCCAGTCAGCAAGGGAGCGCGAAGGAGCTCTGGCGGCTGGTTAAAATCGCGACGCCCGAGGTAAAGACGCTCTCGTGGGCGTTCCTGTTCCTGCTCATGTCGTCGGCCGTGAGCATGTCGGTCCCCTTCTCCATCGGCAAGATATTGGACATCGCGACGCAGCCGGAAGGATCTAAAGAGCTGCTGTTTGGGCTGGACATCACCACCTTTTACATCGCACTCGCCGGGGTGCTTGCCACGGGGGCTGCGTGTAACTTTGGCCGCATCATCATCCTGCGAATCGTCGGAGAGCGCATTGTGGCACGCCTCCGATCCCAGCTCTACCGCAAGACATTCATCCAGAACGCCGAATTCTTCGATGCGAACAGGGTCGGCGACCTCATCTCTCGCCTCGGTTCAGACACCATCATTGTCGGCAAGAGCATTACGCAGAACCTGTCGGACGGGCTACGCTCAATAGTGAGCGGTGCTGCCGGGTTCGCCATGATGGGCTATGTGAGCATAAAGCTCACAGCCATACTCGCCATCATTGGCCCCCCACTCGCGATTGCTGCCTTCGTCGCCGGTCGGTCATTGCGCAACATCAGTCGAAAAATTCAGAAGAACCTAGGGACCTTGACGAAAGTGGCCGAAGAGCGGCTGGGGAACGTAAGGACCGCTCAGGCCTTCGCAGGCGAGGTTCAGGAAGCAGGGCGCTACAACCGTCAGATCAAGAGGATCTTCAACCTTGGGAAGAAGGAAGCCATCGTCGCTGCCAGCTTCTACGGCACTACTGGTCTAATGGGTAATATGACCGTCATCGCCGTCCTCTACGTGGGAGGGAGCATGGTCAAGTCCGGAGCCATCACCATCGGCGAGCTCTCTTCATTCTTGATGTACACCGCTTATGCGGGAGGAAGCATGGTGGGCTTGTCCGGCTTCTGGGGCGAGATGATGAAGGGCGTCGGAGCGGCCAGCCGCCTCTTTGAACTCCAAGACCGGAACCCTACGATATCGCCCACCAAGGGCGAGCCTGTCAAATCTGCGCGGGGCCCTATTGAGTTCAACAACGTCTCCTTCAGCTATCCGACGCGACCGGCGGTTACTATCTTCAAGGACCTCAATTTTAGGATCGAGCAAGGCACGAATGTTGCCATCGTCGCACCTAGCGGGGCAGGCAAGTCTACGGTTGCGAGCTTGCTGCTGCGTTTCTACATACCAACTAAAGGGACTATCACCATTAACGGGCGAGACATTACAAAGATGAACGCGAAGCAGCTCAGGAGGAAGATTGGCTATGTCGGACAGGAGCCCGTGCTCTTCTCGGGCACCATTGCAGAGAACATCGCGTACGGGGTGCCCCATGCTACTCGTGCCCAGATCATCGCAGCTGCTCGCAAGGCCAATTGCGAGTTCATCAGCGACTTCGTAAGCTAGTCCCAACATGCTCAACGATACAACGTGCTAATGTGCGATAGCCTGATGGCCTCGAAACCCACGTGGGCGCCCGAGGAACCCAGCTATCTGGTGGGCAGAAGCAGCGGATAGCTATCGCACGAGCGCTCATCAAGCAGCCGGACATCCTCATCCTGGACGAAGCAACTAGCGCGCTAGACGCCGAATCGGAGACGCTGGTCAACCAAGCCCTGGGCAAGCTGCTCCAAGAGAGGAACACAACCATCAGCATCGCGCATCGTCTTTCGACCATCAAACGATCAGACCGTATCATCTGCATCAACGCAGATGGCCAGGTGGCGGAAGAAGGAACCTATGAGGAGCTCTCCGCGAATCCCAGCGGCGCTTTCAGCAAGCTGATGGAGTGGCAGCTGAGTGGGGGCGATATCGATGCAGAGGTCCGAAACCCAAGACCGACCGAGGAGGAGGAGATCGAACGTGAGCTAGAGGAGGCCGAAGACGAAGAGGAAGAACAGGTCAAGCAGAGGCAGAAGCGGTAATCGCGGTGGATCCATGTTACGTTGGGCAATATCACAATGCAGGATGCGCTGAGGAGTGCCTCATCCCAGGGGCAAATAGACCGGTGAGAAGCGACATCACGGGCCCTCCCGAAACCGGAGCGCCCGTGCTCGTGCGGGAGATGTCGGGTTACGCCCCCATGCGGAGCAGTCATCACGGATTTTGCTTGAACGCACCCGGTTAGTCCCGGGGCATCATTTCATCCACGACGGATTTTTGCGGCACGTTTGGCGAGCGGGAGGCTCAAGTGGTGGCTGCATCGCATCCTCGCATCGCGGTGGCGCCACGCTTGGCCACATTGTCACACCATCTTTCGAGCCTCATCTTGTTACTCAACCAGCGGACTGATCATCACATATCAGCGGTGAGAATCATGATATCCAGCAACAATACGGCGTTTGGGGTCAAATCATAGCAGAGCGAGTGGAGCTCTGTTATCACGTAGCATTTTCCTGTACAATTAGTCTCCTCTCTCATCGTCACGCTATATAAATAATACTTCGTCACCTCAGTTCCTCTGCGCTCAACACTACGTACGGGACGAATTCAAGCCTACTGGATCACGTCTGAACTTCCACGGAGAGGCATCATTATTCGGATCGCGCACGCGTTCTTGCATTTGCAAACATCTCTTCTCGATTGCGGAAATTCCTCGGCCGGAACAACGGGAGTGAACGCTAGCTTACCGAACCACCACCAAAGCACCAAGCATCACCTCATCAGGTACAGCACGCCCTACCAGCTTCTCCGAACCGTCAACAATGGCTTACAACGAACGAATCAGCGGATTTAAGCCCGCGCTCGATCACGACATCAGGGTCTTCTTCGTGACGTCATCGACACATCGGGGGTCCAGACGCGGAGAGCTTCCGTAATAAAGACGCGATATGCCACACGCCCAACTCCAGGACCATGCTCTTATAAACGAGAGCGCGGAGCAAGCTGAACACTGTCACCACTCCCCGATGCTAAAAGCTGCATCTTACACATCGTACCGCCTCGTCCACCGCGCGCCGTCCCACTTCCATCCCCATCCAGTCAACATCTCGCGGACCGTCCCGATCGCAGGGCATAAAGCGCAGTTTCATTCGTCGGGCACGATGGAGCAGAAGAAAGTAGATGAGTACAAGGCGCTGGGGAATCGCGAGAACCGGCCGCCGAAACACGAGATGGTGCACTTCAAGGGGCTGATGAGCGAGAAGAGGGCGTTTGGAGATTTCAGGACAGTGCTGCATACGGGACTGTATAGCCAGGTTGTGGCTATGGAGGTTCCTGTGGGCGGGGAGATTGGTGATGAAGTAGGTTTCCAATCACTAATCACTGCCGCGGAAATGGTTTTGACGCACAGCGCTAACGCTGCGTAGGTCCACACCGTCGACCAAATCCTCCTCTTCACCTCCGGCCGGGGCCTCGCGACCGTCGCGGGCAAAGACCAAGAAGTTAACGCGGGCGACGTCGTCGTCGTGCCCGCGGGCACACAGCATCAGTTCGTGACGAAAGGGGATCAGCCGTTGGAGCTGATCACGGTGTATAGTCCGGCGGAGCACTTCCCGAGCACGGTGCATAAGGATAAGGAGCAGGGCGACAAAGAGGAGGATGCGGGGCAGGACGAGGCACCGGCGTGGAGCAGGAAGAGTAAGAAAGAGAATGAGGATGCCGGGTTGGTGAAGTTGAGTGGGAAGTACGAGGAGTAGAGAGTAGGAAAGGGGTCAGTTGGAGGAACGGATTGGAGATGGACACGTGCTGGCGTTACAATACCTGCGACATGCTGCAAACACTTGCCTAGAGAATCACGCACCTCTTTTGATTATGAATCATTCTGTTCTCCAACATACCCTCACGCAGCTCTGGGTGGATTATCGATCCGTTAATTATCTCCCAAAACGCCGGCCTGCAGACGTCATGACAAGCGATTGCCGGATTCAGATATGTGATGCCGCGATGCGACCAGCGATCAGATAACCCCTCTCGTCGGTAGTACGATGTGGGGTTAACGCAGCAGATGTTCTCGAACCATGGCTGTAGTCGGGTAGCACCGCGTTCTGCCCTACGAAGTATAGCTGTTTCCCGGCAATTGGCGGTTGGGATGCATGTGGGGCAATATCGCGTGCGGCTGCAGATGAGGTGTGGTACAGTGGTCTGGTCTGGGGTGCGCCGCGGAGGCGGTGGAACGACGAGTACGGGCCTGAGTGTTAACGGGTGACTGGATAGGAGGAAAAGGCACTGGCGGAAATGCAAGCTTATAAAAAAGGGAGCTTCGGTCGTATCTTGCCGAACGGCTTGTTTTGAGGCCCTGGGCTTGATATGAATAGCATGCCTGGAATGAGATGTTTAAGCCGTCTACTACTAGTGTAGAGGGATTGTACCGGGGATGAGACGCGTTCCGATATCGCGGCTGCCCGATAGGGCAATCGTAGACGTAGGGAGATGAGTTATTTACCTGCTTGGAGACAATGTCTCTCATGGAATTATACCTGAAGATAGTGCAGTGCGCCATGTTTGAACTTGTGGGGCCACCGTTGTCCCATTCTCGGACGGCTTCAGGGGAAACGCAGGCACTACGCGTGTTTGCAGTCGTACGCACTCCATCTAGAAATAGTTGTTTGGCATGGATGAAGTAAACAAGGCTGTCGTTTCGAAACATGCCGGGCTGTCCTGCGTAGAATTGAGCCATTTCTGGAAGCTGTGTCCGTCGCTTGGCACCTGAATTGACGCTGGTGCGTGGCGCATCCATTTGCGAGTGACGGGACGACACATCTGCACTGGGTTGAAGCGCGACCGTGCCCGAAAGCCGCGTGTTGAGATCAGGAGATAGCCGACGCCCTCGCAACGGCGAGCGGGAGGGTGGAAGAGCGTTTAATCGGCGAAAGCAGGGTAGACGCGCGCGGTCGGCTGTGTCATTCGGCACAGGCAATTTGGCGGGCTGATATGCGCGCTCGCGGCTTCTTTTGACTGCTCGTCATCACCACCCCGTTCCCCGTTTCTCCTCACATCCGCTCCTTGATAATTCCCGCGCGCATCCTCAGCTATTGCTTCCACCGTGTCGACTCCCCGCGCCCTGCACGCCCGCCTGCGGCAGTCACTCTTTCATGCTCGTCGTCATCCCCCAGCGTCGCTGAGAGGTGAGTGCTCCCGCGGCATCGTCGCCCTCGCCCCCACCATCTGATAAATGCGCCATCTGATAACCCGTCGTCGCCCACCTCCGCGTTCCGAGGGCTTACACGAACCTTCGCAATGTGTGCGAAATCGTCCCCAGCGCTGCAGCCCGCAATTGATGTCGCGCATCCCCGCCTGAGTCAGATGTTGCTAACCATGGCCCACCGCCAGCCTCAGGCTTTGTCGCGTCCTCAAAAACGCCGCCTCGCCCGCTCCGCTGCCCCCTCCACCACCACCGCACCATGGCCTCCGCGACACCCACCATGGACCATGGCATCCCGACCACCTCGACCTCGCACCCGCACGACCCTATTCCCGCCGAGCCACGAGCCCTGCCCGAGCTCACCCTCCGCCCTTCGCAGTCGGCCTCACACCACCCGGAGCAGACGTCGCCGAGGTCGTCCGGAGAATCCATGCTATGGAGCACCGCCAGCAGCGACGACTCGGAAGCGCCCCTGACGCCCAACACCGAGCCTGAGCGGCAGGTGGATGAGATGGTCGACAAGCTGCAGGCGCTGCCCGCCGCCGCCGTCAATTTCACCGAGCAGGCGCGCCCGCGACGCGCCTCGACTACGCTCATCTCAGACAGCCCCTCAGACATCCGGCGAATCCTGGGCGATGGCGAGACGGCCACCAAGCTCATCAGCCAGTGCTGCGGCGGCGGATGCTGTCTGCTCAAGACATTGGCTCCGGACACGTCGTCGCCCAGCTTCAGGCCCGTTGTCATCCCAGACAATCGCGCCTTTGCGAGTCTGAATCTGCGCCTGGGGCCTCTTGCCCTCGACAGCGAGCTGACCGACACCACGCCGATGCCGCCCGTCAATATGTCCTTCGAGCCAATTCCCGCCGCCGACGCCAAGCACGTCTCCAAGGTCCACAAGGAGCCGCCAGAATATGTACAGCCGCATCCTCCCTATCAAGTCTACTCGGCACCGCTCTACCACGCACGCGAGCTGACCAAGCCCGGCGCCGAGAAGAGGACGTTCCACTTTGATCTTGACGTGACCGACTACCCAGACGAAGGCGGCGTCGACTTCAAGGTCGGTGGAGCCATTGGCATCTGCCCGCCAAACTCGCCCGAGATTGTCGACGAGCTCTTTGACGTTCTCTGCATTCCCAAGTTTGTGCGTGACAAGCCAGTCACGCTCAAGACCAACGGCGGCCGCTGGCCCACTATTTGGGGGGAGGACCAAGCGCGCGAGCTGGTCACGACGCGGCGGGAGATACTGACCTGGTGCGTAGACCTGCAGTCTTTCCCGCCCACCAAGCACCTCCTCCGCATCATGGCCGAGTACGCAGACGCGCCCAACGAGAAGAAGATCCTCATGTATCTCTGCTCCGCCCAGGGCCAGGCTGCCTTCTGCGACCTCCGGACGGCGTCCCACCTCACCGTTGCCCAGCTGCTCCACGCGTTTCCCTCTTCCAAGCCGCCACTGCCTGCTCTGCTCTCCGTCCTCAACCAGCTGATGCCGCGCTTCTACTCGCTCTCCAACGACCCACACATCTCGTCTGCCCGCCCGAGTCTCCCCGGAAACCGCCGCCTCATCGAAATGGCCGTCACCATCCACGAGACAGCCGATTGGCATGCCGATGGCGCTCTACGCACTGGAGTTGGCAGCGGTTTCATGGAACGCATGGCTCAAGCTTTTATCAGTGCGGAGAACGAGGGCATCGACCCGCGGAGCATCCTCGACCTCCGCGTCCCCATGTTCCGCGGGCTTATGGCCAACCCGCTTTCGAAGCGGTTCGGTGGCGAAGGCCCAATGGTGCTTATTGGCGCGGGCGTCGGCATGGCGCCCTTCCGAGGCTTCATCCTGAACAGGTTGAAGAACGCCAACTGCGCGAACAAGATCTGGCTGATCCAGGGAGTCCGCGACTCTATGCTCGACGAAATCTACTCTGGCGAGCTCGGAGACCACGAACGCGAGATCAAGAGGGTGGTGCAGAGCCGCAAGTTCCGAAGCGGCCAGAGCGAGACCAAGTACGTGCAAGACGAGGTGCGGCTGCAGGCCGACATCGTCTGGTTCGTCATCAACGCCCTGGACGGCCGCATCTTTGTCTGCGGCAGCAGCCAAGGCATGGGCGAGGGTGTTGAAAGAGCGCTTATGGAAGTAGCCATGCAGAAGGGTGGCATTGGCGAAGAAGAGGCGAAGGAGTTCTGGGCCAAGAAGAAGGAAGACGGCCAATACATTGCTGTAAGCCCTCCCCACCTTCTCACTCCTGCTAGGCCACGCTTACCTTCGAACAGGAAACTTGGTAAAATCGTGTTGTCCTCTTGCGCGTGACGGACGGCCTGTATATACCCTCCATCCGAACAATCGCTCCTACATAGCATAGACGTTGTCGCTCTTTGACTGGCGTTGGGAGAGGGATACACCTAGAAACAAAATGCTCGGGCATACCATTTCTGATTATTTACATTCATCGCGTTGGACCGCGTCGTGCTATCGTTGTACAAGCACACATAGCATGGAGTCCTGGAGCATGGCGGCGGCGTTTCTCCCTTCTGTGGGCGGCCAGACTAGATTTACAGTCTGCAGCAGCCTTGTCGTAGCTAGAAATTATGAGTAGTGTATCGATAGGAAATTGAGACCAAGTCCAAATCTTCTGCGTTGGCTGCCCGCTGGTTGATATCGCTGGTCTGGTTGGTACCTGCTTCTAACCGCATCGTGCCTTCCCTTTTGGCAGCTTCAATGTCAGCAATCGCATCGCGCCTCTTTGTTCTCCCAACTTCCCTCCTCCAGCCTGCCCCGGTCTTTTTCCAGGGCCTGTCAGTTGATGAGGCCCATCCAAGGGGAAAATTTTTTTTTATTGCAGAGAAAATTGTGGTCCTGCTGATGAAATCGGACCAGAGTTGCGCCCAGCTGTGCCTGCGCCGCACCTTGGTAAAAGCCATGGCTCACCACACACCTTATTTGAACCTCCGTCCATGGCTTTTATTACGAGGATTGCACTTTGTTTGATAACGGAGCGTTTTTTATCGAGCCCAGGACCGGCGGTAGACGGAGCGGCTGCCACGAAGACGTCGTTTCTTTCCTAACATCGGCGCCAAAGCCCCAGCGCGTGGCACCCGGCAAGAGACTCGCTATCGTTCGCGCTCACCGCCCAATCCCGCTATCGAGTCTTCTAGCCGTTGGCCTTTCTTTTCGCGTCTTCGCAGGTCTCGCATTCCACCAATTCCACCAGGGGACGGCAGCGCCAGCTGGTGGTTGCATTGATAAGGCGCCCAGCCTCAAACCTGCACCGTCTCGAGACCTCGATGGAGTTCGCGTCCAACGTGCGTGGCAAAGCTAGACATATGACTGCCGAGGAGATATTTACCAGCGCGAACCAAGAAGGAACGAAGCAAGAGAAGAGGACCGGAAGATATATTTGTAGAGGCGCAGCGCATCCAACTCAGCCTCTTCTAAGCCCTTGACGGGCGCGGGCGCGTAGGGCGTTGATCCATGGCTTAGCCTTGGCTGGAGTATCGGAATCGGAACCGGCCACCCGAGCGCATTCCCGAGAAGTGAGGTACTGAGCGGAAGGATCAAACGTCGCTCTACAAAGGTTACGGGGCGCTAGAAGCGCTTTTCAGCTGTAGCATCAACTGCGTCTGGGGTCGACATGGATTTCTTGCTGCGACGACTGGACGGATCTCGGATACTGATGAACGAGGACAAACCACAATGGGAGGCCTAACACACGTCGTACGCAACGACAGTTTCGCACGCACAACGGGCCAACCTCCGTCGACGCCCATCCCCTACGGAGCGATGAAGCGGATTCTTGAAAAATTACAGAACAACAACATTATTGAATTCAAACTCGTGGGACGAATATCCTGAGAGGGATCAGCGAGGCTCTATTTCCTAGCACTGGGTTTCTGGCCCCATTCTGCACCAAGCTTTCCCGCTGTGATTCCCGGTGCACGCTCCGCCTCCCTGAGCTACGAAAGATCCCTGCCCGCCCCAAACACTTTACTGGAAAGGCACGCCCGTCTGACGGGCTTTAAAGACAGGCCTAGGGCACTCTTCGCGCGCGGCATGCGTTGTACCTTCCTGCAACTTCCTCTTAAGCCCCAAGTCACAGATTCCTAGTGCTCCCGCCGCGAGTACCACACTGCATAGCCAGATGGCTCGGTCCGCTATTCTCTCCACGGCGCTGCTCTTCGGAGCCCAGGCCTATGCTGCGTACGACGAGTGGTTCTTTACCAGTAACGCGACGGAATGGCAGTGTCCACAGATGGGATTCGCCTGTCCACCGCCTCAAGTATGCGCACACGACGCCCTCATCGATCAATACTATTGCTGCAGCGGTGGGTCTGCGGACGCCGTTTGCTGGGATGGGGCGAGCGACTGTGGTGCTGGAGATGGTGAGCCGTCATCGAACCAGATCGGATGTTCGTCCGGAGTGAACGCCTTCTGCTGTCTTTCTAGCAGGTGAGTCTCAGTGCGAGATCGGTGCGAGAGATGGGATATCCTGACTTCAATCCAGGGAAGAATGCACACAACGATTCAGTAAGCAACTGTTGTGATTTAGTCCTCCGCTTGAAGGTACTGACTCGTCTCTTCTCAGATCAGATCAACATTTGCTGGGCGACCGCTGAAAACCCAATTGCCAACGTCTCCGAAGACAGGCTAAATGAGACATTCTCGTCATTAAGCTCCGCCCGTCCCTCCGCCAGCTCCCTCACCTTCGACATAGCAGCCCTCACCGCGACAAGTACACCCGCCTCTTCAACAGCCTCTGCAACTTCATCACCCGCTTCTTCTGGCGCATCAGCGACCCCATCGGAGACTAGCAGCCAAAGTCCAGCACCTACTGGTGGCTCTTCCGGGGTTTCTGGCGGTGCCATCGGAGGCGCCGTCGTCGGGGGTGTTGTAGGACTGGCTCTTATCGGCGCTGGTATATTTTTCCTGATGAGGAGGAAGAGCAAGAAGGCGCACCAGAACGAGCTGGATGGTGCGAACCCGTATATACACAATGGATATGCCGGTGTTGCGCAGGCACCCCCGCAGGAGAAGTATGCGCATGAGGCTGCCAGCGAGGCGCCTTCATCCTCATACCCACCTGTGGAGATGCCGGCGAACACCCATCCGATGGAGATGGAGGGGAGTAAACCGGCCAACAACTCGCAGCTACACCATGGATGATTGCATAGAGAAGAAGACTGTGTTTGAGGAAGAGATGGATGGTTATTCATGACGACGCGCCGACATTTGCGCTCTTCGTTTTTAAGCTTCTCGTGCATATTTGCGTTATGGTGAATGTATTTTTGGGAAAAGGATTGGGAAGTTCAATTCAGCGCTTAGGCTATATTTTTGTATCAATCTTCTAGTCCGACTGCCAGACGTTCGGTTAGGTTCCATGCACTTTTTCAACTACACCTCCATGCCCGATGCCGCTTCGTCACCGCCGTCGTCTTCCACTTGGGTCAAGCTCCATCGTCGTTCCACGCTCCGTACTACGCTCCCAAAGCTTCAAGCCCGCTACACCGCATCCAACGATGACCACAATGCGGGGCACACAACCCACTCGTTTACTGTCAACTCCTTATTCCGGTCTGCACTGCTAGTCTCCGTCTTACGCAGCAGATCGTCCAATACATCCCAGCCGAACTCAGCGCATCCATTGGCTACCTTTTGCACGGGTACCAGCGTCCACCTTCGCAGGTGGACGTTGGTGACGGTGCCGATGAGATTCGATCTTGACTCTTGTCCTGGAACTAGCAGAAGCCCGTATCTCTTCTGGGCCATTTCCAGAAGGTCTGCAGCATGGGTTTCGCTTCCTCGTCATCGCGGGGATGTTTAATGGTATAGAGGTCCCCGATTTCCAGCGTCGTTGACGACGCCGCGTCCCTGCGGTTACCTTGCGGAGTATAAACCCCCGCAATGACCCCATCGCTTCCGTCGATTTTGAATGCTGTAAGGATCGACACCATCGAAACAATCTTGAGGAGCTCAAACTATGAGGGGAAGAAATCCCTAGCTCCGAGTGCTACCTGCGGGACTTGTCACTGCTCACGACCCCGACGTTTCCCGTACACGGGCGGTGGGCTGAGCACATGCTTGAGCGCTTGAACCTAGAGAAGCCTGGGTTTGAGGCGGATATTGGCAACGATCTGCTAGAGAAGGCGAGGATGCTGAGCGTGGAGGTTGTGTAGACCTTCCACAGTACAGTCGACGTCGAACACACAAAGGATGCCCTTCCAGAGGGAGATTGGTAAGGAAATCTTCTGAGCCGCTACTGAGCTTCGTCTCCGTTCAACGGCCGCCCCACGCTCTAACCCTTTTAGCCCTATCCGGACGATGGACGCTCTTCCGGCATCCCTTGGCCGTCCCTAGCTGCTCGCAGCAACCCCAAACAAAACCTTCTGGGATCTCTTCCCTCATGTCATCCGTGTCGATAGTTCCATGACAATTCTCATCGTGATCAGCCCAGATATCGGCGTCGTAGTCGACTTCCAGCTCTCCTACCCTGAGGTCAGCCAGCCGAAGTGTCGGGGGGGCAGGCATATCGGTACCTTCGTGCCAGACGCAAGAACACCTTTCGTTAGCCAGCACATCATACTCTTCACCGCATTGATCGCAGATCTCGTATCGTTGTCTCGTGTACTCTCGCTTGCGTTTTTGGCCCTGCGGCGCGGGCTCCGTCTCTCCCTGCGGGTCGTCCGAATAGTCCGAGTTGTCATCTGCACTCGATCCCTCATCTAATTCGTCTTCCTCTTCGGACCCCTCATAGCGCACGACGACGTTCTCTCTCTGAACCGCTGGATCCGCAACCTTCTTGAGCTCTCCTTGCTGGACGAGGAGCCTGTCACAAGCTAGCTTGAAAGCCTCGGGAGATTTGTCGATTACGTCGCGAAGGGTGTCGCGTAGGCGCTCGAGGGTGGAAGAGTCGATAACGTTGAGGAGAAGAGCCCTTTCGGCCCTCTCAGGGTCGGAGGCGGCCGTATGAGGCATTTGAAATGGCGTTCCACTCAAGACGTCAATAGCGTCTCCTCTTAAGAGGGGGGATGGAGCGAGGAGTGCAGCGATGCGTGTTGAGTTTCAGATTACTAGGAACGCGTCCGACGGGGAGCGCGTCGCGCTTGCCGTTTTCGGATAGCGTATCGAGCTTGTCTGCACTTCGTCCTGCTTTCCACACTCGCTCTTCTTTGCCCTTCAGACAGAATTCGTTGTCAGGCGTCGTATGCTAAAGCGCAGTCGAAGCTCAGCCCCGCCGGGGCGCCTCCAGCCAGAGTGCAGCCCACAATGGCCCCAAAGTGCCCTCCCTCCGATGACGCCCTTACTGTCTTTCTGTTCACCTCGGCGAGCTTCCGCTCCTTGCCTTTACTCCGCCGAAGGCCTGCAGGATGAGTTTCCGCGACATTCGATGACCCATGAGGAGGAAGTTAGATAAGGCCACAAGACATGCTCCTTTAACGTAACAAAGTCGATCACGCTAAGGCAACGCAAAGGATAATGCAGGACGAGAATTGTCAGGTATGATAAACGAACGACTACACGCCAACCATGGTCTATCCTCTAACCAACAAGACCAGAACCATCCACCTCATTTCCGCGTCGAGACATCGCTTAGAAGCAGCAGCACTGCCCATTGTTGCAGCTGGCCTGGAGATAATCGAAGTTGTCGCACTAAAGGATTTGTCCGCATCAGTATTCCAACATGCCAGCTCTACACCTGGAGACGGTGTATGGTGTCTTCAAACGGAGGGGCCTGGGGCACTTACGAATGCCTTGCATCCAGCAAGATCGCCCGGGCAGTATTCGGGCGTCGTGATGTCGCAAGTCTGTCTCTGCTCGAGCGGCGAGGCGGAAACGCTGAGAGCGAGGGCGAAAAGAGCGGTTACGGCCGTGGAAAAACGCATTTTGAACGTGCGGGTTGGAGGAGAGAGTAAGGTGAATGCTTTCGTGCAACGGAGATGCTGAGTTGTGGAAAGTTTGGATTTCGTTTGATGCAGCACAGCAAGAGACGACGAGACATATTTATACTCGACTCTGTTCACCGAGTATTCGTAAGGTACTGCGATCAGACGGAAAGCAGGTGGGTCGTGCAGGCGCGCCTGAGATTGCCATCTAGACAAATCATCGCTCCGAACCATACACGGCTTGAACTTGCAGGTACACGATAGGGAACTCTCGCAGAATCGTATGGCTTGTACCACGCACGCTTTGTGGGTCATTGAGGCCTAAAGTGGCTGTGCGTTGGTCGATCTCAGGGTCTCAAGTAAGATGAACGTCATCTGACTTCAGGCCTCCCAGATCTTCGCCTCCCATTCCTTGAAGTCATCATGTGGTATGTGGGTCATTTCGTCTTATGGTCATTATTTCACACTCAGCGCAGGTACGGTGTACGCCTAAGCAGGTACCACACAGTCGTACAGGGTCGGGGACGCCGTTCCTGTGCCATATTTAGCGCAGACCCATCTGGTTTGCGGATCAAATGCTTATGGTTGCATTTCGATCCCACTTCCACTCGGCCAGTCAACTCAGCCGCCCGCCCTATTTCGCTTATGGTGCTTTTGAAGTGCGATTGCACGGCAATGGGGCACTGGGGCAGCTCAGCCGTCCACCACACGAACGAGGACGTACGAGCAAGGCGAAGCCCTTCCTTTGTATTCACGATTTAACCCGTCACCAGAGCAACGACATCGGCGTACTCCCCTGGTCGAACATCCAGCCCATCGGATCCACGTTGCCGGGATTGTACGAGGCATCGGACATCTGCATCAACCGTGAGTTTTCGTGAATGTTGTTTCCAAGAAGTCGTGCTTACCATAAAGTCCCAGCCTTCCATCAGCTCAGGCGCCATGTTGAGCGACATCTGGTCGAGCTCACTCGCAGCCTGTTCTGTTCCGTATCGACCCATCATCTGTTCAAGCACCGCGAAACTTCGTTGCTCGCTCTCTTCGGCATCCTTTACTAAGATTTCCGGGATTTCGTCTCTTCTAACGCCGCGCATGAGTGCTTGTATATATGACAGCATCAAACAGACGAATATGTGGCCTTTGACATTGGTCTCTCCTGCCTCGATGCACCACAGGGACCAAGCGACCGAATCCTCCACAACGGACAGCAGGTCGCGCCGCAACGGCACTGGCCCCAGGCTGTCCTCTTCCTGTAGTTGGGTTCGCAGTTCGGTTGCTATGACGAGGACTGCTTGCATGGCGCCAGTGCGGCCGAATCCGGTACCGCAGGCGGTAAGCCGCTCTAAATCATCCTTCCTAGGCGACGTTGCCCCATTCGCGCCCGGCATAGCGACTACGGCGGAGGATGGGTTTGTCGCATACCATATCTTGAGCGCGGCGTCGATCACCGCCGTCCGCGAATAGGCGTAGGCTGTTCCCCGCAAAGCCGGCGCGAGAAAGGGGACGTGGAGGGACAAGAGATAGCGATTCATGATCAGGTCCACCATGCGCAGCTGAAACTGCGTAGGCGAAGGGCCAATACTTGGATCAAAATTTTGAAGAGTCCGCCGTAAGGCTTTGTACGATGCCCTGAGTTCTCCATCCAGCCGAAGTGTCTCCTCGTACGTTCCGGTCGAGCCGATGTGATTCAATAAACGTGCAACCGCTAGCCGAGCTGCAAACGTCCTACGAAGGGCTGTGGTGACAGACACTCCCGTGTATTCGTTGTCAGCTCTCGCCACGGGATCTTGGCTCGTTAGCTGCTCGTCGTCGAAGTTACCCGGCGGGTCCGTGTCGAAATCTTCCAGAGTAACCAGCGGAGGGCCCCCGCAGTTCAGACTCGATTGTATACAGAGTTCTAAGATGGTGTTCCAAAGCCTCCGCTGCATCTCGGCAGCGATGACAGGCCGCGGAGACAACCGGGTGGGGTCTCGATGCAATCCCACGAATACCGCGACCCTGAACAGTTCGCCGGTCGAAATCCAGACCAGGTCTTCACCAACCGCGGCGGCCTCGCGAGCGATGAGATACAGAATGTTGGTTTGGATGTATTGGATGCCCAGACGAGCTTTGCGTCTCGGATCGGAGAGCCATGCTTCAGCCTCGTATACCCATCGAATGGCAGAAGGGCGGAGCGAGTACTGGTCGTCGTAGGTGGCGGCGCCAATAGCAAGCACAAGCTTCAGTAGCACCAGGAATGAGGGGTCTGGGTTTGCTTCCGTACCCGCCGCCCAGAGTGCCTCGTACTCTTTCCTGAACGTGGGTATGTGGACGACCCGATACACTGTCTCAGTCGTCCGAAGGTAGCATTCGACAAGCGTGTCTGTGGTGTCTTTGGGTGGCAGATCCGGGGTCGGTGGGCAAGGCCATGTAGGAGCGCGCTGCGCCTGCAAAGGTGGCGCTACACTTAGCAGTTGTCGTGCATGAAAGGGAGAGGAAGTCAACGCTATGTCTTAGCTCTTCACCTGCTGACGGCCTCTAGGAACGGCTTTTAGCAGGTAAAAGCTAAGACTTGTTAGAGCGTGTAGCGACCCACGTACCTTGATCGCTCTCGCCATCCGCTTGCAGCGCATGACGCCGCGGAGAAGGTTCGACGAGTCGCGGTTCACGTAGTCGTCAAGTAGCCCCGCGATGTCGTTGGCCAGAGGCACGCCGTAGTTCCTATGGCACGGGTACGAAGTCAGCGTCATTCCCGAAGTGCGGTGTACTAAGTCAATGTCCCAGCTAAGTGCTCGCAGAATCCCGAACGCGCCTCGCGGGGTACGTCAAACATTAGCACACACTTCGGCAGAGGCATTGACTCCGTACAGGGGCTTCTGCGTACATCCAATTACTCTGTCCGAACAAACGGCCCTTGTGCGAGACGCTGCGGACGACGCCCTGGCTTTGGGTGGAGTGGTGGATGAAAAAGGTTCCACCAAGGTGCGACGTATGTGCTTCGATGTTGGAATCCGACGTTGAAGCAGGGGACTGGGCGCTCGACTTTGTCGCCTGGTACAGCTGTATCTCAAGCTGCGTGATCCGAGTGCGCAGAGAGTCGGCATCTGGCGCCGTCGAGGAGGTGCTGACACTGGAGGCTCCGTCGTCCTGTCTACGGCGTTGCTCGCGGTGCGGAGGAGGCTGGTTCTCGTAGACGCAGGCCTCGTTCTTGGAACGCACGCAGTTGCTGCAGGGTGTTTCTCTGTTGCAGCGAATCTTGCGTCTTCTGCACAGGGTGCACGATCTATGGGCGCACGGTTATTGGTGCAATATGCCGATCGGAGAATGGACCTACACCGCGGGCCTTCGACGCCGTCGCTCCGGCTCCATTATTCAGTTCGCTTACGACGTTAAGCTCTGCCTTGGACGGGGAACGGATGCTCCTGATTGGATTCAGCAGGCGATCGGTCAATAGCTTCCGTCTAGATCTAGCAGTTGAGAAGCTGCTCGATGCCAAGCCTTTCGTGTGGAATATCTGCGCCTGCTTGTAGCCCGGCGGTTACTCCGGTATAGAGAAGGCACAGCAAAACCAGATCCGTGGGCGCCGAGGGGGGTCGTCTGGAGGTGGCTGCCCAGGTACGTAATCTCCAGCTATATATCCCGAGTCCGTCGGCCTATCTCCTATCTCCGATGGGCCGAATCCGAATAATCCGAACCCGCTCCCACCGCGAAGACTACAACACCTCCGACCGAAAACCCCTTCACGCCATCGCACAATACATACTTAGGGAATCATGCTCGTAGACATGCCGGAAAGCTGCCTATACCGTCATTCCATCGCCCACACCCGCCGCCGACTCCATCGCCCTCCCGTTTGCACTCCAAGACCTTTCCACTTACTCTCAGCTCCGGAAAGCTCCCCTGGGGCCCTTCAGCGATAGAACAGAATCGAATCCTAGCCATGGCACCAACCGAAGATCCAGGGGTCGCCTTCGCTCTAGACGAAGAAAAGAGGACGACCACTCCTCCCGCTCCTACTGCCGAGCCAGGAGAAACGCCCGCCAGCAATACTCCCGAATTCGAGGCTGCGCCAGAAGGCGGCCTCCGAGCGTGGACCGTCGCAGCCGGCGGCGCCTGCATCTTCTTCTCCTGCCTAGGCTTCTCTAACGCATTCGGCGTCTTCCAGGAGTACTACATGACGCACCAGCTGCGCGACAAGTCGCCCGACGACATAGCCTGGATCGGGTCTGTTGGAGGTTTCATCCAGTTTGCCGTGGGCGCCGTAGGGGGGCCACTGTTCGATCGCGTCGGTGCATAGGCACGTCATCTCGCCCCTCCGCCTTTCCTAGCTCTTGCTGATAAGGTCTAGATGATCCGTCCAGCAGCCGTCGCCTACATCTTCGCCATGATGATGCTCAGCCTCAGCCACTCCTACTACCAAATTATGCTCACCCAGGGCGTCCTCATGGGCATCTGCATGGGGGCAATGCAGTTCCCCGCCTTCGCCGCCGTATCACAGTACTTCGAGAAGAAACGCGCCGCCGCCCTGGGCATCGTCGTCTCCGGATCCTCAATCGGCGGCATCGTGATCCCCATCGCCGTCTCCAAGATGCTGAACAGCTCCTCGCTCGGCTTCGGCTGGTCCGTCCGCACCATCGGCTTCCTGACCACGCCGCTCATGCTCTTCGCCTGCATGGCCATCAAGGCGCGGCTGCCGCCGCGGCAGACGACGTTCTTTATCTGGGCTGCGTTCAGGAACACGAAGTTCAACCTGCTTATCGCGGCGCTCTTCTTCATGTTCATGGGCATGTTTGCTCCGCTGTTCTTTCTCCCTACGTATGCGGTCATGCGCGGCGTGGACGCGGCCATGGCCTCGTATCTCCTTGCGATCCTCAATGCGGCCTCCACGTTTGGACGCATCATTCCCGGTGTACTGGCGGACAAATATGGGCGCTTGAACATGTTTGCTCTCGCGGGCATTTCTACGGGCGTCATAATCCTGTGCATGAACTCAGCGACGAGCACGGCGGGCTTGGTCGTGTACTCGATCGCTATCGGCTTCACTTCCGGCACTATCATCTCTGGGGGTTCTGCCGCGATTTCGCTCTGTCCTGATGACCCCCGCAACATCGGAACATACATGGGCATGGGCTTGGCGGTTGGCTCGCTGGCTGCGCTGATCGGACCCCCTGTGAACGGCGCTCTTGTTAAGGAGTATGGCGGATTCTCCCAGGTCTCCATCTTCAGTGGCGTCGTGTCTTTGGTCGGAGGTGTCATCGCCGCGCTCAGCAAGCTCGCAACTCCCGAGGGTATTCTGGGCAGGGTGTAGCATCCTGCGTTACTTTGCAAGCCGGATGCAAGTAAGCTCACGTTAGACGGATCAGGGCGAGATTGCAACCTCAGTGCCCAGCACGTGAAAGAAGTATGCGCTTATGTTGGTTTGTAATGGAAGAGCGGGTATACCGAACGGGCGGTGGAGTTTCGAGGTACCTATAGATGGGAACTATCTCGATCCTCGAGACAAACGACCGGAATATTGAGACGACTAAAGGGAGGGTCGGGAGCAGTGTTCGAAGCTCGTGATAGAATCACACCGCTCACTCCAATCACAACTCCTCATCGTCATCCTGATCGCGCGTCCGCACATGCAACTTACCATGACCGTTCTCGATACCGAGACCGCCCACCTTGCCAGCACCATTATTCTTCCCAACCACCACCTCCTCCGCAGCCGCAAATGACCAGTCACCCACTCCCTCAAAAGCACCGTCCTTCACCTCCGCTCTGCCGGATCCATACTCCTTCGCTGACCACTTCTCCACGCCCTGCGTCCCGTTCCACTCCTGGTCGCCGCCAAACATGCGGAACAGGTCCGCATTCAAGCGCTCATACTCCTCATACGGTTTCGGCCAGCTACCGAGGCGCTGATAAGCCAGCTTGAGAAGGCGGACATGGCGGAGTGCAAGCGCTGGCCGATTAACACTAGATTGGTCGAGTTGCTCTGTATGCTTGCCATCGGCGCTACCGCTCAGGCTGACGCCGTGCTCAGCGAGCAGTGCAGCCGCGGTATCAAGTTCGTCATCCGAGTCATCGCCTAAGCCGTGCTCGTGCACGAGGAGGCGAAGTATGTCTTCGTGGATCCCGAGCGCCTTTTTGAAGTACTCGGTCGCGAGTGGGCCGGTCTTCTCAGAAGACGCCTTTGCTTGGTACGACTGCGCAGTGCTCGTGTACAGCTGAGCCAGGAGTTCGTAAGTCTCGAGCGTGACGGCTGCACGGGGCCCATGCGCACGCCGCATGTTGTAGGCAATGTCCTCGCAAAGCCGAATGGCCTTGATCGGATGGCCAGCAAGGTAGCGCGCACAGATTAGGCGGCGGCCGAGATTCACGAGCACGTGTGCAGGCCATGACCTTTGGGCATCGCGTGTGCTCCAGAGAGTCGTAAGCAGCCACTAAATGTAGTATTAGCATTTCCCGGAGTGGGTGCAGCGACAAAAATCTTACCTCGAGCGTGGTATAGTCTTGCTGCTCGCCCAGCAAAGCAGAGAGCTGACTGAGTTCGGGCAGTTGTACTTGCGCAAAGTTGATCTTCAGACTCTTGCTGATATCTAATATCTTCTTGACGATACGGTTGGACAGCTCCAGCGACTTCTTGCGGAGGGCGGGATCAGGGCACTTCTGACCTTCTCCGCCGACAAGCAGCCACGCGAGCCTAAAGCCTAGGCCAATGGCCTTGGGTCCATTGTAGCCGTCGTGATTGGTAGCGTAAAGGAAGCCGAGGTTGGCGACATCATATGCTTCTTGGAACCTCTTCGCCTTGACCAGGGACGCAACACGCTCGTTGGAGGCGACGATGACGGAGCGGTTGAAGTTCTTGTTCTTGCCGCTGCCGAGGTGTTCCAGGATCGAGACGATGAAGAGGTGTGGCGAATCCTTTCCAAGCACGTTGATGTCGGCAGCGTCGCGCTTCCGGAACAGCTTAACCACCTCTTCCTCCACGGCTGCCACCATCTCTTGCTGGTGTGTACGGAGCAGGAACCATCTGAGGGGTGCGGCAGCCATGAGGATGTCCCTCATGCTCCCGTTGGCTTTCAAGGAGCGGCGGAAGAGCTCGTAGTAGATGAACTCCATGGCGATGTCCGCCATGATCTCCGAAAACGTCACTGACAGGTCCTTCCGGATGTTGTACTGGAGGGAAGCGACGAATGCAAGGGCGGGGCGGTCACACTTCGTGAGATCGAAAGACCACTTCGATGCAAAGCGGGCATCCTTAGCACAGACCTGGCGATGCAGTTCTTGGACCAGCTCCGTGCAACGGGATACTTGTTGACAAGCCTGGAAGCTTTCCGCAATCAAGGCTGCTGACTCAATCATCTTTTGCGAAGCCGTCTCCTTGGTCATGATCTCAGCAACCGCTTTAGTGAGCTGCTGGACTGCAGTCTCGCTCTTCTGCTGGCGATGGTAGAGCACGGCCAGCTCGCGCAGATGGGTTAGGGACGACTCATGCGAGTATCCGTATTTACTGATCGCTTCGGAGAATTGCTCGCGGGTGATGCTAATGGCCCGCTCGATGGTCTCAGCCTTGACGGTAGTCGACGACTGCGACCTCATCTGCCGGACGTAGAGCGACGACAGCGTTTGCTTGATCTCAGCAACACTCGTGGTCTCGACCTTGGAAGACTTTGAAGCCTCCTCGTACAACGAGATTGCCTGAGAGGCGTGTTCCTCGCTTCTTTGCGTGACCCGAGCTAGAGCCAGCGTAGCCTCGACCGAGATGGTGGACTCGGCTCCAAAGGCACTGATACAGGTGTCGCGGTACTCCTTGGCGAACTTGTGCAGAGTCTCCCAGCTCGCCTTTGTTTCCTCGAGGCATTGGAAGCAGCGCTCGTAAAGAACCTGAACAAAGCTGGTGTCGCTGAACTGCTTGTAGTCCTTGGTTTTGCGGATGAATGTATTCCACAGCACCTTGAACACAGTGACAGCCTCCGCATACCTCCGATCCTCCCAGTATGTGTTGGCGACGATGACTATGGCATTCATTGCGTCCTTGTGGCAGATGTCCGAGTCCTTGTTCAAGCTAGTGACAATTTGCTGGTAATACTCGATCCAGTACGGATGGTTCCGTGGATGGGATCGGCATCGGGACGCAAGATTGTACAGCGTCTGGATGGTGCCCTCGTAGGTAAGGCCAAGCCTGGTACGGTACACTACAAGTATTTCCTGGAAGACGCTGATTGCACTGTCCACGTATCCATACTTGTCGTAGAAGCTCACGAGCAGTAATTTGACCTTTTCAAGAAGGGGGTCATCCAGGGTCTGCGACACGAGCACGGCCCGGAATAGCCGAGTGTAGACGTCTTCGGCCTTGTCCAGCTGCTTCAAATGCAGATAGCAATCCGCAAGACGCTCGACCAGTTCGATACACTCCGCCCTGAATGTAGAGGTCAGGGTGACGTCGTGAATGGAGCCGAAAAGGAACGAAGACCATGTTCTCTGCAAGGTCGCCCGGATTACTGAGATTGCCGCAGACCAGTTCCTCTGCTCTGTGTACCGCACAGTCAGCTTCTTCGCCAGCGCCATCGTAGTGGAGTCCACGGTCTCGGATGACTTGATCACAGAGTGGAATACGTCTTGAAAAGCAGAGTCCGACACGGTCCTGGTCGTTGATGTCAAGGTGGTAGTACTGGACAAGCTCTGCTTGGCCAGCTCGGTTGACGTCTCAGTGATCTACATGGGCGCGTTAGCAGGTACACCTTTGCCAGACTAGATAACAACTGACCTCGCGGCTGAGCTCGTTTGAGATCTTCGAATCTTCGCGGCGAACATTCTTGTAAAAAGCGCTTGCGTGCTTGTAGATGGACAGAGCCATGTTGTACTGAACCATCGATTTCATGACCTTAGCGACAGCGGTGAGGCGAGAGATGATGCTTTCTGAGTAAGACAGTTGGTGCTGCTCGTACTGCTGCCACACGCATGTGAGGACGGCCGACGCCTCGGTGGAGCGTTTCTGGGATTCGAGGAAACGAGAGTAAGCCAGAGCGATGTCGATGTGCCTCTCATGCCATTCAAGAGAGTGCACTGTGCGACATTTGGAAGAGACCTCCAACCACAACTCAACGTAAGTCTTTTCTGCCAACGCCACCTCGCCTCGTGCGGCGTACGCCTCGGCTCTGCGAAGGAAGATCGAGATTTGATGCATGTCGAAGATTTCCACAGCCTCTTCTTCTTCATCCTCGGCAAAAACGGATTCCTTGTAGCCATCCACATGGCGATCGCCTCTTCCCTTTCCAAGCACGACGTTGAGTGAATTTTGTACGTCCTGAGCTTCGTGAGAATGCTTGCCGTAGTGCTGAATGGTGGCTTCTTGGATCAGGCGGTACACCTCCAAAGCGCGCTTCTCCTCGCTTATGGAGGTGTACAGCTCAACAAGAAGCTTCCGCGTCTGGATCACCAGTTCGGACGAGCTACCGTACTGACGCTCGTAGGCCGCGACGAGTATGAGCAGGACTTCTTCCCTGTGGGTCATGAGGTCTGTGCGCGTAGTCGAGGTCATGCTCTCCGTGAGCTTGAGGAAGCGATGCGCGCAGTCCAAGGTCAGCGGGTGGATATCGCTGAGCACAGTGCGGCTGATCTTGGTAGACCAGTAATAGTACTTCTGGGCCTCGGACGGCTCCGAAATCAGAGTGTAGCACGTGGCGCACGCGAGGTAGCTCTGCAGGACAGCGGGGTGAGTCTCAGAAAGGATGTGGCGGCGCAAGGTCCCTACGAGGACGTGCAACTCCACCGCCTGGGAAGCAGGCAACTGCGTATCCCAGCAAATCTGCTCCAGAGCAGGCAGGACCGTGGTGTCCGGAAATACTTTGCGGAGTTCTGCAGAAGGCTTGAATTCGCGAGATTGAGCAGGTACCAGGGGAGACTGCTTGAGGTTCAGCACCCAATAGCGCGTAACATATTCGAGAAAGTGGTGTTGGCGGAAGAGGCGGTCAGCCAGGGTGGGGTCAGTGTTGTCTATGACTGGCTCACCCTTCTCCCGCAGCATGCATTTAGCGTATGTAAGAAGCTTGAGCACTAAGTCTGATTGAGCCTCTTTTGTCGGGATCGGGAGCTTGCCTTGCTGCGCAAAATTTTGAAGAGTAGCGTGGATGGAAGGGTGCCTAAAGCGGACGATGCGGTCGTGGATCGACAAGAGCGGCCGAAGGGACTGGACGGTAGAGTGTGTGTCCACTCCTTTGTCTGCAAGCGTTCCACGCTGGACGTCGATAGTGAAAAGGCAGTGCATCTCTTCAATGGTAAAGGGCCGCTCCGCTGAAAGAACCCAGGAGAGCAGAGTTTTGGCATTGTTGGTCGTGTCCAGGGACGCAAACAATCTCTGTACTAGGTCGTGAACGAAAGGGCGAGAGGACTCCAAGCCATCAAGTGTCTTGGTGACGCCGTCGCCGGACTTCTGTAGGCCAAGAAGCTCACACGCGAGGATGGCATATAGGAAGGACCCGTTTGCTATCTGGATTATGCGATCAAGTAGGCTCTCTTGCTCGGGGCCGGGTTTGCCATGGAAGTGGTGCTTATGCACAAGAGACTTCAGGGCCACGGCATGGACATCGTCGCGAACATCATCACGCGTGATCTGATAATGTGTACCGTTGCTGTCCGGAGGCATTGGTAGCGAGGAGGATAAAGCAATCAGGCGCACCCGCCGGCCTTGGTTGACGGCATTGAGCAATTTCCCCAGCAATGACGATGGTGCCGACTGGGGTCCAGTGAGCTCCTCAAGTCCGTCCACAATCACGACGAGGTCCCTTCCATCGTCGAGTGGTTGCTTCAGGGTATCCACGAGGGCTTGCCATAGGTGCTCTTCGTCGGCATCGACGGTGGCGCAGTGCATGCACTGAGTGTAGGCGCGAGCAAGGGCGTGATACATAGACATGTTACCCACCCTCGAGCTGAGCAGTTGGAAGAGCAGGGACTTCACCACCGCAAGGGAAGTCGTCTGACTAGGGATGTCGGAGGCTTTCGGAGCACAAGAGTCAGCATGGAAGCCTAGACAAGCCGGCATCTAGCCTCTCGGGAGCAGAGAGTGTCGCACTTACCGATGGAACAAAATATGGTATCAAAGGACTTGCGGTTCAGGGGGCGCTGGAGCCTCTCGCCGATGGCTCCTGCGAGGACTGACTTGCCCGACCCGGGTTGGCCTGTGATCAAAAAGAAATTTTTGTCGCTCTGAGCGAACTTGAAGAGATGCTTTTGGAACCAAAGACACGTGAACTCCGCTTGGTCGTCCGCGAAAGTCGTGTGATCCCGGCTCAGCGTGGCCAGCACTCGATCTTGCGGAGACAGCCATCTGCTGAGAAGTTTCACATCAATAGCTGCATCGGTCAGCGGAGCCGGCATAGAAGGGGTTGAAGGCTCATACCATCGCTTGTCTCCAAACCTTCGTCCTCGATCTGGAAGCTCCAGATAGATTCGATGACACTATTCTGACGGGTACGGAATGTCTCGATGGTATCACCGAAGGTCTCAAAAACGTCGAGGCTAACGGAAGACGTCGTCATCCCTGGTCTCGTTCAGCAACAGACCGCACAGCGAAAGAGAGAACATACCATTGACCGTCTTGTAGAACCTCACGGCCACGTCAACCACCAAAGAGAGAAGGTCCGTGTACATCAAGCATAACTGCTCACGGATGTCTGACGTCGCGGCCAGCAGCTCCGAACGATGCAACAGCGACGAGAACGCCAAAGAAAACTTGTAAAAAACCGTGAATGATTTGTCCAAGGTCTCGGAGTTCTCGTAGCCGAGCTTTTCCACGTCAGCGATCAAGAGGACAAATACACAATGCTGTGCACGTACCCCTAGCAGCAGTTGCGCATGGCCATAGCCCAGCGCTGCAGCAACGCTGCTATCGAGAGCAAATCCCTGGATGGCGAGGTCGAAATTGTGAAGCTGCTCTGCGAAATAGAGCGCCCTGATCAACACTCTATCCCAGCGGCTTCCCTTGTGGGGAAGGGTGGTGAGGCGCTCAGACCGAATCCATTCCAGGAAGCTGACGAAGGATACGTCCGAGATGGTCTGGTGGACCCCAACACCCAGCTCTGCCATGCTTTTCTTCTTCAAAGCAGCGGCCGATTCTTGAACGAAGGCAATCTTGTAACCCCCGGTCGCCCGCCTTGCGAGCTGATTCATCGAGCCAAAGTTACCGCTAAGGGCACGCGAGGAAGAAAGCGAATTACGACGACCTTTCGCGTGGAGGACCGAAGCAGGGGAGTGCGGGGGAGTGCGAAGGCCATTCATGCCATTTGCCGAAAGAATGGGAGAAATCATGCTGACGGATTCGGTCGGTTCTGGAGCCGAAGATCCTGGAGTGGGTTCTGGGGGAGATTCTGGAGTGGATTCCTTATGACCAACTGGCGATATGCTCTCTGTTTCTGTTTCTGCTTTTGCACGTCGAGGTTGTTTCCTGTTTTTTCCTTGGGAAGCAGGATTAGCATCGGAACGTGTATGAAGACCAAAGAACAGCTCACCGAATAGGTTATACCTAAGTCCGAGCATGTGGAAGGACTTGAGGAAGCACAAACAACATGGGCAGCGCCGGGCCCCCATAAATCTAATCCGCTCGACTCGAGAATGGCCAGGCGACTGCGAGGTTTAACGTGCCCCCAACCACCAGCGCTATTCTCAGCCAGGAGGTCATGATGTGCGCCAGAACTGCAGTATGATATCAGTGACTGGCTCGCAATCCGGTTCCATTCTAGTGCTTTGTGATGACCTCGGCGGATTAGCATGTAGAAGCCCAAGATCTGCCAAGATTGACGCCGTAGAGCATGCTAGAGTATGCGCATGTTTGCTCTTTTGGAAGGAGAGGGTGGGCATCCCGACCCGATTAGGCTATGAAAGGTGGAGCAAGCAGCCGTCACGGACATGCGAAGTACATGCATTGCGTAGCTCCTCCGAACTTGCTAGCTCGAGTCCGGAAGGGTAGTTGGGAGCTAGGCGGATTGGAGCCAACGATAGATGGATAGACGATGATGCAGTGCATTCGTACACCTATGGCACTGAACGCAGATGCATCGAGCTGGATGGAGAGAACAGAGTAGGCTGCTGTCAGCGGATGCAATTTAGCACGCCAACGCAAACCATGCTCATTGGTCGTGGAAGCCTACGACCAGCCGTACGGAGAATATCGAGTGATACCGGAGGCTCTTCCACAATTACGGGAGCCGGTATCGGCATCTGCTACCGCCAGTGATGCGGGAGCGAGCTGAGCACTTCACGTCCAAATGCGGTCAAAAGTGACATGGAGGACGATCGAGCGTGAAATGACTGAAGCGTAGGTGCATATGAGATGCAGCAAGTCCGTGATCAGTCGACGGAGTTGCATGTGGGTGCGGGGACAGTGCTAGAGGATGGCTAATGAAGCATATCTGTAGGCTGTACTATGATTGCGATCGGCGTCCATGCGCGAGCTCTTCGAATCTGGTTCTCCAGGGAACAAGAGATGGCGCCAAAGGACTCAGCGCGCAATAGAAGCCCACTGGAGGTGATGTCTCCGCTTCACCTTCGCTTCGCACCGTTCCCTCGGGCTCGCTTGCTGCAGGCGTCCCTGATCGCTCCAAGCATCGACCAAGGCTCTTCCCGCTCGAGTCAGAAGCGAAGTGGGGAGATGGAAGCTAGCGCTGCTCGTCCGGATTCGGTCCCTCTCTTTCTGCGTGGTGCTCTTCTCCTCAGTCTTCCCACACGCGGACCTGCTCGTGCAAGCTGGCGTCTTTCATGTGAAACACTCAACGCGTCGCGGGTTCGGTGAGCGCAGCCCCCGATGGCGAAGTGACTGCGTGCACTGACAGGAATACGGGATGGAAGAGGAAGATGAAGAAGAAGCAGGATGAGGGAGGGTTGCGGTGTGTGATGCTTGGGCCATCGGGATGGCGATTACTGGGATGGGTCGCTTATCGGTGCGGATCGGGAAGGATCCGCGTCGCACCCGCGCGTAGAAGAGCGACGTGGACAGTCTCTGCCCACTCAAGCTTGCAGGTGTGGATGTTGCTGCGGCTACCTTTGTACGGAACAGATGGCCCGCAGGCGTCATAGCGGGGGAGAATCATGTTTCCGATGTTCAGAGCTACAAAATCGGACATGGAGAGACTTCCAACGGCACTGACCAGGGGGCTGGAGACGCTAGGCTATGACTGGTTAGAAGGGCTGCCACAGCACTAGCCACCTGCCCCACAGTCCTCTGCACTTAGCGACGAGCATATGTACGACCACCGACAAGACCACGCCTTCTCCTACGACATATTTTCGCTTGCGATAAGATTAGCACAAGCAAGGGCTTTGCGGAGGATGCAGCAAAGATGACGTCATTCCCAAAATTCCATCGGCATAAACATACCCCAAGCGAGTGCCGGGAGGACACCTGCAACCCGTTAACCCCGCGTTATAACCCATGTCCATCCCCATCGCACCCGTCCTTTCGGCAACCCTCTACCGAGCCTGCGAGTGCAACTTTAAGATGGCCACGACCCGGTATCTGGGACCTGCAGCTGCAGGTCCCATGAACTTGCGCCATCATGAAGCGTGCTCTGCTGCTCGTTTGGGCTTCCCTCCTCCGCCTCCTCCCACGCGCCAACGCAGCAACAGCGTCAAACCCTTGGGACCCCTTTATCTCTAGCCCAGCAGCTCGCCACGTCCAGCCAGTTGCCGTCCACGCTTCTTCCGGCCATGTCACCATCACAACCGCGGAGCATGGCCATCCTCACCTCTCCATGGCTCCTGGTGACCAGGTGAGCTTCGATTTCGGCGTCGAGGTGGGTGGATGGATCAGTCTCAACGCCAATGCCAGCGCTGGCACACCCCAATTCTCACTGGCGTTTGCCGAATCCCCGTCCTTCGTTAGGTCCATATCGGACGACACTGGAGCAGTCCCAACGCAGGACTATGACAAGGCCTTGAACGTCAGCCTTCCACGGGGGCCCAACTTCTACGTCTTGCCAAGGGAGAGATTCCGTGGAGGATTCAGATTCCTGACGATCTGCGCATTTGAGCCCGTCACTATATCAAATGTCACTTGTGAGATCGGGTTCGCTCCAGGCGTCGGGAACTTGCGCGACTACTCCGGCCACTTTTATACTCCCGACGACAACTTCTTGGTACGAACGTGGTATGCAGGTGCATACACGGTCCAGACTAACATCGCGCCTCAGGATACCGGTCGCTTCTTGCCGCAGGTCAAACCAGGTTGGGCCTACAATGCGTCCCTAGGTGTGGCTGCGCCTATTCTCGTGGATGGGGCAAAACGCGATCGAGCAGTGTGGCCGGGCGACCTTGGAATTCAAGGGACCACTGCCTTTCTCGCCTTCGGTGCAGATGGATTGGTGGCCTTCGGGAACTCTCTAGACACGTCGTTCTATTACCAAAACAAGACCACTGGCAGGTTCCCTTTTGCAGGCCCGGACACAGCTTCCTTTCGCTCCGGGAGTCAGAGCGATACTTATCACGCCTGGACTTTGATCGCTATGTACAACTATGCTATCTACACGGGCGACTCTGCATGGCTCGCGCTACATTGGTCAAACATCACCAGGGGAATCGACTTTATTCTCGCAGCTCTTGATAACTCTCATGGGCTGCATAATCAGACCGCACCAAATGACTGGGGTCGCCAGGGTGGCGGTGGCTACAACAGTGCCCTCAATGCGCTCGATTACCATGCCCTGGTCTCTTTCGCCGGGCTCCCATCGACTTGGACAAGCAATACTATCCTTCTATCTCAAGGCGCGCAATGGGCCGCAGCTGCGGGCCGCCTTAAAAGCTCCTACAATGCACTCCTCTGGTCTTCACAAGATTCACTCTACCGTGACAATCAATCCACCATCCTCACGCCTCAAGACGGCAACGCCCTCGCCCTCCTATACAACCTCACCAATTCGCCAGGTCAAGCATCGTCCCTCAGCGCCGCTCTCACTCGGTTCTGGAGTCCAATTGGCCCGATAACGCCTGAACTACCAGATACGATATCTCCGTTTGTCACGGGACTCGAAGTTCTCGCGCACTTCTCCGCAGCCCAACCTTCCCGCGCAATCGAACTGATGCGGCTCACCTGGTCCCACCTTCTGGACTCTCCGCTCATGACCGGCAGCACCCTCGCCGAAGGCATCACAGCAAACGGTAGTCTATATTATCGCGGGAACGCAGGCTATAATCATGATGCGGCTTATACGAGCTTAAGTCACGGCTGGAGTTCGGGACCTACGCAAGCACTCAGCTTCCGGGTTGCCGGACTGGAAATAGTTGGGTGGCGGAAATGGAGATTCCGACCGTTTCCTGGGAGCTTGAAGACGGTGCAATCGGGGTTCGACAGCCCCCTCGGGGCTTTTGAAGTGGCTTGGACCGTGTCGGGCAATGCGAACGGGAGCTTCAACTTTGAGGCTACCTTGACCACTCCGATAGGCACCACGGGATTGGTGCAGCTGCCGTGGGTCTGCGAAGGCGTATTTATGAATGGGGAGCTAGTCAAGGAGACTGTTACGCAAAGAGGAGGTCGACAGAAGTTGACGGCTGTCTCGTGCTTATACTTCTAACAGCTTGAACTCTAGTAGCTATGCTAGAGTATTTAGCGTATTTTTAAAAACGTAGGTACTAAATAATTTTTATAGGTGCTAAATATTGCTGCCCTAGATGTAGTAGGCTAACTTGAGCGAGTGGTAGCCACCGTCACCTCTCCCACTTCAGTATTCGACGTGGCTCGCGAATAGTAGGATCTGGGTCACGTCCTAGCGCTGCAGCGTCAGCAGGCCAGGACGGTAAGGCAGCAGACCGTAGTCACCGCCAGAGCTTGGCGCTTTTCCCTGGTACAGCAACTGCAGGTTGCACGAATCAACGGTCATCGTGTGGTCGGGGTTGCTGCGAATCAGTTCGCCATGGCTGATGTCGTTAGTCCAGGTGGCGCCACTGTTAGCCTTGCCGGCAAAGGGGTTGCTCTCGCTTGCGGCTTGCGGTGTCCACGAACCGCCCAGACTGGTGGCCGTGAATGAGCGGAAGTAGCGCCCGTTTGCTCCAATCGCCTCTACGATCATAAGGTATTGGTTCTGGTCCTGGATTCTGTAGACCTGAACTGCTTCGAACAGGTTGTTGGTCGAGTCGCTCAGAACGACTGTCGATGATGTGCCAAAATTGCCCGGGAAATTTCCAATGGGCATACTGGCCCGATAGATTTTGCCATTGTCGCCTGCAAAGAACAGATACATGGTCGTGTCGTCGCCGATGACTGTCTGGTCGATGGGGCCGGTGCTGGAGCCGGAGATACTTCCGGAGAAGAGCGCCTGCGCCGATGACCACCCATTTGCATTGGTGGGATCTGTTGACGTCCGGTAGGAGAATGCAGTGGAACCCCATTGATAGGCGAGCACCCAGATGCTCTTCGGGCGGAAGTAGAACAGTGTGGGCGCGACGGTGGCTGAATTCATCGTGTTCTGGCTCGCCGAGGCCATGCCAGTCCAGTCGCTGAAGAGACCGAAGTTCATTGAGCCCCAGCTCGTTCCCGTGTCGTGGGTCGTCGCATACACGAGATGCTGGCCGTTGTATACGACGGTGGTGAAGTCCTTGAGCGAGACCCACCCCGACTTCGGGGTCGCCAGCGCGCCAGTTGATGTCCAACGGTACGTTGATGGAAGAGTGCAGGCAGCGTTTGTCTGTGCCACAAGTGCTCCTAACGCGAACAGCACCATGCTGGCCAACACCTGGCTGACATCGGCCTTTATAAGTCTCATCGTATCGCTTTCTTTTCAGAAGGACGAGTGAAAATAAATATGCAAACCAACTGAGGGACTGAGCAAAGGTTCAGGACTACTGTGGTTATATACCCCAAAGCATAGGTATGAGGGTCCAATATCCCAAGAACCACGCCCATGCGGTGGTCGACTTACCAAGAGCGGTACAATACAGACGGAGGAATAGTCTTTCCGGATCGCCTCCCTCTTCGTGGCTTCCAAGGTCCGTAGATTATTCCATTAATGCAGGGGAAATTAACGGAAAAATGCTTCAGGAGCCGTTATGACTGGACGGACCGCGATTTATCCGTAGGGCGGAGAACATCCCTCCACAAACTGAGGATTCGTCTAATAATTATTTTCGCCGGCCATGTTGGCAGTGTATACCTAGGTAGGAGGTGCGCTCATCCGGTTTCCTTTTTTTCCGCCTCTGCTACCTTTGTGAGCCTTGGGGCTCCTTGCCTGTTAGTTCTAGCGTCGCTGGTTCTTGTTCGCCCACGATCTCTTCGCCGTCGTCTTCATGTGGCTGCGCGACTCTTTGCAATTTGTGGCTGCTGGTAAATTCTGCGGATCTGCTGGCGTCTGGATCGATGTTGGGTGTACTCAGCGCAGGATTAATGCGCGCCCGATAGAACTCTTCTCTTTGAGGAGAGCCATCGCTTCCCCAGTAGGGCTCATGCGGTTGTTGTGGACTATGGGTTGCTGGCTGCACCGTGCCGAAGTGTCCTTCCTGAAGTCTGCTAGCTGACTGTCCTTTTGCATTCTTTGTTGTCGGCCTGGGTGCGGTTGGGATCCTGGACAATGGCACTCTGAGCTTACGGTTGAACTCTGGCGAAGGTAGCTGTATAGACCATACTTTAGTGCGTGGTGGTGCTGGTTTACGTTGGGGAACGTCCGGGGACTGCTCAAAAGGTATAAAAGATACCGTATGAATGTTTGGTCCGCGCCTTTTAATAGGAGGCCGCGTGGGATTGGAGTTGTACGCTTATAGTAGCTTTGTCGCCGCTCGTAGGCTTCTGTGGTGGCGAAGGGGGCGAGGGAGCAGGTTCGCGCAGTTATCAAACTTAACTGCTCTTGTTCCTCAATCCCAAGCTCTAGGAGCGCCCCCACAATTGAGATGCTATAGTGAAGGAATGCTCGTACAAGTAGCTCCGTGACGTCTTCCCGTGGTAAGCATTCTCGAAACAGTAGTGCCGCATGCCTCATTGTTATCTGGTCTGCGTGCTGCATTAGGTTCTGTGCTCGCGTCTCGTAAAGAGAGAAATACTTGCCTGCTTGGGCGATTCGCCCTTTCCTCTTTAGCCATCGTGGATACCACGCTTGAAGCATGTACCTTCTCGGTTTCTTATTGCCAGAAGGGTACCGCTTTTATGCTGGCCATTGCAGTTTGGTGTGCTGCAAGTAGTAGGGCTAAGGATGTGAAGTGCGGTAAGGTTGTCTGCGAGGTGGTGGAAGCGAAAGATAACGTCGGCGGCGTCGTGATATTTTGAGGGCTGCTCGCACTTGCTTCGGCGGGATGATGCTACGATAACGTCGTGAGGTGGCCAGCTGGGACCACCTCTGAGGGTCGCCCGCGCTTGTCTACTATGGAGCAAGAGCGATTCCTTTCTCGCGCTGCAGTGAGGCGGCTGGGGTGATTGGGTGCGATGTAGTGGCGTGGTGAGGCGATGATGTCGGGATGGTAATGGCTGAGAGGCGGCGCGGCATTATGATGCGGAGAGTCGTCGCAGGCTTGGCTTTAGAACCCCACCCCCAACGTTATGGTGCTAGCTCAGCAGGAGGTGTCAGCGTGCTGGAGGCTCTTGAGTGTTGTGGAGGAGTCAGGTCAAGGCCAGGTGGATATGTTGCGATGGATGCCCCACAATGTGGCGCTTGGTCGCCTAATGACGTATTTGCCATGTTTCTTATTTTTCACTCGTTAGGGTCTTGCACTTCAAATGTCATCTCATTTCTTTTTGGAAAGTAAACATTTGACTTTTTAACGATATGTGGGACCTCGAGACTCGCGGAGTCACGTGCGCGATGATTCACCTCCTCTCCAGCTGCATTCTAACTAGTATGCTACGACGACTAGTCCTTCAGCGTTTATTAGCTTCTCGCGAACTTAGGTCGGCCGTTTTCTTCAAAGATTCTGAGCTAAGTCTGCTCTTGTAATCCGCTCCCGAGTTCCACAATTCCAACCGTCCAGGATGTCCCGCACATTTCGGGACGATATCTTCGCAGCACCTCTAGGGCGGTTTCCAGACAGGTCTATCATAAGAAGCGTCGCTCGGAAGACATCCCCTGACAGAAAAAGAAATCCAGGCTCGGATGTACCATCCGCTCTTCATTTACCCGGGTTCCGTAGCGCAGGTACAACCGCACTTTTGCAATGATGTCAGCCCACAACCTACTTCGATCCGTCCATCTCGACGTCAGTTCTGACTTATCAAAATTCCTGCCTTGTCGCGTCTTATATAATATCGGAGAAATCACAGGCTGGCCAGCACTTTCAATCTAAGCTGGGGCGTGGCTTCTGGAAAAGGCGACTGCTCCGTGAAAAATACCCCAAACGTGATAGAACATCGGGAAAGGACCCAAGACATCTATTCCGCGTTCGTAAGAGCCTAGCGTAACTATTTCATCGTCCACGCAAAGCCGTCGCCCCGTTCTGCGTCACACCACAAGAAACGCACTCGAGCTGGCGACTCCTATTATGCGGGACGCATGATCCTTCTCATCAACAGAAACACCGTTATATATAACACATGGCACATGGCCAATGATAGAAATGGACTGCCCGGGAGCTGGGCATATAATCTCCTCCGGCCTCCTCTTCGGTTACGGAGGTGACGACAAGCTTGTCACCTCCGGTAGCAGTGCCATTTCGCGATAGTTGCCATGAAGAAAACAGAGAGACTAGTATCCATATTTATTGCTCTCTCCACGCTGCTCGACGTAGCGGCACAGCAGTCGTGCGGAGGAGCATAGTAAGCATCAACTATCCATGGGTCTCTACTACTGACTCGCCTCAGCGCCCAATGCGGAGGACTGCTTTACGATGGCCCGACCTGCTGTGAGACCGGCCTCGTGTGCGCGAAGCAGAATGACTACTACTCCCAGTGTCTTACGCCTGGAACTGTAAGCGCGCTCTGCCTTCACCGTGCAACCGTTCTGATTTCCGCCAGCCCGGAGCCTCAAGTGACCCGATCATATCAGTAACCACCACAACAGTCCCGCCTGTGACGACAGTCTCCACTCCCTATCGTACTTCGACGGTTTTCTTGTCCGGTGCGGCAGCTGCCGCTCACACCCAAGCAGCGTATCCAAGTGGGGCCGGCGGCTGCAGTGGGCAGGCTATGGCTGACGGTGCGTGCTGTCCGGTCTACTGCTCGACAGACCTCCGGTCCGAACGGTGCACGAGCGACTGTACGGGGAGCTGCATCACCCCTGATCCGGGTATGTGCAAGTCGGGGACTATATGGGGTGAAGTGCACAGCGTCGCGGAGGAGGAAAGCTGGCATTACAGCGTGAGAATCCGTAAGATGCTCTAGAAAAAAAGACATTACTGATGGATGTAGCGCTCAACGCATTATGGTATTACCAGCGCGGGAGCGTGTGGCTTCGGGCTGTATGGTTTGTGCGCGAAGCCGAAGGAGGTCTGGGTCGACACGATGCTGGGAGATGCCTGCGATGCGTTCTGCAAGGAATACCCACCACTTTGTCAGGACCCAGCAGGAAACATGACGCTGCGCGGGAACTTTGCTGCGCCCAACGGAGACTACTACACGCAAGTAAGTCCCAGCGACCTCGTGGAGCGCTGTATCTCACAGGATGTAGTTCTGGAACTCGCTTCCTGGCCACGAGAGAGATAATTACCTTTCGTGCGGCGAGTGCTTCGAGGTGATCCATACCAAGCCCGACGGAGCCGACTACGCCTTCGGCGAAAGTGGTTACACGGATCCTATCATCCTAGAGATCACCGATTCTTGCCCCTGCTGGCCGAATCCAAAGTGGTGCTGTAAGTCTTCCCACTCCCGGCATTCACATGCTGGTGGCTAAGAGCAACCGTAGGTGGCTCAGGGGCCGACCGTTGCGGCGAGATCAACTTCAAGTACGGATGCCCACTTCCGAAGGATAGCATTCACCTCGATCTGTCCGATATCGCGATGGGTCGGCTTCAGGGTAATGGCAACATTGTGGAAGGTGTCATTCCTACTCGATATAGGCGCGTACAGTGCCCCAAGCCCGGCAATGTGTACGTCTGGCTCCATCCGTCTGCGGGACTTTACTACTTTCAGGTAACTGCTGTCAACGTAGCCAGCAGCACCGGAAGTATAGTCAACATGGAGGTTCGGGGAGCGGGTCAGAGGGAATGGGTGACGCTAATTCAGCAGCCGGATTACTCGTCTTCTAGACCACAAGAGAGATATGGTGCCTGGCAAATTCTGAAAGACAGTGGGCCGTACAAGGTCCCAATCGGTATGCGTCTGACGAGTGCAACGGGCGAGCAGATTGTGAATGAGGCGCTGATTACCTCCTTTACGGAGCCGAGCACTGTGCCTTCTGGTTCATGGTATCTCGACATGGGCTTGCAGTTTATCCACTGAACAATCATGTAACGATCATAGTAAGAAAGTGTTAATTCATTCTTAGAGTCTCAAGATTGTAACGCCGACCAATCACCCCTAGTTGAGACAGAATCGCGAGAAAAATCTACGAGAATCGCTCATGGCTCGACATCAGACTCATTAATGACCCCCTGATCCAATGCATATCTGACAATCGGCCATGCCGCAAGTGCGTAGTTGCTGTCTCTAGCCAGGACGTAAGGTACGGTCACAGCTTCAAACCCATCCACCTTATGCCCTCTATCCCTGAATGCATGCAGCAAATAAGTCCCTGAAAAGTCCAGCTCCCACTCCTTCGCCCTGTTCTTATTGTCCCATCTTAACAAGGGATCCTCCTCGAGGTCGTTGACCTGCGGCGATTGCGTCACGGGAGTGTCGTTATGGGGCGCATAGAGTTCGTCGACAGAGCCGGTCTTCCACGAAGTCGGCGAGAAAGCTTTCTCATCCATGATGAGTACTTCGCCCGATGATCTGACGAGGCGATCGGAAATGGCAGTTATGAGTTTGACCGAATGAGTTTCCCAGCCGCCGTTGAACACGACGGGGCCGTCTCGTTTCATGAGATAGGTGAGCGCAGAGCCTTTCTGGGACATGAAGGCTCCGTTGTTGATCTTTCCACCTGGTTGCCGGCCAACGACATTCTGGAACCCGGACTCGCGAAGGTATTTCACGTCCCGGAGTGGTAAGACATCCCAGTCGAGATAGACACCGCCGGTGCGATAGACCTCTTCGATGCGGACGAAATCTGATTTGTGCTCGATTTTTGAGATGGCGTTGCCGTTCGCATGCGTCGGAGCCTCGGCGTAGTTGGTGCTCACGACCTTGGGGAAATCCGCGAGGATCTTGCGCGTCCATTTGCTTCCGAAGGTAGCGGCATGTCCAATGGATGACTCGTTGTGGTCGGTGTGGATAAGGATGGATGTAGGGTTGAAGTAGATGATGGAAGCGTAAACGGATAGAAAGTCTTGAAATGTAAAGTGTAGCACCGAGTGTTCGTCTTTCTTCAAGTATACATAATGGACAATGTTGGGGATAGGCTTAGGTCGCGATGATAGGCCCGGAAGATACTGAGGTGCCGGGGAATGGGGAAGGAGAATAAGCAGGAGAAGCAAAGCGAAGAGGGAAGCGAAAATAATCGGCGCTTTGGAGAATCTTGCTGAAGCCATTATAATGGCGAAATACTGCGGTCAAGACGGAACGAGAATCAGATGGAGAGGGGCATACGCCGGCGAAGGGAAAGGAGGAATCTCAGCAAGGGCTCTATGACCTCTGCGCTCGCATGGTATGGAAAGAACAAGCTTGGTGCTTGAGGTAACGCCACACAGGGGTTGAGCAGCCTGCGTGTCTGGGCTGGCATAGGCAACGGATGGGAATTTTCGGTGGCTTGTGTGGCTTGAGCTGGCGGCGCACGTCTCCCAGGGCTGAGCGCGTGGGACAGGGGCGGTAACCGAAGCGCGTACACAGTAGAGGAAGCCAAGCAGAATCAAGAAAAGCGAATGCGTTGATAGAGAAGGTGACGGAACTCATGCAGCTTTCATGGTGATGGCAGGGGAGAAGGTGACGGTATGGAGGCTCTTGAACCCGGCGACTCGATCGGGACTAGCGGGCGCGGTGCTTAGTCACTCGCTCCACTCCAAGGCTTTGCCTTTCTCCCTCCACGGCATCAACAAATCACCGTACTGTATGATGGAGGCATCGGATCAACGCAACGGTCCACGGGAATCTCGATCACGCCTTCTTCCTAATCCGTGAGCCCTGCTAGAAACCCTGGACCCCACGCGAGGTTCAGGTGCGCCACGGCGGACGCCATCTTACGCTAACATCTCCCTTTTCGACAGGGATGCAGCCCTTGCCTCCCACGAAGACGATAACTCGGGCGGATAATCGACCGCTGTCCTTCAGCTGCGCCAAGGTGTGATCGAGGACTGCCCAACAATGGCCTTCATGCGCCCTCTCTAACCGACCTGCAGGTACCCTCCGACGACCTATTTTCGGAAAGTCCAGTCCTGGTTTGCTATGTGCCAGGAGGATAAATTGATCTGTCTCACCATGGCACAGTAATCACCGTGTAGGACTGGCCGTACGACTGGGTTTGACAGCGGTGCTTCGCCTCTTCGTTCCGCTTTGACCTCGCGTTTCTCCGCGCGCCCCGCCCGCACGCGATACTTTTCCAAAAGCAGCCATCTACGCTATCTCATGGTCTATGGATCCACTGGCCCTTCCTCGCACGCGGGATCAGCACGCCCCTAATCTTAGTCCAAGCGCGCTCCCACCTTGGAGGACCAGGGCCCCTTGCGCAGGGCTGCTGTCAAGCTCAAACCCTATCCACCCTCCTGGGGACATGGACGAAAATCCTCATCTTCTCCAGATCTTCCCCCAGGTGACATCACTGATCAGCGATCCCTCCAGATCAACGCTCAGCGATCGCAATTTCGGCACCTGATGACATCAGTATGTTCGTTTCGGAGGCTTAAGGCCGTGCAACGGCGTCCACGCGTGCCAAGCCCTGATGCCTTATTGGTATTGGGTCTCTGCACGTCCATTCACAGACACTGGACCTGCGCAAGCGAAGCCGCTAGCGGGATGGTCCTATCGGTCCTATCTAATCTGGACCAGTCTGGAATGCCTGGCTGAATTAGTCATGGTCTACAACCGCAAAGTCAACGCTTCCAACCCAGATGCTTCAATCGGCGGGCTAGAGGAACAAGCTAGGCACAAGCGTGCGGATCACATAAATCCTGATCGAGGCGAAACGGATGATGCCGCCCTTCGCCGCCTGAGCGGTGAGCACCTTGTTCGTCGAGCTGAGACCCGAATGGGGGTCGCTGCCTGAGATACGAGGAGCAAACACTGCCGGGTCAGCCGCCCAGCGCTCACCGGTCACGGTTGCCAAGCGGTACAGTGCATCAAGGTCAAAGGGAAGTGTCATTAGATGCAGCCGCTGAAATGCTCGGAAAGAAACCACGAAGATATGACCGCGACGAGGAATCCCATTACAAGAAGATTAGTCTACACCAGTCTAGCCTCCCCAGACCCAAGAAAATCGCGTCCCTTTCAAATCCCCGTCGCGAGAGGCCCCAAAACACCCTATCCTGAGATACAGAAAGAAAAGAGAACCAAACCACTCCTCATCCCCCTTGTGCCCAGACGGTCGTGATGGCGTTTGAACGTGTGTTGATGCGTTTAAACGAGAATGACGCGCTTGCCAACCGGGGCAGCCTTCTTCGCCGGGGCCTCGGCCTTGCGGCGCTCGAGCATACCGCCGCGCTTGACGTAGCCGGCAGACGGCGTGCCATAGCTCTCGGCAGGCTCCTCGTAGTCCGAGGACGGGTCTGGGCCATAGGGCGTGGTGCTCGAAGGAGTAGGGTACTCGTCGCCCTTGGTGGATGAGGTCTCAGTGGGATAAGTGTCGTGCGAAGAGGTGGTGGTCGGGTAGCTGTCCTTGGTAACGGAAGGAGTGGATGAAGGAGACGGGTAGGTGCTAGTCTTGTGGTAGCTGCAGGTGTATGCCTCGTGCGACTTGGTGATGGTGACGGTCTCCTTGGAGTGGTGGTAGACGCCTGGAGGGTAGACCTGAGCAGTTGGGTAGTGGCATTCGCGCTCGGTCTCGTAGTGGGTGGTGGTTGGCTTAGCAATGGTGTACTTTCCAGGCTTGGTCGCAGTGATGGTCACGTATTTGATGACGGTTTTGGTCTTGGTGCCGTGGGTTTCGTACGCGCCATAGGCGGCGGTGATCGTGGTCGGATGCGCGACATCGGTCGTGGAGCCGCCGTAAGTGACGGTCTTGCCGGGAGGAGCAGTGTAAGTAGCCTCAGCAGGAACAGTGGTCGACTTATGGACGGTCATGTCATACTCCGGGACCGTGTAAGTGCCCGGAGTGTCGTAAGTTTTGACCGAGGGCTTGGGGGCACCGTAGGTGTGGGTCTCGCGGTACGTCGACCACTTGCCGTTGCTGTACTCGCTAACCTCGACAGGCTGATACTTGGTGTCCTCCTCACCGTAGCACTCGCTACCGCAGAGGCCGGATCCAGGGTAGTTGGGGAGAGCGCTGGGGCCGAGCTCCTTGTAAGGAACCTTGTCGATCTTCTCGTACAGCTCCTCCCACGACTTGGTGCGGTAGACGGGAGTGGACGTCGCGTTCTTCCTGCCAGAGGGATAGTAGCCAGTCGGCACGGCATATCCGTAGTCTGTGGCGACAGTGGTGTGCGTGATGGTTGATTTGTAGTGAGCGACTGTCACCGGTTCTTCGGTCTTGGTGATAGTGCACTGGTTGCCATCGGCGTCAGTGATGATGGTGGAGACGTACAGATACGAGCTGTAGCTTGAGTGCTCCGAATCGTACGTCGGGATGGGTTGGTATTGCGAAGTGACCGTAACGGGCGCATAGGAGCCACCCGGAGTGATGGTTGTGTATCCAACCTCGGAGCTCGACGTGTAGCCATATTCATAGGCAGCGGCAGCGCCGGCGAGGAGAAGGGTGGAAGCGGACTTCATGTTGTTGATATTAGGGTATTATTAAGTGGTAAGTTAGGGGCAACGAGTGACTGTAGGTGGGTAAACAAGATTAACGAAAGACTGTCACTCAGGGTGCTTGAAGAAGCTGAGTGCGAGAGGTAAGGACTTGTCGGTCAAAAGAATGACGGTGGTGTGGAAAGAAAGCAGGAAGCAAGACAGAGGCTCCCTTATATCACTGCTGCCACATCGTGATCTGCCCCTGAGCATTCCGCATGCCGGGCTCAGAACCGCTTGAGGTTCTGCCGTGGCCCGCTAAGCTTAGCCATAAGGCGGTTCAAATTCGCGCCGAAGCTCCACTGCGGCTGCTCCGTATTCACCAAAAGGCACACGGACACCGTGTTCAGGATCCGGCATGTGGCCTCTGTCACAAAACGTGCATAGCAACATGGTAGTCAGGGCGGTACCATGGCTCTAAGCCACTCGGTAAGCGGGCAGGGCATGGAGGCTGGCTGGGCTGTCGCATGCCAAATTCCTGCTTTCGGGAACTACTCAATAGGCCCAAAACAAATTTTAAAATGAGTCGCTGCGTGCCTGATGCTAAATAAGGACTCTAGCTGAGTGGGACTAGCGCGTGGGCGCGACCAGGTTCTCGGCCCCGTGTAATTCATGTCCCGGCGGCTGCAGATCCTGGAACGCATGTCTGCTGTGCCTGCCCGCTGCGAGCGCTCGTGAGAGTTTGCTGCTTTGAGCTTTGAGGGCGACGGGGGCCGGCAATCGATAGCGTCATTCTTATTAGCTGGGTCGCCAGACAGCCACCTGCAGGCAGTTACTACGCCTCTGGCTGCAAGGGTTGCACGAGGGCGTTATCGGTTGATAGCCTCCTGCGCCCTCTGCGCATACCTGCGTCCAACTGCTCGTTCCTGCGTCAATAGTACTCGTTCCTGCGTCGTGCCTGACTGTGATGAGTTCAGCGCTGCGCACCGCCGCTTACGAAGGTGCCCTGTCATTCGACGTGCTCCTCGGACCTGCGTTTGCCGCTCAGAATCTGACTGGGCGGCTTTCGAACAGTGAGGGCTCTGTTGGGCAGAGGTAACCCCATCATTCGCTGCCCTCACCGGGAATTTCCGTTCTTGCCAGTGGCTATGTTCAAAGAGTCTTCCCGTACCGAGTTCAGTCGTGAGCTGTGTAACGAGAGGGGCATACAGCAGTCGTGATCTGAGACAGCTGAGGGCTCCTTATCAGTGCAGATTATATGAAGGCTGGGCATTGAACGTCTCAATGCGCAAGTCGGCCCTATTGCGCTTCGGATTGAATTTTTAATGAGAAATCTATTGTTCGTCGCGAAACGTCTATCTACATGCAGAATGTGGGCTGAAGGGGAAAGGAAATCTAGGTCAGTGCATTAGTCACATCTCAAAGCTCGACCGCTCAGGCAGTAAGCCCTCAAACAGTGCGCTCATCACCTTCTTCAGCTGCTCGAGCTCCTGCTCATCTTGCGTTACGACATCGTCATTCAGGCATATCTGACCAGCCTTCTTGTTGTGCTTCAGATACGGCTTCAGGAGCACATGCTCGGCCTGCTCCGCATCTGTCACCATGTAGAAGGCGGAGTCCGGGTTGACGATGGTGTATTGATACTTCATCAACGCCTTGATGACGGTGGCTCGTTGCTCGGGCTTCTTGACTGGATGGGGCAGCAGCGTCCCCAAGCCCGATCGCCTCCTGTTTAGGATGAGCTTGAGCAGGCAGTCACCACAGCGCGGCGATTCCCGCGCAACTCGGTCAAAGATTGCAGCTGAGGAGAATACGGGGGAGCGGGCTGTTGCATCGCTTGACCGTAGCGAGAACCCCGGTGCCAAGCAGTCCTCCGTATCGAACGCATCGCAGTCAAGGTCTTTGATCATTATAGGGCCGTCCAGAGATGTCCAAAGTACGTCGGTGTTGACTTTGGGAGGCTGAAGACCAGCTTCCTCGAGGTGGTCACCCATGCGATAGTATATCCTGCGACGGAACTGCTCGGGAGTCTCGTTGCCCATTCCCTCTGCGAGCTCGCGAAGCATCTTCTTGCGTTCGTTCCAGCTCAGGTAGCCATCGTCGTCGGCGTCGCCGCGGAGCATGATATAGCTCCAAAGCAGCGCCTCCCGGTGTCGCTCCATGGTGTAGTGGAACATGACGTACCAGGAGTAAATTTGGAAGCCAGTCTCACCCCGGAACCGTTGGAAGGCGCTTCGTAGGGCTGGTCTTGGAAAGCTCGTGATGGCCTCCTTGGCAATGCTTCGAGACAACGAGTGACCAAAGTGTACCTGACCCTTTCGCTTGCGGGCGCCAAAGCGTCGGTTCAGTAGCCAAGAAGTGTAGATGAGGAACGGTTTCTCGCCGAATCGCTGCGCATCTTCCTCAGTCGGAGGCTTCAACGTGTTGTATGCATTGTCCTTGAAGCCCATGGTAGGACCAAAGAGAGGAGAATAGAGGTCCGAGGCCGAGTGAGGTTTACCGAGGATCATGTCATCTGACAGTGCGAACATCTGTCCAGTGTTAGCTTGAACGTCCATAGAGAGAAATAACGGAACGTACCCTATCAGTCTCGGATTTGGTGTTGTAGAGCTGATTTTCGATGGTGAGAGAGTCAAAGGTGGGCAGGCACTTCCTCTCTTCTGGGCCGAAGAACTCCTCTTGAGAAAGGACCTGAACCTTGTCCAAGTTTTCCTTGAGCCAGAGAGGTCGTTGCTTGCCCATGGTCACAGGATGACTATCTTGAGAAGGGTTCTGGAAAGCATTGACCAGGATCTGGATGCGGTTGGTGAAGGAACCGGCATACTTTTCGACACTTCGCATGGAGTAACGGAGCTCATCCCATTCGCGGTAGCGGTTGGTGCCGTGCGAGGCGACCCATTCGCCTTCTGGATCATTGAGCGACGAGTTGAGTTCGTACGGGTGCATGGTGTTCCGCAGTTCTTGCTGCGACCCGTTTACCCCTAGCCCAGGTTAGTATTGGCGCCTGTGCCTAGGGGCGTAATGCACTTACAATTGTAGACGAAGTCAATCTTAGGCTCCCGGAGCTTCGGGCCCGTGTACCGAGCCTTTGCGATCCATTCGTCCTCCCAGCCTTCAAGCATAACGTCTTTGACGGATTGCTCGAACGGCACATGAAGCATGTCCGGAAGATCGTCGGCTTTCTCCTTGACGCTCTCGCATTCGTCCCAGGAAGGAAAGGTGTACGTCTCTGTCCACGGTGTCATCGCTTTGAGAGTCTGGATTGGGTACTGAATATCTTCGTTGGCTTGTGCTGGCTCTTCCACGTCCGTCTCGTCATCCGAAGCGTCGCCAGACTTATCCCTGTTATCCTTGGAGGGGTGGTCCGCATTCAGAATCTCGTCGACCACGCCGTTCTGACGCAGCCGCTCTTGTGAATCTGCTTGGAATGTGGGATGCTCGAAATCGGAGAGATGGCCATCGTCGTCATCTGGGTGCGTCAACTTTGCGGCATGCTCGACACTGTCTGCATTATGCCCGCGAATCGTCTCAATGCCGTCGGTGTCGTGCTCGTCGGTATCCTCCTCCCGAGGGGTTCCTGGCGCTTTTGCGTTGTCCTTTGGCGGTAGTGGGGCATTGTTCGCAAGTGGGGTATCCCGGGGCAATGGTGAAGGAGAAGAATAGAAGTCGCCATGATGCTCGACCTGGTCTTGCTGGTTCGGCCGCGGGTGGGTGTGGTGGCCATACGAGTTCACGATATGGGCCGATTCTCCAGACTGTTCGCTGAGCTGTTCATCGATCTGCTCTGGCGACGTGCGGAGAATTATGCCCTGCCGGTCGGTACTGTCCAATTCGGAGTCCACATGCCGTACGCGCGAGAGGGTGCCCGACTGCCACACGACAAAAAGGAGAATGGCGAAGAGAGCGTAGTAGTGCTTCTGAAAAGAGCGTCGCTGGCGGTACGGCGGGTACGAGTGGCCGAGCATGGCGGGCGGCAAAGGAAGGAAGGCACGGCGGGGGCAATGAGAGAAGGAACGGCCGGGACAAGGAAAGAAGGAACGACCGGGACAAGAAAAGAAGGAGCGACCGCGGTAAGGAAAGAAGGAACGAAACCGCAACCTCGTAGAGAGCGTGACGACGAGAAGTCAAGGCAGGCCGAGGAGCTTTTGATAGAGGCGTGGCATAGTATAGGCGCGATGCGGAATTCCCAAAGCGGGATGCAGTCGTGTGCCGCCCGCCGCGTCAATGACGAATGATCCCCTGATATGGCCATGTTCCAGAAATGCATGAAGCCTCCCCTTCGCTGACTGACGGCGCGGTGCTCAGCTGTGCAGACGAAAAGAGGCGCCTGGGCTGGTGTGTGGTTAAGCAGCCGGCTATTTGCACAGGGGGGCGTTTTGGGTTGGGGGCGGGCTGGTCTGGGCTTTGGGCCGCGGCTGCTTAGCGCGCACCCGGCGCCGGTCCGCTGGGAGCTCTCTCCCTGTCTTGCGCACGCGACACCTGCCCATCTCCCGCCTCAGCCCAGCCCACGCGAGGGTCGTGGTGGGGCCTCGCCTACCCGGTCGTGTATGGTCCAGCCCTCTGTCAATTCCGCTGCCTGTTCTCTCCCCGTGTCCGTCCACCGGCACCCACACTCGCGTCACGCTCATTCAATCACATTCCTTCATTGCTCACAAGGCATCGTCACTTCTTGTCTTTATGATTTGACCACGCAGGAGTCGGCACATTCTTTCTATCCATCCATCCATTCATCCATTCATTAATTCATTCATTCATCTCCGCCTTACACTGTCCTTCTTTCCCCTAATCCCATGCATTTGGCCGGCAAAATGGGCCACGAGCGCTACGGTTCGGGTCTCCCAACTCCTCCTCAGCACATCCGACGACGGCAAAGCCTCCCCAGCACGACACGGCTCATCAGATACTGCCTCATTGCAATCTCGCTCTTGATCATCATCGCCGGCTTCCAAAGCCTCTCTCCAGCCGTATCCCACTACCTGCCCATCCCCGTCGAAGGCACCATGGGCGTCGTCTCTTCCTCCGACCACCAGGAAGGGACCAAGAACAGTGTCTTCAAGTCCACCGAAAAGGCCGACGACGAAGATGACGCAGGCGGGCAAGGACCCCTCGAAGCAAACCACACTGTCTCCGAGCACTCCTCTCTCACGGTCTCCCCCAAGTTCGGCAAACTCACCGCTTCGTTTGGTGAACCCGATCCTGCCTACGAGAACGCCATCGCCTCGCACAACCTGCACAACGAGCTGCATGGCTATCCGCACTTTATACTCCGCGAGCACATGATTCGCGGCCTGTGGTCGAAGCACGGATGGATCATGACTATTATCGGACAGGAGCTCGCCAAGCCCGAGGACCAGCGGCTCAAGTGGCTCATGTGGCACGATCGCGACACGGTGCTCATGAATCCCCAGATTCCGCTCGATATCTTTGTGCCTCCGGAGCCAGACTTCAGTCACATCCACATGCTGGTGACGAATGACCGGAATGGGCTGAATAATGGGGTTTTCATGGTGCGGGTAGGGCAGTGGGCGTTTAAGCTTTTTGCGAGTGCGTTGAGTATCCGGGAGTATCAGCCCGAGATTCCATTGAAGTATACGGAGCAGAGTGGCATGGAGGAGGCCATTAAGCGGGTATGGCCTATTGCCTCTAATTCCGCATCATACAAAGTACTGACCGTCTTGCAGCCTTGGTGGGCCAATAGTGTGGCCTATGTGCCGCAGCGCTGGTTCAATGGCTTCCCTCCCGATCCCGACATCAAGCACGACCATACGCTTGCTCATGCCCGCGAGGGTTCTCTGCTCATTCACTTTGCATCCAACCGCGACGGCCTTCGCCCCGAGCGCATGGCTCACTGGGGCCAGATTGCAAAGAACCGAACCGCGGAGTGGGATAGGCCGGCCGAGAAGACGGGGTATCTGAAGGAGATTGCGGAGTATTGGGAGAGAGTGGGCAAAGGGGAGTCCTTTGAGAGGATCAACAGAGACATTGGACATAGAGGTGTAGGCTGGAGTGGATGATGGGAGCGATAGAGTCGTGCATTGGGTGGCGCGTCGGTGTTTGGCATTGAGTGATAATATACCACTAATAATAGATATTCTTCGTGCGTATTCTGTCTCCCATGACTTTGGGTAACGCATCTTGACCTTATTTAAGATGTGATATTAGAAAGGCTAGGCGGGAGTAGCGAGAATAACGGAGGGGATAAAAAGAGTCAGCTTTGGTCGACTTGACCCTTGCAAACAGAGGACCACGGTCAAGTTTATTGGAAAGCCCCTTGTGCATTCTATTTACGCCGCTACTGCCTTTGACTCCGGTACCCTGCGTCCCTACTATACACGAAGAAAAGGAGTCCCCATTACAAATCATACGACGTTCAATGCCAGTATCATCGCCTCCTCTTCTCGCCTTCACCGTCCTTCTTGAGCTCAGCCTGCTGCTTCTCCAACTGCTCCTTCAGCTCTGGATTCCTATCCACATACTCCTCCGGCTTCACAAATACCTCCCTCCCCCTTGGAAACACAAAGGTCCTGAGATCAACCTCCTTCACCAAATCCACGTCCGGCGCATTAGCTGGCAGCACCCACTCGCCCTTCATCATCCTCCCGATATTTAGACTAACAGGGAAGACAGTAAACTCGCTCTCAGGCTCCAGGCGATCGTTGCTATTCTGGTAACCCCCAGTGCCAGCTTCGGCTTCGTTGGACTCGGCCCTACGATCGGAGTCCTTGTCCTGCGGTCCGATAGCCCGGTAGCGACCGAAGATCATGGGGTAGGCACCTAAGCAGAAGGGTGTGCCGTAGGGGTCGTGGCGGCAGAGAGCAAGCTGCGCCATGTCGATGGCTTGGGCGTTGGGGAGCATGGATTGGTCGTACAGCAATCTCGTAGCCCCCCTCAATGATATCGCGTACGCGGCCGTTCCGGTGAGCTTGTTTACCTCCATGATAACTCGCGTGTGCTCACCGCCGAGTTGTTTTGCACTGAAATCTGGTTTGCGGCCCCATGTGCGTCGGGACTCGGCGATGACAGTAGGGTCGTCGGGCGTGAGCCAGTACTTCTGGTCCTTATTGGGCTTGTTATTCGCACCGGTATGGCCTACTGCTAGCAAGTCCCAGTTATCTCCGTAGGGCGAATGCATGGGCAGCGTGGCGTCCTGGATAGCTCGCACGCCGCGGGCAAATTCAACCATCTGGGGTCGGAGCATGACGTCCCAATCCGCATCGTCCTCGATCACGAGGGCCGTTTGGATGCGGTTCTGGAGCATGTGTTGGTAGACGTTTAGATGAGCACGCCAGCAGCCGTAGTCTCCCATCGCTTGGTTGCCTTTCCAGTACTAATATATGTTAGTGAATATGTGTGGATGAAGTATGAGCGAACATACTGATGGATAGGCTTTCGGATGCATCTCAGAGCCATTGACGCCGTCCGCGAATTCAATGTCCAAATCTGAGACCATGGCCATGAGTGCCAGGTAGTCCCTCTTATCCGTCCGGTGCATCATCGAGATGGCATAGATCTTTTGAAACTACACATCCCCATTAGCTTCACTCCTTAACGTCTCCATCCACCCACTCGGATTCACTTACCCCCAAAGTACGATTGTTGATGTCCCAAATCGGATCACTCGCCGGCTCATCGAAGTCTACAATTGGCCTCACATCCGTAATCGATGCGGGCGAACCTCCCTTACTCGAAGGACTTCCATAATGCGGGTATCTATCCGAAGCACGCTGCCGGAAAGCATTGGAGCCGGAGGACGGACTGAAGAACCAAACGAAAGATGAAAAGAGCGTGATGCAGAGCGCTGCGAGCTGGAAGGATGAACGAGGGAAGACCATAACGAAAGGAGCGACTACAACGTCTACGTCGTGAATATGGAAGGAAGTACTGTGGAGGCGGTGAGGAGAGTAACCGCGGGGAGTAACGATGACCCGACCCAAGCTTGGATACTATAACCCGCACGACACCTTTGGGGGATCGATTGCCGTCGAGCGCTCACAACGTACCCCTGAGTCTATTCTCTCTCGACTCCGCTCCCTTGGGCTTTGGGCTAATCCAGGGTCCGCTACAGCTGGCCCCTTCCGCTTGCCCTTGCTTCCTGTCGCCTGCAGGAGCATCGTCAGACGCCAAACCGTGGCGTGCGCACTTACCAGAAGCACCCACGGCCAACACTACGACGCCCAGTCAATATCAAATGCACCGTGCGCGCTATCGAGGATATCACAGACAGTCTCAGTAGCGCGCCCGTTAGTGGAGGATCTAGACGCGTGGGGTTTCTAGTGTGCGGCTGAAGGTGGCGCTGAAGGTGGCGGCGCGTAGTCGCCGAGTGGCTTTGCTAGGTAGGTACTAAATTGATGTGACGCGTGCCGGGGCATTAATCGGCGCCAAATGAAAGTTTGGCTGGGTGCCGGTCCGTTTTATCGTGCGTATCGCGGGCGTTATGCCAGCGGAAGGCTTGGACATATCAGGATGGATACCGGTAGGGGATTGGCAGTGTCGCATGCTCAGGCAGCCTCGTTTTCAGACGCCCAGCCTCGAGCGATGTCGGTCCGATGGCGGCGAGCTATCGAAGTCACGACATCGCAAATGGGAGAATCTCATGCGCGTCCACTAGCTCCGTACTAACGATTGCTTCATGCTTTAGGTTCGGGGGAAGCGAATGCGGTACGGATTCCAAAAGGAAATGCGATTGTAGCTATCCCTCGCTATGCGATATCCATCGCAATCGCTAAAATGCCATGCAAGCAGAAAATCAACAGGACCATTTGTTCTGCAGACTCCGTCCGAATCTTACACTAGGGGTATCAACCGTCCTCATGAGAATATCGGCAAGCCAAACCACGACAATGGCGCAGCAGACCCAAGAAGCAATAACGCCCAACTCATACGTGAATAGCGATTCGTGCCCCGTACAACTCCAGAAAAACTCCACAAGCGATGTACCAAGGATATGGTTAACTGGACCATGAACGATGTACAAAGGAAACGAGATTTTGCCCAGGTAGACAGCGAGAGGGGTTTGGAAGGGCACTCGCAGCCACTCAGAGCCGCAGAGCGCCAGGAGGAAGATGGCGGCGCCCATGCGCTGAAACGTCATTTCAGTGCTGTTGAAGAAGGGTTTCGCCAGCTTGTGGATCGTCATATATCCCGGCGATGTCTCATACTTGTGAGCGGGCCATGACAGGAGATGGAGGCCGACATACAGGACGACTGCCCAAATCGCCTTGGTGCGCTTGCTCTGTGTCTCCGAAGACTTCTCTGCCGTGGGAAGTTGCTTCGCGTTCTCGTCGCGAATCAGCAGGTACTCGGCAAGACCCATTCCAGCAATGAAGAGTGCGACATCGCCTTCCTCCACAAACACACAAAAGGCATACAGTGCTGCGGTGAGCGTGACACGTATCCGGGGTCTCAGCTTGGCGTATCCAACTAACGCCGCGAACAGGACAATGGAATTGCGGAACTCGAGCGGGATCGTCCACAGATGAACGTCGTACTTCGGGCGCGAAGGTCTGAACGGGTTCGCGAATTTCCACATGACGGTAGCCCAGTCCCGAATCTGTTCCGTGCTGCTCGAGAAGACTTCGAACTGGACCTCGTTTGTCCCGCCAAAGGGCCAATCTTTGGACAATGTATAGGCGTGATTGTACATGCCCAGGCATGCTGCGATGATAACGCAAATCTGAACCAAGTATACCGGCATGTAGAGCCGCAGAGCGCGTCGGAAGATGGAGGAGAACATCGTGTCGAAAAACTTGTCCCAGCTCTGGCTTCGGGCGAGTTGGATGGGCTTTAGAGATAGCGATACTCCAGAAAGAACCCAGAAGATGCTAACCTGCAAATGGCCGAGGCGTTAAGTTAGCACGGTTCTACTAACTGTAATTTCTGGCGCCTTTTTGCGATAGCTAGCGGTGACAGGACTGCCAAAGGCGGCTTGAAAGGCGTTTTAAACCTATAGGAGTACGCAGGCCTGGCCCGAGAGAGCAATTGTGTGTCCAGGACTTACCATGGGCCCTCCAGTAAATATGAGCCTTATGATGGGCAACTGTATCAACCAGTAGTCGTCGATTCCTCCGTTGCTTCCATAACCGAGCAGGTATTTCTGATGGAACATGTGTTGGAAATGGTATATGAAGACGCAGAACGAGGCGTATCCCCGTATGCCATCGAGCCAGGAGGTCGGGTGGACTTTCGCCGGTTTCGCATTGCGGTCCAAGAAGCTCGGTTTTAGGGTCGCCATGAGCGGGCGGGGGGAGAATTTGCGTGCGAAGACTTCGAGCGGTCGCCATAGCGGGTTTGTATGGGCTGCGCGCAATCAGTATTGGCTCAAGACACATTGTGGGCCACCGTTTTACCTCCCGAATCCTTCTCCTCGAACTCAGCGTGGAGTAAGGGAGCTCCGTCGACGCTGGACCGATTGGCTAACGACATAGTGGCACAGGTATCGGATTAAACGAGAGTGATGCAAGAAAACGAAAGCAGAAGCGGCCGTTGCATACGGCGACGCAGGAAAGAAAAGCGAGAGAATGGAAGAAACGTCTTGTAAGGGAAAAGGGAGGTGTCGAGGTGGCGCTCCCCTGTAGGAAATTCGTGTTTATTAATATTAAGGAATCAGGTCGCGCCAAGAAGGCTTGTGTTGGGAAGGGTTTCCCAGGGAAAAGATACGGATTGACGGCGAAAGGATGAGATGAGGCCTTAAGGCGATGTGTCCAGGCGGCCCCGTAACAGATGCGCCAACATGGTTGACTGGAATGGTTCGCTGCAGAACGAGGCGGAGTTGAGGCGGGCAAGACTGTCAAAGCCCGATGCAGGAAGCTGAAAGACCGAGTCGTTTCTATTTACGCGCCCGGCGAAGCTTTTCCGCCGAGAACGACTGCACAAGAGCGAGGAACACATGCAAGTGCTGACATCGAATAAGAATGCTTCAGTGCTGATCGCCGAGGGGGCAAGGACTTCGGGGCCTTGCCCGGCACGGCGCGTTTCAAGCAGACAGATCGCCATCCCTCTGCAAACAACGCTGCATGCCAGGTCGAAAAGGGCTGCAAATTGGAGGTCAGACTTCTCCCTCAGGCACTGCGCGTTTTCAGCAGACGATTGCATCATGCGACCCCCTCCCGACCTTCACCGACCAACCGACTGCCCCTCTTCGTATTTGCTGGCTGAAGGCGCTGGACGCCTGGAAGGCTTCTTTGCCCTCTACCACCTCGGTTAACACACAGTATGCGAGGAATGCGGCCCTGCTTTGTCAAATTTGACAACAATGGAAAGGGATGGCAATGGTGGTTGCTGTGAAGGGCTTGATGACGGTGACTTGCTGTTTGCGGGACCGCACTTTCCCATGCTTAGTCAGCCCGTCACGTGCTGTGGTTGTCTTCTGGCCGGGTGGGCAGCTATGAAAAGATCTTAAGGCTACCAAGTGAACTTATCGTACTAGCTAACTTTACACTTCTATCTCAACCAAACCCGATGTCAAATGCCCGCGATCCCCGGTTTAAGATGAGAGCTTGGAAGGAAAACTGAAGCTCTCTCCAGCATAAAGACACTCCTTACCGGCCGCCTTCAACTGCGACTCAATGTCCATGAGACGATTATACTTTGCGACCCTCTCACCACGACAGGGCGCCCCTGACTTTAGATGGCCGGTGCCTAGTCCCACTGTGATATCGGCAATGAAGTCGTCCGTTGTTTCTCCCGAGCGATGAGAGACGAAGACACCCCAACCAAGACTGAAGGCAAGATTCGCGCTGAACACAAGGTCAGTTAAGTGCCCGGCATGCTGACAATGTATTACTTACGCTTCGATAGCTTCAGTCACGGTTCCGATCTGGTTTACCTTGAGAAGCATGGAATTGCAAGCCTTCTTCTCCTTCGCCATGCGCACTCTCTCGACGTTCGTAACCAGCAGGTCATCGCCGACGAGCTCGATGGGACACGTCTTGTTAAATGCAGTCCAGGTAGGCCAGTCATCCTCGGCGAATGGGTCTTCAAGCAAAACGATGGGGTACTTGGTCATCAAGCGACTATACAGCTCCTGCATGCCAGCCGGCGAAACGACATTGGGCGTCTTGTCCTTGAAGCCAAGGTCATAGTCGCCATCTTCGCGGAAGAATTCCGATGATGCCGGATCCATCGCATACTTGATCTTGCCAGTATAGCCGCACTTCTCGACTGCAGTCTCCAGAAGATCCAAGGCTTCCTCGGGGCGCGTGATTGGTGGTGCGAAACCGCCCTCGTCGCCAATTCCGGTAGCTTTTCGCCACGTATTAGCCTTCACTCCTTGCTCGAATGAGATGGAGATGCTTACCAGGCGCACCATACTTCTCCGAAATAACCTTCTTGAGGGTCTGATAGACCTCAGAGCCCATACGCATCGCTTCCTCGAATGAAGTCGCACCCACAGGCGCGAGCATGATCTCTTGGAAGGCCATTGTATTTCCCGAGTGCACGCCTCCGTTGAGGACGTTGAAGAAAGGCACAGGCATCACGTATGGTCCCGAAGCACCAGCCTCTCGGCGGAGGAACTCATATAGAGGGAGGCCCTGAACCAGCATGAGAAGAGTGGCTCCTAGCTCTGAATAGGCGAGAACGCACCTCTGCTGCAGCGCCAGCCCTAGCGCAAGCCATGCTCACTCCTAGAATGGCATTCGCGCCGAGCCGAGCCTTATTTGGGGTACCGTCCAAATCGCGCATAAACTGATCAATCTCCTTGAGTTGGGTCTGCGGATTGAACTTCTTCTCGATTAAGGCTGGGCCAATGATTTCACGAACATTTTGAACTGCTTTCAGTACGCCTTTGCCGCCATACACGGATGCATCCTTGTCACGCAGCTCTACAGCTTCGTGCTGCCCGGTTGACGCTCCTGACGGAACCAGAGCGCGGAATATGCCTGTCGCGGAGGTTAGAAAGTGGAGAGAAGCCGGTGGAGAACTGCTGACCTGAATTGGTTTCGACTTCGACCTGGACAGTCGGATTGCCCCGCGAGTCCAACCGTTGGGATGCCCGTACTGCACTGATCATAGATGTGGTTGATGGGTTACGGCTAAAGAAGCTTCGAGAGTTTAAGCAACAAAGATGCTGGAGCCAAGAAAAGCTTGACGGTCTTCCAGTAGATATATGCACGCGTGTTCGTCTTTTCCATCACGCAAGATCCTGTACTAGACCTTGTACCCGGAGAGTCGCTCATACGATGGCATTGTTTCGATTCGGCATATGGTCTAGCGTATCCCGAGACGTCATAGAGAAAAGGTCACTCCACCTTTGAATTGACTGGGTGGATCCAGCCGGATTACGAATGTGTTGGGTTACAGTACATCCAGCACGTCGGATAGATCGGCACATCTCAACATTGCCGCGTCATTCTCTCCATGAGGGGCTCCGGTGCTCGAAGGTTGCGACAAACCGGGAAACATTATTCGCATGCGGGGAAGGAAAAGGAAATGGGCTGGCCAACGTTGCATCAACGCGGGGCAAAGACTGTAGTGTAGAGTTCGTCCACGGCCGGGTGGAGGTCACGAGACTCCCGGTATAACCGGAGGCATGGGCTGATCCGGATTTAAGACAACGAAATAGGAAGCCTCGACTTTCCATGCCCAGGTGTCATTCATTCATGATAGTGTTAGATTTTGTGCGCCATGACGTGGGAAAAAATAATGAGAATACACCGCATCACCTTTCCAAGGTTACAGTATGTTAGACAGCCTGGCAATCTTTGATAGCTTAGTGCGAGCCCAACTGAACTTTCGTTCTGGCACTACTCGACAGCCTACCTAGAGCATTTGCTCTGCGATGGCGGCCAAAGAAGTATGAAAACAGCACTTGACCTTGAGAATCCTGTTACCAACCTTGGAAGGAAGTAAGCGCGAATTCAAACGGAGGCGAGCCTTCACGCCTTGAGCCCACCTTTTCCTGTTTGTTCTTGAGCCTCTGGAACCCTCTCCCACGAAAGACGCAGAGTCCCTCGTATTCGAACATCTGTCTGCCGATATCCCGGATATAGTAGTCGTGGAGGCAGTTTCGACAAGAGATGACCTTTGTTAGAAGTTCCGCTACCCTGGGTTCGGAGTCGCTGCTAGAGGAGTGACTGCGCAACGGATACACATAAAGAGTGTTGAGCGGCCGAGAACCTTGAAAGTCCTCGAACTTGAACCGGACGAGTACGCGGTTGTACGTCTTACTATTCCAGCCATGGCTTCAGTAGTGGAAGTACCAGACCTTCCTCATTTCTTTTTCCAAAAGTCACTTTCGAGACGGGCAAGACTAGAACATTCCTTGACAACAAAACTTTGCTCGTGCTTCATAAAGGCGCCAAGTAGACCAACTCATCCGGTGTCGAATATCGTCCACAGAAGGTTGAAGTGAGCCGTGCCTCCAGTTCGACGGCGGGCAAAGAACACACACGCTCCGGGAGGGCCCCGAGGCGTCTCGGGCACTGAGCAGAGACTCCCCTGGGTCCGGTTATGCTGTGGCCAGGTGCTACGGGCCTTTAGAAACGCCATCCCCTTCTTCAGCCCCTGCCATGTCTTACTGTCGCAATTTGGTATGTGCTAGCTCTCCTAATCCTGAGCATCGCCGTAGAATGGGCTCGAAAGTGCTGGTAAGCGCCATCTCCTTACTATTGGACCCAAAATGCAGTCTTGGACCACGAACGAACTCAACCCGAAAATATTTCGGTGCTCAGCATTTGGACCTCGGACTATTTGTACTTGTTGTTCTCGTCTGGTCCAGACCAGATCGTGTGGATCCTTGAGTTTCACCATGTGACCCATCTTCGTGGGACACATAGATCGTTATCTCGACGCCTCATTAGGTGCACCTAACGTCTTGAAAAACGGACCTTCGTCGGCTTTGAATCATGTCCCGTGGTGGAGCTCACGTTTTCCCTGCAGCACTGCACCCCATGATTCACCGTTGGCGCGATACCACGACGGAAGCAGCGCATTTCCGAGCGTCATGGTAGTGCAGACTACCGTACCTGCTCTCTTCTTTCATTCGAGACCAAGTCCTGCGGGGCATCTTTTGCGTTCTTGACCTCTTGCCCGTGGGTACTTTGGGGACCTGATTGATATGAGCTGCAGAGCCCACGGCCTGTGGACAGTGCTTACCTCTGCGTGGGGTTAGAGCATGAGACTTTCCGCTCAGCCACTCGCTTCTCTAGGCGCTCTACATATCTTGTTTCTAGCTGGCGTAGCCGTGAAGTTTGATCGACTTCGGGTGCAATGACTGGGTCTCCGCTGCAGCTATCCATCGTGACAGAGAGGCCCGGAAATCATGAGACTTAAGGATTGGTAAGCGCTCGATTTGTGGCCGCCAAATGCGAAGTGGGAGACCTTGCTTTGAGAACAGCCTGCTGGGGCCGGATGAGCCGGCTGTTTATAGCCCCTTTGGTCCCCGAGCAATGCATGGTATCACCCGGAACGCACATGTTGTTCTTTGATGGACCGTCGTATGCTCCAGTAGATAGCGGAATAGTTGATAATTGTCTTACTAATTAGGTGACAGAAGGACCATCGTAACTTCATCGCCTCGCACGGCTCTACGAGCGCCCTGGAGGGCACAAACCTAAGTTGTATCTCTCCTGCAGCCGTTAGTGGTGCTACAGATTTCGCGGAACTCTTCCAAAAGCAACCCCCTTCCCCGGAACGACATTTCTTGCGCCACTTATTGAGATGATCAGGAGCGAGGATTGCAAGGTGAAGGCTTTGTTAATGGTGCGCACTCCAATCTCGTTCAAAGACTCGCAATCAGGCATGAGTCGGGGATGAGACGTACAAGAGTCTGGAATTCAGCCAGGACGCATGAGGACGGACAGGTGTGAACCTATGCGCAGAAGTTATTACCCCGTAGGTAGAGCACATTACGTGACTATGATATATGCATTCTCCTCATAAACCGTACACCCTACGCCAGTGATATAATGCACTATTCCTTCGTGGCTCTATTCGCATCTCCAACGCTCACACATCATTCAGGTATCTCATGCAAGTAAGAAAAGGTCGGCGTGTTCGGGCGTGTGCGGGTGTGTGCCGGTGGGTATGTGGGGATCACCGGGCAACACCGGCGTCTGCGTCGAAGCAGTCCTCGAAGGCCTTGCTGTGCTTGTTCGTGGCGTGTTCGCTCAGCATCTTGCGGTTGGTGGTGCTCTGGAAGGACTGGAAGCACGTCTTGCACTTGATGGTGAGGGCGGCGGCGTTCTATTTCCCACTTGTTACCACCGCACGATGCTCCCAGTAGATCGCAAACATAGAGGCTGTACATACAGACTTCAGCTGGCTCTTCGCTTCGCCGCCCTTCGCCTTTGCCGCATTCCGCTCCCGCTTCTGCTGCGCTCTGCGCACTTGTCAGTATCCCCATCTAGCTCCCGCTTTGCGTTCGTACCTGTTTCCGTTGCCCATGCTGGTTAGTCGCTGGTCGTCGGTCGCTGAGGGGTGTAGAGATGCCGTAGTGCGCGCAGTGTTCGTGGCGTGGCAGCGAGATATTTTTCTGAGGGGTCTCGCCGTCGCAAGGGCCGATTATGGCTAGGGCTATCACTTCCGCCGCTAGGCCGCTTTAGGAAGACTACCCCCCGCGCTGTCACATGATGGGCGCTTTCACATCGAAATCCAACTCCACCACCGCCTCACCTGTCCTGGAAGTCACCAAGTTGCCGAATGCAGGATTCCGACCATGTATCGCTCAGGAGTATGCGATAGCTCCGTGTCGGAATCGGTTGCTGCAGGAGCGCGTCGCGACGTCGATTTCCCTCCAACGCGTTTCAGAGCGTGGCTCGATATGTTATCGACTTACTATTTTATCCTAAGCTAAGATCTCCGCCTCAGAATTTTTTTTCCCATTCTCCGCTTTCAACTATAGAGCTCTCTTCCGTTGTTTGAATTGACGCAGCTAAAGCTAGCCGTAAATTTGACGTCACACGCCCGTCGTTAGCAAATTCGTTTGCTTTTGTGCGACCCTTCAAGCCCGATAGATTTGTTGGCCAACTCTCCTACACTTCTCTATCTTGCACAATTTCTCTCTCGAAAAAAGTCTACATTTCTAAAATGGGACACTCACGCTTCCAAGTATCGCGGAAGTCGCGCCTACGAGCCGTCATCGCCATCTCCTTTGCCTTCTTCCTAGCGGAGATATCAAGTTGGTTTCCTACTATCTTCGTCCTTACACAAACGTACTGACGCCAACTAGCCGGCTTCTACACCAAGTCTCTAGCCCTTGTAGCAGATGCCTTCCACTACGTACGTCTACTTAGAACGGCCTTGGGCGCACCCATGGCTAATGATAAGCATAGTTGAACGACCTCATCGGTTTCATAGTCGCACTCGTCGCAGTCCACATGACTGAGCGCAAAACTTCGCCCCAAGATCTATCCTTTGGCTGGGCACGCGCGCAACTCCTTGGTGCCTTCTTCAACGGCGCGTTTCTCCTAGCTCTCGGTCTCAGTATCGGTCTTCAATCTATCGAGCGCTTCATCGACCTCAAGCATGTCGAGAACCCCAAGATCGTCCTCATTGTCGGCTGCGTTGGCCTAACCCTCAACATCATCAGCGCCGCCTTCCTGCACGAGCATGACCACGGCCATGGGCACGACCACGGAAGCCACGCCCACGGCTCACACGCCCACGCCCACGAGCATGCCGACACGCACACGCACACGGATTCTGACAATCCCTCCCATCCACAGCATGCCTCCCACAACCACGTAACCGCGAACCTCAAGCCGCAAGGCATGGACCTCGGAGTCCTCGGCGTACTAATCCACGTCATGGGCGACGCGCTCAATAACGTGGGCGTCATCATCGCCGCCCTCATCATCTGGCTCACCAAATCCTCGGCGCGCTTCTACGCCGACCCGGCTGTATCCCTATGGATCGCGCTCATGATCCTCTTCTCTGCCATCCCGCTCACAAAGCGCAGCGGCAACATCCTCCTGCAGTCCGCGCCGCCAGGCGTCAAGATCGAAGACATAAAGAAGGACCTGGAGAGCATTCCGGGCGTCAAGGGCGTTCATGAGCTGCACGTGTGGCGGCTGGATCAGAAAAAGGCGATTGCGAGCGCGCATGTTGTTGTTAGCGAGGAGAGCCTGGAGAAGTTCATGGAGAAGGCGCAGACGTTTTCAGAGTGTCTGCATGCGTATGGGATTCACAGTGCGACGCTGCAGCCGGAGCTAGTGCCGACTGACAGTGAGACGGAGGGCGAGGCTACTGCGACTAGCACAGGGAGCGGGGCGACAAGCGTGGCGGGAAGTCTGAGGCAGAGGGCTGCCAAGTGTGGGTTGACGTGCGGCACGCTGTGTGAGCCGTTGATGTGCTGTAACTGATGGGAGGGCTGGCTGGAACCATACCATCTGCCAGAATTGCGTAGATAGCGGGCATTAGTGAGATCATGAAGGTCATTACTTAATCTATCGGTGTCCTTCTATTCTATGAAATGGGATATCTAGGTATCAAAGTTGGCTCATCGCTTCCATCACCGCAGGATGCGTGACCGCCCCTGGCTTGAGCTGAGTCCAATCCGCCTCGTAGCCCTCCTCGACATTTGGGAACGGACCTAGCGGCGTGATAGCGAGCGGGTTTATTTCCTTGTGGCTCTTCGTGTACTACATCGCTGTTAGCTCTCATGTCCTCCACCCCGGTGGGAACAATTACTTACGTTCTCCTTGATATGCTTAAAATCAGTACTCTCTTTGAACCCTTCCACATTCCAATACACATTCTTCAACCAATTATTCAATACCGGGTAGTCATGCCTGATCGTGCCTAGATTCGTCTTGAAATGCTGCACATACACGACGTCGAACCTGACTATCGTTCCGTACGCCCTCAGATCCAACTCTGTCATCTGTTTGCCCAGGATGAACGGGCCGCCATTCTTCGCGACAAGTGCTTCGAGTTTATTAAGCGCAGCGAAGAGCGGGATCACCCCGGCTTCGTAGCCTTCCTGCGTGCGTGCGAAACCTGCCTTGTATACCCCCGTGTTGATGTCACCCTGCAGCCAAGGCGTGATGTCGTCGATTTGGGCACGGAGCGATTGAGGGGAGAGATCAATCTTCGCGATTTCCGGGGGGAGAAGAGAGTTGAATGCGGTGGGGAGCCAACGTAATATCTCTGCCGATTCCTTGGTCGTGTTAGCAACCCATTTTCATCATATTTGCTCGTTTGTCCCTAACGTACGTTGCTCACGATGCGTCCCGTCTTTTTATCCCACAGCGCCGGCACACTATACTTCCCCTTGTAATCTTTGTCGTCTTTGAAGTACACTTCGCGCAGAAACTTGCTGCCAAACAGATGGTCTACGGTCGCATTGGGATACTCTTCGTTCGAGTCGGGGAAGGACCAACCGTTCGGCTCCTTCGGGTACGGCCTCACGACGGAAAGTGAGATGATGTCCGTAAGGTGCTTGATGTGCCGAACGAGGTTGGTGCGGTGAGCGAAAGGGCAGAAGAGACCTGTGTATTGGTGAGCAGGGATCCAGGTGGGGCTGGCATGGAGGATCAACGCGGGCCATTGCGATGGGACCGAGGCCGTACCGATGTAAAGATGATAGCGGTGTTTCTCCGGCGGGAACTCTCCTCCCTCCTCAATCACACCGTGCCATCCATCATCTGTGCCGTGCTTGTGGATCTCCGGTGCGCCCATGGTGCCGAGCGACCGTAGAGCGGAGGACGGAAGAGCACGGCAGCCGAGATGTGAATGAGGGCGAGAAGCGGCTTTTGAGATTGTTGCTGCGAACGGAGGGACGTATGGAGGGAAGTGGAGGGTTGGGGCTGGGGGAGAGATGCCATCGCGGGGTGTCAGAAACGGCCCTCGAGGCGGTTAGCGGAGGAGCTCGAGTCGTGATTGGTCAAGAGTGCCAGCCGCACTGCTTGCGGAAACCACGACCTGCAACCACAATCAAACGGGGCTTTGAAAGGCGAATTGTCCGGAGTGCTATAGCATCACGATACCGATTCACGCATGAGGATGAACGTGGGTCAATTTCCTGGCCTACATACAAACTAATACGGAGTGTTGCTCCGCCGTTCGCGATAGGTGCATCGACTATCCACGAGTGAGAAGGATCGTGCCTTCCAAGATAGGAGTCTCATTCGGCAGCCCTACTTAATCTTGACACTCCCGTTCCGACGACAAGAGCTCGGTCCATCAAGGAACGGTTTTGATTCGGGTTTGGTACAGAGTGGGGTGGTAACACGTGTCGTTGGACACAAATATGGGTTTCGCAATGCAGTTGGGATGGGCGGGCTTGTGTTCCATTCCGGAAACGACAGGTATGGGGGCTCCGGGATAAATGCTCGCATGATGTGAAGAATGCTGGGACGCTGGAAAGGCTGATTGGGCTGAGAGCAAAAGGAAAGAAGGGGTGCTCCATGGTCGAGCTCGGGTGGACGATCGAGAGGGATAGCAAGTTTATCCAAAGGGTGCAGGTGGCAGGTGGATTCCCGTATTCATTTCGATTCGCTTGGGGACGCAGTCGCGAGAGGGACCGGGGGATCTCTTTCAGATGAACACGCCGGCCAAGCTCGAGAAGAAGCCCACAACCTCTCCTGCTCGGAGGTACAACCACCTAACCTCGACCATGGTAGCGATACAAAGACACAAGACAGAAATACAGGACAAGGCAAGAACAACGACGGCCCACCCCGTCATGTCCACACGCTACGCGCCATTGGCCACGGCCTGGCGAGGATCACCAGGCGGCATGCCTGTCATCTTGTGGTGGTGATGGTGGCAGCCTGGATGGGAGCAGGGGCCAGCGGGGGCGGGGGCTTGAGCGGGGAGGTCGTCGTACTCGTCGTCATAGTATTCGTCGTCCTGTCCGTCCAAGGGTCCGTCATCCGCACGTCGGTCGTAGCCCCCGGGGGGAGGGTTCTGATTGTGCTGGGCGTTCGCGTTGTTCTGAGCCTTCTTGCTGGCCTTCTTTCCCTTCCGTCCCTTCATCCTAGCCTTTTCCAACAGCCGCCGCTTCTCAGCCAGCCGCTTTCGCTCCTTCCGGTCCTTGATCTCGTACTGCCGGATCAATGCCTCGGGCGGCCTCCCAAAGATGTCCTCGTACTCGCAGAACTCGCAAATCCACGGCGGATTCGGGGGATTGTGGAAGTTGGCGTACTCTTGCTGGATGCGTCGCTTGCGGGCGGCAATCGCGTAGAGCTTTGATGCGCTGCGTCGCGGCTTCCGCGGCGGGGGTGCCTGCTGGCTCGGTTGAGCGCCCTTCTGCGGGGGCGCGTTCTTGCTTCCAGGCGGATGGGCGCCGTTGATGTTGGGGCTCGTCTGCGTGCCCTGCGTCGCCACCATCGGGGCGTCGGGACGCACAGGTGGGCGGGCGCGGGCAGCCTGCGCTGGCGGAGGTGCTCCGGCCGGGTATGCGCCGGGGGGCTGCGGATAGCCGCCGTTTTCCTGGCCTGGCCAAACCATTTTGTTCGCCGAGTCGGAGCCGCAGGTGAAGGTGAACTGGGTTTTGTTGGCGCTGCTCTTGGATGCTTCCTGCTGCAGCAGGCTCACGTTTTCGTTGCCGACTTGCGCAGGCGTTGCTTGTGCGTTCGCAATTGCCGTCGAGATGATGCCGGCTTGGTCTGGAGACCCTAAAAAATAAATAGTCAGCGCACGGACGTGCAATAGCTAAGACACTAATTCCCGAGGTGGAACCGTACGTTTGCTGCTCGCTTTGGCGTTGACGAGGTTGGTCGAGGTGCCCAACACGCGCCGCTCCGACCGCCCAGAGCCAGATCGCCCGAATCTGCCTCTACCGGCGCCGGATATGCCCGTCCCCGAGGCGCTGTGCTGGGGTGTCGAGGGTGCGGACCCGTAGTAGCGGCCTGGCCCATCTCCGTCGTCGAGTGCCGCCGCGTCGTGGTGGTGCGAAATCCCCATGCTTGCCATTTCCGCCGAGAGACTCGTGTGATGCGTGCTCGAGCCGCCCATGTTCGGTATCTTGCGCTTCTTCTTGTTGTTGGTGTTCTCGAACGACTCGTATCCGTCTATAGAAGACGCAGTTGAGCCTGGTTTGGGATATGCACCCGCTCCGCCTGCCACGGGCCTTCCAGGCACATTGCGGCTGTAGTGGTAGCTGGGCGAGGAGGGCATTGGCGCTCCACGCTCGTCTTCCTCATCCTCGCTCTCCACCTCGGAATGGTTGTGGCCACAGTGGCAGGCATGGTGGTCACTCTCGCCCTGCCTTAGAGCCCTGTTCCCCCGCTCCCCAGAGGAGTAGGGGAAATTGAAGAGCGGGCCTGTGGACGGCGGATTAGGCGGGTACACGATGGCCTCAGCCTGCTCGGGGGACATGCGGTCTCGCAGACGGCGTTTAGGCAGAGGACGGATGGGGCGATCGGGGTACATGGGGGATGCTGTATCCGGGGACGAGCGCAGCGGCGAGGAGCGGTTCCACTCGTAGCCTGCAATGCGGAGAGGCAGTGTCAGAAATGCTGTGATGGACGAGAGCAGGCCAGTCGCAGCCATGGTGGCAGTGAAAGGTTATACAAAAGAGAGGCGGGAAAGAAGCTGCGGCGTTGCCGGAACCACGCCCGCTACTTACCAGCAGTCGCCGCTGCCATATTGGCAATGTTCCGATCTTCCTCCGCTCCTGTCTAACAGTGACGCCCGGTTGCTGCCAGTTCCAAAAGAAGTATCCAGAGTTTTCCTCAATCGGAGCTGTCTGCAGCACGTTAGCACGTCCCCGAATATCTGCCGATTCCGGGCCCCTTCATATTTTGTCCAGCTTTGTATCCCCTCTCAACTGCCTCCAAAATCCCCGGTGATGTAGCGGGAGCACCACGCACCTATTTTGCAGAGCTGTGGTGGACCAGACGCGGTTGGTACTGGTAGCAGATTAGCGGTCGTCGGAAACCCCTCTTCTCCCTCGGTACCTAACTGACAAGATCTGCTGTGCCACAGGAACCGATATTTCTGTCAACAGCGGCCCAGCGGAGCAACGGCACCCTCGGGGGTGATTGCAGCAAGTGATAAGACGGGCGGTAGAGATGTCGGCAGCCAAAATTCAGCGATTACAGATTCGCCAGCCGCCAAGCACACACGTAGGCAGGATGAGGTGGCTCAAGCGCCGCCAAAAGACCAGCACTATCCGCGGACCAACGTCTGAACTCGGGGTTGCAGTCGCTTCGGCGTGGGAGATGTCGGTCGATGTCGTAGAAAAGGTACGTATGAAGGCTGGTGGGAGGGATGTCGACGTTGGCATGCATGTCGGTCTTCCTGAAGACCGTGCCAGGGGCGCTAATATCAAAATGGGATTGGTAATAGCTCCTGGCTACGTCTCTCTCAAATGAGGACTCGCCACTGCGGTAATTTCTCTGCTCCTTTCTCAAGCCTCCCCTCGCCCGCCAAAGCCTTGCAGAAGCTTCCACTTTAACGATGCGTCCCCAATTGCTTGTCAAAGAGCTGCTACTCCCGTTACGAGTATTGTACAAGCCGAATCTTGGAACATGCCGACCAAAACCAATGCCGTTTCGAAGACTACATCACATTGGCCTGAGGAAGGAATCAAACGATCGGAGGCTGAATGTCGATGAGCTCATTTCCCTGCGACATGTTCCGAGACCTGTCTTGTCTTCCGTACAACACTTGCTTCAGCGTCACAGGGATGTTCTTCAGAAAGCTGAACCAGAAGCTTCTGGTAACGGGTTCGGGTTGAATGTGGCCAGTATGATTTCTCACTCGTTCAAACTACCTGAAATAGAAGCCTTTACGCTTGTGAGAACAAGACTTGAAACTTTTCAATACCTCTAGCTTTGCATGTAGTTGTAGGCCCATCCGTGGGTGACCACCCGCAAGTCATCCAATGTGACCCCATCAGGGTGCGTACTATGATTACCCGACCAACTACCCTTGAGAGACTCGTAGCGGCTAGTGAAGCGTTTAATGGCTATGCCCAAACCCGACACCCGATATGGACAGGTGGTTGCCGCGGTGGTAAATATCACGTGAGTTGAGTTCGGCGTCGGAAAAATAGCGCGGGCTGTACCTGAGCTCATCAACCCCAAGCTTCCCCCCGTCAACATCAATGCGCCTTCACCATGGACCATAGCAGAGACCCCTGCCCCTGGGTAGCCCTCAGCGACTTTGGCGGTGCCTTTTGTATGGGAGTACGTGCCCTCTTCTTTCCAATTCTTTGGCATTACGTCACAACTCGACGTGCTAACAGCTCTCAGGCCATCGGGGGAGCAGTATGGCACGGCGTGAAGGGCTTCCGGTAAGTTTGTGCAGTGGGTTGATATTAGGGCTTTGCATTTAATACCCTCAACAGTAACTCTCCATACGGCGAACGGCGCATCGGCGCAATTACCGCGATCAAGGCGCGCGCACCAGTGCTCGGCGGCAACTTCGGTGTCTGGGGTGGACTCTTCTCGACATTCGATTGCGCGGTGAAGGGCATAAGGTGCGCATGATACGCCAGCTTTGGACGCCAGTCGGTAAGAGCTGACATGCCGCTTAGGAAGAAGGAAGACCCGTGGAATGCCATCATTGGGGGCTTCTGCACTGGCGGAGCGCTCGCAGTTCGCGGCGGTGCCAGAGCTATGCGAAACAATGCGATCGGATGCGCAGTCCTGCTCGCTGTCATCGAAGGTGTCGGCATTGCCTTCTCGCGCATGATGGCCGAAAATACACGACTCGAAGCTCCGCCGCCTCCGCCACAGCAAGCAGCCATCGCATGAGGAAGCGTCGAACAACCCTCAATGCTGTCGCTGTGGAGAGCGAATCGGACGGTACAAGCATTGTATATGGCGTTTAGCGGAATGGATTGTTTGCTCTGTGTCTGAATCACCGGTCGCCGTTACTGTAACACCAGGTACGCCGAAATCTATCCCTGGACCTATGAAATCCACCTCAATCTGCGTTCTGGTCTGCGTTTGCGACAGTTACCCTTGTTTTAACTCAACGCGATACTGGTGGCTGAATATGGTAAGACTCATTTGAGGCAGCCCGAGGTCCCGTAGAGGATGGTCGCACGTAACACGTTATCATTGGGTGTGCCGTCCCTCAACCTGCATCTGTCAAAGGTAAAGCAAGCCCCAAATAGTCATTTGCTCCTGCTACTACAATGTGGAACAGGCGCCTCACCGGTGCTGGAACATCTGCTTCCCCCTTTTATCCTGATAGCACTTCGCCACCTAGCCACGGCCCGCCTTGTCAGCCTTGAGGAGATAGGCATGGGAATCTTGATCAAAATCCCTTTTTCGTCCGACGGCGATACAGGACGGCGGATACGCGCTACGCTCCTCGGGGCCCTCTAAGCGAGCTGTCGGAAGGCTGGGCGCCGAATCCTCCTCATCCCAACGTCGCTAACAAACGAATGCAACATTCTAGCCCACCAATCACACCTGCGCAGGTGTGAAAGTACGATTTAGGACCGTTCGAGAAGTTTTCGTGATGCCTCGGCACATCGCTTCCGGGTTTGGCGCGTACCGTAATCACTTAAGCGAGGGTCTTCAGCCTGGCTAGTGGGGCAGCAGTGGACTCTTTAAAGTAGGTGGTAGACGTTGGGTAGGCGTCACCCATTTCGTGTGGCCTTTGCCTCTCTTGCCGCCTCAAAGCGTGCCTTTCACCTTTTCTCTAATTTCTCTTCGACAAGATCGCCTTCACTGCCCGAACCTGGTTCTGTCTTTGTGTCTCAGAATCGATCCTTCGCTTTGACCTCCACCCAGTCGGACATCTCTCAGCCTTACCATCCCGTCTTACAGCATCAGCTTCAGACACAGAATCTAGAGACATAATTCTACGACGGCGCGCAAAACCGGGCACTACGTCTTCTCATTTACCCTATAGCCTATCTTCTGCGCCGCGACTACGACGAGACTGTATAAGCATAGACATCGGCGCCGTCCTCGGACCTGCCCTCGCCATCAACGATGGCGACTTTAACCTCCAAGCTCCTCGCCAACGCGGTGCAACTCGTGCCTCGCGCAACAGGTACTTCCTACGATGACCGCAAAAACTTCCGAGACTCGTGCACGCTCGAGACATGTCCTCTCAGTTTGTCGTACTGGGGGTATCGGCCCTCTCTCCCGGCCAATGCGCTTTTCATTGGAATTTTTGGGCTCTCGACGCTGTTGTTTATCGTCCAAGGCGCCTTGTCAGGGAGGTTTCTAGGCTTTACCATCGCTATGGTATGCGGCTGCGCATTGGAAGTGGTGGGTTATGTGGGCAGAACGCAGAGTTACTTCAACCCGTTTGGAGAGGTATGTTTGTCTATGTCTCCTGCGCGATGAACGCGCGGCTAACGGTGCCTGGTAGAACCCCTTCCTCATTCAAATAGTCTGCCTGACAATCGCGCCTGCCTTCCTCGCCGCGGGCATCTACCTCTGCCTCAGCCGCATCGTCGTAACCTTTGGCCCGCAAAACTCACGCATCAAGCCGCTCTCCTATCCACGCATCTTCATTCCATGCGACGTCGCCTCGCTGCTCCTCCAGGCCGCAGGTGGCGGTCTCGCGTCATCTGCCTCTCATCAAAACAAAGACCCCACTGCTGGGAACAACATCATGATTGCGGGACTGGCCGTTCAAGTATTCACCCTCTTCATATTCATCCTCCTGTCTCTGGACTTTACGATCAGGATGGTACGAAGAATCAGGGAACTCGGCGCGCAGAGTGCATTGGATCCTACGCATGCTAAACTGCGGTCGAGCTGGGCATTCAAGGGGTTCCTCACTGCGTTGTCACTTGCGACGCTGTGTATCTTCACGCGGTCAGTGTACCGTGTTGCGGAGCTGAGCGAGGGCTGGAATGGTCATTTGATCAAGACGCAGAAGTATTTTATTGGGCTCGAGGGTGCGATTATAGGGGTAGCCGTGCTGGCACTTAATGCATTCCATCCAGGTCTGTGCTTCAGGGAAGGCTACGACGCCAAGATGGGAGGTTGCGGCTGCTTTGGGAGGAAGAAGAGGGTTGAGGGGGAGCAGAGTGCAGCGGTTAGTACGGAGGATGTTGCGAGGGAGGAGAAGTGATGGATATGGTTTACATTTCCTTTACAGGCGTATAAGGATTACAGACAGTAAAAGCGTACATCCCGAGGTCGAAAAGGCCGAATATGCACATGATAGCGTGAAGTTCTTCGAGGACTAGCGTAAGGGTCAGGTTCAACCGCGAAAGGTCAGGTTGGCGCCGGGAAGACATGGTGTGGAGATCTGGTGATTACATGAAAGCAGTGGCTGCCAATTTTTTTTCCCTTAGTAACTGCACACGTTGCCTTTCACAGATCCATCGTGGCTCATGGCTACGGGATTCTTCTAGGGAGCTGACTGAATTCGAGGCTGCCACCTCAAGCCCGCATGCCTCCAGCGACCTTCCGCTCATGTCCCGCAAAACAGAACAGACTAGTGTACCCACGAAGGCGCTTACTATCACTTCGCTCCTTTGCAAGTTTTAAGCAACTACTTCTGCTCTAAGAAACTGCGGCTTGAAGACCTTCATCAGCCTTTGCAACGCCCGTTAACTTTCTGAAAGGCCTCACTTCAGCAGTTCGCCGCATAAAATTCTGGCTGATATCTTTCACTTCCCCGCCTTCTTGCTTCTTCCGTTGTCAGTCACCCTTCCCAAAGCCTTGGCAAGGAGTACTACGCCCACTCATAATCTTTCACGTCTACCTTTCTCCTTCTCTTCCTCTCTACTCCCCTACGCACCCTCTATATAATCCTTCTCCTCTTCTTTCCTCTCTTCTCCACTCGCGGAGCACCTCATCCTCCGACACAAATCCCAACCTACCTCTATATACACCCATTGTCGCCACCGACTCCACCTATCAACACTCAGAATGAATCAAGCAGAGGACGTCGAAGTCGTTCTGGCTCACGATCGCCGATACAAATTCCACTCGGGCACCCTGGCCCGCAACAGCACCCTACTTGCGGACCTACTGATCGAACCCTATGCCGCAAAGCTCAGCAATCGGGCGAAGAACGCGGGCATCAAGATCCGATGGATGATCGAGCTGAAAGAGCTGCCCTCCGACAAGCATCCTGCCGGGATCCTGGACCTCGTGGTAAGCCTCCGCAACTCCTAGCCTAACACCCTTCAGCCCGCGAAAGGAAAGCACTTGACTAACGCAACCCTAACTGAAGGAACTCACGCCCGCCGGTGAGCGCGCGGACGGCCGCACCGGCCTGATCGTTAATGAGAACGGGCGCATCCCAACCAAGATCTTCGACCACTACGAAGCCATCTTGTATGCCTTTTACAACAAGGAAATGCGCATCTGCGACTCGGACATGCGCGCCGCACTCGACGACGTCATCCAGATCATCGCCATCGCAGACTACCTCGGCTGCACCAACATCATCAGCAAGCCCGTCGAGGTCGCGCTGATGAAGCATGGACAGAGCCTCTTCCGCGCAGTCCAGAGCATGCCGCATCTCTGGGCCAAGATGGCCTACGACATCAAGTCGGAGCTCATCTTCCGCGAGGCTATGGTGCATCTGGCGGGAAATTGGAAGCGCATGCAGGCGAAGCCCGCAGCGATGCTGACCCTGAAGGAGTACCCTGGAATAGGCTTGCTAGCGGAGAAATGCCATGCGCGACTGGTTGACAAGGGAAAGACGCTGGAGCAGATGGTTATGAGCGCGTACCCCGGCCGCATGGACAAGCCGACCGATTACCCGCCCATCAAGCGCGAAGAGTACGCTAAAGACATCCTCGTCTGGATGGCGCTGGCCTTTTTCCGGCACTGGCTCGGCCAGCGCATCATCTTGGAGAAGGGCCACCAGGCTGACGACAGCGGCTACGAACTGTACCGTTCGCTCGGCTCCGCTGGCGAAGCCTACATGAACAAGCCCATCATGAACCAGTTTCACCACAGGTTCCCGATGACGAAAAAGGCGATGAACGTGCTCGAGAACCACCTGCTGGAGATCAAGGAGAACATCAAGCAGCGTGTGGATCAGCACGGGATCCTGGAGAGCTACTGCCAGTTGGATGTGCATCGGTACCCGGTCGACTATCTTACATGCGTCAAGGTCGAGCGAGAGGATTTCCCGTGGCTGACGCAGGATCTCCCGTCGGCTACGCCGGGTGCTGGTCTCAAGCGTGGTAGGCGTCCAGGCGGCAATGACATCGCGAGACACAATCTTGTGGCCGCCAAGCGGTCCCAGGAGCGCGAGGCGAGCTTCGACTTGGACGATGAGGTTCTGGAGGAAGCCCATCCGAGCGATGCGGCAAACAAGCGGGTGCGGCATAACTAGCTGATGGCTTTTACGTCTCTGGTCATGGGTCTTTCGTGGGTCTCGATGAAGCGTTGTCGGACTTCAGGAAGCTTAACGGGTGATCGAAGATTAGGTAACTGCGGCTTCAGCTGAGGGTCTGAGAAGGCGTTTGGTTGAAAGGAAATTGGCTTTGTACAAGTACAAGGCTCTGGCTTTATTGGCCTATTCTCAAGTGCATGTTCCTTAGACATGTTCTTTCGCCCTCACTTCGCGTCCCTATGATATCGTCCCGTCTCCGTGCCATGCCCTGGAGCGCTCCGCGCACCCGAATTCCCCACCTATTCGTCCTCGAACCCGCTCGGTCTTGGTCGCGGTCCCTTTGGTACTGCGCATGGTTAGCCTTCCATTCTATTTCGCTCTGTCCATCTGCATCTCCGGCGCTTCCATCCGGGTTGGCGGGATGTACGTACTCGGATACGTCTGCGGAATCCTCGCTCTCCTCTCATCGCCCAAATACCTCCGTATCGGCGGCACAACCACCAGAATCGCCGGGCCGGCCAGTCCAATGATAATCGAATAGAAGTACGCGGGCTTGTTGATGGAGGCCCATTTGAGGTAGCGGATCGGCTGCTTGAAGAAGAGGGGCGCGGGCGCGGACATTGTGGCTCTGTTGCACTCCGTTAGTACGCGATACGCTGTGGCAGTTGTTGGAGAGGCTGACTATGTCTTGTGGCTGCGTTTAGAGGATGTCTGGGTGCGCAATGGCAGCTGCAACTTGATCGTGTCACAGGTGAGGTTCCCCAGCTCGATCGGCGGCACTAATTCTCCGGCCGCCGCGGGCTTGGCAAATGCATACGTCTCCAACTGAGCTCCCGCCGCGCAAGCCTTCCCCAAGTTTCTACTTCGGATACACCACGACAATGAGGTGGTTGTTTTCGCTTCTATTACTGGCGCTGCTAGGCGCCGTGCAGGCGCTGAGTTACACAGGGGGAAGGCTACTGGTGGTGCTCGAGGAGCAGAGCGAGCGGGAGAAGTATAGTGTGTTTTTGGAGGATTTGGCCGGTAAGTTGCATATTCTCCTTTCGGGGGGTATCGTTTTGTTCGGGGCTTCAGAGGAACCCGCTCGCATCTTGGAACCGCGACAGGAGCGGGCCAAGCGCTGTCTCTGGTAATTGGAAGCTCTACACATGGCCATCTGGCATCTCAGAGCCTTGAGAACACCCCCGAAGTTCGACGAGCTCTGCGCTACCAATTGGCCCGTACAGAGGCTGACAATCAAATGCATAGCTCGAGGCTTCCATACGACCGTAGACTCTCCGAAATCAGACAAGCTCTCCCTCTTCAGACATGGCGAACGAGCCTACGACCACGTCATCCTCCTCCCCGGGAAGTCGAAAGGCCTTGGACCAGCCCTTACCGCGACCCAATTCCTCGATTTCATGAAGAAGGAGGGCAATGTCCTAGTTGCCTTGTCCAGCGATCATGCTACACCCACCGCCGTCCAATCGCTGCTCCTCGAGCTTGATATCCACGTCCCGTCAGACAAGGGCGCATTGGTGGTAGACCACTTCAACTATGATTCTAATTCCGCAGCAGAGAAGCACGATGTTCTCCTGCTTCCGTACCCGAAACCGCTGAGGCCAGATGTCAAGAACTACTTCGCGGGCGAGGGCTTCATTGCGGTCCCCCGCGCTATAGGCCAGACGCTTGGCAACGAATCTCCGCTCATCGAACCTATCCTCCGTGCACCGTGCACCGCATACAGCTACAATCCCAAGGATGAGGCGGATGCTGTTGAAGATCCATTTGCTACTGGCGAGCAGCTGAGCATCGTCTCCTCTATGCAGGCTCACAACTCCGCCAGGTTGACTGTGCTCGGTGCAGCCGAGATGCTGCAGAACGGCTGGTTCGCGGAGAAGGCCACCCTCAATGGAAAAGCTATCAAAACCGCGAACCGCGATTTTGCACAGAAGCTCACAGCTTGGACGTTCAAGGAGACTGGCGTTTTGAAGATTGGCAAGCTCTTTCACTACCTCGATGAGGGTGTGAGCAAGAAGCTCAACACCAGCCTTGCTATCCCGGAGAACAACCCCAAGATCTACCGCGTCAAGCAGGATGTTGTAAGTAAACCTGGCGCCCACTTTGCCCGTTCACAATGCTAACGTCTACAGGCCTTCCAGGTCGAAATCTCCGAATACCAAGGTGACCATCTCGCCCCCTACTTCCCCGCCCCCGGAGACTCCGTCCAACTCGAATTCAGCATGCTCTCGCCCTTCCACCGCCTTAACCTCACTCCCATCTCCCAAACCGCAAACTCCACCATCTTCGGTGTGTCCTTCAAGACTCCCGATCAACATGGCATCTTCAACTTCCGCATCAACTATCGCCGCCCCTTCCTCACCAACGTCGACGAGAAGAGGCAAGTTACGGTCAGGCACTTTGCGCATGATGAGTGGCCGCGAAGTTGGCAGATTAGCGGCGCTTGGGTGTGGATTGGAGGCATCTGGGTTACGGTTGTGGGATGGGTGGCTTTTGTGGCGGTTTGGTTGTATAGCGCGCCGACGGAGAAGAGTGTGAAAAAGACGCAATAGAAAAATTAAACCGAGAGTCAAAGGGAAAGGTTGGTTGCAGTGTGGGGTTAGGCAGAGGTTAGAAGTGATTCACAATTACCAGAATCATCTTGTGATATGTACAATACGGAGTTTAGGACAAAAGGGTTACCCAAAACTATGGTTAGAGCAATGGAAGAGTCTCCCACAGCAGTACCCTCTGTTCAACTCTTTCCTTAATCCTATCCTAATAGTAGGCTGCATACTTACCGAGCCCTCTCCTACGCGTGCCGTCGCCTGAAGCCCTCCACCGTCCTATCTGCATCCTAATTATCCTCTCGACATAGCCTAGTCTCCCCTCTTGCTTCGTTCACTAATTTAAAGAAAAGACTGGCCATGATCTCAGTCCAGAGTGATAGTTATACTTACACCTTGCGCTCGAAGCTCACTCTAATTCTGCTTTCTTTACCGCAATGGAGTCGTGATCCCACCTAGAGGCTGCCCGGCAAGAAGAACAGCGTGAAAACCGACCCGATATTCCACCCGACCCCCATTTTGGCTGAGTCGTCATTTGTGAGCGGACCTTGGGGCCTCTCACCTACTGTCGGTACAATAAATATTGAGGAGCATGCTCGTGGCTCGTCAGTCCCAAGCACGACTTTTCATCACATTGCATTCCCCTAAGTCTGACCAACTTCACCCTCCTATGCACCTGTCCTGGTTTTCGTATTCAAAATTGGTTTGTATTCGTTATTCCTCCATGAGTCCACTCCCCATTTCCCAACGTTGCAAAAACTGTGCCGTCCTCGCTCCCATTCTCCATTCCCGGCACTGCGAGCCGATAGTCTAGCTACGGCGCGCGGTAGAAGATAGCGAGATCTCCAATGACGAAGTAGCCTTCTGCATTGGGGACAGATGCAAAGACCCTTCCCTCCCGATCCCTAAGCTCGTATTGGCCGTCAGCGAGGTCGACCTCATAGACGTTGCGAAACTCTGTTACAATGGTACGGGACTGCCGAATCCAGTCCCGGGCCTCCTGCATATTGCGGCGGCGAGCGGCGCGCTGATGGGCGGTGTCTTCGGCAGTCTCAGCCTCGGATTCGCTATCCACCTCTTCGATGTCGAAAACACTATCGAAGTTAGCGTTTTCGTTTACCGCAGACGATTCGTTCCCCACTGGACGGCCCTCGGAATACGATTCTTCCGAACTTGGAGTGCGCCGGGGAGATGGCTGAGCTGGGTAGTTCGCAGCGTCCGCAGGTTTGGCAAAACCACAATCCTGTTGAGGAATCATATCGACCGGGACCAGCCGTCCGAGGTCGAGGTTGATGGAAGTAATCGCAGCGCGAGTAGTCCTAGCACACCAAGACCACGGCGGCACACCCTCGTCCACCATGCGTTCGAGCAGGCGTTGAGCGACCTCCATGTATGTCCATAAGCTGTTTTGCTCCATGTGAGTCGCACAGATCCACTGGTAGGGATGGTACCTCCAGTAAACCTCTGTCGCCTCCCCAAGGACACCGTTCCAGTTGCGAATACGCCAGCGCATCCGCACTTCGTCCGCAAAAAGCGCGTCTGCAATTACCATGAGATTCTTGTAACCCTGGACATTGAACCAGCCATCGTAATTCTCAGCCTTCAACTTCGCCAGTTGCTCTGGATCCAGCGCGTTCAGCCTGAAGAGTTCGACTTCGCAATTTGGGCACAGATTGCGCTGCGGCGTGGTGCTGTTGAAACGATCTAAGAGACACTCTCGATGGAATTTGTGACCACATGGCTCGATCTGAACGCTAGTCTCAGGCTGGTCTCGCCATGTGGCGGCGCAGATTCCGCAAAAGGGAATAACGCGTAGGTTCTCTAGGTCATGGACGCAGTTGTCGATGTAGTCGGTCATTTTGATACCCACTGGGTCAAGGGGGGGATTTTCTGTTCCCCATGAGGGTAGCGCTGGGGCATTACGAGCGAAGTTTGATCGCCAAACAGACGCTGTTGGATCCCGTCGAGGCATGTTTGGGATTAGTTTGCTTGAAGAGGAGGTTTGTCGGTAGTTGAGAGACGTGAAACTCCTTGGCATAAAACGGAAGAGGATATATACTTAGAGGGGCGCGTGACGATATAGGAGTACAACTCGGAAGTGGCAGCACGATGCCGCGGTCGCTCACACCCTCCACGTACAATGCTCAATGGAATGGGACCATCTTATGATCCGGTTTTTGCTCTTCGGCGCGAACGACGGTGGCTTGCTCAGGCGTTAGCACAATGAGGAGGCAGAACACATTGTGGCAAGATGGGCACTTGTTGCGATCCGGGAGCATGCTTCGTAACTGCGACATTATGCAGCCACGATGGACCGCGTACTCGCAACTGTCAAACTGAGCAATGTTGTCCAGTCTCGCAAATTCCTAGCGCATGCACTGAGCTTGCAGAGGTGGAGGTGTGCTGACGTTTAGCTGACTTTCCTCCATCAATCCTTGGCAAACGTTAATAGGCAAGAATGGCGTGCACGCGAGGGCAGAGCAGACAGCTCCCGAGGTCTTCATCCACTGAAGGATCTAATTATGTGAGCTCTACCGGCTTACGATGCGGCTGATGCCTCTTCCAGCTGCTTCTTAGCTGCCCACTGCTTTTCCGCACTGATCTTCTCCAGGATCTTGTCCGCGCCCTTCTCTAGCAGCATCTTTGCGACATCTCGTCCCATAGCCTCCGCCTCTTCAACCGACCTGACCTTTCGTGCTGTTGCATGGTCAACCGATTCCTTTCCGTCCACACTCACTACGACTGTCTTTAGGACTAGCTCTTGATCATCCAAATCTGGCCCCGCTTCCGCAACCGCTTCGCCATGCTTGTCAAAGGCGTCCGGGGGTTGTGCCCCTACCGTAAGCCCTTTGTTCCCCCTCCATGTAGTTTCAATTCCAATGGGCACGCTGCAACCTCCCTCAAGTGTCCTCAGAAGCGCTCGTTCAGCCGAACAGGCTCGTGTTGTGCGCTCGCACCGAACCTTTTGCAGCATAGTCTGCATCACGTCGTCATTTTTCCTGATCTCTATTGCCAGCGCACCTTGCCCGACTGAGTGTAAGACGCCACCATTGTCGCTGCTCAGGTACTGACTTATCCTGCTCTCCATCCCTAGCCGCTTAAGCCCTGCAACGGCCAAAACGATTGCAGCATATGGCGAGTCTTCGGCATCGAGCTTGCCGAGCCGTGTCCCAACATTGCCTCTGAGGTCCTTAAATTGAAGGTGTGGATGAAGCCGCCGCAATTGGGCGGCCCGCCGGATGGATGAGGTGCCTATCGTCGAGCCGTGCGGGAGCGTAGCGACGTTCGTGTCTTTCGGCAGCCGGGGCGAGACAATTAGGGCATCGCGGGGGTCTTCGCGCTCGAGGATGGCGCCTAGCATCAGGGTCTCGGGCAGCTGTGTGGGCATGTCTTGAACATGTGCTCAGTCCTAGCTGCATCCGCTATTTCTGCATTGTACATACCTTTCAGACAGTGCACAATGATGTCCAGCTCGCCTGCCTCGAGCATAGCCTCCAGCTCGCCCGTCCACAGACTCTTCGCATTCTCGCCCTGGCTCAATTGCTGCAGCGGCGTGATCTTATCCTTGTCTCCTTGCGCTAGGACCGCGCAAATGTTGTACGCCCGGTCCGGGTACGCATTCTTGAGCGCTTGCTCGACGGATCGGGCCTGGATTTGGGCGAGCGTTGAGCGGCGGGTTCCGATGTTAATGGGCGGGAATTGAGTGCTGGCTGACGTGTTCGCAGCCTGGGGGACGGGGTGAGAGGGCGTTCGAAGGTCTGACGCGGTTGCTGAAGCCATTGTCAGGCACTGTGAGAAACGGGGCAGCTTGAGGCTTTGGTGTTGGCAGCCTTTGATTTTGAGCTGTGGTGGGGCGCGCCAAATTCACGTCATCCTGAGAGCCGCGCTCGATCGGGTTAGCGGCGATCCCCATCTACACGGAGGCAAACAATCACCTTAGTCTCTCGCTTAGTCCAAATATTACGGAGAGAGAAGAACGCGAAGACAGTTTCGAACGCGTTCCGTCATAGCCTGGAGGGCATCTTATTTCGAAAACCGTGGCATTTCCTAGTTCGCATGCTACCTAGGTAAATGGCAATGCACAGTTCCATACTGCTATTCTCCTCCAGCTCATCATCCTCTCTACCATCCGGAGCACGCCACGAACGAGCTTCCACTTGCGCCCGTGTGCGTGATCTCACCGGCCCGTTGTCCATTCTGGTTGAAGATGACACGATCCGCGCCAGGGGAACCTGTTCGCACAATAAGCCTTTCCCTACCATTTCTGCTTTCCTCTGAACTCACCGCCGGTGTATGATCCGCTAGTCATGAGAGGAAACTCATAGTAAGTGCCACCGACCAAGAAGTCAAATCCCTCGTAGTTGTTGTACACGTGCGGGTACGAGCTACCTCCAGCAGTCCCCCCTTGCTTGACATAGTTGTACCCGGAGTTGCGTGCCGCTGTGACCTGAGAGCTACTGTAACAGTTTGAACCACAGGTCACGTAGCACGCCCTTTCGGAAACCTCGTCACGTTCGACAGGGGCCCCAATGTTCTCAGTCGGAAGGGCGAGGGTAATAGGAGCAATGAAGAGCAGGAGGGTAGAAAGCAGCTTCATGGTGCCGGTTGGGAAGGGCAAAGGCCGAGAACGACTGATCTGCGCAGGTGCAACGAGAGGGGGACTGATCCTGGACGTCAGCCTGCCGCTACAGAGGAACAATCAGCGACCTCATTATATACTTTTAAGACTATGGTTGGCTTCGCGGACCTCTCCGAAACGCCTCAACTCTGCCCTGGACCATCAGGGACGGGATAGATTAATCTACATGCAAGTCAAGATCGCTATCGCTAACTCTAACCTAGAATCTACCTCAGGTCCGCGAGTGCTTATGTCCGCTTAGCGACCTTGCATTCCATCTCCATCTCCTAAACCACTCGCCCGCTCGCTGTGTCCTTCATCTGTCCACGAAAGCCAGGACTCAGCAAACCGCCGCGCTCGTCCAGCGTTGAACCTGAGACCACCTTCCCACGTCTCCCGCTTTCATTGGACTGCAACTCCCGCTAGTGCCGAATACTCGCTCCCGGACACGGGTGATCAGCCTCGCCAGTACACCGTACCTTACAACCGAAAAGGAAGGTAGAGAACGCTATTCGCGGGGCTGCGAAATTCAGTGTTTCATTCGTCTTGTTCTCGGGTTTATCGTCGACGAGCACATGTGCGGCTTTGATAGGCTGTACATGGCTTGTGATCGGCAGGTAAGGCGCGTCCGGAAACTAGCCGAGTTCGGCAGGTGGGTACGCTGATTCGTGAAGGGCCCCTCGAGTGTCCATGGTGGGGTGGCTTGGAACACGGATTGGGTAGGCGCGGGCGTCAGAGATGTGAAAGTTGAGGTTGATATTAGTCTTTGTCGTTGGTAAGCCCGGGGGAAGTCATGCAGTTCAAGGCACGACCGCTCGCCCCAAGCTCTATTATTGTGCCTAAAGGCCTTCAACGAGCTGTCTGTGGCCCAAATGAGTTCGCATCACACACTGAAGCACTCCGGGCACTCTCTTCCCTAACTAAACCGAGCATCTAGGCCCGCTCAGCCCAGGCGCCAACCTCACAGGAACTACAACCAACTACATTCGCGATTTAGTCACATCTCACTTCCAGCCAGAGCCGTGTCTCTGGAGTTCTGGATGGCGCTTGGTCCCCGTGGATGTCGGTGCGATATCACCGCCATAGTCATTGGTTAACACAACGGCTTCCGCAATCAGGTCAGTGACCTAGTCGGAGCAGTTTCGCCGCTACAGGTGCCCTCTATCGTAGTAATAACAGAGCTAGCCCTGGAGACAACCATGGCTATCCGCTACAACGCCATTCGCGAGTATTCTGGATACCGTGGATCGTACATCCCAGCATGGATATCCGGATCCAATCCTGTTACCGGATATATAAGGCGTCATAACTGAAAGAGCAGAAGGATTGGATCCCTTTGCTCCGGATAAATCCGTTTCTCTCCTTCTGTCCTAACACATTACAGGTCCAGCCGCCGCCAAGTTTAGACATCCCATTGTGAGTCCTACGACTCGGAATACCCTTCATCAGGGTGCGATCCGTTTGTTCGGCACCTCTTTTTTGTTCACCAAGTGACGGGGCAGTACATGGAAAGGCGACCGAGTATGAGAGCTCGTTTGGACGCCATGTCAAGCGGCGGCGCGTGGAAGCTAATGCGGATACTCATACGATCAGGGCACAGCACCGAATGCCGGCGATGATGCTGAGCTCCTCCATACACTGTCATTTTTGCTCCTTCATTACACATTCCATCACCCATTCATTCTTAAAGCTCCGCCACCGCTCACTTGCGGAACATCCACCCTAAGGTCCTTCACTGCACCTTCCTAACAGCAAAAAAATCCCCGTATGGGCCGTACAGTCCTTCAAGCAGCGCAATGTCTCGCCCAACCCCCGTCCCTCCCTACCTCTCCTACAAACCGCATCACCTCGACCTCAGCTACTGGAACTACCAGAGCTCGAGGAATCCGACTCGTCGCTGCTCACGCTCTGCTCCCCCAACTCAGGATGCCTTCGGCATCGACCACCCTCCAAGCCCGTGCTGATAAGCGTCAGGTTTCCTCCACATGACCGCTCGAACTCTTCGCACCTCCGGATTCCGGGAATGAAGTAGGCGACGCAGCCACATTGTGCGTATTGTGTGATGCGGATCCAGCACATCTTGGCGCGGGTGAGTGGTATAGGATTAGGAGGTTTATGTATTGTTGAGATTTGGACTTTGTGATAGGTTTTTGGTGGGTGGAGTGTTGCAGATTGAGAAAGAGAGAGAGAAGAAAGAGCACACGGCTACAGAGAATCATGGGTAGTATGATACGGGTGCAGTGTGGTAATGCCTCATTCCGTGCAATACTTCTGGTGGAGGGGAGCAAGGTTGCGGTGAGCCGCCGTTTGCAAACGCTCCGCAAGGAGGAACCATATTGGCCGACATATTCAGCGCCTTTCACTTTCACCGCTTCTCCTCCAAACGCGCCTCATTAATGAAGTCTATCACTCACCTTCAACTCTCAGCTTATCGCGGCAACAGTACGTCATTCGTCATCTGCCTCCCGAAATTGCGACGCCTTGCGCAGAACCTCTGCTCTCTTTCCTTCCTTGTATCTTGGACAGATTCTCCATGCCGACCCATTCCTATAAGTTCTGGGCATCAATGGATTTGGAGTGCGCTTTCGGCATCCACAAACCGCGCATGTAATGGCCAAGTTTGATCGAGCACATGATCGTTGCCGAATCTCATATGGAGGTTCGCGTGGATGAGATACGCCAGTTCTTCCCTTGGCGGATGCTTCTTAGGGCGTCATTTCTAACTTCTAAACATCCCTACGCGGATGTCATCCTCTGGGTGTGATGGCTTGGAAAGCATGCAAGGAATAGGCGTAGAGGAGGAACTAGGTTAACCGTAACTCATTCAAGTTCAGCTTTGTGAGCCATAAGGCTCGCGTGAGAGAGGTCGACATGAAGATATAGCAGTGTATACAATAGGACCACGATCTATGCACTCCAAGCCCCAGAATCTGCCCCCTCATGACCAATAACTTCCTGTAAAAAAAAATCCGATGATAACACGCTTGCGGCAACGCCATCTTGTATCTTAGGTGATTTGATGTCGATCCAGTACCAGTCTAGTATATCAAAGGGACATAAGTGGGTATCCTGAGGGGACCGGGGAGTATTCCTCCTCAGCATAGTCAGACGAGTAGCTCATTGGGTAGCTTGGCTGGACTGTCGAAAAGTATCCCGATGATTGCGGCATGATTGACGGACTAGGTGAAGCGCCTAGAGCACAATAGGCTGCTGAAGGGTAGCCATGGGCTGTTGAAATGGAGGAAGTGGCTGCATCTGGGCGGCAAATTGCGCTATCGCTGCCTTTTGCATTTGCGAGTGTCGTTGGAGCCGGTCTAATAGCGCCAGCACGAAATGCTGACAGTTATGGCGCGTCAAGTCGTACCTGACCGACTCAGCTCTCATATCGTCATGCGCATAAAGAGCTACAGAAGCATCAGCCCTGACAATATGGGGTTTGAAACGCTCGGCTCACCATTGGTATTGATCTCTTCGTCTGTGAGATCGGTGTAGAACACTCCTGTGTAACCAATATCCGGAAACCACAGGGTATCTTGTTCAAACGAACCCCGAAAGAATTGCAGAACGTCTCCTCGATTCGACTTGATGGGTTTCATCTCATAGAGATAAGGTCCGACGACAACGCCCCAGTGACCAGACCAGAAGGCGGACGGAATTTGGGTCATCTCCTCAAACCATTTGGGAATAGGTGTTCGGTTAAACAATTTACTCATGATGGAGCCTCCGGAGCCAGAGAGTCTCCGAGCGAAGATGAAGACCGGACGGAGACTCCGTTGGCCGTTTGTTTCACCAATGAAGGCATGCGGTGTTGGAGGGCTACGAGAGGAGCTCGAGCTCCAGAACCAGTTGGGAGACATGGCGGAGTGTGCGTTGAATGAGAGCACAATGGATTCAGCTCAGCTGGCGGTAGACTTTTCGGTAACCTCTGACCTCTATGGAAACGGAGTATTTCGCGGGGAGTTTGTGGCCGTCGATGTTGAGCGGTACGGAGAATAAACGGAACCCGTTATATCTGCGAATGCTTTGGATCAGGTCACGCAGGAGATAATAAGACGCACCTCGAAGGTCAGCCTCAAGTATTTTCCAAGAGAGCGAGGGTTTCCCATCAGGGAAATGTGTAGCGATCCCGAGTATGGCCTTCCTGCCCAGGTGATCATCTCCAGACTGATCTCGAAGGGTAGGGAGGCTGCTCTTCACGGACCTCAATCATTTTAGGTCAGTCCACATATAAAAATTGTAGAGGACATTAGTGGCAGATGCTGCGAGGCTGTAGCGAAGGGGCGCGCGCATGATATAAGTATTAAAGCATTCGCCAATCGCCTTGAGCGCTAACCGAAGGTGGCACCGATCACATCATCAATAGGAGATCCATTCCGACGATCTCCTGACAAGGCTACACCATGCTCACTTGACATGAAAGTCTACAGAGAACGGAATTGGTATTCCGAGCAGTCCAGGAGCTCGGCGAAAGCCACAAGCTGAACGCGAGCTAGGCACCTCGCCTTCCGCCGCACGTCGCTCGAATATACAGACCCTTACTGGGACATAACTCTACTGATCTACCATATATGCACTTATTGCTTTCAGAAGAGTGTCTCAATCTAATCAACATGTCATACTCGGTACGCCCTCTCTCATACCCTCGCAATGCGAGCTTTGATGCTGAGGCAGCTTCAGTTGCGACATTCCCCCCATCGAGTGGCACATGCATTTGTCTACACACAGCAAGCCCCATGGAGCAGCATAGCCTATGGACTCTCCCGCGCCATAAGCGAACCGGAGGAGGCGTTTCGCCAATGGGCCGATGCACAAATAGTGATGAACGCTTCCATCGGGCTCGTGGTACGTAAATACCCAATATCCTCATAATACAGCGATTTTTAACCCACGCCCACTACAGGGATCGATTGTCTCCGCAGTTGTCGCCTCGCTCCTCACATACGAGTCCACCCAAGCGTCCCCGTGGACAGCCTCAGCAGCGCTCTACGCCGCCCTGACCTTCTCACTAATGGGCATAGTATCGGCCTTCCAGCAAAATATTTTTGTGGAATCCGCGCTTCTTCGCCCGACGATTCGGGAGCAAGCTAACCATATCTTCGGAATCGTAGAGCACCCCGAAGACAAGAATCACGTAGCAGCGACAGTGAGAAGATGTGCGTTTGCGCTGAGGATTCCAGAGCTACTGCTCACGTGTGGCATATTTTGCCTTTTTGTGGGGCTAAGTGTCGTGGCAATTAGTCCGTTGTGGGATCGCGGAGATGCTTCGGTGTGGGATGGTCAACAGAAGGCGGGTGCCCGTTTCAGGCAGGGATGTATTACGTTCATACTGACCGTGGAACAGATCGCGGTAACCTACATCATTGCCCTGTTTATAGGCATAGTTGCATACTTACTTGGTATCGTATCGCAGATAAATTGACTTGTAAATACAATAGCCCACGCGATTGAATTATAAACTCCGTAAAAAGGTGGTCTAAGTAGCACTTGCCTTCACACTCCAAGGCTTCGCATACCCCTTACTCAGTCCGACGCATACGCATCATCCGCCTCCTGCCATCCCATCTCTTCATGCTTCATACACACGCCCGCCTCATGCCCCACCGTCGTCACAATCTCCAAATGGCCCGAGCAGCCGCGCCGGAACAGCAGACACCTGTGGATCCTCCGGATATAAAGAACGCAGCGGCAGTTGGGGTATCTGATTACTTCCGCCGAGCACATAGCTGACTAGATGCTTTGCGGGAATTTGCGTTGAGATTTTGGTGGGGTAATGTTCGTATTGTAGTGTACGTTTAAGGTCGAGTGCTTTTGCTTATTTAATGCTGCAGGAAAGGGTGCTTGTAGAGCGAAGCGATAGGGAAATCCTGGACTTAAATAGTGGTTACCATAATCTTAGTGAGGCTAGGGCATTCTCGGTATTGAAGACTGGAACGGTGACATATCTTGGAGAGTAGAGACATCGTGTACATTTAGGCGCAGCGGTTGGCTTGAGCGGTCGAATATTCGACCTATTGAGGTGTCACTCAGTTCGCGTCGCTGACGTGATAGCTGTAAATGTTCCACGCACGCTTAATCTCCTCCGCCTTCACTGCGAGCAGGAACCACGATCCCTGACGCCCACGATACCGGGAAATTGTGAAGCAAACATGAAAGGGTATCTATTCCATGAAATCATCAAAGGGCCGCCTACTTTCTCCAGCCACATCAACACTACTCTCCCTCCCCATTACTAATACTCCTAATGAACCCTAGATCCTTCCATTCTAGCCCCTTCCACTGCACTTCCCTCAGCTTCCCCTTCGTCCCCATAAAGAAGCACCGGCTCATCTCCGGCCCATACGCTAGCATCTTGTTCGTCCAGCTCTCCGGGGCCAAGCACGCGATATCCGTTCCTTTCATTGCTGCACTGAGAGCCGGATCTTTGGCCGGGGCGTTCCAACCTTCCGCGTTCCTCCAGGCGAAAAAGATGTCTCGATTGTCGGACTTTTGGTAGAGAACGAGGAACTGGAGTAAACCACCGTTGGGATTGCGGGGGGTAGCGAGGAGGCCCAAGGGAGCGGAAGTGGGGAGAGAGATTTGTTGGAGGAGTCCTTCTGGGGGATTGTGAGACGCGGAGAAGGTGGAGGTATAGGGTAGACTTACCAGTAGTCCACTGCTCGGTGTCATTGCGGAACACAAGGTTCACCAGCTCGCCATCTTGGCGCTGATAGTACAGATGTGACTCCGTTCCCCATCTCCCGCGGGGAACTTCGGCCAGTGGCGCGGATGGCCCGGGGCCCTTAATGTCGAGATTCTTGCTTTTCCAGCAACTGGAAGCGCCAATAGGGCAGTCATACCGCATCTCGGAAATCGTATCATCCGGGTTTTGGTACACCAACGAAGGCCAATACGATGCCAGCCGAGTGTTGTTAGCGGGCACGATATTTTGGTCGTTCAGGCTTCCGTTGTATCCCGTTTTGTCGTTATCTTCGAAGATATATTCCTGCAATTTCGCGTTTTCGTCGAGATAGAAGACGTGCGCCTCCATGGCCTTTCCTTGGATTAGCCTTTGAAGGCCTCTAGGACTCCTTGTGCAAATACCTTTTTGTTTACATCGTAGATTGATTGGTTGTGACACGACGCCGCCAGCGGCGTTCCTCGTTTTGCTTTCACAAATCTGGTACCTGCGCTCCATGCTTCCGCGTTCACAGACTCCATCGATGATATACGAAGATAGCCTTCGGCGTCTTGGTAAAAAAGGCGGATGCTGTACTCCTTATCGTCGTTATATTTCCATCCCGTAACGCCCAGCGCGGACTGATCCCAAATTGCATCTGCAGTGCTAGTTTCGTTCGCCGGATCGGTTGTCTGGGTATCTGGATTATCGGCCGGGCTCTCAGCAGCATCAGAACCTTTCTTATGCTGTAGGACGCCGACAGCGGTGCCCACGACAGCCGCAATAACGACAAGGATAACGAGGGCGAGCCCGAGGTAGAACCTCTGTCGCGAGATATAGAAGCCCCTTCTCCCAAATACCCGCTTTTCGCCGCGATTGCATGCAATCTTATCGGTGTCGGCGGCTCGTGGAGGGGAGGGCGCCACCTCTGGCAAATTGGAGAAGGGAGCCGCGCCGACTTCAAGGTTCGAGAAGCTGCGCCTTTGCTGAGGTGGAGGAGGCAGAACATGCTTGTCTGCATGTACGTAGTAGCCCTGGGCCTAATTAGCGCCGGCGTCTTCAGTCAACGTAGGAACGTACGGCCATTATCCGATGAAGCCCTCCAACTCAAAGACTCCATGGCAGCAGGTGGTGAGAGTGAGGATGGTCCAAACTATAAAACAGAAAGCTCGTTACACGGCTCAGCGCTACTTTCGCCAAGCAGCCGTTGTCCGTAGAGCCGGATTTTGCGTGCATGCCACAGGACGGGAGGCGGGTTGCCGCTGGTTAGATGTGGACGCCTGACCCATGTCTTGCTGCCACTGGCAAGAGCGATGCGGTTCCTGGCAGGGAGTTTATTATGCGTTGGTCAGTCTGATTGGACGAGGGCTGGGGAATGAGAGCATTGGGAGCTGCAAGTCGGACGATTTGGGGTTGATGAGGCTGGTGGCCTTAAATATGTTTACTGCAACGTTGCCGACAGCACGGCCAAAAGTGCACAATGCCATGGCGGTGGCGTTGTCGGATCGCGATTGAGAATGCCATCTGGAAGCCCTGTTGTTGTGGATGCCCCTTTTCCGATTGCCAGATGTTGTTCCGACCCGCTGTGGATGAATTGATATTCCACGGCCTGGACCAGATATCGTGGTCGTGTAGTAGTCGGTTCGTCGCGGTGCAATTACAGCTTTTAGCATATCATGGTTTGGCTTCCGCAAAACTAGTCCTGGAGACCTTCGGCGAATAGATGAGGCTGCAGTTCAACAGTTTGCGGTTCGAGGGATGATGCCAGATCGGGAAAACGGCGATAGACCTAGACCTTAGCCCCAGCCCCATCCCAGCCACCCCCGGCCGTTGCATATGAAAGTCTTGCGCGTGGCACCAAGGATAACAAATGCCATTGGAAGAACGCGCATGTATTTGCGGCATGCTCTTACACTGCCTTCTCAGCTGTTCAGCCCAGTCAGCGCTGAGGACGGCCTTGTAACCGCGAGGCGTGGCGGCAAACGAACGCCTTCGCGATTGGGAAGGTAGCACGGGTCTTCGCATCGTTGGTCTCGAGAAGGCCGTTTTCACATGAGAGTATTCGTCCTTGGTAGACGACCTGGTGTCGAAGGGTCGAGGACTAAGAACAGAGCGTTGGAGCGGAAAGACTACCCCTCGCTTCGGTTAAACCTGCCCCAGAATAGATGTCGCCCTCGTCAAGCCATCACGGTGCGTACCGCTTCCTCCTAAAGGTCCCATTTACGAACTTAGATAATCTGCCTTTGTCTATCGAAGCGCCGCCAGACACCCCAAATCAGCCCGCAAGATGGGCCGCATCGCGAAGTCTCAGGGCCTCGCGCCTCCCGCGATAAGAAAAGACATGCGCGCCAAACAAGCTCGCCACATCGTCAACAAAGTCATCCCATCCATCCTAGCCTCGAACCCAAGAGCTAGAAAGGGTGCCGAAGAGAGCGAATTGATCCTGGATCCGGGGCCTGTCTCCAATGCCGTCGAAGCAAGCGGCAAAGAGGACACGAGCACGGGAGGCGACGACGTGGCGTACATCAAGAGAAAAGGCCAGGGACGGCGGAAAGCCAAGGGCGGAAAGGCCGAAGACGAGGAAGTCATCGTAAGAACCGGGCACGAGAAAGGGAAGGGAAAGAAAAGAAACTATTCGTTGAACGATTCGCTCTCTCATCTCTCCCTGAAGCCAACCTCGCTCCACCATCAAAACGCAGAAGTGCCGCAGAGAACTATCCGGATCGTAGCCACTGACGCTCTGACCGCCGCCCACTTACTTCACACTAGTAGAATATCCCGCAAAGCACCCAACGTCTGCATATTAAACATGGCCTCACCCCTGCGCCCCGGCGGCGGCGTTTTGGCAGGCGCCTCCTCGCAAGAAGAATTTCTCTGCTCCCGCACCACACTGCTCCCATCCCTCCAGGAATCTTTCTACCGCCTCCCCGAGTATGGCGGTATATACTCCCCCAACGTCCTCGTCTTCCGCTCGTCTCTCCCCCTATCCCACGCCGAATCCGACCTACCACCCTCCTCACGCTACTACATTGACGTCATCAGCGCCGGCATGCTGCGCTTCCCCGAGCTCGAGGGCTCCGAGGGAGAAGAGAAGAGACTAAGCAAGAAAGACAGGGAACTGGTAGAAAAGAAAATGCGAGCCGTCTTGCGTATCGCGTCTTCAAAAGGCGTCAAGAAGATAGTACTAGGTGCATGGGGCTGCGGCGCCTACGGCAACCCAGTGCGTGACATTGCGGAAGCGTGGAGGAGAGTATTGGAAGGTGGGACGGCAGCGGGCGGGAAGAAGAGTAAGAAGATGGAAGAGGAGACGTGGTCCACTATCGAATCCGTTGTCTTCGCCATTAGCAATGCGAAAATGGCGCATGACTTTGCGAAAATGTTCGGTGGAGGGGCTGAAGTCGAGCCTGGGCCTGGTGGGCAGAACGATGAGGACGAAGCGCAAGAAGAGGATAAAGTGGTCGAGGAACTGCGGTCGAAAATTGGCGAAATGGAAAGTCAGCTGGAGAAAGTGTGGAACTCGGATTTGAAGCAGAGGATGAGCGTGATAATAGAGGGTCTGAGGGCGCAGCTGAGGGAGCGAGAAGGGGCGGGTGATGACGGAGATGAGGAAGATGACGAGGAGGACGAGGGCGAGGAAGGAAATGAGGCAGAAAGCGAGGAAGAAACCCCTCAAGTCATGGGCAAGGATGACGCCGATGAACGCTCCGATACTGATGAAGAAGCTGATCGTCGCGATGATAGCGGTGGCGAAGGGAGTCGACGTGGAGGACTCAAGCTGCCTCTTGCGCAGGTCCATCACATCAAGCCCAAGAGATAAACGGCTTTGGATCATATATCCATTCATATTCGCTTTTGAAAGAGCCTACCCATGTATCCGGTTCAGTCTCTCGCATGCTAAGCTATGCCATGAAAATGCACCACTCGCAACCATGTCCGCTATGTACGCCACTCAAAACGCAAACCGCCTTTAACCACACTTAACGATCGCGGTCCTTCAACTCATCTGTGACGCCCTTGAGCGAAGCCTGGTGTTCCTTATTGATCCAATCCCAGTAGCTGGCCCACACCCGAAGGTGGGGATCATCATGGCCTTGGACACCGCTCTCGCTGCCCATCTGCTTGTTCAACAGGACAGATACCTTCAGCACACCCTTACTACCTTCCTGCAGTTTCTCCAGCTCTTGCTTGACGGCGTTGTCCTTGGGCTTGATCGATAGGACGGCACGGAAGTTCTCGGCAATTGCTTCAAGGCGTGAATGAGTCTGCTCTGGAGTGAGCACCATGAGCTTAGTAAGCATGAGGTTACAGAGAATGCGGATATCATGCTCGTCGCTGATTCCGGCCACGACACGGTCGAAGCAGTCAGAAAGATCTGACGGCGAAAGTTTCGGGAAGGCCGTCTCCAGTAGAGCGTATAGTGTCTCGTAGGCGCTCTTGCGAATCTCGAGACCATCGTCGACCTTGTGCTTAAATGGACCCATTTGCACCTCTCGGATGAGTTCGGGTTTGATCTCCGTCTCCTTCATGGTCATCGGCAGCAGCTGGTCGAGAGCTGGAATGATGATGTCGGGTTTGTTGTGCATGGCGGAATTGAAAGTCGTGAGAGCCAGGCGGCGGTTGTCGAGATCGGGTTCGTTGAGCATCTGGACGAGCATGGGGACCACGATGGGGCGGAGATATTCGTCATATCCTTCGTCGGTGTCGGCGAGAGTATATCGCAGGGCTGAGATGACCATGCCGCGGACGCTTGCTTTTCGATCACCTAGGAAAGCCTATTCTTGTTAGCGATGTTTCGAAAAGCAATTTGGATACTACATACCTGGAGTTGCGGAAGGTAGGTCTTCGGATCAATGATAGTGAGCCTACCTATACATTCCGCACCAATTGCTTTGTTATCCTCAGCCTGGGAAGCAGCGACGAGGTTCTGCCACAGCGCTGAAGCGAAGGGGATAATTTCCGACTCTGTACCATCATGTTGAAGAATCTCCTTGATAGAATGTAACAGGAGATACTGTGGGCTTGAAGGCTGACCCATTGTGGACAGTATCACAGGAAGATACTTGCCAACACTACCGGCTCCTGCCCGGCCTAGCGCCACTGCAGCTGCAAGCGGCACCTGTTCCGACTTGACGGAGAAATACTTGATAAAAAGCTGAGGCTGAATGGAGGATTGCGATCCCAACCGAAGCGCCGACTCCCCTAAGACAACAAGAGCAAGGTATTTACGCTTGTCATCCTGTTGTGTTTCGAGCTCGGTAACGAACTGCTCGAGCTTGACTCCCAGGCTGCTGCCGCCGTACACCAAGAGGTTTCCGATAACCTTACCGACAACCTCAGGGTGACCAGAGACGCCAACGTCTTTGAGCAACGCCTGCATCAATTGCTGACCGGCGCGCTGCTCTCCAATAGTTCGCACCAGAGCAAGCAGCGCCTCTAGTGAGCTGCCACTGATCGAGCCCTGGACAACCCGGCAAAGCGCACCAGTGAATTGAGGCGTCATAACAGACTTCGCATCGTCCTTGACGAATGTGGCAAGGATAATGAGGGCTGGGCCAAGGAGATGAAGGTCCGCGGCATTTAGTAGAGGCAGCAACAACTCAACGATCTGGGACTTGGTCTGGCCATCCAGCTGCTGTCGTGAAAGGGGATTTAATGCCAGCGTTCGAAGAGCAGTCAAACTCGCACCGCGGAGAGCCCGACTAGCTTTGCGCAACTGGGCGCCAAGCTCCAGAGCAACGTTTCGGACCCATTTCGCGGACAACTCGTTGTGAGCCTTTGTGTGAGCAGCTATCGAGTCGATTGCTCGAACAGATGCAAGGCGGGTGAGCTCATTCTTGATGCGGTCGGCCAGCAGCTCCAACCCAGCAGCTCGCTTCTGGGGCGCAAGCAGGCCGTCGGTCCCAGAGGTTCTTCCCAGGAAAACGCCAAGTACATGGATGGCGCTCTGTCGAACGTCGAGATCTGCGTCATTGGCTGCTATCCGGTTCACCAGTGTCTCGTACAATTGCTCCAGGTCTTGTTGATTATACGATCCAGAAGCGGCAGACCGGGGCGGTGTGAGAGCCTTGATGACTTGCTCGCTCGCGGCCAACGCCTCAATCGATAGCTTGCTGTATTTGTCGCGAGCCCCGAGGAGAAGGGCGGGCACAATCTTGGGAAGATATGGCTGAAGCGAAGCAGACGGATGGGTATCTGCAATAGCTCCAATGAGCTGCAATGCCTGGATGCGCAGGCTGTTTGCCGTAGCTGAGGTCGTGCTGGTCGCGCCGCCGCTAGTCTTGGCGGTTTCCACAATAGGCCCGGCGATCTGGCTGAGGTAACCGTCCAAACCCCCGCGCTGAGTGATGACGATATTCTTGAGCAAGGCGACACATGCCTGCTTGGTCGTCGGCGGGGAAGACGATTGCTTGAGAAGCTGTGACACGCCTCGAATAATCTCTGGGCTGAGTTTGGCCAGGCTTGCTCGCGGACCGACAGGTGGCGTGCCAACGGGTGCAGGGGATGCGTAGCCCATGGAGATGGAGGCACTGCCATGAAGGTCGAACATGCTCGCGTCGCTACCACCTCGGCGTCGCTTGCGGCTAGGGGGAGGCATCATGGTGCCACCGGCGGGATGCTCGTCGGCGAACTTGACGGGTATCGGGCCATCGCCGGACTTGCGAACCAGATTCGAAAGCGTGGATAGCACCTCTAGACGAACATTCTCTTCTCGCTCCTTGAACCGGGCGACGAGAGCGGGTGCAACGCGATTGTACAGGGTTCCGTCGTCTAGCAAGTCGCCATTGCTCCGCGTAGAGATAATTGTGTACAGCACCTTAGCAGCACAGCGCCGAACCTTCCAGCTTGCGTCTTCGTCATCATCATAGCCCGCTTCCTGTTCAAAGTCATCGTCCTCAAGCGCGTCCTCTTCATCGCTCTCCATTGCCTCGTCGTCATCATCTTCAGCAAGATTGGGGTCGTACTTCAGGAGGCGCGTCGCGGCCTCAATTGATTCGTCCGTGTAGGATCGCATGTCGTGCGAACAGGAAGCCAGGAAGCCTTCCAGAGCAATGAGGGCGGCTTCCAGGACTTCGTCGATCTCGGGGTCACGCTCGGACTCGTCATCCGATGTCTCCATTTCCTCGTCCACCTCTTGGGCGCTCAGCGCGCTCAACACGAAAGGTGCCAGTGTCTTCAGGTATGGGCCGAATTTGCGGGGTATTGACCTAGCCATGGAACCGAGTATAGTGATGTACAGCTTCCGCTTGCTGCGTGTCAGATGCACATCACGTAGATGCTCGATGACGCGGGAAATGAAGTTGCTGAGCAGTCCATCGGAGAAGTATCCGGCCAGCGTCGAGACAGCGGTGACAGACTTCTTCTTCATCATAGAGCTCGCTCGCTCGTTCTCAAGGATCTCAAAGGTGATCCTCTGTAGCGCGTTGATTTCGGCATCTTGCAGCATGGGACCGAAACACCGCGCCACTTCGGTCAGGACGTCGATGGCGTTGCTGTCGGTGCCCTTGTCCAGATCCACCTGCAGCATGCCCTTGGGCACACCCGGCAGGTCCTTGCGGGACGGCAAGATGACATTGTATCCCACTAATCGCGGTATCAGAACCTTGCTCACCGCGTTGTATGCATCCTGGACCTGCTTGCTGCGCGCAACACCAGCGACGGGACGCGGCAGCGACACGACAACCTCGCGGAGGGCCAGAGAGGGTATCGACTGGTCGACGGTGTTATCGGTCTGCAAGTTGGACAGCTTCTCGATCATGGGACACAGGATGTTGTCCGGTATCTTGTTGACGAAAGGGCCGAGGCACTTGACCGCCTGGTTCTGCACCTCGCCGTTGCTGTCGACGAGCGTGCTGAGCAGGCCCTCGACCGTCTTTGCGCACGCGACCGCATCGTGGGAGAGGAAGGTCGGGTGGCCGACGAGCAGCATGTCGTGCAGGTCGCTGAGCGCCATGAAGCGGAAGTCGGGGTCGTCATCGTTGAGCTTGGGGAGCAGCTGCGTGACGTTGTGCGAAGTCGGATTCGGCGGCACCGACGAGGAGGGCGCCATGGCGGGCTTCGACGTGTGCGCGGACGCGAAAGACGAGGTCCAGGGCAGGCGGTTGTGTATTCGAATTTGGAGCAGTGGCGGCGTGGCGGGGTATGGCGGGGTTGCAGCAGGCGGGCAGCGGACGCTGAGGCGAGGAGGGCAGAAGCAGCAGAGGGGCGGTGGGTTTAAGTATGGGACGGGGGCCGCAGGCTGGCCGCGGTGCCTGGCTGCACGGGGGTGAAAGGAGCGTGGTGGAGGTGAATCGACTGTGTTGCCTGTTCCTCTCGAGACGGCGCAGGGAGCCCAGACGCACGGAGCCCGCCTCGTACCTCAGTGCCCAGGTAAACCCGCCTTCACGGGGAGAGTCTCGAACGGGTCAAAGATCGTTGGCTACCCAGACTGTTGTGCCAACGCTGCATGTGCGCACTGTCGAAGCATGAGGGGTGGAGTTCCAACCTTGGAAGGTTGAGGCTGCGGCACGTGACCCCCCGAGCTTACGCCGCAGCGCGACCCGGGCGCTCCCACTGACGTGCCGATGATTAACGGCGCCCTGCCGGCCACTCGAATGATCTTGCCGTCAGACCGTCGCGGCTCCGAACATCTCCAATTGCTCGTCACCCGAGTCAATTGACCTCTCTACAGCTTCGCCATGTCCTTCATCCGGTCTGCGGCGCTCCGTGCGTCTGCAATCGCCCGCCCCGCGAAGAAGAGCTTCCGCGCCGCCGAGCTCCAGCCATGGCAGCGCACTCTGCAGCGCAGGACATACGCCTCCGCCGGCTCCCACGGCGATGCGAAGAAGAGCGATCTGCCATGGTGCGTCCGATTCTAGTCACATGCATTTGCCCTGGCTGCGTCTGTACGAGCTCTCGCTGACGGCATTGACAGGATAGTTTCGGCTGTTGCTGCAACCGGCGTCGGCCTCTACTTCGTCATCAACCAGGACCTGGGCGGCCACGGCGACGCTGAGCACCACGCCGAGCACTCCGAGAAGCACGCCGAGCCCGAGGAGAAGGAGGCGGCGCCGGCAGAGGAGGAGCCCAAGGAGGCGTCTAAGAGCGAGAACAAGGGCGAGGAGAAGAGCGAGGGGAATGCTGAGGCACCTCCAGACAAGAGTGACGAGGTTTGTAGATTGCAAAGGTTCCTGCACGCTCCAGACTAACAAGTCCAGCCCAATCCTCGCAAGGAACCCAAGAGCCAAAACGAGACGTCCGGCAAGCAGGAGGGCATGTCCAACACCGACACCAAGCACACCAGCGAGATATCCAAGCAGGACGAGAAGAGCAAAAAGGGCGAGGGCGTCGCCGAGTCGGCCAAGCTCAAGGGCACCGTATCCACCGAGCGACCTGGAGTGAGTATGCCCGCCTATGGTTAGATGCAGAACTGACTTCCAACAGGCGGAGAACAAGGAGGAGCGTGGAAAGGCCCAGCAAGACAAAAGCCAATAGGCCATCAGGCCGACCGCCTCTCCCAGCTTTTCTTAGTCTCCATAGCATCTATGCGGCCGTTGCGCTGAACGGCGCTCCCTGTACATTCCGGCAAAAAAATAGCTTCGTCACCATCTCGTGCACCTTCCAGCTGTTGTGTCATGCCCCACGTGTGCTTTGCCGGCTGAAACTCGAAAAGCTCTTATCGATAGCTGGGCGCTCTCGTCTAGTCGGAATATAGTTGAGATCGGGGAGCGCATTCACCCGACACCAGAATTGACCATCCCACAAGCGCCCATCTCGCGCGCCTATGCTGAGCTCGACTGCGATCCATACCGCTTTCTGCCCGTGTCACCAGCATCTCACCAGACTTGCACCCACCGATCCAAAGGGTCCAACACCGCTGCCAGCGCGAGATATACGAGCGCGCAGGCACGCAAGGGACGTCGTTGCTGATGCGTGGCACTGATTGGCAGATGCAGCTCTCCGCACGGGCGCACGCGGTTCCTGGTCGAACTCTAAGCGCCCGGAATCTGCACGGAAACGTCTCCACATCTGCCGTCACACTCGAGTGTCCAACACCAATTGGCCACACTGCGCCTCGCAGAAGCCTCGACGAGGCACTGTCCAACGGCGACCTCGCCGCAGTGTTCAAAAACAGCACTCGGTGAGGTGCATCACAGCCAAGGACCAACCACAATGGATGCTTCCAGGCGGCTCGGGTGCAAAGCTATCTTTTTGATCACTTTTCCCCTCGCCCCTCTCATGCATGTCTTGGATGCTCCTCTGGAGAGGAGGATATCAGCCCTGATAGCCCCCAGCTGCCTTGTTCTTCGCAGGTCTGCTGTTGCTGAATTGCTGAACAGCGATCTCTTCTTCTTTACACCATACGACTACTATCGTTGAGCTCCTTGCACTGCGGCTGACGACATAGGCTGGACGACCTCAGGCTGACGCTTACGGACCACTGCTGCGAAGCTAGCTGTAGTTCGACGTAGGTGCATTGAGAGAACGAGGAGCGAGACACGGGAGGAGGAATTGACGCAAAATGGTGCTTCCTCGACAGAATCGACAACCACGAAGCGGCGAGCGACAACACCAAAGATTCTCATGGCAGACTCCTCCACACACCCCGCCGGAAGAGGCCCAGAACCCCAATCAGCAGCAGCAACAACACCAATACCAACAACCTCCACAGCTCAACACCGACCTGAGCGGCCAGCAACCGCACAGCCGAGCCTTCTCCTACGCGCAAACGCCCGCAGAGCATCTCGCATTCCAATACATCCCGTCGCCGACCGAGCAGCCTCCTCTCCCGCGCTCCGTAACGCCAATAGATCCCCGCCCTCAGTCGATCTACACCCCGCATAATAATCTTCCGGGTCAGCCGCAGACACAGGCCGCCCACGCGTCGTCTCCCACGCATCATCAGCGTCATACCCAAGAGAGGCCACCTCTCTCCCCACTATCGCCGCACGATCGCTCGAATGCGCTGGTTTCGCCAGTCTCTCCGGTCGCGGAGCCGCAGAACGTATACCACACACAGCAGCAGCCCCATCCACAGCAATACGCTCAGATCCAGCAAACCCACCATTTGCGCAATCTCTCCAACCTTGTCCCGATCAATACCAACGTAGCCCAGCAGCGCATGCCCCCGATTCCCGCAACACCGCGCTCGCACAAGTCGCAGGCATCACCGCTACCCAACAAGACGCCTATCACACCCATTTCCCCTCCTCCCTCTTCAATCAAGAAACCAGACACCTCGCCCGCCGGCTACCCGCTCCCCATGTCCGCGAACAGCCAGAAATCCTCCTACGCGCACGAACCCTACTCCCCGCACGGCTTCTCCTCCCGCAACACCGGGCATGCTGTTTTCAGCCCCGACTCGGCTCACGGGCCCAACGGGTTGGATTTCTCCCTGCATCGCCCTGGCCAGATTGCGCATCCGAACATGGATCTCTCCGCTTCCGGATCAACACACGAATGGAAACACACGCTCTGCTCCTGCACGCCCAACCCTTCCGACTGCCTCACCGGCCTCCTATGTCCATGCATCCTCTACGGCCGCACCAGCTACCGGCTCTCGCAGAAATCCTCCAAAAACGACCCCACGGACCTTCTCTCCTACAGCGCCACGAACGCGCACTGCATGCTGATGGCTGTCTCCTGCGGCTTCTGGTGGGTGTTCCCGCTCGCGCAGCGGATACGCATACGACACGCATACAAGCTCGAGGGCGGCATGGCCGGGGATTGCGTGAGGGGCGCGTGCTGTTGTTGCTGTGTGGCGCTGCAGAATGAGAGGGAGGTGCGGGAGCGGGAGGAGAGTTGCAGGCGGTGGGCGGGGCCAGCGAGTCAGGAGGTGTATCAAAGTTCGCCGCAGATGGTATATTCGCCGCAGCGGTAAAAAGTGGAAGCGTGGGAGAATATGAGAGTTGAGTGAGAAGAAACGGGACGAGAAGTATGGATGGAGGAGGATGCTGCACTCACTATCTTTACGATACCCCAGCTACGTTCATACGATCACGAGTATATAGCCATGTCATTTCATATAGCAATATTGTGCTACGGCCGGAATCTTGAATCTGCGTCACTTTTCTGATCGTGCTAAGGCCTTAACCCCTAGTCCTTAAAACTGGTAATGTGGCAATTAACTCTGTGACTTTTATGCCCACATCCACGCCTATCTAGACGAATAACTGATAACAACCCCTCAAGAACTCCACTCCTTAAAGCTCTTCTGCCTCTGCCGACTATTCCACTGCAACGTCCGACTAATGCTATCGATCCAATCCTTGCTCTTCCGATCCAACGGTAGCACACTCGGAAACGGGAACCGGCTTGCACTTATCGTGACATAATCGCCTGGTCTCAGCTCGACTCTTTCCCTGCCGTCGAAGCTCGCCCACGAGCTGGTTCGCGCGTCGTACGGCACGCCTGCACGGAGGACTATAGTGTCAGGAAGGATGATGGGGCGGAAGGAGAGGGTATGTGCGCAGATAGCGGTTACGAGGATGACGGGGTTGTCCGGATGGCAAAGGGAGCCACCGGCCGCGAGGTTGTATGCTGTTGAGCCGGTAGGCGTGGAGACGCAGACACCGTCTGCTTGGACGGTGGTGAAGTGCTCATCATCGCCAAAGAGCTCGATGCTCGACATGGTGGGATTTGGCCCTCGGTCCACGACCACTTCGTTGAGAATATTATGCGTGCCATCTGGTCTGTGGGTGTGATGGTCCTCGCTCTCTTCTCCGATTAGTTCTTCAACTAGATCTCGCGGGCCATTGTTGCGGTTTTGTGAGCGCATGATTGTGGCTTCAAAGCGCAGGCGGAGACTGACGGTTATGCCTTCTGCGAAGGCTCGCGAGAGGGTTATGGGGTATTGCTCGTAGTCGAATTTGGTGAGGAAGCCAAGAGAGCCTAGCGAGAAGGCCAGGACCGGCGGTACAATGCGCTGGAAGAGCCAGGAAGCATAGAGAACGGTACCGTCGCCTCCAAGCTGCAGAGAATTAGCCGAATGGCGCCTCTTAATACGTATGAGCATCATACCGCCAGAACGATATCGAAAGTCTGCGGCTTCTCAGCGCACAGCTCGTTCGTCCAGAACCTCAGCCTCCCACGATATGACGGATTCTTGTCCAGCAGCCCCGACGAATCGAACAGCTTATTATTCTCCAGTGTCTTCTCCACATACACCCTATAATTCGGATCCTTCGTCAATAACCAATCCGTTGTCTCCCTCGTATGCCTAATCAACGTCTCATCATGCGCCTTAGCCAGAATAAAGATATGCCGCACATGCATCAATATCTTAATCTGCGCAAGCTTCTTTGACAGTTCTCTTATGCCAAATGCCATGTCTGATATCTGCTTCTTCGTCAAAAGTCGCGAGTGGTTCGACTGGTCGGCATGGTTGTGCGGGTCTTTGTCCATTCGGCGCTCTTGTGCCAGGCCTTCGTAGGACGCGTTGTGGTCCTTGAAAGGGACCCCATCGTGCTTTTCGAGGAGTGTGTGTACGAAGCATTGAGTTTTCCGACGGCCGTTCTCGGGGCGAGCGGCCATAGAGGGAACGAGAGAGGACTTGCGGCGGTGGATGGCATCGTGGTCGAAGACTACCTGCACCAGTGCGTTAGAAAGGCGGCGCCAAAACAGTTGAGGCAGGACGCACTTCTAGAGCATCGTGCCCATCCTGATCGCTATTTACGCTGTGTAGGCTCTTGTTATCGCGATCGGCAGGATCTCCCTCAGGGCGGATGTTAGCATCGACGAGAATGTATGACGTTGGGGCTGTAGTACCTCGTTCACGATCTGGACGTCAGGACTCCTGTCCCCGAAATAGTCTGCTGTAGCCATTTAATCTGAAGAAGAATAAAAGCCGGCGACTGCGCGGCGAGCGGAAAGAAGAATTGTTTTTGTAAAAGAGAAAGGCTCACGGCTGAGGTTGCAGCTGTGCGTGGTAACGCGACTCTCGCGTGGGGCGAACCATTCGCTGTTGCCCCGCACTGCCCAATCAAAGCTGCGCTCGGGATGACATCAGCGGCCTCCGGTCCTTACTCATCTCCATTAGATTCAATGATTAATGAGCTCTGGGGAGGGGCTGCAGGCGACGGTGGTTTCCTGTGCGACAGCTTGCTTTATAGCGGTACTTCCACCGACTGCAGCACTTCCTCAATCACGTCCTCAACCGTTACCCCCTCAAGCACTGCCTTCACAGCATCGAGCGAGCTCCCCCACTGCATACTACGCTCATTCTCCGGTGAAGCGATCGCGATCCTATGAGGGTAGATCTTTCGAGCGGCAAGAGCGACCAAAGACGGCGTTATATACGACAGATCATGAAGAGGCGCGAGCGCGCTAGACGTGTCAGCTCAATCGCCGTATTGGGGATTGTATTAGGGAAACATGAGCCTACCGCGAAAGTATGTTGAAATGACGGGTAGCCATCGCCGATATGCCTCCCGCTACTGCTCGGTGTAATCTCATGAAGACCACAATGTTGTGCAGATATGCTCGCACTTCAGAGCTGATCTGAACCTTCTTTGTCAGTGCAGCAAGTTGACTAAGATCCTACTGCAATTAGCCCTCAAATCCACACCTAGCGAAAATACAGTCATACCTCCTGCGAGAATACTAAAGATGATGAGTTTCTCTTCTCGAATGTTTCAGGCGGCGAGTGGACAACAGACGACGTAGATGCATCATCTTCGGATACTGGCTCCTTCTCTTGAAGTTCCTGCAGGTTTGGGAACCTATCGTCTACTTCATGTTTGTGGGAAATGAAGAATTGGTCATTCTGCCCTTTGTGAGCACGGAATCCAGCAGAGCATTCTGAAGCGTACCAAATGGGTCGCTAACCGGGCCGATTCGCTCTCGTTCAAGGCAATGAACAAGAACGGCCTCGGCGCAGCATGTACAGCAGTCCTCGTGTAGTTCCGCTTACCTCGGATAAGCTGAATGGCGCGTTAGTCAACACGGTCGTCGAAAGGTTCTTGGTATCGCGGTACCTCTAGAGCTTGAACTTGAACCTGCTGACTTGCTTTGTTCAGATTCTTTGCAACAACGACGTTCGCGATCCTGCGACTATCCAATGGAGTAAAAGGCCGAGGAGGCTTTGGCATCCGTCTGTCGTATAACCTTGGTGAACTGGAATGCGCAGAGAACTATCGACACCGTGAGTTCATGACTTGCACGCTAGCGGCTAGTATGCAATTACTTCGCTTTTGCCTTGTTCATGTCTTCTATTGAAGTAATCGTCTCTTTCATCTTTGGCCAGAATGCCAACGCCAAAATCATCCACCGTCGTCGTCTCGGAGCATTCGAGGACCGCCCACGTGAGCCCAAAGACCTTGAACGCGACCTATGATGATCAGTGTACAATGTCTCACCGCACATTTCCACACATACCAGCCTCAGTTCCTGATCCAAATCATGGAGCAGTTCGTTGTCCGTCTCGATTATGCAGTGTTGGGCCGTAATTAGGCAGAGGAGCACGGCAAGCTCGATGTCACTCAGAGCCTGCACTCTCTCCGCTATATCATCGTCCGCCTCCTCCATGAGTGCGATCCTGATGCGCTGTTGCGCCAGCTCACATTCTGAGACGCGAGGTAATAGCGGAGGCTAACAACGAAGGAAGCTGGAGTTTAGACGAGGAGTGTTGTTCTGTGCCAAGGTTAAGATTGTGATCAAATGCGGATACACTAGTCCTAATCAGGCAAATCGTCATCGAGACATCTCGCTCTCCTGAGGATCTTGTTTTGCTATAGTGCGTAAAGAGATAGAGTGTTGGAAAAGAAGGGAAATTGATAGGAGAGAGGGGAAGATTTTGGGACGGTGGACAGGATAAGGTGCCGCTGACTCGGCAACCTTGGAATTCAACATCTTCCCGGTATTAGCCGTCCCGTCCAGAAGAGCAAAACGATAACCGCCAAGGTCAAGAGAGTGGAGCTTGTTCCTTATTCAGTCCGTTACGTCTTCGAGCTTTTTGCCGACAAACGGTGACTTGTATGGCTTTCGGAATGGGGTCTGTGTGCCTTCTTGTGGTCTGCCTGTGATCCTTGAGGAGCATCACTGTAAGATCCTAAAGTTGCGAGCCAGTACCTTTGGACGCCTGGGTCGTTCGCCTTCTCGAGCGGCAGATCCGTAGCGTGCTCCTCCAGCCTATATCTGTCGTACTCGAAATGGTGGTTTGCGTTCTCACCTCCTAAGTCGCTTCCCGTTCTGTCAAGACGGCTGCTTTAGACTCTCAATATCGTATAGTGCACTCTAGCATCCACATTTTCCGATATCTGATGGCATATTCACTATAATGTTACGTCATTTGAGATCGACGCCGCAGAGCTGCAGCGTCACATGCATAGCACGACCTCAACACCGCCCGCTTGGTAAAGCTAAGGGTGGTGCAACCACGAGACTTTGGCAGATGCGTGCAGTGGTTGGATAACCACGGCAGGTTCCACCCACGAAGTAGGTCTGGTTTGGTGTCAGAAGTCTGGAAAAGCGCTTTTTTGTGCACAAGCCTGACCTAGCTGGCACAAGGTTGGTCATTTCAAAGCCGTTCAGTCGCCCACTCAAACGAGTTTTTCGCCCTGCCCACACCCGACCTACCTTCTACTTTGATTTGCCCGCGGTTGTCTTACATTGCTGTTGCGCAGATCGCGAAATACGAAAGTGTGTTCCAGCATGTCTACATGTACTTCATATCACCCCAGCGAACCAAACCCTCCGTCCATACATATCGAGTCTTCTGGTTCAACGCTGCTTCCGATACAGAAGTTCGGTTGATATATGTTGTACCAGGCCGAAGAAACGCATTCAATGGTTATGTCGCTCCGGCTGTTAGCGTCTTGCGTAATCCCACACGGGAGACTAAAAAACACTGCAACTTCTACCCGTGTGCATGCACGATTCAACCTTTTTGCATCCCTCACCATGCCTACTCCTTCTGTTCTCTCAGTCCTTGCGCCAGCGCCACGAGTACTCAGGTTCCCAAGCCCTGGAGACGGCACGTCCTTCTTGTCTATACACTTCGACGCTGGTTTCTCGAACGAAAACGATTGGTCAGGAACAATGGACCAAGACCTTTGACCAAAGATGCAATATCGACCGGAATAAGTTCTGTTTGTGTTTTGTCAAGAACATCTAATCTAGCTCTTCTACTGCATGCGCGACTCAAACAATCGGGTCGTCCTCCACGAGAACGCTGCTCGAAAAGGAGAGAGTGCAATACTTCGCCCACCAGTCATTGCCGGCATACCAGAGCTATTCGGAATGACCGTACCGTTAGTAACGTTTGCATAATTCAGCATAATAGAAGGTGACTCCCCGCAGCTGAGTCGGGCTCAAGGTGGTACACCACCGCTTGGACGCATGTGCCCTGACTGAGAAGCCATATTGCTCTGAGCCGGACATTTCCAATGCAGACTCTAGCGTTATCCGCCTCTCAAATCAAACCTAACAACTTGAAGTTCGGATGCTCATCAATGCGGCGCAACAACAACCGTTAGACAGACCACAACTACCCGCGGCTTATCCAACTCACTTAGTCTGAGGATTCCAACCCTGTGGAGAGACTCACCTGTTCAGAAGGCCACCTCCAACTAGTCCCAGAAGCCCCACAATTCGAGGTGTAACCTTCCGATAACCTGGCAACCCGTATAAGCAATAACTTACTTCAGCCCATGCGGGGCTGGAAGATGGTCCCGAATGCTCGATCGAAATTGCGCTCGCGTGTCCGATGCAGCCGCAGGGTACTAGACTTCTAGGTTCACCGGATCCGGGAATGGAGCCAAGACGGGCAATCTATAGTTGATTAGATCGTGTGAGACGCATTTTGAGAAGTCGCCGTGAGCTAGAAAACACACAACACTAACGTAATACAGATGAACGTATTATCGCCGCGCACCTTGGCTGCTCGCATTGCTCGGTTTCATCCAACTTTTATGGTCGGAATCATGCCCAAGTGATAATAGGTTCAATTCGGCTCGGCCTCGTCGCGAAGAACATACGAGCGTACTGCGTATGCCAACGAGCAATGCCCACATAAAAGGGTGCTGTTTTCGCGGACGGAAAGAATGCCTTCAGTTCAACCTCTCGCTCCTCATCCATCGGCTGCCCATAGAACCTTTTGACAAATACCTTCTCCCTCTTTCCACCATGAAGTTCCCATCCAGCATCATCCTCGCTCTCCTCCCCCTCGTCCTCGCCAACCCCATCGCCGAAGCTCCCGCTTCAGCAGATGGACCAGCCGCCATCCCATTCGGCCAAGTCGACGGCCTCATGAGACGCGAATCCTGCAGCGTAACGGGCAAAGGCGGGCTCAATGTACTCCATCCCATCATCTGCTCACCCCTACCCCACTGCTGACAATCGGTCCAGGGCAGTGGAACTTGCAAGAACACTAATTACTGGGACTGCAATTATGTCAGTGTGCCGGGGTTCTGTCCGGGTAAGTTGTCAACAGCCACATAATATACCTATGTGGGGAATGCGTGGCTGATTGTTTGCAAATAGGTCCGTCGGACTACCAGTGCTGCCGTAATATTGCTTGCTCGGGGAAGTATTCGGGCTGGACGTGCCGGAATACGTACAAGGGCTGCGGGTCGGGCTCGAAATTTGTGACGTATGTCCTCCCTGGCCTTTTATTTGATCGTAAGGGTGTGAGCTAACGGATTCCTTAGTGGATATTGCCCGGGCGATGAAACCATTAAGTGCTGCGTCCCAAGCTAGAGGCTGAGAGATGTGTCAAAGTAGGAATGATAGAGAAAAGTACATACCGAATATGAGCATATAAAGGCATTCTGCCCGTGGTCTGAGTGAGCACTCTTTCCTATTTACGTGAAGGTTTTCACAGAGTAATCCTCGCTTCGTATAACAGTGATATCGTCTCATTCTGATTCTTGCGCCGGTACATATGGACCGACATCTGCAGCGGAGCAAACTGAGCCTGCGTATCATCTTCATTCTGGTTGTCGAGAAACACTGACGGAATGACGACCTAACGAATAATCCCGCCACCTCGAAGCCGCTTAAGAGCATCATGCGCAGCAGCCTGAACTAACGAGGACATGGCTAAGTAACCTGTATATGCTTCCGTGTAGGCCCGTGGTCATCAGGGCAGCCGCTGGCGGATGCCGAGGAGATGGTCCTCGCTGGGGAATTGGTGCATGTTTAGGAGGTTTCTAGAGGCGTTTGAGTCTTCAAAAATCGACCCGGCTTGGTGCGCGATAGCGATGGTACACTTATAAGTGACATGTATGCGGTTAGAATGAACGAGCAAACGAGCCGAGTCGAATGTGCTTATGATAAGTCAGTTACTCCAAACGCGAACTCGATGCTAAGGGACAATGCTTGCGGCCGTTGATCAGTTAAATGTTTGTCTTGTAATCTTGCTGGCATACTCCTCTATGGTCAAGGCAGATCATCCCTATCTAAGTCCGGGTATCATATAAACGTTCAAAATGTCTCGTGGTCTCGTATTTTTCGTCATATGCGGCCAGCTCACGCCGCCGCTTCCTCCGCAGCTTCTTGCTGCCGTATTTGCGCTTCTAGCTTCCTCTTCTCCGCCTGCTTCTGCTTCAACCGAATCATTGTAACCTCCTCTAGACTCGGCGTCTTCGGCGAGAAAGAGAATTTCGGTGTACCAGGCGCACTGCCAAAGTCTTTGCCTAGTCCTCCTGTGAATGATGCTCGGAAGGACTTATTCGGCGTCGCAGCTGGCGTCGACGGCGCCGAAAACTCTCCATTCAGTGGCGACTTGATCTCTGGTTCCTTATTCGCCCACGTTACGGATTCGAGAGACGGATAGTCTGCTTTCCCGTCCATGACAGCAGCATGCGCATGGTCGAGCCTCGTGTAGACGATGAACATAATAGCGACGCGTTTCTTGTGCCTCTCGCCCTCAAGGCGGATCTTCTTGTCCTTGAACATGACGGCGCTGTCAATCTTGCCGTACTTCTCAAACATCTCGGTGACCTTCTCTTTGTCCCACGTGAACATGTCGCCCTCCCGTTGGAACCGTACTCTGACTGTGCGATCAATCTCCGGGGTCTGTCCGGGTGCAGGCACTTGCGCCGTTGGTTCGGCTTCGGGACTCGGCTCCATGAAACTGGCTTCCTCTTCCTGGCGCTGCTTTTCTAATCTTTCTTGCTGCTCCTTCCGCCGCCTCTTCCCGTCCTCGGCTAGTCTTTGAATCTCCGCTTCCCTTTTCTCCTGCTCATTCATTTCCTCGGCCCGCTTCCTTTTTAGATTCCTCATAGCCGCCGCGCCCTCGCGCTCCCTCCGCTCCAGGTCCTCCTTCATCTTTCTCCGTCTGCCGTCCAGCAGTTCATCCTGAAGAGCCCGCTCACGTTTCCGCTGCCGCTGCCTGTCGTATTCGCCCTTGAGCTTTGCATCGAGCAGGATGTCGCGTGCTATTCCGAGCCAGATGAACTTGTCGGCCGCCTCCTTGTCATCGGGGTTCTTGTCGGGATGGCACTTGACTGAGGCTTTTCGGTATGCGCGCTTGACTTCTGCCTCTTCCGCATCGAAGGCAACCCCGAGGAGCTCGTAGAAATCGTCGGTTGCGGATTTGGCGACGTCTTCGAGGTCTTTGTTGTTGTCCGTCATGGTGGCGGCGGGCAGCGGACGCGCTACTAAGTCTCGTCGAGGTTTGTTGCGTGCGAGCTTCTCTTAGAGCTGCGGGCCTGGTGGGAGTGGAAGGTGGAAAGTGGCACAACAGTCCAGGCTGCAGGGAAGCATTATCGCGGATCGGCCACTAGCGCGCCGCCGCAGCCTTGGCGTTCGGAACATTTTCGGAAAACCTTTGATTTCGTCACTACTGTGCCTGTAGGTCGAGTGCTCCAACCCTCACCCCGGATGTCACTCGCTTCCTCCTTCACTCGCACCGTAATGGCTTCTTCTCCCAAGGAAAGCCGCAAGGTGCTGGAGGGCATCTTCGGTAAGCTAATTAGTATCTGCACTCAGATTCCACGCAGCAGCTTTCTGGAAGCCGTAGAGACTTTCGACGCCTGACTAACTGCAAGCAGCTATCAATAAACCCCAATGGGCCTCCTCCGCCGGCGTTCTCCGCGACCTCAACACCCAGTTCGACAAGTCTTCTCTCTTCGCTCCATGGCTCACCCATACGCGCCGTAATCTCATCGTCTCCGGTGCCAAAAGAAGGCACATCGATAACTTGAAAGTTAAACTCGGCCACGGCGGTACACTCGATCCCCTTGCGACCGGCGTACTCATAGTAGGCGTCGGCAGAGGCACAAAATGTTTACAGCGGTTTCTCGAATGCACGAAGACCTACGAGTGCGTGGTGCTGTTCGGCGCGGCCACGGACACCTATGATGCGGTTGGTAAGGTGGTTAGCAAGGCGCCGTACGAGCACGTCGCCAAGGAGCTGGTGGAGGAAAAGCTGGCGCAATTCAGGGGCAACATCATGCAGAAACCGAGCGTCTTCTCAGCATTGAAAGTCGATGGCAAGAAAATGTACGAATACGCGCGGGCCGGAGGCGAGATCCCGGAAGTACCCGCTAGACCAGTAGTAGTCCACGAAATGGAGCTCGTAGAGTGGATGGAACCTGGTACGCATGAGTTTGGATGGCCGAAAGAGGAGGTAGACAATACAGAGAAAGTGGGCGCGGAGAAATTGATGGGCATCCGGAAAGAGGAGGTAGACAATACAGAGAAAGTGGGCGCGGAGAAATTGATGGGCATCCGGAAAGAGGACGCAGAGGCTGCGGCACAACGGAAGAGGAAACGATCGCGGACACCGGAACATAAATCGGACGAGCTTGTTACAAACTCGGAGTCGCTTCCCAAGAAACCAAAATCGGAGGACGAACCAGCCATGTCGGGCGCGCTGCCGGTCGAACAGACTCCCGCCCCAGCAGAAGCAGAACCCGCGCAAGCAGCCGAACCAGCAGAAGACACCGCTATGGAAACTGATCTCACGTTCTCGAAGGACTACGATTCTGATTCTTCGCCACAACCGCCTGCGGCCCGCCTCCGCATGACAGTATCATCAGGCTTCTACGTCCGCTCTCTCTGCCATGACCTCGGCCTAGCATGCGACTCGTTAGGCCTGATGTCCTCTCTCATCCGCTCACGGCAAGGCGACTACGAAGTCGGGAAAAACGTGCTCGAATATTCCGACCTCGATGCTGGACCTGAAGTTTGGGAACCCAAAGTCCAGGGCTTTCTCGAAGGTTTTATGCAAGAGGAGGGATGGAAACCCGGCGAGCTAGAGAGCGAGGAGGAGTGGCAGGCCAGGGAAAAGGATATTAGAAGGGAAAGAAAGGAAGATAACAGAGAGAGGAGCTATAAAGGAGGTAGAAAATGGAAGGGGAGGGGAGGGAGGAATTACTGGAAGCATTGAGTAGCTATCTGATGGCGTCCCTGCGCTCGATCGCTAAGCCGAAGCTATCTAGGCGGAGGGCAGTGCAATCACAAAATTCAAGATACCCTTGCATAATCTAAAAGATTCGATAGCAATATTCTATTGCCGCAAAAACCAGACATGTCTCCCATATCCTAGATGCAGGCAGCCATTGTGAACACGCCTACAACGCCTTGCTTTACAGCACCCGCACTCTAATCGAAACTCCAACCCACTATGAAAAACAGTGCTCAAACTGCGGCTCTCGAACTCCGCACCGAGTCTCTCCGACTCCTGATAGAATCTCTTCGACTCTGGAAGGACTCTCTCACACTCAATATAGGCTCGGCGCCCTGTAACCCACTCTCCTCATCCTTCGTATCCTCGTGATTGATAAATATGAAAGAGACGACCATAATAAGTGCGCCTACCCAATACAGTGGGCTACTATATTGCTTATCCAGCACCATCTGTCCGACTAAGCTAAGCGGGATGGTCAGACTAAGACCGACTGTTACGATGAGCGGACTGGTAAGCAACATGCTGTACGCCCAGCAAAAGTCCGATACGAGGGAGGAAGCGGAGTTGACGAGTACGATGGTGAGGATGCGGTTCGTGGGCGGAAGTTCGAATGTCTCGATAGCGGTGAGATGTAGAATGACCATGCCTGGCCAGAGCAAGATGACGTTGAATGTGCCCACGAGACCGAAGAATAGCGGCATGTTCACTTTCGACTCGTCGCCTATCCTTTTCTTCATCAGGACAGCGTAGAATCCGTATAGGACTGCGGAAATGAAAGCCATTATGTCGCCGATGGCGAGCTCGCGCGGTGTCTTGTGCGGGAAGGAGCCGCGGTTCTCGTCCGTTTCGCCGGAAACATCGATGGAGGAGATGAGGATGACGCCGGCGAGTGAAGCGCATACGCCGATGAACTTCCGCAACGTAAAGCGCTCAACGCGGAGCAGAGAGCCGCAGAGGAGTGTCCAGATGGAGGACGTAGAGGCGAGAATTGTGGAGCTGGCGACCGTCGTATACTCCAAACACGCAGCCGCGAAGTAGTTTGCCAGAAACCAGAGAAAGCAAAACTCAAAGGCCAACTTCGCCGTCTCCCATAACGTCAAGCCTTCTTGCGCGTCCTTTAAGCTGGACGAAAGTTCCTGGCTTTCGCCTAGCTCGTCACCGAGGAGGAGGGATGTTGTGCCGGAGTTGCGGTCGGGGCTGGATTTAGAGGTTATAGAGTCGGAGGACTCGTAGTCGCGGAGGAGCTTGTACCGGCCTACGCGGCGTTGGAGAAGGTCTCGGACCTGCGCAAGAATGGGTTCCCGATTTACTGTGTTCTGGCGGTCGTCCCAGGCATGCTTTAGAAGCATAGGTATGAGGGGTATCATGAAGAAAGCGGTGTTTACGTAGGTTACGAAGTAGGGTTTCGAGTAGGAGTCGTCGGCGAAGATAGTCTATGCCTGTTAGTATTCCCGTTCTCGCTCCAGCATTTGAAGAACAGGGTACGCACACTAGCTAGGAAATTCGACGCTGTCCACAGGAAGACCGTGGCCAATAGCAGTATAATTCCAATCGCATGTCTCCAGCGATTGCGCGGTCTCTTGCCCTCGCTCCATACACTAACCACGCTGGCTGGAGATTGTATTGGACTCGATAGGTCGCCATGATACGCGCTGTCTGCGGCTTCTTCGCTCGGCCGCGGCGAGGACGGTGGATGTAAGAGAGGGGACGGGGCCATAGTGCTGAGAAGAGCGAACGCGGAGGCCTAGGGCGGCCGTCGGGTAGACGAGTCGGTGTAAGTGAGGGTCAGGATGCTCGACGGTCGCGCAGCATCTAGAGATAAGTCGCCCATGAACGTTGGAGGGCGAGTGACCTGCGGATCGGCAGCGTGTGCGGCTACGGCAGTAGTGCGGAGCGTGGTGGTGGAGTGTGACCAAGGGATGCAGGAGTTGTTTCTAACATATTCTCGGCGTTCCAACGGCTGCTTCAGGGACCGGGCGGACGTGTCTCGTAAATCGGCATGTGGCGCGATTATTCACGTCATGCGCTAAGCCACGTGAAGAGCCTCAGGCTACACCAAAACGGGCATGCAGGTTTCAATGATTCGTGCTTGTAGGCAGCTGTGTAGGCAGCTATGTAGGCAACTATGTAACGCTCGAAACCCAGACAGGTGGAAGGCGAGCAAAAGGGAGCCTCTCTCAAGAGGTATGCACGACGCCAGACACCATACGCCGCGAGAGGGCCACATGTACCAGTACCGGAATGGACGGTGCGAAAGAGGATACTGTAGGCGAGCATGCCCTTATCAGCACGCGCATCCGCCCTCGTTGCCCTTGAGATCTATCGGGATTGTCTCGGGGAAGTCAGAGTTGAAGTCTCCTACTTCTTCTTGAGCCAGCGCCTGTCGCGCGATAACTGCAAAGCCCACATCAGACAAGAGTCGAGATTAAAGCGTGGCAGACTCACCTTCAAAGGCCTGTTCGACGTTGATAGCTTCTTTTGCGCTCGTTTCGAAGTACGGGATGCCGCCCTTGGATTGGCAATAGGTCATGGCGCGCTTTTGCGAGATCTTGTTGCAGATTAGCTTGAGCCTAATGCAACGCAGACGCTATGAAGCTCACCATCCTCTTGCTCTCCTCCACATCGATCTTATTGCCAATAACGACCTACTTCAGTCAGCCTTGACCACCGGTGAGCTCGGTTGCATCTACGTACGAACGGGAAGCTTTCGGGGTCCATTGGGCTGGCTTGCACCAGGAACTCGTCTCGCCAGCTGTCCAGTGTGTCGAAGCTCTTGGAGTTATTGACATCGTAAACCAGCACGCAGCAGTCGGCGCCCCTGTAGAAGGCGACACCTAATGACTGGAATCGCTCCTGGCCAGCAGTATCCCACAACTATCTTCGAATCAGCTCAGACTCGTTCTCCCGTACCTCCCAGACGCACCTGCATTGTTACCAGTCGATCATCCACGAGAACTTCTTTGGTGAGGAAATCGGCGCCGATGGTCGCTTTATAGCTCGCGCTGAACTTCTTGTTGACCTGTGATGATGGTGTAAGCTACCGTGCATAGCTGGATATCGCGCGAAAGCTCAAGGGATCGCCCAGGGTGGCCATACATATTGGTTCATCAAGCTAGTCTTGCCCACGCCACTGTCGCCGAGGATAATGACCTGCTCTGCTTAGCGCGGCCCGAGAGCCTTTGCATGAAGCTGGTATACCTTGAGAAGGACCTTCTTCCTTGAAGCCATTGTTTTATAGGGCCGGGGTTGGAGGATGTAGGGTGCGGTGCGATGGTTAGAGGTGCGGAGCTCGGCCGTGCCCGCGGCTAGGCCTGTCGATACAGGCTACAGGATAAAGATAGGCAGCAGGATGCGCTGGTAGTCAGCGGTCGGTGAAGCGTAGATCAAAGCGCAGGCGTAGCTTCGCGGGGTCTGCGTAACGGTAGCAGGTCAAGGGTCGTTGGTTGTGGTGTGTCGAAGCTCCCTCCAGCCCAGGGTGTTGATGTCAGTCGGGTTATCGGCGCTAGTTAGAAACGCTAAGCCAAACTAAGTTTAGTACTCTTTATCTCCAGCGCTGTTCCGGAGCCGTGGGAGCGCAAATGTTGGCAACGCCGTGGAGGCTCTCCAGCCCTTATGATGCGAGCGTGACTTTGACCTGAGGGTCTTCTCTAAATCTCTCTGTGCCCTTCCTTGGCTGATCCGCCTGGCCCAAACATGACCGAAGAAACGAAAGACCTGTCTCAGCCCCATCTTCCTCGAGGGATGACTTCCTTTCCAAAGCAAGCAGCGTGCCACCTATATCATTTGCAGCCGGAAGCGGTACCGCAATACTCGGACGCGCCTCGCGGATGACGCAGGGATCCGCAGCCTGGAGTCAGTCTTGCTACCCCTTCCAGCTCTCTGGTCCAGGCTTGACTCTCGCAACTCGTCAGAGGTACGTTATGTTGCGAGCTTCGCCCGATGCATGTACAGTAGGCCATTTCAGCATGGGGAATCCGAGCCAGTTCGATGCCTTGCTGTTTGGCCGGACCTCTGGGCTAGATGTTCTGGTCCCCGCCGCCATGCAGATCTATCTGCAAGCGAGGAAGCATGAGGACACACAATGGGCTGGTTCAGGAAGGTATGCAAAGATCAGAATTCAAAGCTTGATATTGCTTGACATTGCTCGAGATGCAGAATCTCGGCCGTCGCCCAATTGTCTGCTTGACATCCGATCAAGCTTCACCTCGGCAGCGGCGGCGGTACGCTTATCTCTCCCTAGCTACTCTTCCCCCACATCATCCCGACATCATCCCTACAACCTTCCTCCTGCGACTTGGCCCCTAGCGGCAGCTTGCCACCTACCCTACGCCGTTGGCTACGCCTTCGCCGCAGCGTCGCGATTCGAAAACGCGGCGGATTCGCTCTCCGCTATGATTACAACTTCACTGCTTCCCCGGAAACTATCCCTCGCCTCGCGCAAAGCCGGTAGATCCTGTGGTCGAAGCTCTCTGCATGAAAGGCTTTTTGGGGCCCCAACTTGCTCATTCGCCGACGATATATTACATGCTGGCGGCATGTGGCCACCTTCCCCTGCTGGACACTTTCTCCGTTGAAGAGGCGAGATCCTATCCAGGGATGCCGTGGGAAAATCCGCTCATCCACAATGCGACATGCATTTGATTTGCCCAGATCGGCGCATGCGTTTCAACACCTGCTCATTGTGATTTGGCGACTATCGGGGCCGTTTCACGAGCCTGGGGATCGCACTATCCAGCGCATGACTGATGGCTGGGCCCCGATTTGTATAAAGAAGCATCCAGCCCAGGAAGCACATCTCTTTACTGCAGCGTCCATCAAACTTCGTCCAGCATGCGCTCTTTTGTAACCATTTTGGCCGCGGCCGTAGCCTTCGCTGGTCTCACATTCGCTGCACCCTCTGCTAAACTCGACAAACGGTCCTTCGTTGAACGAAATGGAGTGACGTACAATGTCTTTGAACATGCCGCAACTGGCGCCCGGATAGAGTTCGTCAACAACTCTGGCATTTGCGAAACGACGCCCGGAGTCAAGCAATACTCCGGATACCTCTCTGTGGGGACTAACATGAACATGTGGTTCTGGTTCGTACCATATCATTCGTGATACTGCGTATACAACGTGCTGATGTTCTGTAGGTTCTTCGAAGCACGACAGAATCCGTCCACTGCTCCACTTGCCGCTTGGCTCAACGGTGGCCCAGGCTGTTCCTCAATGATCGGGCTCTTCCAAGAAAACGGTCCCTGCAAGTTCAACGTCGGATCCTCCAACACTTCGCCTGTCAACAACACCCACAGCTTCAACAATTACGCAAACATGATCTACATTGATCAGCCGATTGGCGTTGGTTTCTCGTATGGTACCAACTCCGTAAACTCCACAGAGACTGCTGCTCCCTACGTGTGGAAACTTATCCAGGCATTCTATTCATCGTTCCCTGAGTACAAATCTCGAGACTTCGGCCTGTGGAGCGAGAGCTACGGCGGCCACTACGGACCAGAGTTTGCCAAATTTTTTCTCGATCAGAACGCGGCCAATGCAGGCGAGAAGATCAACATCGTCGCTCTCGGTGTCAACAACGGGTGGTTCGACGCTCAGATTCAAGAGCCAGCCTATATTGCGTACAGCTACAACAACAGCTACAAGCCCATGATTTCTCAGTCTCAATACAACAGCTACATGTCCGCCTTCAACAGCAGATGCCTCCCTCGGCTCCAAGCCTGTGCCAAGACTGGATCAAACTCTGATTGTTCAAATGCAGAGAGTGCTTGCTACTCTGCTGTGGAGAGCCCTCTCATTTCCGCCGCCGACTTCGATGTCTACGATGTCAGATCACCCAGCAATGACCCGGAGCCGCCCCAGAACTATGTCAAATATCTTCAATCCTCAGCTGTTGTGAAGGCAATTGGCGCACAGAGTACTTATCAAGAATGCCCGGATGCGCCGTACAACAAATTCCAAAGTACGGGTGACGGTGAGCTCCCTCTTCTCAATACCAAAAAAAAATTCTGTGCTAACAGAACAAGGTCCACGATCCTTCCTTGATGAACTCAGCGATGTCGTCTCCGCAGGAATGACGACCTTGATTTGGGCCGGAGACGCAGATTGGATATGCAACTGGTACGGTGGCTACGACGTAGCTAATGCTATCTCCTACTCCGGCCAGAGCGCCTTCAAGGCAAAGACTCTGGCTCCGTACAAAGTCAACGGGAAGGAAGGAGGAACATTCAAGACGCAGGGAAACCTGTCATTCTTGAGAGTTTATGAAGCCGGCCACGAAGTCCCATACTACCGTAAGTGCACTGAGGAGCCCAAGGAAATCCAGTTATGGCTGCTAACGAATGCAGAACCAGAGCTTGCACTCCAGGCCTTCATCCAGACGATGAAAAAGGGACCTGTTGCTTCGACGTAAAGTATGACGCTCGTGACTTCCGATGCATAGAAATAGAACGTAATACCATAATGCAATTTGCATTCGATAGCGATAATTCCGATTGTCCTGTTTAGCCCAAGGGGAGGCTCACGTGTCGTCTCAAGCACACACATAACCCTGCCCTATTCACATTTACTTTTGTCCGCACGGTTAGCATACCCAGTCTCACCCCTTTCTCCTTCAAGCCCTCGCATGACGCTAGTTTAAGGTCCATCAAATGCGATCCCGAGGCCGCTTCACATCAAGAGCTCTCAGGCTCTTTCGGCTCAAGCCTCGTCTGCACAAACACCGCCCTCTCCACCACAGCTCTCAGCCCCGCAAGGGCCTCTTCGCGCTTGTGCACCGGAGCTCCCTGGATAACACTCTCCTCCCGTATCAGCACGTGGTATCTGACCATCTTCCTGCCCTCCTTGTCTAGGACAAAGTGGACGTTGCTGGGTTTGATGTAGCGTTCTTCGCTCCCATAATTATGGAGGAGCAGGAAGAGGAGGTTGTCTAGAAGGGAGTCAGTGAGGTGTCCTGTAGATCGAGACTTTTGGATGGGGAGGAGAGGGACTGACTTACTGGCGAGCTGGCGTTTTTGGGGCTTTGTGAGGGTGGATTCAATGCTCGGTGTAAATGTGACGCCAGTGAGCTGGAGTAGCCGGCTGTAGAGATCAACGGTATTGCGGGTCGTGGGGTTGGACATGGTGCCTTGGAGTCTTCTAGGACCCGTGTTACAAGCTTGATTTGAGAAGAAGTATGGTGGTAGAAGGCTGGAAGAGGTTGTATTTTAGACAGTTAGGAGTGTTAGTTGGAGAGTCTGGCGCTCAGAAGGTAATTTAATACAGACTGGAAGACATTCTGGGGCTCGTAAAAGTCGGCAAGATGTTGGACACCATGTGAGTGGACTGAAGTGATGCACCGCCTTTTACCCTCCTTTCACTAATGTCATCGCTTCCCAAGTCTTAGCACCACGGTGGCTCGGCTTTCTCCGAACCGCTGCTACAAGATAAACTTTCATTTGATCATTGAAAGCGTGTCGGCTCCTCGTCCCGTGCAGCTCAGCGCATACGTATCCCAGGCGAAGTCCCATCTTTCACCTAGGAACTCAGTCACGGAAAAGCTTTTAAATTGCCTCACCGGCCATCTCCTCACCTCAACCCCGAAACTTGTTTCGAAAACAAAATTTGAGATTTGCCTCGACGACTTCCAGTTCTGCCACATCCTTCCAAACATGTCAACTACGCGAGGTCGGTCGATGGGTATGTATGCGCCCACCAAGGACGTTGAACTACAATATGAGAGCTAGACCGACTGAACAGACAGACTCTATAGACTCGCGAGCGTCAGCGGCTCGAGCGGTGCAGTCCTTTCTCCCCGATGAAGAGCTCCGCCCGCATGCGCCCCTCAACCTTCGTTGGCGCGCCGGTAACCCGCTGTTCGCGCATTACATTACACTCATCGAGCGTGTCCGATGTCTCAATCCGACTCGCCGACTGCAGCTAGCCCATGGGCTTACCTTCAAGCTAGGGTGGCCGTCTCACCTCCGCTCGATCGAGCAGATTCGCGCCGGAGTGAAGCCAGAGCCCGGCTCACGGTGGAGTCCTGAAGATAAGCGGCTGCTGCTACTCTTCCGAGTGGAGTTTGAGATCCCCAATAAGTTCGTCGCTGCCGTGTTCTTTGAGGGGCGGACTGCGGACGAGTGCGAGAGCCAATTTACTCGTCTCCTCCAAGAGATGAACCGCGCTGACAAAGCGCGTGTGAAAGAAGGGAAAGATTTTCTTTGGTCCGAGGAGCAGATGGTGAAAGTGGCGCAGACAAAGCAGCAGGGTAAAGGCTGGGAGGATATTGCGGAGATGTTTTCCGGTAGAGACCCGACCCAGTGCAAGTACGCCTACTATCGGTATTTGTACAGGCGTCGGGAACTTCCGGAGAGGACAGTGGAAGCTACCCCGAGCGAGGCTTCAACAGCAAAACAGCTTCCAGAAGCCGTTATACGCATTAAGGAGCAGACGCCGCCTTCCCAACCACAGACAACCGACGATTTGAAGAGGTGGGACCAAGAAGACCGGGACCTTGTCTTCAACGCTTCACAGAGTGGCATGAGCTCCAAGGAGATCTGGCAGAAGCACTTCTCAAGTCGGACGTTTGGAGCCGTTCGGACGAGGGTGTCTTTCGAGAAGAAGCTTCGAGGCGCGAAATCCAAGGCCAGCAAATGGTCGGACGGCGAGCGTAACCTGTTGCTACGGCTGGTGAATGGCGGGCATGGATTCGAGCAGATCGCCCCGAAGTGGTTTCCGCATCGCACGGCCGAGAACTGTGAGGCGTACTACAAGTATTTGATGAAAGCGAAAGGGCCTACGCTGGCAAGCACGGAGGCGTCTGGAGGCGAGGTGGACGCAGAGGGCGATGTGGACATGCAATCGGATATGGACATAGAGGCTGACATGACAGCGGCGGATAATGACGATGACGAAGATTTTTCCCCAGAGGATCATTCAGAACCAGCCTCGCCTCCCCACACCACACAAAGAACTGCCAGGCGTCGCCGCTCCTCAGCCACCAACGCAAACCCATATTCTGCGGCTCCAAATGCCGACGACGAAGCCTTCCTCGAATCCCAGCGCTCCTCCCTCATCGCCTCCATCGACGTGGAGGAGTTGTCAGCAGGAGAGAAGACCAAGCTCAAGAAAGCTCTTGACGAAGCCGGCTGGCCGAAACGCTTTACATCTATCGCCGACTACCACGCTCCGCCTCCGAAGACAGGAAAATATTGGCCCCTGGAGGATTCGCGTGCGCTCGTAGCCATGAGGGAGACATCCGATTTGAGCTTCCGGATTATCGCGGACAAGTTCTATCCTGGACGGTCGGAGAAAGCCGTTAGGAATCACTATGGGACTTTGGAGAGAGGAGGGAGGGAGTCTGATATGAGGCGCGGTCGGGCTACGCACACCAGAATGTTTCGTCCGGTCTAAGTTCAGATGCTGAAATCTCCCCGAGTCCAACTTCCAGACTGTTCGTCCAGTCTAGGTACAGATACCGAGCTACGACTAAGGGACTCGGTCGAATCATTTTTGTTGAAGCGTAGGGGTGAATAGAAAAATACGTGGCATCTTCCGCAGCGGAGACTATCTGGCGGGGTCTTCGGTATCGGGGAAGTAGCTAGCTTGAGGGTATTGTGAGCTAGCTGGCAGCTTCCGCCTGATAGTAAAAATGCACTTCATACCTCGTAACGAATATGATGTAATCCTGTGGTGTGTGTGGGAATGCGCCCCTAGTGAAACTAGACCACGGCTGTCAAGGGGTAAGGCAGGCTACCATCGCCTAGCGGCTCAGCTAGGCTGGCAATGAGAGTGAAAGCTCATCTGGGCCTTCCTCTGAGAATCTCGAATCATCACGGCCCCCGCAGGATACAACTCCAACCTCGCACTAGACAGTAACTCTGCCTCGCCACCTTCCGGCACCCAACCACAAACTCTGCATCCACCATGCCCAACACCGGCACCGATGTCCTCCACACTCACCTCGTGTGCCTCTTCGACGTCGAATCCCATCTTTCCCACCCCCAACGGGCCCAACTAGTCAACACACTCATCTTCCTCATCCGCAACAAATACACCCCTCTAATCCCGCCACCACACGACTTCAACGTCATCCTTGTCAAAGACGACTTCGACATGTGGCGCATGGATGTAACGCTCCGTGAGCAAGTGGTCATGTTTGGCGCGCCGGTCGAGACGCGGAAGGATGCAATGTCGGGGCTGAGGGTGAGGATTGAAAAGAGGGCCGCACAGGTTGTCAGGGAGAGGAGTGGTAGAGCGAGGGAGAAGGGGGCGGGCGGGAAGGAAAATAAGACGTGGAGGCCGGGGACGGAGGAGAAAGAGAGGCAGCTGTCGTGGGTGGAGGAGGAGATGGGGATGATTCGGGAGGCGAGGGTTGAGGAGGAGCGGGACGTGCAGGCTGCTGCTGATGATATGCGGGCCGTAAGGGTTAGTGGAAAGGAGGAGGATGAGCGCGATGAAGGGCAAAATGAAGGTGCGGAGGACAGCGGACAAAGCTGGAACGATGCCAATGCTAACGACGAAATTGAAGAAGGTGAGGTCGTAGAAGCGACAGCACCTATACGACGGATCGGCAAGAAGAGGAAAGCGAACGCTGACAGCGACGGTCCGCGCAAGAAGGCAAAGAGCGAGCAAGAGGGAGAAAAGGCATTGAAGGCTAGCCATGAGTCAGAGGAGGTCTCGGGCCATTCTGCACAGGGCGAGGAACCTATCAATGAGGCAGAGAAGCCTGAGCAAGCTGGCAAAAGGGGACTGAAAGGCTGGATGGGGTCGTGGTATCGGAGCAGGAGGAGCCCGAGCCCGGACACATAATATCTAAACGATCACTCACCTCTCGAGACCGACTGGTGCTCGGGAAAGCGTTGTATTAATGAGGTCGAAGAATTCTTATCTAGACTCAGTTAAGCATAGTGCTTTCCGTGCTATCTCAACCTCACCATTGACGGAGGGCCCGTGTATTCTCGTTGAAGATTAGCAAGTAATGCATTGCCAGTGATCGAGGTCGTCAAAGCTTAGCAGAGGCTGTGGGATTTTACTCCGCATTGGAAACACTCGCTAATCGTGGAAATGCCTGTTCTTTCGAACTTTTGGGCAAGACCAGCATGTGTGCTTTTGAAGACACTGAGAGTGCTTCCACCCTTCGTACTAAGGCGGCATCATTCTGCGCAGCCAGAGTCGATCTTCCTCCACAAATCGCACAATAGCAATCTCCACGCCTCAAGCGACTTAGAGCCGGCCATTACATTCTCAGAAAACGGTATGCTTATGCATATACGCCGAGTCAAGGCAGACCATACCACAATCGTGCCGGAAATACATCCGAAGGACTTTCAGCATGCGTTACGAGAAGAGCGGCGGGCCTGGAGAGCCGATCGCGGCAACACTTCCGACGCTACGGATAGGGAAGAGCTTCAAGGGGAAAGGACCGCATTCAGTGGCACCGCAACGATGGGTAAATTTTCAGAAGAGGATGAAGCTCACGCAGCACAATTCTGGGAACTCTTCAATACCAAATGTGGGACGGATGATGCAGTACATCCACCATTCTTCTTCATGTTTCTTGGGGTGGAACAAAGGCATGGCTTCTTCATAACGGATGGCGGCTGCATAGGAAGGGGGCTAAGGTGCGTCCGAATCGGCGATGTCCTGGTGGTCGTACCAGGTGGAAAGGTGCCTTTCGTTCTTCGGCCGTTCGGAACGAGGTACCATCTTTTAGGCGAGTCGTGTAAGTAAACAGCCGAATCTCCAGCATTTGTAGAACTAAGCCCAAGCTGCGGATGTCAACGGGGTTATGCATGGTGAGCTAGTACCGTCGATTCAGGGAGGGAAACTTTCCTATATCGCACATTCACGTTGGTACGAAGTTGGTCGCATAGCACCCTCACCGCGGTGTGCCTTCTTCTTGCGAGAAAGGTGCAGATGGTTGAGGCTCTGTTGACGGACGATTGACCTTTCATGAGATAGTCCCTTGATGATAGCTTCAGCATCCATGCATAGGCTCAAGGGTAGGACAACTCAACTCATCGAAAAGAAAAGGCCTTATTCAACAATTATTGTTCAGGGAGAATTCAGCCTCACGCCTGGCTCTCTCCGCCATACACCCTCTTTAATCTAAACCACCCGGCCTCCTGCATCGCTCCATCTGCCACCTTCTCATTCCGCATAATTTCCGTAACATCACTCACCGGCGTCTCCTCGCCATCGAACTCACACAGCCCAAGGTACTGCGGCACCGGCTCTTCTTTCCTCACAAACTGGTCTAGCGTAGTCGCATTGACGACTTTACATCTCCTGATGCGACGGAAGGTGGGTAGCTTGAGAAGCGCCGGGATGACGGATTTTTCATACCAGGCATCGAAGTCGGTGGTCGAAGTGGAGGAGGCAGGTTGTGACGCCCATGAGAGGAGGAATTTCGCTGGCTCTATACTTTCCGCGTCAGCAAACCGTCCAATTCAGCGAATACAGCCATCTCTTCAAAAATTCCAACTCGAATCTAGGATAACGACACAGCACCACATACCTCTCTGGCTCCCCTCAGCCACCTCCTTCGCCACCTCCTCATAAAACCTAGTATCAAACCTCGCCTGCTCAAATACGTCCCTCAACAGCTCCTCGCTCGGTCTACTCTGCCCATCCAACCCCCTAAACTCGTCCGTCAACCGATACCACACATCCGGCATCTCATACAGCGTCAACCAGGGCGCATTCGCCGACCAAGCCTCCGGATCCGGTTGCGGAAAGATGGCTTCGTACCGTGCCGCGCGGGGTACACCGGGGAGCGAGGTCACTTCAAGTATGTGCGTGTTTTCGTACCAGTCGCAGAATTTAGAGGGCGTTAGTGTTGTGCTGGGGGAGGATGGATTGGCGATGCGCGAGGAGACCCATAGAACGCCTGGTGGCATTTTGGAGGACCCACCGACTGAAAAAGGGAGATAGAAGGAAGAATGGCGGAGAGGATGGAGATAATGTAGAGTGCACAGATAGCCTGATGGAATTCAGCACTTCATATGCAGTCGCGCTCGGTTCCGTTTCGAACGGATCGGAACGCGGAGGCTAGACTCCTGGCTATCCTTACCCGGGTCGAACTAAGTAACGAGCGGGTACGCGATCACACTTCCGAAAAGTTGGCCCAGTTAGCTCTCTCATGATCGCAAGGCATACAAAGCTTGCCTCTGCTGCTTGTTAGGTGAATGTGTCTTATCTAGGTTTTGAAGTCGTGTACCATCCGAGAATTGGGAGTCGAGGAGAGCATCAGGGACGCGTACGCGTGGTGTGCTCGGAGCATGACGAGATCGCACCTCTTCATTACGATCGCATACCTGCCACTATGATCGCTCTCTTTCGCTGCAATTAGACCCCTGTTCCCCTGCTCGTCTTCACCCTTCGCATACCCAGGGAGGTTACAGTCCAAATCCAAGCCAAGAAAGATATAGTACAAAAGCCCATCAAAAGAGATGGGCCAAAAAGAGAAGAAGAAACCCAGCCACCCCTGTCTAGCCTCGACCCATAATATGCTGTCTGCAGTGACACAAGCCAACCGCATGGACAAAGCAGAATTAGAGAGAAACGAGATCCCGGACTCTTCGTGAGGTGGAGAGCGCTCGGCCGACGCCTCAGCGGTGTGGCGATTGTTGCTCCAGCGGGAAGCGGCACTGCGAATTGGCGTATTGGCATGAAGCCATCGATTTCTCCGTTCAGCTCTTCTCATAGGACCGATTGTTCTCAAGGACCAGCTTGTGTCCCTGTGCAGTCTGCCAGAAGTCCAAGCTTGAAACGACATCGAGACCCAGCTCATCCTCGTACGCGTAAAGAATCTGTTGTAGATTAGTAAGTATCAAGCTGTTGGCTTGCCCGGGTTGACGTACCTCTCTTGTTGATGTGTGCAACCATCTGATGTTCTTCGCGGTGACAATGTGGACCAGACCTCCGCTTTCCATATGTCTGATCTCAATGAAACTTGGCTCGAAAGCAAGGATGTAGGGATGGAATATCGCGAATGCTTGCGGATTGCCTTCCCATGTGATCCTCCAATCCGGTCGAGCACGCCAACCGTTGCGATTAACAAAGAAGGAATAGTCGGTGTAGCATAGTAGGAATTCGCTTGCCAGACGCTCAATATGAATTGGCTTGATGTTCTCTTTCCGCACGACGAAGTCAAGTGAGGTATCGGCTTGATCGAGAAGTGATTGTGTTTCTAGCGTCTCAAGACTGACGACTTCGAAGCCGCGTGCACAGCCAACGCATAGTTTTGAGCGCAGGAAATGGATCGATGTCGATTCCGTCGGGATGTAGAACTCCTTGTAAGGCTTGAGCTGATCTTGCCCAGTTGAAAGCATCTTGGCAAACCCGGATTTCCTCGACTTGCTGGCCATGTTCTCCTTAGGTTCGAAGACCTTAATAGTCGTGGATAGAGCGGAAGTTTTGACGGAGGCGACGAGTTGCTGTCCGAGACAGATGCCGGCTTTGAAGAAGTTGGCGTGGCAAATCTTCCTAGGCCGCTTGACGATCGCCTGAGTCTCATCGGGGTCTAGAGCTTCGATCGAGTAGGAATAGAGCGTCTTATCCGCCAGAACAAGGACGATCTGATGTTGCTCAAGTACATCAATCTGCGTGACCGCCTTGCAGTCCAAGACACGACGTGGCTTCTGGGAGGAGTCCTTTGGTTTGCGGTCGCCAACGTAGATTCCAGCCTCCGTGCCATAGGCAATTTTGCGCCCACCATCTGGCAACTATTAGCACAGGTCGAGTTGAAGAACGAAGACACCTACCCAGCGGAACCGCGCATGTTACCCTGATTGCGGCGGTGAAGAATCCTTCGTTAACAATAGTTTGCGTAAAGATGTTGCTCCGCTCCCTCAGGTTCCTCTGCTGCGAGTCGATGTGCTCTATCCATTTCTGCTGCGAGATCTGGGTGCTTGCATAGAGAGTTAGCTCGTAGCCGCCCTTTCCGAGATGTTTGAAGGTGATTGGAAAGCCTTGCTGCTTTGCGGCATCCCCCTTCGGCGTGGCGGCGGCTATCGCCCTCGCGCCCATCAAGTTGGCGGAGGGCCGTTTGGAGATGCCCATTTTGGGAATGATTTCTTCCATTTGTGTGATAACGAGGAGCTCTAGCGGGATAGGCTTCTTGTACACCTTCTGTTCTTCGCGTTTGTTGACGGTTTTGACTCGGACGAGAAGGACTGCATGGTCGAAGAGGTAGCAGGTGATATCTCCGGTAGTTTCGGTGGGAGTCTTTTTCAAGGTACCCTTGAACACTAATTGGCGGTTCTCATCCGTCAGCTTCAGGTCGACAAACTCGCCAGGGCGGAACTTAAGATCCCGGTTAAGCTGCATGAGGTTGAAGTGGTTTTCTGCTTTCCCGGACTCCACGTTGACCTTTGACAATGTGTCTTTGATGATCTTGATGGCCTTTGGAATATCTGTCCTATCGGGGTTTTCGTCGGCTGTATATTTGGCGATATTCTCCAGCAGCAATGGATACCTGGCTAGCCTCGTGGTGGGCTTGGTGAGATAACCATTGAGTTCAAGCTTTCTTGACTCCTTCATCCTCTCAACTTCATCGACGAATCGCGAGAATGCGGGGTTCGTGCGCTTCTCATGCTCGAACTCATACTTGCCAAAGAGTTGATTGGCACCATACTTGATGAAAGGAGCAAAGTGCGGCACGTATTCCAGGAAGATATCGCCAACGTTGTGGACAACGGGGTCTTTTTGCTGGCGTCGAGTGAGAGACTCCGCGAGTCTTGAGTTGACCATGTAGACCTCCTGGCAGTTGGAAAAGACCGTCCGGACAAATTTCTCACGGCGGTGCTCTGGAATGGGCGACGTGGCGGGATTTCGTAGAGGCTTCATCCAGAAATCCCTGAGATATTCCAAATCTTTCACGAAATCACGCTCCGTATACATCAGTTCGGAGATGACCTCCTGTCGCTTCTTCTCCTTGTCGGACACGCTCTCTGCGACCTCCTTAGAGACGGTGTTGATCCAGAGCTTCTGCTCTTCATCCGCATCATCGTGCAAGCTCGCCCGTGACTCTTCTCGTTTGAGGCCGGGCTGAGGCCTCATGTTCAAGCGGGCTTGCTGCTCCAGGCGGCGAGGGCAGGCGATGGAGTAGCATAAGCGGTCGCGAGTGCATGTTGGCGAGTAGCACTCTGTCAATAGCGTGAAGACACCATTAACCTCAGCGGCCTCCTCCATCATCGTCTCTCGGAACTGATAGATTTCGTTGGTCGAATCACGCAGCCTGTGCGCGTACGTAACATCGTGGAAAAATTTCTGCGCGTCTAAGGACCGGCCCAAGAGTAGCGCCAAATTGCGATCCGTTGTCTTGATGATGTATGCTATGAGGTCCACCGCCTCAGCCCCCGTGAAAGCGCTCTTGTACACCAACCCATCCTTTTCTTTCTCCGCTAGTCCTATTCGGTCCTTGAACACCTCCGCCACGCGCGAGAGAAGCGCCGGATAGACGAGAGGAGACCTGCGCTGGGAGACAATCATGGCCTGCCCTTGCTGAGACTGGCCAGACCCCCGGTTGTTGCTGGTTACAGTTTGCGTCGAGCTGGGTCGGGTAACCGTAGAACTCATAGTATCGGTACGTTCCGACGGCGCAACGATTGTAGATGCCATAGACATGGTCCGCGATGATTGAGGTATGCTGCCCTGGCTCGTATTCCTCGTTTTACTGCCCGGCCCAACGTTCACAGGCGGAGGTGATCCAGCCGGCACCTGCTGTTCCAGCGGCGAGATTTCCGCGCCTCCTGACTCTCTTCTCCGGTTTGGTATAACTCTTCCGCTCATTGTCTGCGCGTATTCGCTGTCCCGCGTGTAGGAGCTCATTGACATTGTGCGTTCGTCCGGCCGTTCCGGAACCACTCGACCCTGTGCTGTGGTCCTAGCCATGTGGTTCATGTACGGTTGTTGCCGGAAGGTGTTGGCTGGCGACATGTAGCCTGAGCCTGGCGGATTGAATTGAGGGCGCGGCCCAACAGCCATGGACTGCGAACGATAAGAGTCTGAATTCATGGCCGGTCCTGGCCCACCAGGATAACGCTGAGGGATTGGCTTGTTGAATGGGGGCTGGCCGGGAGGAGAAGTGCGAGAATCGAAGCGCTGGGGCTGGCCATACGGTTGGCGCTCTGGTCGAAGTGGTCTGGGAAGATACTGCGGCTGCGGCTGGCGTTGGGCTTGAGGCGGGGGGACCCCATCCGGAAGTCGCTGGCTCGGAGGGTACCCGTTCGGCGGGGCGCGGTTGAAGTTGTCTGGAGACTGGTCGTAGCTCTGAGGGCGCTGTGGGTCGTAGCTGCTGGGACCACGCTGGTCGAAGGGCATAGGAGGCCGCCGATCATAACCGTTTACCGGTTGCCGGATTGGCGGTGCGCGCTGCATCATATCCGCCGTCTGTGTTGACATTGTGGCGGCGCGGTCCGGCGCCCGCATGGGCGTCTGCGATGTCATGGTCTGCGAGCGTCCTGCCATGGCCGGGCTGGCACCGAAGATGTTGGCGAAGGCGGCGTCCCTCGCTCCCGTGGGGTGGCCATAGTTCGGCGGGCGCGCGTATTCTCTCCCCTGTTGATTGCCGTAGTCCGCCATGTACGCTTCCTGGTTCACCGAGTCCTGTAGCTTTTGCTGTGCATCCGCGGGCGTCGGGGGCGGCGGTGGCAGACTTTTCGGGAGGCCAGTTCGCTGCGTAATCGAAAACGGCCGAAGAAGAGGCGCGGGGGAGGAAAGGCGGGAGCGATTGAGGCGTCCGCAGCAGCGCGAGTGCAAAGAGCGTGCGTCGGCGGTGCCGCAGCGGGCGGGGAATGGGGAGGAGAGGAGCGGGTCGAGGAGGGCGACACGGCAAACGGGAGGTGTTGTATGCTCGGAGGCAGGACTATCTCCCTGGCTAAGAGCCCGGCGAGGCGCCGCGGGAACTCCGTATGAGCGACAGAGAGCGTGCGCCGAATGTGGAAGAATGGGAAAGAAAAGTGTTCGCGGAGAGATATGGCGGGTAGAGCAGCGGCCGTCGGTCGTCGCAGGCTCGTGGTGGAGGAGTGCGGTCTTGTTCGTGTCCCAGCGCCAAGCCGCCTCACACGGGGGAACGAGCTGGGGCCTTCTCGTTGACGACCGACGCAGCCTGCCCTCCCAGCGCCCCCTCTTCCCGACTGCAACCTTCGTGACAAGCCGCGAAGCAGCGAGAGACACGACACGATGGAGAACGCACAGGCACCCGTCTTCGCGCCGTTCTTCGGCATGGTACGTCATTCAGCCTGTCGCCAGAGCACAGACTAACAGCGCGCAGAGCGGTATTGCCTTCGCCGTAAGTTTCGACCCTCCCTGCAGCTTGCGGACTCATAGCTAAGCGTTTGCAGATGATCTTCGGATGTACGCCGCTTCCGCATCGCATTTGGGATGGCAAAGGCTAACCGGGCACAGGTGCCGGCGCTGCCTATGGCACGGCAAAGTCGGGCATTGGCATCGCGGGCGTGGGGACGTACAGGCCAGACCTGATCATGAAGGTGCACGCCTCAATCTGGAGCTTCAGCGCGCTAGCTGACGCTCTGTTAGTGCTTGATCCCCGTCGTCATGTCCGGTATCCTAGCGGTCTACGCCCTCGTAATATCCGTCCTCATCGCGAACGACATACGGCCGCCGCCAACTAAGAATTACTCTTTGTTCGCCGGCTTCATGCACATGGCTGCTGGCTTGTCCGTGGGTCTGGCTGGTCTGGCGGCGGGCTATGCTATCGGCATTGTGGGGGATGTGGTACGTCTGGAGCAGCTCAGGGACAGGAGTGCGGTATTGACTCGGACAGGGCGTGCGGGCGTACATGCGGCAGTCGAGGATCTTTGTCGGCATGGTGTTGATTCTCATTTTCGCGGAAGTCTTGGGACTGTACGGGTACGTAAAGGAGATGATGGCACGGTACTTCGTGAGCGCTGCTTGCTGACGCGCTTTAGACTCATTGTTGCTCTCATTCTCAACACCAGGGCGAGCGGTTGAACGGGAGAATGTCCATATCTATGTACGACTACTTGCTGTAAGACACGTTGGCACGAGCATCCAATCTCGGAGCTCTAGGACTGTACTAATTCGGCCTCACGATGGTTTCCCGCTTGGGAGGCTAGGAGACATGATGCATTGTTACCGAGCTTCAGGCCATGTACTTGAGGACTTGTCAGGCACATATACCTGCCGGATTCAAATTAGGAATACAAATACCGGCTTGCAGATGAGGCAGATTTTCGGAAGAAGCTGTCGTGACTCGTACACTCCCTAGAACCAAGGTTCTCTGCGACTTGGGTAGTCATGACACCCGGCTCGAGCGCTGGATGGCCCACACGTCGCTGCCACAGCCTTGCCAAGGGCACGAGCTTGTGCGACGTCGGGAATTCCATGGGGGTCGGTGAGATAATCTCGTGCAGCGCGGCGGGCACTCATTACGGGGTAATTGAATTCGCTCCCGAAACGCCGTTTCTCAGCCCTGGAGTGTTTCGCATTGCACCACGTGTCGACTATGTCCTGCAGGCCGCCAGGCTGGGTGATGGGGAAAACGGAGTCACTGCATACTTATAGACGGCTGAGCGTGCGCGTTCCCAGCCGCGCCGCGACAAAGCCAGCTCCCTGACGCCGCTGAGCGCATCCTGCCCCCACTTCATCCACGCCGCTGCTCGATCCCGACTCCGAACCACCTTCTGACATCCGCTGCTCCATGGTTTAATCTAACGAGAACTCCGGTCGCTCTACCCGCTAGAAGGCCGTCCTCCACGTTTGCCAGGCTACAAGCAAGCAGCGCGCTGCTCGGCAATGTACTAGAAAGAACGACCCGCCCCCGTACCTGCAATCCGCGCGCCCGCCGTCGCCATGGCCGCCGCCGTGCACAAGCTGCTGCACCCGATCGAGCACCACCGCAGCAAGGAGGAGAACTCGCAAAACAACCAGTCCTCCTCTGCGCACGATCGCCAGGACTCGGCCATGGACCGCGCCCGCGACGAAGAGAAGCGATCGCTCGCCCAATGGCAGGATCTGAAGACCCCCCTCGAGCCGGGCCAGATAGACGAGCATCCTGACCGGAAAATGGTGGGCCATTCGTCGGATGTGCTGCGACAGGACGATTTCGAGCTGATCAAGACGTTGGGCACAGGTGCGCACAAGGCGGCTTTGGGACGTGGGCCGCGTGGCTGACCTCATGCTAGGTACATTTGCGCGGGTATGGCTCGTTCGGGTCAAGAACGCGCGAAACGGCGACGAGAGCAAAGTGTTTGCGCTGAAGATCCTGCGCAAAGTCGACGGTATGCGGGCGTCTCCCTCCTCCGTTCGCGGCTGCTAATGGCCATGTCTCAGTGATCCGCCTCAAGCAAGTGGAACACGTACGGAATGAGCGTAATGTGCTTGCCGCGGTCGCCGGCCATCCTTTCATTACCACCATGGTTGCGAGCTTCCAGGACCACGATTCACTATACATGCTTGTATGTGACTCGCTCTTCCGCATCCCCGGATGCAATGGCTAACACTCCTCAGCTCGACTACTGCCCTGGCGGCGAAGTTTTCAGCTACCTCCGAAGAGCGCGACGCTTTAACGAGCCGACGTCTCAATTCTACGCCGCCGAAATCGTTCTGATATTGGAGTTTTTGCACGAGAGGGAAGGGGTCGCATATAGGGACTTAAAGCCGGAGAACATACTGATAGACTCTGAGGGGCATCTAAAGCTCGTTGATTTTGGTTTCGCAAAGAAGGTGGAAAACAGTGGGTGCAGACTTGAGGAAGCATTGGAGCGCATATGCTGATTAGGCCAGGGGAGACATACACGTTATGCGGCACACCCGAATATCTGGCACCTGAGGTTATCAGGAATACAGGTACGCTGTAAGGTGGTACCATTACATTGGAGATGCTAACGGCCGTTCAGGACATGGAACCGCGGTTGATTGGTGGGCGTTCGGCATTCTAGTTTACGAGTTCCTCGTTGGCCAGCCGCCCTTCTGGGACCAAAACCCGATGAAGATCTACGAGCAGTGAGTCGAATCGCTTCCATCTCATGTCTAGTGCCGTCTGATATTTTGGTCTAGAATTGTGGAAGGACGTGTTCGCTTCCCGTCGGCCATGTCCCCCGAAGCTCGCGACCTTATCTCCGGGCTCTGCACGGTCGACACATCGAAACGCCTAGGCAACATCAAAGGCGGCGCAGGTGCCGTCAAGGCACATCCTTGGTTCCGGAATATCGACTGGGACGCCCTTTACCATAGGAAGGTCAACGGTCCCATCGTACCTCATCTGCGTGGGCCAGCCGATACACGCAATTTCGACGAGTATGAGCCAGAGTCGGCGAATAGAGAGCCGTACACGCAAGAGATGCGCGACAAATGGGACGACTTTTTCCACGACTTTTAACGAACCAAGCAATTTCATGAACACATACAATCAATGGGAGGCTTCGTCGGAGTTGGTGCGGGGTTGGGAGTTCAGAACAAGAAGAGCAGGATAAGATTCAAGAGAAGGTAAAAGTTTCACATCGTTCTGTTGGAAGGGACTGCACCGCCTCTAGTTGATCACGGTGCACATTGGGTCCTACGCGCCGTGTTTTGTTTTTTTTTCGTTGGTTACGCGGTTCCATGTGTTACGCGTTCACGTATGGGTGGGACGTGTACGAGATCATGTTGATATGGGTGGGTTCGATGGGCGGGTTCATCTAGCGGATCTCGGTAGCGGATATGTATTTCTAGCCAATGGAATCTCATATGTAACGGGAGCTCTACACTGGAATCGGCGATTGACTCCGGATACAGGATCCTGGAAGCCTTCAATGCATTATCAGCAGTCCGGCTTGCGCCATTATTATTATTATCTTTAGATCAACGGTCGCCGAAGGGTATAGAACGCCAGAACTCGCCACTCAACCCTCCTCTCACTACCATCTGCTCCCCGAAGGTTGTCAATCCATGAAGGTCCGAATGCTACTACACCGACTCTCAGTACTCGATGCACTGCTACTCCTCCCCATCCTCCTCCCCTCACCGCCCCTCAGGACGCCAAAAGCCCTTCTGATACTGCTATACATCGTCCTCCCGGCACTGGTCGCCAGCCCGCTTTCACCCACCGCATTGCCCTGTCCATTGCGCTCAAGCTCCTCACTCTCCTCCAGCAAGCTCGGGAAACTGGTAATCTCCGCGCTATTCCTCTCGCACCTCTTCTCTACCCGCTTAAAATAGGTCAAGCACGACTGGCAGACCGCTGTGCTCTGCTGCTCCGCTTCGAGGAAGTGCGCTTGTCGTGTGTAGCAGGTTGGGCAGGTGAGGATGCTGGGCTCGGGCATCGGCAGAGGCGTCTCTGGGATCCGGCCAGTCTTGTCGACCAGGAGGGAGGGCGGCGCTTTCGGTGGTGGGAGCTGGAGGTGGATCATGCGGTGTGGTGATTGGGGACGAGTAGGCGATTGTGGAGATGGTTTGCTGGTGGGCGATTGCGAGTGCGCATCGGAAGTTGAGGTGGATGGTGATGATGATTCGGGAGTTGCGCGGTGCGTGGGCGTGAGCGGGAGCGGGTGAAAGAGGCGCATGAGAGCGTTCAAGTTTTCGTTCTGAGGGAAGCTTTGCGCAGCAAACGATAGCGTTGGGGTGCTGTGCTGGCGCGTGATCTGGTGCACTGGACCGATGCTTGGAACTTTGGTGGAGGAACGGGGATTTAGGTCAAGGAATAAGAGGGAGGAGCAGGTAGAAGAGCGGATCGATTGTTGAGCGGTTGCGACAGTCGGGCGGCTGGTCGTGGATGTTGAAGTGCAACGGTGAACTGAGTGAAAAGGGACCTTCCAGGATGGATCTATGGAAACGATGACGCGAATTCTGCAGCAGTGCACAAGAAGCATAGCTCAAGGGCCATGCTGATACTGATGCTTCAGAAAGGGTCGCGTTGTGGGTATAGATCCGTTGGAAAGCAAGGCTTGGAGTTGCAGTGACGTGTGGTGTTGTGAAGCCATGGCGATAGTGAAGTCTCTTAACCTCATTGTTAGCAGGAGCCTCTGTTTGAATGGATCTAGCACCTGTACTAACAGTCAAATTCCCTTGAAGAATCCAGTGACTTATTCTGGATCTTCGCACTCAGACATGCGAGCGCGCAGTGGTGTTTCTTATGGATGATTCGAACCAACGCAAACGGAATGGAGCAAGCGCATGCCTTGACCTACCGTCGCCGGTGCCTTAATGACAACTCAGAGCAGTAGAAAATAACAGTTATATAGTCGCACGATAAACCATGCTCGCCATGGCGTCGTAAAGACTGAGGTGACACGGTGGCATGTGAACACAATGGCTTCACGTGATGTCACCATTCACTCAGCCGTTGCTCGAACTCCGAAGGCCACTCCGCGTAGGGCGCAGAGTCACTGTCTCTTATCCCTTGCCGTTCAGAGGAGGTGAGGCCTGATCAAGGAAAAGCATGTTTTGATCGCCGAACCCTGTGTTAAGATCTCGATCCACATCCACACGGTTGGATTTAGCGTACCATACACCCTGCCGCATCCTCGAGACGATCTGTCAAGCCGGCCTTGCGGGTCCTCTGCGAACATAGCCAAATTCGACTCCACAGATCGTAGAGCCGCTCGCGGGGTGCGATAACTCTGAGAAAGAGAATGTAGATTCCGCCTTAGGAAGCGGATAGGCAAGGAAAGCTGATACTGATGCAGATTGAGACAGGTGAGAAGGTCTTGGAATATAATGAACGGAGAGAATCACCCAACAGCCAATGAGACACGGGAAAGGACAAATGCCATAATCGATAGGAACGGCAGTGTTCATTGAACGGGAGAGATGTGAAGGATAGTGGTGGTGTCGGGCGCTCCCGAGACAGCAACCTCAATCCTGGGGCCTTTCCCCCTTAATCTTCACGTAATAACAAACTTGGAACGAAAGCGCATTCATCCAAGATCGGTTCAGACAAAAGGCTCGCCTAAAGGTGAGGCGAACTTTTCAGCTGTCGTCCGGCGTTTGGTTGTGAAGTCGAGGTGTGGCTAAGGCTCTTAGGTGCAGATACAGGTTTCTGCAGGCGGATAGACTGTGGCGATTCCTGCAAGAGTAGACGCAAAGGGAAAGCTAGGCCGGCCAAGTGTGGCGAATGTACAGCTGGCAAAGGGGCCGACTAGGAAGTGTGTAGTAGAGCAACGCCTGAGCTGTCAGCGCGATGCTGGGGTAGCCCGTGTTTGCGGCGGAGAGGTCTTGATCAGAGAGGTCGGCCGCAACCAGTGGTGCAGAGCGTCGTGAGACAGGTTTGCTGCAGGCTGTCTCTGGCGGCTGCGCGACTACATGGAGCTTACGCGTGCGGAGGGCAGGCCAGTGGCAAGGCGCAGAGTCGGGCACCGTTGGATCGCATGTTAAAGGGCCAGGAGTGATCACTTGTCGACGCGCGAATGACGCCTCATTTGAGCAATTCACCTGCCGCGGTCCTAGCTCAGTGAACGGGACATGGGCATGCCAGACGAGATCGAACGGCATTGCAAAAACACGACACCAGCTCTCTCTGAGCTGCATAGCCCGCGCGGGCTCTTCTTGCCTCTTATTTTGACTTGACCTCCATACGCTCCTTAGCCGGTCTGTTGATTCTTTGTCTTTGACGCCCTCGCGATCGCCTCAGGTCCACAGGTTTGCGGCGGATGCCCGCGAAAGCTTAGCTTTTCCTGCGCCACAGCTGCAGCCGCTCGTGCTGGCCTGCCACACCGTCCGCGACGGCTTCACCGAGGCCCTCTGCAACACTGCTGGCCGGCCGCCGCCGCCGGCTCTTCGCCGGGATGAGCACCATCAAGACGCGCTTCAGCAATGCGCGGTCCAAGCTGTTGCGGAGAGGCAGCGCCGCGTCGACCGCAACCACGTCCTCGGCGGCCAGCGACCGGGGCCCCAAGCCGGCCAGCAGCCTGCGCAAGAGCATTTCGCTGTCGAAGCTGCCAGAGGTGTCCGCTGCCGACGTGTCCGAGGACGCCGACGACCAGCGGCTGTCCCAGTCGGAAGGGCTGGGGACCGCCGCCAGTCGAACCGAAACGGAGGGGAGCGTAACCTCGAGAGATCGACAGGCGCAGGAAACCACTACCACGACCGCCTCCGCAGCGCCCACGCCCGCCGACGTCCGCAGCGCCTGTCCCGCCGTCACCCTCGAGGAGCCCACGCCGCTCCGTCCCCCAGCGCACCCGCCTGAGCTGGTGCCTCGCGAGCCCGCCGCCGCCGCCGCCGCAGAGCCCGCCGAATCCGACGAGCCTACAGAGCTCCCGGCGCGGTCCAGCAAGAGACTGACGCCCCCCGGCATATTGCGCCGCCAGTCGCTCGTCACCGCGTCGAATGCCCGCGTAATCAGAACGCTGCTCGAGCCCGACCTCCCTTCAGCTGCTGTAGGAACGGGCCCGCCGACCGCAACCGACTACTTCGCCGGGCCCTCCACCTTCAACGCCGGCATGCTGCACCGCAAGATATGGGTGAAGCGGCCCAATGCATCAGCGACATTGGTCCAGATACGCGAGGATGACTTGGTCGACGATGTGCGCGACATGATCCTCAAGAAGTACGCGAATTCGCTGGGCAGGAGCTTCGACTCTCCGGACATATCGCTGCGTATAGTGCCGCGGGACAGCAATGCAAAGTCTCAGGACCGGATGCTGGGGCCTGAGGAAGAGATGTGCAGGACGTTGGATGCATACTATCCCGGAGGCCAGACGGTCAATGAGGCTCTGCTCATCGAGGTCCCCAAGCCGAGGACGCCCAGGCCTTCGCCGCGAGTACCCGTCTACTATGCCCATCACGACGACGCGCAGAATCCCCAGACCGAGTACTTCCCGCCGATGCCGCTCATCAATCCCTCCCCCGCCGGCTTGACCGCTGCGTCTCACGAAACACGAGCGTCGTTAACCCACGCTCCGCATTCCATAGCCGTGCTGCAGACAGGTCAGCTACCCCCTCTGCCGTCACCAGGCAGTACAAGAAGAGCTCACTCCGGCCGACCAAAGTACCCCCGCCACAACACGGCCTCTCCTACCACGTTGACAAGCGTGCCTCAATCCGCCGCTGCCGCCGCTCGCCCTGCGAACCGACCGCGCCATGACTCCTCCGCCTCCGAAACAAAGCACTCCGCTACGAGCAGTGCTCCCATCCCGACTCCTCCCGCCCCCGCAGATCCAAACGCGCGCCAGAACTCCACGCCACCGACCCCCCGCGTGGCCTCCCCGCGACCAGAGAAGAAGCGAAAGAAGCAAAAAATCACAGAGGCACCAAGCTTGCCCGCCGGCCTGCTGGATGGGTCAGTGCCACCGATCAATGTGCTCATTGTAGAGGATAACATCATCAATCTGCGAGTTTTGGGTGCTTTCATGCAGCGTCTAAAAGTGCGCTGGCAGAGAGCAATGAACGGAAAGGAAGCCATAGAGAAGTGGAGAGCAGGCGGGTTCCACCTGGTGCTCATGGACATTCAGCTGCCCATCATGGATGGGCTGGAAGCAACAAGAGAGATCAGACGGCTGGAGCGCGTCAACAGCATTGGTGTGTTTAGCAGCGGGAGCAACGAAGCGCCTAACAACAGGCTGGGCCAAAATGGAAAGTACGATAGGGAAGTCAACGAGCCCGATAGGCTCGGAGACAAGGGCCTTTTCAAGAGCCCGGTTATCATTGTGGCACTCACGGCCAGCTCATTGCAGAGTGACAGGCACGAGGCTTTGGCGGCCGGCTGCAACGACTTTCTGACTAAAGTAAGTACCACGGATCTATTTCCCGCACTCATAGCTAACATGTGCTTAGCCTGTCAACTTTGTGTGGTTAGAACGAAAGGTCAAAGAATGGGGTTGCATGCAGGCGCTCATCGACTTTGACGGCTGGCGGAAGTGGAAAGACTTTGCCTCCGATTCCGACACCACGGCTACCACCTCCAACCTCTCAACCAGTTATTCAACCATTGCACCAAGAAGGGCCAACGCCGGTCTCAGCCTGACCTTAGCTGCGAACCCAAGCAATGGGAGAGTCGGGCCTTCGCTGCCTAATGGCGTCATCACGAAGTCAAAAGATGAAGAGAAGAAAAGCAAGAGAAAGAGCATGGGTGTTGTACCCCCACCATCGCTGCCAGAAGAAGAGAGCGGTAGTCCGTCGCCAGAACTGGGGAGCTCTGCGGGGAGTTGATGGTTGCAAATCCCCTCATATGCGCAACAGTTTCTTCCTTTTGAGTTCTTTCCAGGATTTTCATCCTCTTATGCTCATAGCATGAGCAGTATCACGTTCCTCGCTCTTCCTAAAATTCCCTGGGCTATAAATTGTCTTTTTCCACTACGCACGCATCTACGGGCTTTGCATCACTTGAGATATCAATTTCTTTGCGTCAGTCATATCTCATGGTGTCTTTTGCTAGCGTTCCTGTCAGGTTTCTCTTACTGCCCCTTTTCCTGGCTGTTCAATGCCAGTCTGCTCATCGCAGGTTCTTTTAGTGGGCGTGTCCGTTTTATCTTCTGCTGATGAAGCTTACCTTGGAAGGCATTCCTGATACGTACATCATTGGGACACGAGATATGGAGTTTGCTGTCGTATCCGTCGGGGAACGATGGATTTGTTGATGGATGCGGTGGAATTGAGAAACGCATCGGGAGTAATCGTAATCGAGCGAGTGAAACGGACTGTACTTTCGCACAGTCTAATCTACAACCTTGGCAACTTGATGGCATGAATGAGTTTCTAAATCGCTGAAGCATAATTGGATTCCAAAGCTGTTGAGCAATCACGATGGTCGTGACTGGCCGGTTGCTGGGCCAATATTGAGACGCTAGTCCCAATTTAGAAAATACATCACACACCCTTGCAGCCACCTGCGAACCTCATCCATCGACATCCACACTCGCTCTCCCGTCTCTCGCTCGACAATGCCCCCCAAAAAAGTGTATGGGAAGCGTACTGCCGTCAAGGCGCCGTCGAACTTCGCGAAATTTCTAAGTCCGGATAAAGAGAATGTTTGCGTCGGTAAACAGGGGAAGAATGGAGCGGCAAACCGAGTGAAGCCTAAAGAGAAGGATGATTTTGATGGCATAGAGAAGGAACTAGAGGCTCTGACTCTAAGAGAGGGTGGGAAGGCAGCCCATGAGGCCGCCGGAGTGGTAAAGAAAAAGAGGAGGCCAAGGAGGGTTGTTGAGGACACCGATGACGGGGCAGAGCACGAGCACCAGGATGCGGTAGTCGACATTGAGACGAACTTGGGCGCCTTGACTTTGGAAGAAGATCAAAGGACTCTTCTGAAGGAGGAACCGCAGAAGAACAAGGGGAGGCCACGGAAAGCGATCGGAAATACCGGCGAGCTTGCTGAGACAAAGAAAAAGGATCACAAAATAGACACAAAGCCAAACAAGGAAACATCAAAGCCTCAGAAGCATCCAGATGCACAATCAGCGCCATCCTCCCCGATGCGAGGCCAGAGACTCAAAGCTGTTGTCATACCGAAGTCCAGCGCAGTCGCGACGTGCAACGAATGTCCAAAGATGCCACAACTACCCACGCCTGATCTTACACCTGAGCGCGATGACGTTTGTACGGCTTACGTCTCCCCGCTATTATCTCTCAGCTATGGCAGGAAGATAGTTACGTTTGAGGTACGTAGGTCGCGGTCCACACTGTATCATATCTTAGCTTTTGCCTGCCGAAAGCTCTTCCCGAGGACCTTTAGCAGGCAGTGACTTGAGGCCTGCTAGTGTTCAGAATCCTCCCCTAACCTATGAAATCTGCTAATTGCTCCGCCACCTATGCAGGACTGGTCGTCAGCCCTCGAACCACACTTTACAGTTTCTAAGATTGCCGAAGCTTCCTTTTCCGAGGTCTATCGTCTAAGTGCCACCTCTGTAACACCCGACTCTACAGATGAGTCCGTCCTAAAACTCGTTCCACTGCGAAGGCCTCCAGACGCACCTTTACCAAGCCGCTCTCAACCGTGTGGTGCCAAGGTCTCAGCCCGGCAAACGATGGACCACGCAGATAGGGAAGAGCAGGAACAATGGAAGTCGCACGTCGAAGATGTACTTTCCGAAGTCAAGCTCCTGCAGAACTTGAACCACATTCCAGGATTCACGAATTTCCGCGAACTGACGGTGCTGCAAGGCCGTCCGTCAATCACGTTCGCCAATGCTTGGAAAGCGTGGAATAAGTCCAGACCGCGAGGAAGGAAGAGCGAGTTCCCGGATCCTAGCAAGAAGCCGAGCTACGAAGACACGCAACTCTGGGCTGTCATCGAAATGCAAGATGCGGGCACAGACTGCGAAAAGGTCATGGAAGCAGGTGGCATGGGCACTATATGGGAAATCTGGGACGTCTTCTGGGGTGTGTGCTTGAGCGTCGCAAAGGCGGAAGAGGCGTGCAATTTCGAGCATCGGGATATGCATTTGGAAAACATTTGCGTCCGTTCTTCTCGGCAGAGCGACGATCTCATCGAGCCTACTATCAAGGATCCCTTAAGGCGTAAACTTGGCTTCACCGGCATCGAGACTACGGTCATCGACTGCACGCTCTCCCGCGCGGACATTCTCCCACCTTCGCCTTGTAGACGATCCTCATCCTCGTCTTTTGTGTCCAACTCCTCTGCATCGTCGACGGCCAGCCCTCGCATTCCTACGTCGCCCGAACCGGATGTTGCCTACCTCGACCTTAACAAGGACTTGGGTCTTTTCACCGGCGATGCAACAGAAGAATATCAGTACGAAATCTACCGCTACATGCGGGGCGTGGTCTTCTATGGTGACCCACTGAAATCGGAACTGTCATCGTCTAACGACCCCGGCACGCCGCGCCGTTCCCCCCGAAAGATAAACCAGCACATCAGGTTCGACGAAGCGCAGACCCCTCGGCGCTCACCGCGGAAGAGCATGACTAATCGATACCGCGATCCTCCGAGCGATATCTGGAAATACTTCCACCCAAAGACGAACCTTGTGTGGGTGCACTTTATCCTGTACAAGCTGCTCCAGCATCTTGAAGGATATGAGCCCATGAATATATCTTCCAAGCAAACAATGCGGAACGTCGACGCCGACCCGGAAGATGCTGGGAGAATCAAGAAGAAGGCTTGCAAACTGTACAGGATATTGGAGAGGGTGGCGGAACTGGTGGAGCCGGGTGTGCTTGCTGGGAGAGATAGTTTGGGGAGTATGAAGGAGCTTGTGGTGTTAGCTATGGAGGAGAGGTGGCTGAGGGTTGAGGATGTTGCTGGATGAAGATGATAAGAGTCTTGAACGAGGTTCTCCTCTGTTTTTAGCGGTGTTTTGGATGCATTTCCTGGTGTTTGGGGGCAGTGTTCCGCAGCGTGCATGACTGCAGTTAGACTTGTGGGGGCGTGTTATTGCGTTTAATATTGTCTATACAACAATGCTATTCCACAAAACGTGTATACTCGAATGTCTTGAATTAGCCTGTGGAAAGCCACTCCTGAAGACCTTCGCGAGGTAAAGACATGCTGGACATTTGCTGATGTGGACCGTGACCTTTAGATATAGGGTGCATATGTCCATGAATAAGGTGGGCAAACCGCGCGGTCGTGATCTAAGATCCTCTTTGCTATTTTTCTCTCCGCTTAGCCGAGATACCACATTGGAAAGCCCAGTCATTAACCATAGTTCTCGAGGCATCTGGTTGCCGCTGTGTTGTGTGGCGTGTAGGCGAGAGAGACGGGGAAACGTCGACGTTGTATTTTAGCAGTTCCGGCACTAGAAGGACTTGGGGCACGTGAAGAACACACAGTGAAGTATACTGTTGGGAGAGTGCTGGAGGAAGAATTGGGCTGCGAGTGTGAGTAAAGTCGGGGGCAAGAGGCGTTGACACCGGATGTGACACCCGCCTGCGCTAAAGGGATGCTCTCATGCAAGCCGTAGCCCTACGCACGTCCGCCTCTCCCTCGGATGGAAAGTCGACGTTCGCATACCGTACGCTAGTCCATCCGTACATAGGCAAAGGTGGGTGATGAATGCCAAGCCCAGCTCTTTCGTTTCACCTCCGTCCCCACAGCTGCGGGAATGGAAAAGCGACAGCGTAGAAGAGAGACCAACGGCGTGCCTCAAACCACGCTTGAGAAAAATTCCTATACCGGCTCGATATTCCAGCGAAGATCTTCTTAGGTCCTTTTTCGTGGTTGCGTTTTCCGGCCGCGGGGCGCTCTCGCTCTCGCAAACCGAATGGTGCTCTTCCACGCTCATCGCCACCAACGTACCGCGTCCCACAATTCCTGAATTAATTCTCATCTAGAAGAACAGCAAAAAGAAAAATTTGCTTTGTAGTGTGATTCTGCGGCGTGATAGCGAATTTTGAAATGTCGACTTTGGGAGTGTGTGGCCCAGGATAACCGCCCATGTGGGGTCCGCGTTGGGCTGAGTGCGCGTGGCCATGCGCGAGGGTGGAGACTCGACTCACTGGGCAGCGACGGAGCCTCACAACCCGTTGCTTCGGAACCCAATAGTTTGATGCTTCGGGCAGCGAAAGGCGTGGAGGGGGAACAGTGAGTCACAGTGGGAAATACGGGTTTGAGGGGGGATGGGTTTAGGAAGGGGTGGTTTGACGCCGTATTGACGGGATGACAAATGTTACAGGTGAGGTACAGAGACATGTAAAAGACAGCTGGGGGATTCTATGGTCGATACGCTTGGTCTACTTGACCGCATCGGGGGCCCACGTGTTCTGTGTAGAGAAGGTAAGGGCCTATGCCACCGTGCGCTAAACGCGTTGCCATAGCAAGAGACAGGACAAAACGAAATGTGGTAGGAGTAGACGAAGAAATGAAGTCCTAACTGAAAAGTACGTGTCGTGGGTGGTTGTCTTCACGATCGCGATATGGGAGCTAACAGGGCAAGGCCGCCTGGTTGCTTTGCCGTCACCGGATCTGTGAAGCAGATAGTCGGGACCATACCTGCTCAAGTGCTTATGCTATTTGACCAGGATCGCGATTGATCGGCGTCTCCATTGAGGGCGGTGATATGAACCATCGTAGGCTGGCCGGATTCGGTTCTTCGCATCGTGCCGAAGAAGTAAGCATGCGACAAGAGTGCCGTAGCACACGCCGCCGATATCGCAAATGCATGGCAAGATCTGATCGAGGCTTCACGCCACAGATCTCCCCGTCTGCAGGACATCGAGGCTTGGTGGATCGGGCTACCCTTGCATCCTCCTGGAGGGCTTGAGGCCTGGAAAGACGTCAGCCGAAAGGGGCAATTGCAGGCAAGTTCTTGCAGCTGCTCTACCTAGCCTCAGTGCTCACTAATTTAGCACCGGAGGTGACTGTCAATGCCACGAGCATTGCTGCAATTGCAACATTTGACTCGGACCTGGCCGGCGGGAGACATTCGCGTTTCAGTGTGCTGGAAAAAGAAGGAATGAGGGGACTTTTGGGTGGCACCACAGGTGAAGTTACGGGCGGAAAGAGAAGATGGCTCAAGCGAAAAGTCCTTTTCGCAACCAGAAAGCTCTGAAAAGCCACAGTTGTACCAGCTTGGACATCACGGAAGAGCGGAAGAAAGTGGTGTGGGAGTATTGGACCAGAGCGTGTCAAACGCTGACTATGGTGCGATTGTAACGATATCTTGACGGGCACCGCGTTCGTATCAGAGCACGGTCTCTCGGCAGGCGCTGGAAGTAGGAAGAAGCGGAAGATAGATGCTGAGTTCCCATGGTTAAGAAAGATGTAGGTGGCTCAAACGAGATATGTCGCCGCGTCAAATGTCGCACGTCGTACTCTCTTGCGAAGCCTATCTCACCGCATCTAGAGAAGGTGGAGAGGGTTCCATCACCTGACGACTGTGAAGTATGCCTTCGGAGCACGACAACGGTTATCGTGGGCACCACATTCTCAGCAGAGGAATTCCGACGTAGCCGTGTGTTCTCGCCTCTCTTTTGTGTGCGCTCGGGTAGCCACCGTCTTTCTGGCCCGCTTCTGTTGGAGGAATTGGCTAAATTTTGGTATATGTTTCACCGGAATGTCTATGACTTCCACGGCCCGGTAAACGGGGGAACTCTCGGAGACGAGACAGAAAGGTGACACCGGGTACAGGTGTCTCTATATCGTTGGACTGAACTCGGGGAAGACGCTTAGCGCAACCGCGGACATGTTCTGGAAGACGATGATTTGTGCGGCGAAGCCAGTCAGGCAACGTGTGCCGGGCCTAAGCTCTACCTGTGGTGGCAACAGCTCTTTTTTTTCCCTCGCGCTGCGAGATTAATGTGGAGTGGCCTTGTTGTTCCTGCATGGTAGGGCGAATTGAGGCGAACTGACGTGGCTGGACCGAGGGAGCTAAAGCTGACAGTCGCTGTCAAGGCTTTTGTACTCGGTGCGCTGAAGGTCTTCAGGCGTGGCTTTCAAGAACGCCAATCAAACGGGATGCAGAGGATTGTTGAGAGCAAAAAAGCAAGTAGAAGGCTATGGTGGTAGACGCACAGCGTGTCAGATGTGGACGATGAGATAAGACGGCAGGGGAAAATAACAGCGGCTACTGTAGCGGCCGCGATTACGTTAGCAAGCCCTACCAAACGCTCCCAATTTAGGCCAGGAAGCGCAGGCGCCCGTCCAGCAGCGCAGAGCAACAGGCGGTGAGGATTGCGCGTGGAGAGAGAAAGGCGAACAGCTAGTATGGTGTGTGTGCGCGCGGACGGGCCCGGAAGGCCAGTCTAGAGGCACCTCAGCAACGTTTCAGGAGCTTCGATTCGATCGAACGGCGCGCGGGGAAGCGCTGAGCAGCCGGCAGCCATCCAAGGCGACCAGTGCCCCTCCGCTCGAGACGATGTGGGATGGGCGAGTGTTGCGCATCCTCCTGCAAACAGCCGCCATGGGCCAATTGCTGGCGCGGCGCGGGTAGGGCCATGTTATTACGCACATGAAGGCATGCTGCCGTGATTGAGCGTAGGATCACCCTCAAAGAAACGCCCGGTGCAAGCACGAAGGTTGTCCTGTCGTCCGCATACGAGATGTTCCGGCAATTACTCTGGATATGGCCGTCCCATATTGGCCGTCCAGCCACAAGCTGGATCGACGCCGCTCGCTGGCCAGGCGACAGGCTTGCGACTGCATGCTGCTGCTGCAGCGTCACCCACACTGTCGAATCCTCTGGCGGACGGCCAATGGCGGGCTCCCGCAAGGCAGAAGGCAGACGGCAGCGCTGTGAAGCCACTCCAGGCTCAACTAGACTATTATCAGCGGACAGCGGAGGAGACGTGAGAGAAGGCCGTGGAGGCAGAAGCTGGTGGAATCCGAGCGCAGCCGCCGTCTCGTCGCTGGCTGCCCGACGCGGTTGATGAGTTAGCCCTACACCAGTATAACGCATGAATACACCCCGGCCGCTTGGGTGCCCAATCCCTCCAGGGCGGCCTGTCTTGAAAAATTCCGTACCGTTTTTCTGCGCGGGCGTCGCACGCCGAAGCCCTCGCTCCGTCATTGCCTGACTTTTGCTGTGTGCACTCAAGACTCACTCCTCACTCCTCACTCCTCACTCCTCCCGTGCCTCTTCCTCTCAACACACACACACCCCCCGCCATGGATCCGTAACCCTCGCATCTGCCTATCCGCCATCGCAGGCTGCCACTCGCACCAGCTGCCAATGCTGCTTCTCGCACTATTTCTAAACCCCCAGTGATCGCCGCGCCCGGCCACACTTCTTTAGCCGTATCGATCTCGTCGCTCACCCGTCGTCGTCCGCCTCCACACCACCACCCGACAGCCGTCACCAACGTCGCGCCCACGCCGCCCGCGACGAGATGGACGGCGAACGCTCGCTCCACGCCACGTGCGAGGACTACCACTCGGACGACAGCGAGGACCACGTCCTCGAGTCGTTCCGCAGGTCGCCCGCCGCAAATGTCGCCGCGAAACGATCGCACCCCTCGGACCTGGGCACCGACAAGCCCCCCGGCGCAGAGAAGGTGGCCAACATCGACCTTCAGAGCGACTCTGGGTATTCCAGCCACACTGCCGCCACCATGAGCAGCGCTGATTCGGCTCCAAGTGCGAAGTCGTCGCAAAGCCCGCCCGCTGCTCCGGCTAGCGCTGCGTCGATGCCGCCCCCCAGCCCGGCCACTTCGAAGAGACGGCCGACAATTGTCGCAGAAGACAGGAAGGCCAGCAGCCAGAACAGCCCGCGCAAGCCATTGGCTCGCTCTGGCTCGGTTACCTCAAAGCGCACCGCTGGCAGCCGCAGGCAGACCGTGTCAGAGGAATGCAGAAACCCGAATTGCACCAAGTGCGGCCCCAATGCCCTCCCCTCTCGCGGTCGCAGACCACAGCCTTCACCTCTCGACTCTGGACTCGACGTCTCGTACCCTCCTTTCGACCAGCGCTCGCAGCGCTCAGATCCCGCCTCCTCTCAGACGTCTCCTCCATCTCCGACCTACACCCGACAGCCTGCTCCTTACATGCAGGGTTCGGCCCTTATGCAACCTGGCCAGGCACGTCGACGGTCCTCTTCGAATGCTCGACGTCCCCTGAGCTACCAAGGAGACCCTGGGCCGAACTACTGGGTTCCGGGCATGCCCGCGCCGTATCCGAGCCCTCCCCATGAACACGGTCCTCCCCCTGCAATGTCTGCTCACTGGAGCATGCAACAGCCACAGCATGCTCAGATGTCTCCCTACCTGATGGGAGCCACCCCACCAAACTACTACCCTCCTGGGCACCCAATGGCGCAGACATCACCGCCCTATGACCTCCAGCGGCCGCCTCTATCCGCTCGCGGTTCATACCAGACCGGGAGACCCACTTCTGGATTTGGGCCGACTCTAGTGACCTATGAGCAGAGCAACCAGCCCATGCCGTCTGCACGCTATCCGAACGCTCCTCAGAGTGCAAGACAGGAGCGGTTCCAATTCGAATCCGGGAGCTCAGATGACGAGTCCTCGGAAGAGGACGACTACGAGCCTGATCCTCGGAATGACCGCGCCCTCATGCCTCCTCCGAAGCTCAAGAGCACCAAAAACACCAAGGAGCGAAGGCCAAGCCTCCGGCACGCGAACACCACTCAGGTGTACAACGAGCGTCGTATGTCTCAGTCACAAACCCTGCCAGAGCGCCCGAGGGAGCGGGACCCCCGCGCTTCCAGAGTAAGCACCGCCGTTCCGTCTCGGGCTCCTTCGGTTAGCCGCCCCAACTTGGTTCAACACCCAAAAGCCCAGTCGTCGTACGAGACCACGCGCTCTGCCTATGTAACTGTCGAGGACCCTAGGGCCCGGCGCCGCCGGTCTGTTCAGACCTACGGCAAACAGTACGAAGCCGAGCAGAAGCGACAGAACCGGGACTCTAAGATCTACCAGGACGGACTTGACGAAATACTCGTCTCGGACCGTCGTCGTCGGCGAACCGACGCAGACACCGTCACGAAAGTCCAGTACTACCCTGAAGAGAAGGACAGGCGGGTTGCAATGGATGCTGAAGCTTATCAACGGCACACTCGCGGCAGCAATGCACCGGTTATTGACCAGGTCCATAGGGATGCCAAAAACAAGCCACGGGTGCCATCCGGCCCTTCAGAAGGCTCCTCCCGCAGCAGCGACAAGAAGAGCCGTGTCAGTCAGTCCAATCGCACTACCGTCACCAATGGTGGTGGGAACGGCGAAATCCGACTCCGTGTAGACGCCTCTGCCCCCCTCAGTCTCTCATTCAACGGTGACATGGAAGGACGCACCCTTCAGATCAACCCGGCTGATAACGGCATGGCCGATATTGTCATTGGTAGCTCCCGCGGCAGCGAGAACATGTACCGAAGCGAGAGGGGCAGCGTGCTAGGCAGCAGCAAGAAGTCGCTAGTCGCGAATCCGAGACGAGACGCCGAAGAGTCTTCAGTTCGAAGCGGACGCAGCAGCCAGGGTAGGCGAGAGGGTGAACGACGTGTGCTCAGGCGCCGACGAGACACCGAATACAGCTGAGACGACGTGTTGGAGATGCTGCCCTTTTTGAACTACGACTACTCCATCTAGGACTTTCACAGCCCTATCGGGAGCCTTTCTTGGATTTTCTACGTTTGCGCGTTGTTTCTCCTCTTCTCATACCCATTTCGCCAGCTCATCGTGCTCTACGTCACTTTTTCATTGGGCGGACCGGAGTGGGTCCAAAAGCCTTTTCTCCAAAAGTTACCCTTGGGCATCGTTCCCATGATCCGCTCGGCGAAAAAAGTTTGGCAGGGCATTTCCTTCATCTTGGGCGTTCCGCAGGATTCCCCCTTTGCACATCTGTTTGCTTATTATTTGCTGTTTCTCTCGCGACATTGAAGGTCACCGCGGTATTGCTTGCTAGACACGGACGCTCACGCACACAAACTGGTTTGCATGTGTGAGACGCCCGGACTCACGAAGGAACGAGATTGTATGTACGATCGGTATGACTGTCGCATTTTTTGTTTTGTTGGCTATTCCAACTTCGCATTTACCTTTCTTGCCGAGCTGTTGAGCGAGCAATATCCTTGTTCTGTTTCTCAAAAGCTGTATACCTTTCTCCTTCTGGATCTTTTTCGGCTGCGCTTGGTGGATTTAATACCCTTCTTTCTTGGGAGATTTCGGATTTCGTTCCGTTGGCACGAGGAGACGAGAGAGTCATGATGATTACGATGAGCCCTGATGAGAGCACGCTGTTGGCGCACACTCAAAAGGAAGGAATACACATCTGGAAGCCAGATTGTCACAGATAGGATGGACCGCTTGGTAGTTGCGTTACCTAGTCGAGAAAAATCTTACGGTTCCTTTCTTGAGATTTCTTCTGCCACCATCTTCCTTCGTTTCTGGGTCTAGGTTTTTGCTTTTTGCTGCCAGCGCACCGTGTAGCGAGCGAGCCATCTTTACCCCTTCGAGTCCGGCGACGTCTGCTCCGAGAAAGTCCACAAACATTCGCCATAGGCGACCTCTTGCTTTTGATGTCTTCTAACCTAGCAGCACATCTACACTTCCTTGGCCATTCTGCTCTCTCCGAGAACTCCCGATATCCCCTCCCTTTCTATCTGCAACTTCTCCAAACCCCTCCCCTCCGCGTCCGAGACACTCCTAACCGCCGTCACGATCCTCGCCACCATCCAGGGGCAGCCCTCCATGTCTCACACCACGGCACCCCACAACCACCAGCCTCGCCTCCTCCTCGGCCCCAGAAGCCGACGCCTCGGTATCAGCTAACCCCCTTTGCCGTCTGTCAAAAATCTCGATAGGGCGAGTACTTAGCTCCGGGAAAGCCTCCCGCCCGCCCGCCATCCCATCCCATCCTGCCATCCTGACACTCCCGGCCGATCAAACATGCATCCCGAAACGCCGCGAGGCTGACACACGTCACGTGCTACATATCTCAGATAGATTCTACGCTAGGCTAAATCGGGACAGGGCATAATGTTGAGCGTCGCGACGCGCGACACACGGAGGAAGAAGGCGAGAGGGAACGAGCTGGTGAGGCGAGGCGGAATCACGCGGCAGTTGAGGGATTTTGTGAGGTGGGTGAGTGGGTGGGTGGCGACAGTGGTATGCGTTGGCAGTGCGGAGAAGGACGAGTGCGAATATGCTGTGGGACGATGAGGTGCAGATGCGTGCTGTAAGTCATTCTCAACGTGGTTCACCGGTCGGCTGTAACGTACGGGTATTGAAAGACGTAAGCTAGCGTGCGTGTGCCGCTGGTGGTGGTGGCGAATAGGTTGGCCTGAGGATACTCTAACGCATAGGCGATAGAGACTAGGCTGCAAGACTGCAAAGCTAGAAGGGGCTTGTGATATGTGATAAGAGCGCGAGCTCGATCATGCGGACAGTGGAGGTCGTGTACGGATGCTAATCGTATTCCTGTTCACTTTTGAATGCTTTTCATCCGCTATGCAAATATCCCGAACCCTGCCAAAGCGGAGCGAGATGGACAATGCCTCCTCGGAACCAATGCTAATAACTCCGTCAGTGATTTTGCTTTCGTTTTTCGTCCTTCATCGTGGCGATCCGTTATTCATATCACTCCGACGACCCGGAGAACCTGAGGCCGTGGAGGGGTAACAGCCTTGAAAGCATCTAGTCGTCCTCCGTTAGATCGCCGTACTCCCACATACCCCTCCTCTCCGCCTTGGCGGTAGTCTCCCTTTTCTTTAAGGCATCAAGAATGTCCGAAGCGCCCCGCTCCCAAGCCCTCAACTTCTTCGGCACCATGGCGAGACCCTCGCTGACGACATCGGCGTTCACGCTGTCGACCCCTGTCTTGCTCTGTTTGGGATCGAAGAGAGTAACCCAGAGAGTGCCGTCCTTCTCGACTTGATCAACGTTAGCCACAAGCTGACGATCCGCCGTCTCCTGCGCGATAAAATGCACCGCATCGGCAAGATATTCAGGGTTGGCAGACATTTGGATAAAGGAGAGTTGGGCGTCGAGGGCTTGAGGCTTCAGCTTTGACTGTGGAGAGAACTGAGGTTGGCTGAGAGGTCGGAGACGCGACCAAGGGAGAACTTCCGAGTTTCCGTAGTCGATGTAGACAACCTCGGCCTTCTTCGCTTCACGGTCGTTGCGTCGGATGCGTGCTCGATACCACTCATCGTCGGCGGTGAACTTGGCTGCTACGAAGTCGCCAGCCTTGGGAGGGTTGGGAAGACCTTGATTATTTGTGGGATTGAGGTGGAAGGAGCGGAAGGCGTTCATGAGTTCAGTCAAGGCGGCGGTGCCCGTCCCCACTTGCTGCAGCTTGAGCTTTCCGGAGTCATCAACGTGGGTGATAACAACGTCTCGGTAGTCTTTGCGGCGCGATGCCGCTGCCTCGCCGTTCTGACCATTCGTCTCGGCGGCGGCAGCAGTCGGCTCCGCCTCCTCATCTTGAGAAGGATCGTAATTCTGCCATAGGCCCTTTCGTGCGTCCTTTGCTTTCTGTTCTGCAGCGAAAAGCTCGTTGGCATTGCCCCCCTTTTCGGCAGAGTAGGCATGTACTGTGGCGAAACCCTCTTCTAGCAGCGCCTTTGCAAAGTTCTCGCGATTGATGTAGAGGGTGCCAATAAAGCCACCCATCTTGTCGCAGTCTTCGACGTCGATTTCAACGTCACGCTGGAGGCATCGCCTGTTTGCAAAGTCATGCGCTTCCTGGCCAAATGGCTCACCCTTCTCATTGGGGTTCCTCGCAGAGCGCGGTGCGCGGATGCCGGAGAGGACAAAGGTAAGTTTGGCATTTTCGCGAGGCACAAGCACAGTGAAGCGTGAACCCGATTTAACAAAGTCCACGACCGCTGGAACCTTACGTTGCCGTGACAGTAGAGAGAGCTGACGCTTCGCCTTCTCCAGCGACTCGGAATAGTCAACGTATTGCTTAGCGGCGGGAGCCTTTGGTGACCACAGACCCTTCTGTGCTTCCTGCGCGGCCTGTTCAGCGAGCAGCAGATCATCGTAGATGGGACTACGGTCCGTATCCTCCTGACGATGTCGGATGACAGAGGCCATGCCATTCTCCACGAGCAGTAAGCCGACGTTCTTGCCCTGGAAGGTGACAGTGGCCATCTCGCGCTCATCGTAGCCTTCGGTGGCGGCACGCTTTCCATCAACGTGGAACTTGACGTGCTTCCCGATCAGCTTCTTTCGCAGGAACTCCTTGGCTTCCGGTCCCCATGGTTGTTGCTTGGGGTCGGTCGGTTTCGGTTGGCGGACGCTACTGAGGTTGATGCGCCTCTCAGCGCCCGCCTTGCCCCGTAAGAAAAGGGTGTCGGCGCTCTGTACTCTGCTAACAATAGCTTCCAGCTCGCCCGATGGTGATGTCTTCTGAGCGACGTGGTCTTGGAAGACACCCTGCCGGCTATCTTTAGCGGCCTTCTCAGCCTGCCTAAGGGCGCTCATTTCCTGTCCAAGCAAAGTCGTATGATGGTCTGTACATCTCGCCAGACCGGCCTTGAGCAGGAAGGGCGCAATGTTGCCATTCACCGGGTGTTTAATGGTAGCGACGATCTGTCCATTTGGGCTGACACCGAGCACGTTCGCGACAACGTTTCGCTGCAGTAAGCGCATTTCTACGAATTGCTGCGACTCGTCGCCAAAAGGCTCAGCAGGCTGTTCCTTGCCGTCTGACGGGTTAGTCCGCTTTGTTGCTGGCGCGCGAATACCCGCTAGCAGGACCATCGTCTGCACGTGTTCGGTAGGGGAAAGCAGCAGTCGGACGATGAGACGATCGCCGGAGAGGACCTTTTCCACAATCGCTATTCCAATTAGCCAAGACTAAATCATGGCCGGGTCGGAAACTTTTTACCATTGATGTCCTTGCCCTTGTTGTCCTCCACAAACTGCTTTGGATCACTCAGCTCGGAGGTTGAGTCGATCCTGCCGCCTGACTCTTGCCATACGCCCTTTGAGTCCGCCTTGGCCCGCGCCTCGAACACCTGAAGCTTCTCCAGCAGCGCGGTAGACTCGTCTGAATCGTCTTTGCGGCCCGCGTCATCTCGTAGCTTGACCCAGCCTTCGGCAACGGCGAGCTCGGGCAGCTGTGTTCGGTTGGGCAGGGAGATGACACCGTATTCGCGGTTGGCGCCGGTGGGGATCTTGTAGAGCACGCGGAATTGCACTACCTTGCCCACGAGCAGGCGGCGTAGGAAGTCGCGCGATTCGAAAGCGAATTGCTAATTATTTGATCGTCAGCTGCCATTTCCGCCAGAAGAGACCGGGGTGCCTGAGGCCAGGTTTCGGCCTCCACTAGCGGCCAGCCGCATGGCATGAAGCATGCCGGGAGAGGAAATCCAAGAGCTACGCCTTCTCCTGCGCCTAGTCGCCATAATCCTCCCAGTTTGTCGGGAATATTACGCACCTCATCTCCCTCCCGCCTCAATCGGGGCGCGGACACAAAAGCCAAGCTCAGCGTGCGCTCCTGCTTCGGATTGTTGATGTTGTGGAGGATGACGGTGTCGCCGGAGAGCACGCTCTTGACTTTCGCTTCGAGGAGGGCCATGGTTCGCGGTGGTGCGGATTCTGCTTGGAGGTGAAACTGTTAGCTACTGTGTTCTCTAGAGCCGCGTCTCTTATAGCGGGGCAGGCGAATAGCGCACAAACCTTGCACAAGAGAGAAAGACTTTTGTCGCGAATAGAAGAGAAGACGCAATTGGGTCCGATGAAGCTATGGCAAATCAGCCTGAGTTTTGTAGAGCTGGTAGCACAGCGGATAGTGGTGTCGTGTGTAAACGTGAGGTTGGCCAGGGACCGAGACTGTTTGTGGGGTCGCTGGACCCTAGGCGAAGCTCCGACGTCACCTGCAGCTCCCACGTGCTCTCGTTGGACAACACTTTTTCTTCCGCGCACCAGGTGGTCTTAGTAGGACATGGCTTTCTGAAATCCACCATGAAAGGATGCAACACTTACTCTCCCAGCAGTAGCATCGAGAAGCAGCTGTCATGCGTAAAGGGTACTCACATGCGTACTGCAGCATGGAAGAGAGAAGAAGACAGATCGCTGGAAAGACGGTCCTATGTTGCACGGCAAGACTTCGTAGTAGCTTACTCAAGATGTGGGCTCACTATGGAAAATGACAAGCTTATCACTCTCGCCGGGATCGCACAGGACGTCACCGCGGTCACAGGGAACGATTTCGCATGTGGTCCTTCGGAGAACCACTTCCTTGAAGAGCCCCTCTGGAGGAGGGAACCGCACATCAGACCGAAACGCCAACTGTTCCCGCGTGTGCGTACCCCCAACTAGAGCTAGACAAGCACTAACTTTCAGGTCGACCCGAGCCACTTCAGGTACTACCGCAATTGCGAAAAGAGGCGCAAAACAGCAACAGTGGAAGAGTTTGACCTTGGTGCACTGAAGTCCGGCCAGCTCGGGCATGCTAAGCCAGTGTTGCGAGACAACCTTCTGCAACCGAAAGGCGGATGAGCCAAAGAGCTTCGAGGGGAATACCAGCTCCGCGCCTGTAGCGATGGCCGGAAAATTCAGTGCCGTACGAAGAGCGTATCGTCCGCATGAACCTCTCCGAGTGTGATTGTGCCAAAGCTTATACCAGGGAAGAGCCTCCATTAGAGGCTCTGATATTGCAGCATCAGAACGGTGACGGGCTTGTTTAGAAACGCATCGGTGTGGCGCGGATGTATAAGGGGGCTTCGACTTTTACAAGGACCACAGAACGGAAGAGAAGCACAGCGTCACCGTTATCTAGAGACTTTGGCTTATACCATATTCGTTGCTCTAGCGTCTCGCTCCCCATCTTATGGCCAGGGAGTCTTCCCCTTACCGCGACCTGGTACTGACTCGGGGTCTGGAAGGCGCACAGCTTCAACTATATGCCTAGCAGCTACGCGTATCCAAACGCGCTGCAACACTGCATCTTCCATCGGCTATCTCCGATTGAGCCCTTCCTCCAAGCACGTCCACTATGTTGCGCCACATCCTTCCGATTGACAGCACGTGGTTTTCGCAGGACTTCAGCGGGAGCCTTAAGACTCAATGGATGTCTTGACCAGTTCCGCCATCGTGGGTAATGTTCCATGTAAGTGAAATTTTCATAAGTAGCTCTCTTACACGTTCTTGTTCTACGCGCGTCTGATCGATAGCATATTGATGCTTAAACTGCCCGCAGTCCACCCTCGCCCATACACAGCCGACTTTCTCGACGTTTCAAAGAAGATCACAACCCGGAGATACCTTCATTAGGTATATTGAGGGTGCTAGCGTCCGCTCGGTCATGACATCACCCAATCTCCCGACCTCGGATCGTTCCGAGAATTTCCCCGCACATCCATCCCAATGTCGATTAGACTCGGGCGGACTCAACGGCGTTAAAAACGTCGAATTGAGCTTTGTGGAAACTTCTTAATATCGAAGTGCAAAGGGACATATCGCTCAGAACATGAAGTCTACGGTCTCAATTGCGTTTCTGGCAGCACCAGCCCTAGGCTCAGGTCATCTCATCGCCCGCCAAAGCTCCCTCGACTATAACGCCGCACCACCGAACCTTTCTACATTAGCAAATGCTTCTCTTTATGGCATCTGGCGGCCCAAGGCCCACGTCCTCCCTTTGTATGGTTCAACTGGCGACCCTTGCATGCATTACACGGATCCGTCAACTGGACTCTTCCATGTCGGCTACCTGCACGAGGGCGCCTCAGGGGCGACAACATCCGACCTGGTAATCTACACTGATCTTAATCCAAACTCGGAGCCCTTCATCCGAGCAGGCGGAGTCAATGACCCGATCGCCGTTTTCGATGGAAGTGTCATGGAAAGGGGCATCAACGGGACACCAACACTGCTGTACACGAGCGTGAGCTACTTGCCAATCCAGTGGACGATCCGGTACACGAAAGGCAGCGAGACCCAATCTCTCGCTATGGCAGCAGATGGAGGGCGGAACTTCTCGAAATTAGAGCATGGACCAGTGATTCCGGCGCCGCCATTCGCGCTCAACGTGACGGGTTTCCGCGATCCTTATGTGTTCCAGAACCCGCAGTTCGATCGCATCCTAGGGAGCAGTAATGGCACTTGGTACACAACCATCTCCGGCGGTGTGCATGACCAAGGCCCGAGCTTGTTCCTCTACAGACAATACGAGAAAGATCCCGATTTCCAGACTTGGGAGTACCTAGGCCAATGGTGGCATGAGCAAGCAAACACGACCTGGATGGGAGAAGACTGGGCTGGACGCTGGGGCTTCAATTTTGAGGTCGGGAACCTTTTCACGCTGGATCAAGCCGGATACAACTCCGAAGGCGAGATCTTTGTGACGATGGGCGCGGAGTGGAGTTATGCGCCGATCGTGCCGCAGGTCTCGGACAATAGGGACATGCTTTGGGCCGCTGGGACGCAGAGTTTAGTCGACGGAGAATTGAAGTTCGAGCCGACGATGGCTGGGAAGCTGGATTGGGGCCGTTCAGCGTATGCTGCTGCGGGGAAGCACCTTCCCGCTTCCTCTTTACCGAGCCAGAAGAGTGGTGCGCGCGATCGATTTATTACGTATCTGTGGTTGACGGGCAATTTCTACGGTATCTTGGACTTTCCGACGCAGCAGCAGAACTGGACGGGCTCGCTCTTGCTACCCAGAGAGCTGAGCGTCGGGTATATCGCTGTCGTCGATAATGCGCTTGCGAGGGAGAAAGGCTCATGGAAGATCTACGGCGAGACATTGAATGGCACCGTCATGCTTGCGACCCTGCAGCAGAGCATTGCACGGGAACCTTTGGCGGCCTTCAAGCAGAACGCTACGAATGTAATTACGCAACCTGGCGGGCAGGTCTCATCGAACCGGACCTTCGACCAAAGTCCTTCCTCAAAGCACTATATCCTCTCCACGTCGATCACCTTCCCCTCGCGCGCGAACAACGACCTCAAAGCCGGCTTCACCATCCTCTCAGGACGGCACGAGCGCACGCACATCTACTATCAATTCTCCAACGAAAGCATCATCGTCGACCGCTCCAACTCTTCCGCAGCAGCAACCACAACCCCAGGAATCAATACTGACAATGAGGCCGGGAAGCTGCGCTTATTCGATGTACCCGGCGACGGCGCAGGCTCGAAGGTGGAATCGCTGGATCTCACGATCGTCGTGGATGGAGGGATTGTGGAGGTTCATGCGAATGGTCGGTTTGCGCTGAGCACGTGGGTTTGGAGCTGGCATGAGGGTAGCAAGGACATTGGGTTCTTTGTTGGAGGAGGGGAGGTGCAGTTTGGGGAAGTGGGCGTTTGGGAGGGGTTGGTGGATGCGTGGCCGCTGAGAAGCCCGGGAGAGTAGATTGAGCATACAATTGAACAAGGCCGGTCAGCATGGCATGGCGTCCTTTGCTTCGCGAGGACATTACCAAGGATCTCTAGTTGTTGGAGGTAATCAATCAGTTCTCGTAGCTCAGTGTCCTCAAAAGAGTCTTTGAACAGCAAAGTCAATCTCCACCGGAATCCTATCACGCGAATGCACTCGAGCCCATCTATGTCTCTTGCAAACAGAAATGAGACGGAAAAATTGTGACCGAGGGGGAAACCATGGAGGAAGTGACTAATGGCACTCAATGCTCCGACTCGAATCGCCTCCCCCGCCAAACTCCCGCTCCGAAGCCAAGGACCGCCCATCGAAGCGGACTCCCGCACCGATATCGCACCAGTGGATCGTCTCGGGATCTACCCGCAGCGCATGATACGCTAGGGCAAGAAAGAAGTAACACCATTATTTGCTTTTCGATGCGCCATGACACGCAGAATTGCTGATCGTGGAGCACGAAATGATGGAAACATGACGAGGAATTACTGAGTGATGATCGATCGAATTGATGAAAAGCAAGAAAGGGCTTAAAGAAAGGAAGGTGCAGCGGAAGCAGCGAATAGAGCATTACTCGTGGTGGAAAGAGGAGGCGACTGGAACGGAGTATGTGAGGTGGATACCTAGGTAATGGACGATTGATCGTCTGACGAGTTGGCAGACTTACTGTGTAGTTGCAGGGAGATCAAGAGTGATGGCCCGCAGAGCATAGGCTTGTTGGAGAGGACACAGGAGCTCGAGTGTGCTAACCCGGGGGTTGGATGAAGAGATTGCCAAGGTGCGGAGAGAATAGTATGGGCCTTGTCAACTAGAGACTAAGGATTTCCAATCTCAAAATGAGAGGAACTGCGGGTTAGAGTCTATGCTGAACACCTCCAGGAATGTCTTTGCAGAGCCGAACAGATATGCTGCTGTGCGTCGCGAGCAATGTACCATCTCCACACTGTCCATGAAGGTCGAGGACAGATTCCGCTTCGAGTACCACACCCACTCCCTCGTGTCTCCTCATCTGCAATCTATTCTCTTACCGATGATATCTCCTTTTCACCTCAACAAAAGAATCCTTAGCCGAGCCTTCCGTTCCCCAGCTCGTTCGTGTAACCACCTTACCCCTTCAAATTAGTCACCAGAGCCGCACGTCTCAGCCCTCCTGCAGCGCTGTGCCCAAGAACCTTGGCCCAGCAGGTACGGCATTGGCTCCAGCAAAGAGGGGGAACGAGCACGCGGAGGAAGGTGCAGTGGCACACGACAGCGACGGGGGGTCGATGCTTGATTTGACGGGAGGGTACGGCACGGCATCGGTGTAGGATCAGGTATGAGTGCGTTAGACCGTTAAAGGAGGGGAGGTGTGCAGACCGGGGATGCGGTATGGTTTTAGTGAGAGCGTGGGGTGCATATTGAACGAGGTGCGGAGAGTCGGGATGAAATCATGGGAGAGGGTATGTAATGAACTGGGAGAGAGAACGGTCAGCTCGAGATGTGAAGAAGACGATAGTATGAAAACCAAGACTTGCCAATGCGGCCATCGCATGCTCGCTCTTCTCTTCCAAGATGATATCCGCTCCAAAACCCTCACTCTTCCCTTCTCATTCCCACCTCTTTCTTTCCCCGCACACGGCGTCCCGTCCGTTGCACACCGATCAGCTCAAAGTTCTGCAAAACAAATCCCACCTGCTCTCCACAGCCCAAAATGTGTTCACGCCTCGTTCGTCCCTTCCTCTCTCTTACGCGACCCAATCACCACTCTCCCGATTCATCTTCCCGCATATTCCTCCTCCCTGCACCTCCGCGGGAAACCCCAGCGGAGAATTTTTCGGCGCGCTTTTCCCCTCCCGAAAAAGTGAGGCAAGCAAGCGTAGTGCGTACACCAACTGACCCACGCGCCCTCCTTCCGCTTACATACACCGAGTTTCTTCTCCACCACAGCATGCTCGAAACAACGTCCACGTAACCGCACATAGATCTTAGCGAAACACGGCAGGCAAACCGAACATCGGCAAATGCGGCTCAAAAAAGGGACGCCAGAAGAGGCTTAGCGTTATTCACACCGCTTTCTCGTCATCTGCCCCTCTTTCCTTCCGCTTATCTCACTGCTGAGGCGTATGCCGGGTCGTTCGCTTCCGGTCGCGAGATTTGCCCACATTGAACGTCCGGGGTGAATGTCTTCGCAGGGAGGGCAGAGTAGGTATACGCTGTATACGCCGTTTACGCGGTGTTGGAAGAGAATTTCTGGGCTTGTAAAGAAACCATCGCGAATCCACCCGGTAGGTAGACTAAGCTTATCGCTCCCCTGCATCTTGCCGTGGGCTTCGGCTTTCCTCGCCTTCAGAACCGTGGTCCCCTTCCTCAGTAGTCCCATGATAGAAGACCAGGCTGGAGCCCCGCTTTCGAATCTCCCACCACAACGCCCAACGACGTGACGCACCACGGGACGTCGGCTTGGCCTACGAACCGCTTACCGTGCACCCCCGACCTCACAACACAGGGCATCACACAACGGGATCACTCTACATCAGCAGCTCGCGACCTTCGCTCCCTCGCGCCTTAGCATCCCCCGGACCTCTCCCTAAAAGCGGCCTGTGAGCCCAGTGAGGCCGCGGCCGCAGCCGGATCTTAAGATCTATCCACCACATGACGTGCATACGAACGTGCCCTTCCCTATCGCCTCGCACACCCCGCTATCACATCGTTCAATGCCTACAGTAGCACTACTAGTCCCGACTAACGGCTTGGATCTAACGTGATCGGCTACCACCCTCAAGGCTCCCCAAGCCCGTCTAGAAGGACATCGAAGGCCAGCCAAGCGCATGAGACAGCTGGGCACACGTACGTCCCACACCACACAAACCGTCAGCAGTGGTTCGCACCCCGTAATCCTTCTTCCGGAAGCTTCTGCATTCCGCTATGCCGGAATCCAATCCGCAGATTCTGCTCTTTGCTTTTTTTTTTCTTCTCATGCATGCGCGCCGTTCACGCCATCTCCTGTGATTCCGCAAGAAGCAAATTTTTCTTACTTCTTGATATTCATGCAGCGACAAGCCGAAGCTGGGGAAAACCCCTCAGTGTGGTGTGATATCGCTCGGCCGCCATCGCCTACCAGCGGGTAGAAGGAGACTTTCCGCTTCTTCGGAAATACAGTCCCTACATTGGAGGGGGGCTTGAAGGGATGCGATGGCAGAGAATAGGCGAAGGGCGACGGCATGTTGACAAGATTTGTATGTGTAAAAGCGCTGGATAGGGCGTGGGTGGAGAGGGCTTGACCTGGTTCGAAGATTGTTGACCAGGCCGGCTAGTGCTAGCCTGCTGCCAGATGACGGCATAGGGCCGGCCAATAGGGAATCGGCACGGGCTCAACGTGCGACATAGAGCTCACAAGGCGAAGGCATGTCGACATGTGAAGGAATCAAGTAAGATTAGGAAAGTGTGCCATCAAAAGGCCGTCGATATGTACGGACAGGAAGTGATAAAAGTAAAAATAAGGGAAATGTCAATGATACTTGTACATTGTTCCCTTGCCGTGACCCCTCTTTCCGCTGAGTATTACAGCTACAAGTGATCCCTTGAGGAAACGACAGAATGCCTTGGGCGAATCCAATCGCCGGTCCGTATACATCTACCGGGGCGTATGATAGAATAAATGAGCCCTCTTCGCCATGGTCGCATAGATGACAAGCTCAATCGAGCGTCTTGCGAAGGTTCGCTGCAACCTGAACGCCAACAATGCAATAAAGGAAATGGGCGGCATAAACATGGCTATGTCCAGCCATCGCCCATGTCGAAGCGGTGAGTCAAGGCCTTGCCGATCTTGTTCTCCGGCTTCGGTGGAACGTGGTGATGTAGATATTTCTTGGTGGTACTGATCTTAGGTGCCTGCTTCTTCTTGGTAGCGTCGACGCAGCAAGCCGGATCCTCGTAGTTTTCGGGGCAGCAGCAGTTGATGCTCTTGACACAGGTCGTCTCCAGAGTCTCGCGGATCGTGATCCGCTTGTCCGGAAGAGGGTGGAGCATCTTCAAAATCAAGCGCTTGATAGCCGGGGGATTGATCAAGCTGAAGAGCTTGCCGCACTTTGGATGACCGTCGTGGCCGTCGAAGATCTGGCCGTCGGGATGATCTTGTAACCAGTCATCCCAGCCCTTCTTGAACCTCGCATAGTACTCGAACTCAGGCTTGGCCGCCTGCCAAGGGCAGCCTCCAAAGGTCATGGTCAAGTAGACAATGGCGCAGGACCAGACATCGAGCGGGCGTGGATCGTAGCTGGCCTTCTTCTCAAGAACTTCAGGCGCAATGTATGGCAGACTGCCACAGATACCGGGTTCGCAGAGGCGCACTTCACCCATGTTCTTTCCGCATTCGCCACCAGCTGCGCGGAGGCCAGGATGTTCTCCGCTGAAAACTTCTGCGACGCCAAAATCAGATATCTTCAAATGGCCTTCCTGGTTCAGCAGTAAGTTCTCCAGCTTGATGTCCCGATGAGCGATTCCGTGGCTGTGTAGATAGTCGACACCCCGCAGCAGCTGCTTAAAGAAGCAAAGCCGGTCGTCCGGAGAATAGTATCCATCGGCTCCCCCCGCAAACAGCTTGCGTTCTACCAAGGTGAAAAGCTCGCCGTGAGCGCAGAATTCCATGACGTGGTTCCATCGGCCACGGTTGGTGCATAACCGCACGGTCTCGACCACGTTGGGGTGGTGCAGGCTCTTGGCGATGCTGTATTCTGACTTGATTTTCTTGATGTAGTCGTCTTCCGACTCGCCCTTATCGCGGCCGCGGAACTCCTTTACCGCGACGAGTTCCTCGTTTCGGAAAGTCCCCCTGCGGGCCATGATGCGGACTTCGGCGGTGGCTCCCTTGCCCAAACATTTTCCTCGTTTGCCAGGCATCAGGCTTGAGCTCTTGTACTCTTTGTCCAGATCGCAGGAGTCGACGACGAACTCATCTGGCAAGCTCAGGCTCAAACGACGAGCCTTCATGCCGACCCCCTCCACGGCCGGCCTGGAGAAGGTGGAGAGCATGCCAGCCGTCGGCTTCTCTTCATCGGATTCGAGCTTGGGTATTTGCTCGGTGCTCGCTGACCGTCTCCTTGACCACGTATGCCTCTTGTTGTTGCCATTGCCGCGCCCGCCATTTCCGGCCCATTGAATTTTCTGCTTGTTCATGCTGGAGAGAGCGGTAGACGAGCTTGAGTGCTTGTGGCCGTGTTTGGGCTTGTTTTGTTTGCCAGGACCCTCGTCGGATATGGTGCTTGTGGGTGAGCCGGGTGACGGTGGAGAGTTGGTTTGCGAGGACTTGGGGGAATTCCGCGCAGATAACGAGAAGGAGCTCAGTCGCCTGCCGAATTTGGGAATGTTGACCGCAGGAGTGGAAACTTCAGCCGGCCCGTCGACGCCGGTCTTGACGATCAATTTCTCGGTCTTGAGCCCGTCATTCTGGATATTGTTGGGCTTCTCATTTTGAGCATTTTTGAGTCTCTCGTTCAGGCCGTTGTTGTTCTGGTTGTGCCCGTCCTTGTGTGAAGGCACGCGGTGCAGCTTGTTGCGCACAAAAGAGCCCACGCGTTTTCCGAGGCCCGGTTTGTCTGTAGACGAAGATTGCTGCTCCGTCGGGGTGGCGGACTTGAGGTTCGACTGAGTCCGAGTGATGGGCGCCGGAGGGGGAGGGGGGTCCCGCATGGGGTGCGCGGGGCGAGGGAGGGGCTTCGCGTCGAGCTCCTTCATGGTGGACTGCGGCGTCACGAAGACGCCGTCTACAGCGTCATCTTGACGGAACTGCTGTGAAAAGGGCGTGCTCTCGCTGGTGTGGCTCGTCGGGGTGACTGGCTCGGGCGGCTCGCTCGCGGTCTCCGTGCTCTCGTCTTCCTCTGCAATTGGGGCTTGGGGCTCGATGAGGCGGGAGTCCCTGTGGACAAAGTGGCCGACGCCGGGCGGCTCGCTCTTAAACGGGTCGGCCAGATGTGGCGCGGTGGTAGCCATGGCAGGCATGGCAATATTGCGGGCGGTGAAGGGTATATTGGGATCGACAAACACGCTGTGCAAGGGTCACAGATCGGATCTGTGTGGAAGGGTCCGGGATGCCTCGTGGATGCGGGGTGCCGTGCAACGAGAACTACGCTCTCTGCAGCGAGCTGGGCTGGTGATAGGACGCTTCGAGAGAGGCGCGGCTGTGGAAGTGCAGGCCAGGGACCAGCGGGGACGTTATGCAGTAGTGTGGCAGACGTGTAAAAGCCATAAGACGGCGGTGCTGAGTCGGATTGGGGGCGTGCGGGTGTGCAATTCGGGCGCGGCGGTGGTGTTGAGGTTGAGGGGTGCGTTGGGGGACGGGTGCGGGCAAGGCGGGCGGGTGCTGGGTTAAGAAAGAGCGACCCAGGGGTGGGCCGGTGACGTTGAGGGTCGGAAGCCGGCAAGCGCGATGGGCGACGGCGACGGCGCTGCGCAGTGCAGGCGGGCGGCGGCGAACAAAGTGCAGCTCAACGCGAGCGGGCAGAGGCGGCACGCGTGCAGTAGTAGCAGCAGACAGCAGGGCGTCGTGCAGCGCTTAAGGGCCTTGCAGTCGAGGCTGCTGCGACGGAGAGCGGTTTCAAAGGGCCCAGGAGCACCGGACTGCGACCCATTTAACACTTGCTCTGGGCGTGAGGCTGGCCTGCGTGCATTCGCGCGGCCATGCACACCCCACTCGCCGTGCAGATGATCGGATCCAGCTCCTTTATCTTACGGGGCCCTTACCTTTACACCCTAGGCGCGCCGGTCGCTCACGGCCGCCGAGCCCGCGCACTGGGACTCGCAACGCAGCGCTGGTGCCGCGAAGCCTGGGAATCTCTGATTTGCGGCGATCGCGCGTCACCCCCGGCCGCCGGCTTGCCCGAAGCGGCCGTGGCCGAGTACGGTATACACGCTGGCCGATGCTACGCTGCTGCTGCTGCTGCTGCTGCTGCTGCTGCTCGCGACGACGACCAAGTCCGTAATTTACTGCGCACCCGCGGCCACACGGCTCTCTATTTTAAGCGCCCGCCTCCGCCGAGCTGATCTTGCCGTGGTGAGATGACGCCAATTGCGGCATTTTCGAGAACGGTTCGCGCCTGTCCGCCCTGGTCCTTTATACAGCCAAACACTGCTGTACCGCGCCCGCCCGCGACGTCGACAGTGGTGGGAATTCCGTCCGCTGTGCATGTTGGACAGCTCTGGCCTGCGCACGCTGCTCTCCGTCGACATTCCTCCCATGCAGTCTGCATTCTGCAGATGCAGTCCGCCCAACGCTCAGGGCAGCCGCGAGAGGCGACCAAAATGCTCGCGTCGTGGGGGTCTGGGGCAGGCTTCTCCTCACGTCCACCATCAGGCTGCATCGCCAGTCGGCTCTCCTCAACCAACCACATGCCACATGCGGGCCGTCATCTTGCCCAATATCGGGCCCTTCTCCTCTGCCCTTTCTTCTCCCACCCGATCGATTAATTGTGCTCCTTGCAGAATCCCCCGTCGCTGAGCACGCCCTGGCCAGCCTGTGACACCGCCCCGCGGTCCTGCTACACAACCCCGCAAAATCCTACGGAGGCGCAATTCGCATCTCTCCTTGACCGACTTCTTCATCACTCCCGAGGCCAATGGCATCGTACTCCACCCCTGTCTCGGCAGGCTCAAGCTTTACCACTTGGACTACCCGCACCGCTATCATTGAGCTCAGCAAGCGTCCATGTTCAGGACATGTCTTCACATTAAACCAGCTACTCTACCCTACCTTCATCCGCTCCTATCAATGACTCGCGGGCGGGATCGAGCCAGGTGACTTATTGCATCCCGTGCTGCACTGTCGTCCTCTACATGCGAATCGTGGCCGTCTCGCAATCGCACCTGCATCGTCCTGTCCTACGACCATCGTTGCCCGACTGGCTGCATCATTAAAGCTCCAACACTACTCCATTTGGAGGCGTCCAGCGGACTCTTTCAGGAGCGGCATGGCGGTGAGTCTGACGTCTTCGTATCCCAGACATAACCCCGCCAGGCCAATGCTTCTCTCCTCAATTCTCCCCGTCGTCTCCCCCACAGTCGCCTAATAGCGCACCTGCAGTAGTGGGAGCTTCACTCGAGCTTCAAGTGCATCGCAATGAATAATACCGCGGAACATGCCTAACCCGCATTGTCAGTTATTGGCGGTCCGTGCCCAACATCGTGGGGGAATTTGGCGACATCGGATCCAGGACAGCACGTGAGCATTTTCCTTTAACGTTTCGCCCATTACGCCCGGCCAAGAGCCTCATCAATGCTGTGTATCGTTGTACTTCTCCCTTTTGCTTCGGTATCCGAGTCTTTAGGCTTTCTCTTCCTTTCCAGTACGCCGCTTCTGTACTGCCCACTCGTAACGAAAAATACCCGGCTTCTTGTACCAAGCCGACCGGCGGCTTGTCTCATCGAATCTTCATCCCTTCGTCCCTTTACGTGGAACATCCATCGAGCGTCGTTACAATATCATTGCACCTATTTCTTGGCGCCTTGGTCTCCTCCATCTGGAGATCGTGCAGGGCGATCTCCAAGGGATCTTCAACGCACACACAGCACCAAGACGGGCGAGGTTGGCAACCAAGACCCTCCAACATGCACGTCAAACGTCGACTGCGCGGAATGATCGTCATCACCATTTACCACTCGCCTCCTTGTTTCTCCTGCTTCTGAAATGTTTTACAGAAACGGTCACGCTGGGCTGCCCGTCGCTCTTGGCAATTTCTCTTGATGAACTCTAAATTCCTCATTGGGGTTGCACCTTCCTTTCCACCGCGCTTGGCGGCCATCGACGGAATTTCTTGGCCTTTCATTCCAGTTATTCTCCGCGCTTGGCGGAGGCGCGATATGAACCTCATCTCTTCACTCTCGTTTCGAAACTCTACAGCAGATTGAATGCCCTCCGCTTCCTAAATCTCACCGGCTGGTAGTTGCTTGCTGGAATTCCGACCTACTGGTAGTGCGTCGAGTACGAAACGACCGTTCCTTGGCGTGGACAGCGCACCGTGATTACACGTACGAAGATTGCGAAGCAGGCATGGAGCCTCCAGTCTAGACTCTGTGGCCGGGCACAAATGGTCAGCGCATGGCGGGCTCACCAGCAACCACACACTCTGCTTGGCCAAACCTATCTCTTCTCAAACATCACCTAATTCGGAAACTGATCTGTGTATGACTGCGCATCCTACACGCAATCCGAGGCGCAGTTCGAACAAGCAAATTTGCTTGGCCGATTGCGGCTCCTACACCGCGGCGACGAAGCTTCTCACGACAAGACTTTTTGCTGGGAACAAGAAAAGCGACCATCGATGTGAAACGCCGAGCACTCGGCCCTTCTGACCTCAAGGCGCAGTGGGATAGTGAAAGAAACACCACTCAAGAACGCAGAGAAATGCCGCGCCAAGTCCTAGCACATCTCGTCGTACTTAGACGCCAAGAGCCCTGCACGACGCTGAGCACCGCCCATGCCAAAGCAGTCCTCTCCGCTGGGAGGGAGGTTGCAGCCCACCTCTTGGCTCAATCAACTCCCAGAGAGGGAGAAGTGCGGCAGCGGTTAGGCACAGGACACAGCGGACTTGGCAGACCTCCGACGTGACCTCCAATATGTAGCCGGCGGTTAGATTTCGGATTCCACCGATCATAGAGCCTCACTCTTTCATGATGGGGAAATGATCGTCATCCAAGAGCGCATGGAAAGTGCTGTGCATATGCGCCGACGCGGACCATGCAAGCCGGAAGATCTTCAGATAGCGCGCAACCATCCAGTAGGGGCGTCGTCCCATCCTGGAATCCGCCCATTCGGCCCCGACTTCTTGGCGTTGTGTTTCGGTATGCGAAGAAAGGTCCAAGACTTGCGGTGTTTTCGGGCAAATGCCGGTGGCATTGTGCAGTCCTTCAATGACTTGCATTATGACGGTCCGAAGCGGGTTTGCTGTATAGTGCCCAGTGCTCACAACGCATCTATTTGAGTCGCTGCGGGAGTAGGGACCCTCTTTCAGATCCGCGCTGGGAAAGCGCTCGATGGGATGGGGCTTTCAGCCGGCACAGGAGTGATGGAATGAATCCCCCGTCCGATCATCTATCCTCAGCGGCAGTAGAGCAAATCCTTTACAGCGCCAGTTGCGGCGGACTGACGCTGACAAAAGGTGCGTTCGCTGAAGACCATCATGACACATTCTAAGACGAAGTCTCACCAGCCAGTCGTTATGCAACACTCGGTTTCTTCATCGAGACAGCACCACCACCCAAGACTCCAGTAACGTTTACGTGCCACCGCCCCAAAGCCCCCCAATCACCCGTGGTGTACGACAGTCCTCAAACCGTCAGGTACAACAGATGCACAGCGCTAACATCACAAGCGCCCCTTTCGCTCGTCATGTCTCCACGCGGTCGTACGACGAAAGTGACAGTACCTCTTTCGGGATTGACCGCTGCGGGTAGCCGTGTATGACTCGGGACCTACTTCTGTGGCCGATGAGGCGGCTAGTTGAAGGCGTTGCGCAGAATATGAGCTGCCGCAGCAATTGTAAGAACTGTCAAATGCCGCGGCTAGGAGAACACGTTGGGCAATTGATGCAGGGCTCGCGCATAATAGCGATGTTACGGATTTAGCTATAGGGTGAAACGGCGCGCATGTGCCAGTGCGAGGGACGGTATGGTTTTGCCGCATAGGTAAAAGAATAGAAGTGAAGGACGTGTGTAGAGTCAGCCAGTGCCGAGCAGATACGCTTTGGAGCGATAGGTGAACGAGGAGCCACTCCAATCTGCGGGACTTGGAGGAACTGATGCATTATTACCCCTAGATTTTCCTTTCCAACGCAATTTCAGTGTCTCGCGTCACATATCGCTGCATTCGTCCATTAACGCTCAAGCGCTTCTGCTCTAAGTAGCCATTTCTATATTCACTAAATGGCAGATCAGTGATCCCGTTCATCCGCCGCCTCCCCCTAAAGACTTCTCTTTGCGTCCTGCTCAGTGCCAGCCCCTCGACCCACAAGTGCATATTAACAGCCCCTCGACGAGAAGCTCGACGATGGAAACCACGGGCATCAAGCCGGTAGTGCTTCCATGGCGCAATACTGTCAAAAGATATTGATCAATTGATCAGCAGCAGTCTGGAGCATGCAAGTTGTGGTTCAGTCTATGGGACTCCCAAGGTTCCGGAGCCGTCAATACGTAATCGCAAGCGAGATGCGCTTACGATTCAGAGATGCTGCTTAGTTGCGGCGAAAATGGCCTTGATATTTGGAGTGAGGCTGGCGTAGGATGGTGGAAAGCGCTGTGGTTGAGCTAATGACTGATGTTGGATTTATATCAATATTTCCTCTCCTGGTGCAATCATAGACCGTAAAGTAAGAACACCAGTCACCGTCCCTTTACCGCGAGTTGTCCATGAAAGACCCTTGCTACCTTGTTCTTCCGTCCCCTGAGCCTCTTCTCCACCTCAGCCATCTCTGCCCCCTGGAGCCCCTGCCGAATCCCGACCCATCTTGAAGCATTTCTGGTCCAGTGGTGTAATCCGTGTTGTCCTCAGGCCTGCTTATACACTCTTTCTCCCATACATTTTGACCGATCCCTCTAACGCAAAGCATACCGCACATCGCACATTGCTGATTTGGCTATCTCAATCTAATCCGGTAGATCCTGTTCGGGGGAGTGCGAGCTTCGACACATCAAGACTTTCAAGGGTTGTAGTACCGCAAATGCCGTGCGTATCCTTCGATTCCATTATAACCCGGAGCTGAGCATCGCGTACTCAGTAAAACTGTGCTTGTACTGTGTCGATCCTTCTAGATTTTGCAGTGGTGGCTTTGGTGATGAACATAGATAGCATAGTCGGCCGTCAATTGCGTTATTGGCTGGTGCGTCGGTTCCTGAACCGTTCCAGAGTACGTGTGACGGATCTAGTGAAAAGGGTGGGCTGTCGATGACGGCTGTCGCCTCTGGCGATGAGTTCGTAGGATCGCTGTTGGGTTCTTGTAGTCGCGGTCTGGCTGAAGGCCGGCTAGGCGAGGGATTAAGGGGGCGGGCTGGTATCCTTGAAGATGTGGTGTATGGTGTGTGAAGCGGGGCTGTAAGAGGAGTTGGAATAGAGAGTGAAGGAGGAGAGAGAGGAGGATCGACACGGTGGAGAAATGAAGGCACAAGGCTTAAAAGCCGAGATCACGGCGACCGACCGCTCAGTCTTACAAGCTTGATCCAGACGGTGCAATGTAAATGTGAACGAGAAGATTAGAAAACGACACAGAGACAACAAAGAGAACGAGCAAGGATTCGCGAGAACAAGGAAAAAAATTTAAGCAATGTAAAGCACTTCAGGCTGCTCCATGCCAACTGGAGCCTTAAGCTATCTCATCGGTCTTTTTCGTGCAAAGGTCTTAATTTCCTGGAGTCAATCCTCAATGCGACCTCAAAGCCTCACCACATCTCCCACACACCATCCGGAAGCACAGTCCTCATAATCCTCCAATGGCTAACCGCCCCCTGCTTATGGAACTTCTCCAACTCGCCCACATCCGCCCTCCGCATCACCTTCCCGCCCCTCTCCGGCTCTACAAGCTCATAGTTAATCTCCTGGTCCGGCTTCGGCTGCAAAAAGTTCCTCCGTGCAATGCTGCCCTTGAAGTCATCCTCGTCCGCCTTCCTGAACCCAATCGCAAGTTTTCCCTTGTTGTGATCATTCTTGACGCAGAAGACGACCATGTTGATGAAGTCCGGATCGCCGGGCTTCCAATTCGCCGGAGGCGGTGAGTCCCGGAACAAGCGACAGGCGGGGAACACGGAGTGAATGGTGTTGAGGACAAGGCGTGTTGAGCCGAGGGAGAGATCGCCGGCGTAGTTGATGGCTACGACGCCGTCATCCGTGAGGAGGGTATATAATCCTTGGAAGAATTCTTGCGTGAAGAGATAAACGGGTTCGGCGCCGCCAGTGAAGACGTCATGGATGATGTAGTTGAAAGAGCCCGGGTTGGTTTTGGATTTGGAGTGGACGTATTGGACCGCATCGTCGATGACGGCGGTGTGGTTGGGCGAGAGGTCGAAGTATTTGGTGGCGTAATGATGGACAACTGGGTCGAGCTCCACGATGGTGGTGTTGATACTGTGTGAGATCATGGCATTCGGGGCGGTGCCGATGCCGAGGCCGATATTCAGAGCTGACTTTTGGGAGTCAGGAATTGGCTCAATGTCTGCTGCTTCATCTTCGACCAAGCGGACGGCCTCTAGGAGCACGAAGACGGAGAAGATGGTTTCCCGCTGTCTCTGTCCCTTGGCATATGCCGAAGGTGTCACCATCCATTCTCCGCCAAGTAGGGAGTGATCGCAGCGAAGAATGCGGAAAGCAGCATCCTCGTGGTTTTCCAGGACTGAGACATATCCAGTGACAGATTCTTGGCGGGCTAGAAGCGTGAAGTTCTGGGAAGAGGTGAGAGTCGCGTTGGCCTTCTGAAAAGCGTACTCTGACGGGTGATGAGGATTTGCCCACAAGGTGTGCAGAATAGCTGGAAAGGCCAACAAAACCACCCTAGAAGGAGTCAGGAAAGCAGAAGCTGATCCAACTAGCATTTGAAAACCAATTCGAGTGAAGTAGATGTGGTTTCCAACCAGAGACGGAAGAATGGCTCCTACTATTTTCGACGTGGTGGAGACGGTGAAGTACGACGCTGTTGGGAACAGTATTTCCGCGATCGACGTCGGAAGATTGAATTGACTCAGGTCGATCGTGTCCAGGAGGTCGGCTGCTGCGTATACTGAGAGAAATAGCAAGGGCAAATATGTGAGGGATTCTATAAGCAATGGGCCATAGTCGATTCCAAGCTGGCCACTGTACTGGAACAGGAGGAACTGGATGACCGGAGTCCAGTATGCAACGACAGCGATGTACTCGGAGGCCGCAGAGGGAAAGTATCTCCTCAGTGTTCCCCTTCCGATTAAGGCAGCAACCGCTGTGAAGGTCATGCTCCTTTGATGGTGTAGAGATGCGGGAATGGAGCCGTATACCGGAGAAAGATTGAGCTGGGAGATCGGGGAAGCGATTCCCGCAATAAGGAGCAAAGCTGCTGCTCGTCCGACATTCTTGAGTATGGTTGTTGTTGGAAGCTGTCGTGCTTGTTTTTCCGCCTCTCTAGCTGCCTTTGGCTTCTTCACAGTCTTTTGTCTTGAAGACATACTGAAAAAAGTCTGAAGTTAAGACCAGCCCTCTGGTCGTTGGATGAAGGTATTGCTGAGCTCAAAACATCGAAGGGTATCCCGAATGCCAGAATGGAGATCCTGTGAGCAACGGGAAAAGACCAGATATAAGAGAATGAACACCACGAGATCCTAGCTCCTTTGTTTCGCTATTGCGGACCGTTGTGCCGCAGAAGCGCCATGCGGAGGTACAGACGAAGAAGTGTGCTGAAGAGCAGACGCAGGAATTTGTATACCAAGAATGCGTCTTAAGGAATTAAATATCCAAGAAGGACAGCTGGTGCTGTACCGACTGCGGAGATGTTTTGAAGCAGGGGTGAAACAGCCGGCTGGGGGTGCGGTCGCCGGCGCTGTTTTGGGTTTAGCACGGCATGGAGCGAGTGTGGCGCGCGAGCCGTGGCGTCATAAATAAAACTCCCAACTTCGAGATCTCTTTCCTTTCCATGTGGGCGGCTTTTTACTAACGTCTCCGATTCAGCTAGGAGCATGCCGTATCTGACCGGCTCCCCGATCATGACGCAGCTTGCGCTTCGACCTGCTAGCGACCCCGTGTTGTCGACGGACGCGAACGCGGGCGCGAATCCCTCGGCGACGGACAGTCCCACGGCTGCCTCGACGGAGCTGGTAGTCGCGGATGAAGACGGGGACACCTTTATGGAAGATTATGACCGGGTCCGGGAGGAGCGCTCTCAGAAGCTGAAGGCGAAGAACCGACGCAAGCGATACCTCGAAGTCCACCCAGAGTACTTCGACGACGACTCGCTCGAACTTGTCGACCCAGTCCTCTACGACCGCCTGATCCGCCGTTTCCAAACCGCCGCAGAACGCGAAGCTGAGCAGCTCAGGAGGGGGTTCTCGGGACAAGCAGCGGCACACCTATGGCGAGCCGAAGCTAAGAAAGACGCGCTCCGCCATCCGATCCCACACTCGCTCTTCTTTTGCACCCGCGGCCCCAATGGCGAGATTCTGGAGGAGGACAAAGATGAAGAGCCTATGTCAAAGGAGGAGGCCAGGGCGTGGTGGATTGACGAGATGACGCAGCGCTTCCTTCGCGGCGAGGACTTCGACTTCGACTATAAAACAGTCGACGAGAGCGAGGAATACAACGATCCGGAGGAGGAACGCGACAGAGAGGATGCCTATTTCGACAGCATGGAGTCTGATTATGACTTGGATGACGACGGCAAAGAGAGGGTCCTCACCGGGGAGACTGGCATTCAAGACTTCTGAAGCAGAGGCGGGGGTTCACGGACTCTGGCACTACATGTTTCGGTATGCATACTGGCATTTCTTGGAAAGTCACTTCTGAAGACTTTCGGTAGGTGAAGACCGACGGAGTGGACTTGCCTGGACTTTCGCCTGGGACATTTGCTCGTGTGCACGAAGACATTTGGGCAGACTTGCGGCAAAGACAGCTCAAGCTCTAGCTCCATTCATGTGCTTTAGACTAGTGGTCTCTCCAGGTAAGAGATGAGAAATCTAATCTCAACAGCACTATCTGACAAAATTCCAGGCTACAACACGTACTGGAAGGTGATCGCGCGATCGCCTAGCTCACCAAGCTCCTCCGGCGTATATCCATTGTGCGCGTTTTCCGCCAACTGCCTCGCTCGCTTGGCATTAATTCTGCGGTAGTTGAAGACTAGTACCAGCCCAGCGAGGATGCCTACTATAATAAAAGCAAGCTCAAGAGAATGACCCAGTACATAATGTGGTGCGTCCTTTGATCGATAGAAGTTCGACGCCATAGCTGTGTGACCGTCAGTTCAGGTCATTTGAGACGGCTTCGATGAAGACTTACCGCCTGCAAGATTTCCCATGGCGATCTGGATCGCTTGGCCGGTAGCTCGCTTCGTCGAACCAGCGAGATCTGGCAATAGTCAGCGAGTGATAAGTGTGTAGTCTAGGGAGCGCTGACTGGCAGAAAGCCACGTAATATTTCCGGGAAAAGCAGGATAGAGAGCGCAAGCAGCGATGAAAACGCCAGCGTAGACCACTCCCGGCGTAGTCGTCGATATGCACATGATGAAGCCGACAGCCATAATACAGAGCCCACCCAGGATGAAAGGTGACCGCTTCCCGTAACGATCACTAACGTACGCCGTTCCAATAGCGAGGACTGAAGCGGTGATGTAGATTGGAACGGTCAGGAGCTGGGCTGTGGAGCTGGTGTATCCGAGAGCTTTGATGATAGTTGGCAGGAAAAGTGAGATGCCGTACAGAGGCGCAACGATACCCCAGTACACCCAGATATTCACCTTCAATTCATCAGTATCGCTCATCTTATCCATCTGGCCCCGGACTTCCACTTACCCAAATCTGCCAGTCAAGAAAAGCCGCCTTAACAAATTTCCACTGGAATGTATCGTCCTGCGCAACTCGCACCTCGTTCTTTCGCTGCCCCTGATACTTTAGCCGGTAGACGATAAAGGCGCGTTCTTCCTCGGTCAGGAACGTTGCTGTTTCTGGGAAGTCGAAGAGCGTAAAGTATGCGATCACAGCTACTATGACGGTCAAGATACCTTCAAGAATGAAAATCCAGCGCCAGCCCGCTAGGTTACCGACGCCGTCCATCTTCGAGATTCCGAAGGCCAGCAGGCCAGAGAATGCGCCCGCAATGGATGCGGCGCTAAAGAAGAGTGCCTGCCGAAGTTGGGCTTCGTGGCGGCAGTACCTGAACGAGATCAGCAAGATGCTACGTACGGCAGAGCCTCTAGAATACATACCACATGGTGATATAATATGCGACACCTGGGAAAAGACTACGTTCGTCAGCTTACGCCTTTCCATTAAGCCTGCAGCTTACTTACCCTGCTTCCGTCACACCTAGAAAGATCCGCGCAATTAATAACCCTTTGTAATCCTGTACAATCCCCATCAAAGTCATAACAATCCCCCATGCCACCATAATACTCGGCAGCCAGATACTCGGCCTTAGTTTCTTTAATAGTAGATTACTCGGCACCTCGAAAGCGGCATAAGTGAAGAAGAACACCGTTAAGCACCAGTTATACTGAGGACCCGTCATCCCGAGGTCCTCCACCAGACCCTCGATCTTCGCGTTGCCGATGTTGCCCCTGTCCAGGAACGAGAGGAGGTATAGCAGGGCCAGCATAGGGATCAACCGCAAGTCCATCTTCCGCAGGATCTTCTTCTCATCCAGATGCGCAAACGAATTCATAGACACGCCTGGCGCGGTGGCCAGCGCATCTATGCGGGCCTTTTCTTCGGATTTGGTGTGGTGCTTGCCATGGTCGTGGTGGTGGCCGACGGCGACGGGTTTGATGCTGTCGTGCTCGTTGATGGACCCGCTCCGGGGACTGTCTTGGCCTCCTCCTTCGGATTTGATGGCTTCGGGTTTCTCCATCGTGCAAAGAGGATGCAGTCGGGACTTGAGAAGCCGAAGATGGGGTCGGAGCTGGGATGGGAGGCGGTGTTGAAGAAATTGTAATCCACGGTGACGGTAGATCTGGGGAGGGGAGTGGTTAAGTAGGATGGTGTACGAGACTAGGTCCCGAGATAGTTTGTATATGCGGTAGGTGGAGCACCAGAGGCGGAGGTCCTAGTCCAGGGTGCTGGCTGCTGGCTGCAGGGAACCTTGGAAGGAAGGAGAAGGTTTTCGGATGGGATGTGGTGGATCTAGTAAGTAGTGCCGTGTTGTCGAACTTGGCGGGACGACTACGAATACTTGGATGACGGGACGATACGATGCAGCAGCAAAACGCAGCGTACACCCGTGAACCAGTTCGTCGAAGCTCGATCTACACTCTTCCTCGTGGCGGGGAGTAAACCCTGAATATAACCCCGCTGTCAGTCCAGGCCTGTCCCGTTCAACCCCAGCGAATCCACCCACGTCAACCATCCGATCGGCTTCCCGCATGCTTTCGGTCTCCATCCACCCATCCATCCACCCACAAAACAAGCGGGAAGTAAGTCAAGTTCCCTCGGCATCGGCCTTTGAACCCCATCCCATCACCCTCGTATCCGCCGTTGACGCAAGCCGAGCCGGCGCCACCACCAGCCAGTTAAAAGACTTAGACACGCTTATCTTGCGCCTTTGACGCACGCCAACCCCGGCCATGGCCTGCCAATACCGCCACCCTTACCACACTACTCTCTCACCTGTTTTACAAAGTATGGGGATCTGCTTTCTTGGAACACCTTTTGCTGTGGGTCGAAGCTGGGGTTGCGAAATTTCTGGGGCCCCGCTTCTCCTTGAAGAAGAAGGCGTAAGCGAGGCCCGGGTCGGATGAGGGGCCCCTGGTCTGGTCTGGGCGGTGGCACACGCCATGCGAGATTATCGGATGAGCAGAGGAAAATGTGAGAGGGATGGGTTGCTGTATGAGGAAGGTCGTGAGGGAACTGTGGAGTTTTGTGGAGTCGCGGAGTCGGGATGCGGAGAGATTCCGCGCTTGGCATCAGCATTCTGCGTTTTCATGTCCATTTGGCCGGACTCTTAAAGACAACCCGGCGAGCGGGACTCCTCACATCTAGTTGCTTTGTTGCGTGTGGGAAAGCTTGCGATCCGCTTTCCCTCCTACTTGGAGTGCTTCGTGTACAAACTTTGCACAACATTGGATGCTGCATGGCGAATCGTCCAAGGAGAGGATGTTTACAGAGTTGATTCTAGTCCTCGCTGTCCGATGAGAGGTCATGCAGAGTCGAAAAGAAAGTTGGGATGGTTTCGGATACCGAGTTGCACTAGAGTATTCACTCTCGCTTCTACTCTAAGCTCGAACAGGCTAGCGCGGAATTAATGGGAAATGCGACGGGTCACTTCATCGAAACACCCTCACTCAGGGGCCTCCTATACCTCATGGACAGAACTAGAAATATTGAGGTAAAGCGCAGAGAGTTTTGGGTCGTAGTGTGTCAAGCAAGTGGTACTTCGTCACCAGTTAGGGCCCCAATCAGAGCTACTGCTCGCCAAGGTTCCAAGATCACTTCTAAGAGCCCATAAATGTAGCGATGAAGCATTTATCTATTCTAAGTATGGACGCCAACCCAGAATGACCGAATACCACTCAGTCCTAGGTATCATCAATCAACGTAAGGAAACGAATGTGCTTATATCAATACAGCAAAATAACAACACAGAAGTGGATAGACTGTCGAGCACCGAGATGTAAGAGAGGTCGTGGATATCATCAGTTGACGTAAGGAAACGAGAGACAGTACAAGGTACAAGTAATACAAACGCGGCCGTGAACAAACAAGTACAAAAGACAGCAAAGGAAGCGAAGGGTAAGATGGAGTGATCCAAAAGCTAGGCTCTAGGGGTATCGCTCATAACTCGTGAACAAAACAGTAAAGTGTGAAAGGCCGTCAAAGGGGGAAGGGGGAATCGTGAAAGCGCAACTCACAGAAACATGAAGCGAAGAAAAGACAGAAAAGTAAAGAGGAACAAAAAGAGACGAAGGAGATGAACAAGAAGCAGAAGGGAAGGAAACAAAGCTAAGAAGAGATGTCCGAAGGAAATGGTGAAGCGATTGGTGTGTGATGTTGATGCCACTGGTGCTAGATGGCATCGAGTTGCAGGGCATATCGGACGTTGTCGAAGAGTCCGTCCCAACGCCGTCGACCTGCTTCGCTGGAGACGGAATCGAGTCATGACCAGAGCCATTCAATAACTTCCACGGCTAACGGTACGCGCCGCAAGCAGGACAGAAGTCCGGAGTCAAGCTGGAGTTCGCAGTGCCACAGTTGTTGCAGACCCATGAACCTTCAGCTGCGGAGCCGGCACCGCCCAGAGTAGTGAGAGGGATGCTGTCCCGGACCCGCATGGCCGTCCTGGTCCCTATATTGCACAAAGGACATACATCGTACCAATCCCTATTCTCGCCACCACATTCTGAGCAGATCCACACATCATCGGGGATGCCGTCGGCATTGTTGATGAATGGTCCTCCCCCACGACAGAGCGTGTTGATGTCGCACTGCCCTTCAGATGGGATGCAAGGTGAAGGGGTAGTATGGATATGGCTCGAACTGTAGTTGAGTTCTGGATGGCCTGGGAAAAGCCCTGTCCTCTTCGGGTATTGCTCGCCGGGTCCGATGCAGCAGTGATCTTTGGTATGGCCACACACGGGGCATTGATCGGCGGTCAGTTCAATCAAATTGCCTCCATTACACTCCCCGCAGATCCACATATCCTCAGGGACTTCACCAGTATGTGGTTGAGCCATGTTCATGATGGGTCGCGTAACGCTTGATGTTTCGTGATGTACGGACGAGGCGGTCGAAGAGCTCTTGCGGTAGACTGGCGCGACGACGATTGCGCTAGTGGGATTTGGTTGACGAAAGGAGATCCTTCCTCTGAGCCACTTTGGAAACTGGCACGACGCAGAAGAGACGGGAGAATCAAGGGCTGTGGAGGTGATGGGGTCTGACCCGCTTGGCTAGGACCTGCGTGTGGGTGGTCGGAGATGTTTCTTGCGGTGAGATGAAGGGGGTCGTACTGGTCGGAACTGCGGAAAGTGCTTGGAGTGGAAGAGTGGGCTTTGGGATGCCCTCTTGTTGAGCAGGGCAAGCAATGGTCGAAGGAGAGCCCAAGAAGGGTAATAAAGCCACCGAGAAAGGAGGGGAAGAAAGGGATATCAAGCGCAATGACTGATTTTGCTGGAGAAGCTGTGTTGGTTGAGAAAGCTGAAGCGTGTGTTTGATATGGGATGAAACGACGAGAACCAAATCTTTATAGACAGCAAATGGAGGACGAAGGAAACGCAGAGCGCCTTGAAACTTGCCCTTACCATCATGGAAACCCAAAGGGGCAACCATCATGATGCTGGTGCCCTATCCCTCAACTTCGTGAGCCCCTCCGCCGGCGAAGGAGACCGCCGTGAAGCGCCTGAAGTCGGAACAATCAGATTCGCTGCTTCGCATGTTGTAACATAACATGGTCGTAGAAGCCCGACGGAGGACGTCAAAAAGCAGGAAATGAGTATCGTCTCGTCGATATCAAGTGACCATATGGTCGCGGCAAAGAAGGCGTAACGAGAGCTAGCGCCAGCCTTATTGAGTAATTAACGGGTTTTGTGGCTTCGCAAACGCGGACACTTAGCAGAAGCCTCACTTGCATTGGCCCGTCGGATCAGCCACAGTAACCGATCGGGCGGTGAGAAGAAGGCGCGCGGAACGTTCTTTGAATTCTACGCGATTGCCATTGCCGATTCGCGAATTCATGTCGCGTGAACCTAATAGATGCCTTTCAGATGTTAACCTTGATCAACGGGCCGATTCTCGGAGGGACCATGACTCCTTTCGCGGTGAAGAGGGATGCTTTTGACCGCCCTATCGATCGTCAGCTATTCATACGAAGCAACAGGAGCTGGAGATGTGGGAGGGCGTGATGACGTCGAAACCCGGCCGCGAATCCTCCCGTTACTAAAAGCGTGCCTTCACGTCCTGGACTGGAAAGAGAAGCGCTCGCTAACGGCGGAACAACTACCAATTCGGCGTGTCTGCTGCGGTTGCTGCCTTGCGAGGTTGAGGGGCAAGTAAACAAGGCTGTCGCTGCGGCGGACGGCGTAAGCTGAATGCATCGTGTGAGCCCGAAAGAATACCCGTAATCAGTAAGTCCAACCGCCCCATTGCCTTGTAGTCTCCGTACAGTGAGGGTGTGAAAGCCGTGCGTAAGCGTGTCGGGGCCGTCACGGGTACAGCAGGAGGACCTCTGCGGCCTGATTTCTCAGACCATGGGTATCGACGGTACGTACCCAACAGGCGAAAGCTACACCAAGGGGCGACTATCGTGTGATACCTTTTGGAGACGGGACGGGATGACATCAGACGAGTTGAGGGGTTGGAGTGATGAGTCGAGGATGGTGTTGGTCGGCGGGCGTTTGATGTTTCGTGCCTGCGCTTAGCCGAAAGCGGCACCCGCATCGTGGAGTCGGACGCTGATGCGCGACCATGTGATCCGAGGTGACATCAATCGAGGAGCTGCGAAATCGGCGTGGCTGTGTTTGTTCCACAATGGGATACAGCAGAGCCGCATATCCAGACTGCCGCAGAAATGCGTGTCGGCTTCGGCAGGATGCGGCCGCGGTGGGAAAAAGCATCCAGGCTCTAACAAGCCGAGAGAAACCAGAGATCTGGTCGTCTTCATGAGGACAAGAAACGGACCAAGCTGCAGGGCGTTCCTCTGCACATGGTAGGAGCCCTATCGTACCAAAGGTATGCGGTCCTTTACAGAACGGGGAAATTGGTTGACCGACGCATTCATGCTGCTCGGTCACACGCTGCGGATCATTGTATCGATGCTTGTTATGGACCGCTGCTTGTAAGGTTAACTCAGACACTAGCGCTGGGGTACGTCCTTGGATGACGGCACTGAGAGCTTACGATAAGTCCTCCTCTCTGGCTGAGCATCCTGTATGCCCAGGCAGTTTCAGCATTCACCACTTAAAGGTGCATATTCCAGACTCTATGATGCAATTCAAGACTCTACGTCGAAGTGCGGGAGCTCTAGCGTCACAAAACAGACAGATCAACTGGCGAACGTGGGTGCACTAAGGAGTCGGAAGACTGGGCATCCCCGACGTAGGCTTGCGTGCTGGATTGCAGCTGTATGCGAGGTCGAGTGTGGGTTCAGTTAGATCCGGTTGAAGTCGCTGCAGCGTGAATCCAAGACGACGTGGACTACCAAATAGCAATAGTCACATTACCGGGATGTATCTATCAGTGACCTCTGGATAGGTGCAATGACAGCAGATTACAACACAATGCGGAAGATGACGGGTAATAACATCTCCAAATTTCATATATGTCGTGTCATCTTCCTTCCTGGATCATGATCGCTACCTCCCCAAGCTGTAGATACGGGGTTTGGTAAGGCATAGTGCCGTTATCTGAAGCGCAGGGCACGCTTGAACGCCAAATTAAAACAGGCCAAAAGGACTTAGAACAGCCAGGAAACAAAAGTCCGGTAGAACCATCCACCTTTCTTGTTGCCCTTGGTCGCCGCTTGATGGGCCAGGAAGGCCTCTTCTTCGCGATCGATTTCGTCCTTGCCGGTGTAGAAGTCAGCCTCGTGTGGCAGTACTTGCTTGCTCTTCATGATGAATTTGTATCCTTTTTCCAAGTTAGCGACATTCTTCAAGAGATTCGAGGGTGCTTTCGCATCAAGAGCCCCTTTGAGGACAAGGGAAGCTTACCGAAAATACAGATCAAATAGACTGGAATGCCAAGGTAGCCCGTGACCTCGTTTTCATTAGTTTTTCGTCGCTTAAGGGGGCTGAGTTACTTACGAAGTTCTTGTAGTCGAAATTGCCGTATTTGCCCTTAGTGAACACGTTGAAGTTCTTCGTAAGAGCAATCAGAACGCAGAAGGACAGCCCAATGTACGAACCCCAAATTCCGAGTGGCGCGACATACGGCATCTGGTCATCAGTGATACCTTGCGCCTTGCGGGCCCGGACAAAGTAGATGTGGGTGACCAGCAGAGAGATCCAAGAGCAGAGACCGAAGATGGTGACCAGATTAACGAAATAGCTGAAGACGGTGGATGAGTCACTCGCTGCATTCATGAACGCGCTGCAGCAGAACAGTGCCGAGATACCCAAAGCGGGAACGGGAACACCCCGCGTGTCGGTCCATCGGAAGATTTTAGGGGCGTGGCCGCGCTCGGCTAGACCGAAGAGGGTACGAGAGGCAATGTACAGGTCCGAGTTCGAGGCGCTGAAGGTGAACAGCAGGATACATCCATTAAGGATGCCGGGGAGGTGCGGGATGCCAGCGAGCCTGATCGCGACAACGAAAGGGGATGCGGAAGCGCTAGCTTTCGTGTTAACGGCCGTCTTTAGGTCATCCGAGTCGTAGGGTACGAGCATGCCAAGAAAGAAGACGCTAAGGCAGTAGAAGAACAGGATTCGGTAGAAGGTCAGCTTGATGGCGCGAGGGATGGTCTTGCGTGGGTTCTGGGCCTCTCCGACAGTGACACCGATAAGTTCCGTTCCTAAGTAGGCAAATACAGCATTGACGAACGAGCTCCAGAAGCCATAAAACCTTCCGGCATCTCCCTTGTCAATGTATTCCGCAAAGGCGCCTGGATCCTTGTAGTACTTGAATCCAGTCGCTGGACCGGGACCCGCGCCAACGGCAAGGAGGAAGGAGAGTAGGATCAGGCCGACAATGACGACGACTTTGATCGAACTCAACCAAAACTCCAACTCTCCGAAAAATCTGATACCGAAGTAGTTGATAGCTATGATTGTGACCATGAAGATCGCTATCCATACTCCGGGATTGACTTCGGTCGCTGGCTTCCATTCCTGGATGATCAAGGCCGAAGCTGTAAGCTGGTTCGGTGTGGTTATAACGTATTTGCACCAGTATGTCCATCCAAGGGCAAAGCCAAGAGCAGGGTCTACGAATCTTGAAGCGTATCCACTGAAGCCAGAAGCGTGAGGAAGCCATGCCGCCATCTCGCCAAGACCGCACATGACGATGTAGACCAGAAGACCGACGGCGGTGTACGAGATGAGGATCGAAGCAGGTCTATATGTGTCAGCTTTGGACATATTCCCAGTCGAAGCCACATACCCAGATTGTTGCAGCGCCTTTCCGGTACCAATGATGAGACCAGTTCCAATCGCACCGCCGATGGCAATCATAGTAATGTGACGAGACTTCAATCCACGGTGAAGATGCTGGTGGTCACGGTAGTCGACGGCTCCATCAGAGGCAAGCTGCATCGGCTGCTCCACCTCGGCCGTATACTCAGTCTTGCCTATTTCCGCATTTGCACCATCAGAGGAACCCGAGTTCCTCTTGAAAATCGCCATTTTTGCTGTAGGAGCCTGCTGGCTGGGTGCGCGAACTTGTAGTCGTTGGAAGGTGGAGAATGTATCCTTGGCAGAGAGCCCACTACGTGAGAGGCTTCGGGAGGGGCGCAATGCGCGAGTGAAGCGAACTCGAGATCTCGCGAGGGTGGCGAATTTCGTGGAGATGGCGTCCCTCTAAGTACCCAGGCAATACGAGGCAGGCGGAAGAGCCTTGGGAGCCGTGGAGCCTTGTACCTCGCGTTCGACGTCTTCACCGGATGATATACGGCGCAAGGCTAAGCCGAGCCTCGAAAGCTGTGCTGATAACAAGCACAACCAGCAAGGCTTACTCGGGGCGCCACCAGGCTGGCGAAGTAACCCAAGGGAAGAGCCAAGAGGATGTCAAGCAAGTGAAAAGTGAAGCTCGTGAAACGCGACGTTAGCCTCTCGTCGAGGGCGTTCCAGGTCTTATACGTCTCCAATCGCCAGGTTCAGCAGATAATCCTCGTGCACACGCGGTCCCCGCTGCGCGCGACGGCCACTGCAGCTTCCTCTACGGGTAGGGTCTGTTTTAATCTGCACCTTCTGGTACGCCCTTGGCGTGACATTGGCGGATTGGCAGTCGATTGCCAAGGCCTTGGGAGCGGTAATCCCTTGCTTCTCGCCATTGCGTGCTGATAAGCGGCTGTTGGAGCTTCTAGAAACCGAAGGAAAGCGCCGACGCGTTGGGAGCTGCCGCCGTGGAAACTCCCGCGCTGCTGATCTTTGAGTGTTGAGATGGACTAACAGTCGAATTTTGATGTCCGCTTGGCTGCAAAAAGGTGGTGTTGTTGAAGCTCAAGCGAAGCTATGCGAAGAAAGCCGGCTGTCAGCAACGGCGCCGCCCACACCGGCCCATGCCCGATGCGGACTAGCACGTACCGCATCCTTGCCGCCACAACACCACTTCAACCCAGAGCAAGGAATCGTCGCGTGGTCAATTGCTGTACAGGGCTCCTGATGGTGAGACCTTCGAGGAGATTTACCTGCTTTGTGTTCCAGAAAGAACTAAGACAGCCGTCTTGCGTTACCGAGGGCTGCGGCTGTTGCCAGAAAGCCGAGGCTGAAATTGATTGCTGCGCCACTCAGATAGACGTGTGTATCTCGAAGGATTCTAAGACTTCACCCCATGGGTACCACTTGTTAAGCCCCGGCATTGTGGCTTCAGCTAGACGGGTCGTTGGGAACGCAGTGCTTTTGCCAAGATGTTGGCTATCTCCGCCGTTCCATAGGTTTGTGCGATGCTTGAGAGATGTGGGAAAGATGGACAGAGACAGAGCTTCTATCCACCTCGCACAATACAGCTATCATCCAGGTTAAACCCGCCCAGGATATCAATCAAACCATCGTCATAGTCCGGCTGCACATCCCTCCCTTCCTCATCCAGACACCCCAGGTAGTTCGTAATGTCCCTCCCGTCGAGCTCGCGCATTTCGAACCCATTTCCCATGAATGCAAAGCAATTCTCATCCCAGTACTCAATGTCAAAGTCCTCATACCGTGGGCTCTTCATGATCTCTAAGAAGTGCAGTCGGCTGCCGGGCCAAATAGCGGCTTGGCCGTCTGTCTTGCCCTGCTTGAACCAAGAGCGACACGGGGAAGTCCAGGCTGTGCGTTGCAGAAATAGGTCTGCGTGCTGGCGGAATTGCTGTGACACTGTGAACTTGGGGCGCAGCGACTTTATGTTCTCGACCTGCACTTTGGTGATCACTGCGAAGATGTAGCGGGTCCATTGCTCGATGAGCGGCATAAAGGAGCCGTGTCCGAGCGGTCCGTATGGGCCACAGTAGCTAAACGTGTTCGGGAACGTGGGTATGCCGACACTGAGGTACGACGTCACTCCGTTCTTGGGGCCCCAAAGGTCCTTCAGATCCGTGCCGTAGGCGATGAAAGGAAAGCGAGGCAACCATGAAGTGTCAAAGCCGGTGGCGCAGATGATGATATCGACATCGTGGTTGTTGCCTTCGCCGTCTATGAAGCCGGTTTCGGTGATGGATTGGACGGGATCTGTGAAGATGGTTGTGTTGTCCGCGACGAGTGCTTCTAAGTAACCGGGCGCTGGGGTCGGGCGTCTGCATCCAGGATTGAAGTTCTTAGGAATCATTTTGTCGACGAGTCGAGGGTCATTGTTGAGCTTGGTGCGCATCTCGTTGAAGGAGTATTCGCGCGCCATTCTGGCTTCCTCGCTGCCTTTGATGATGAACTTGAATCGTTGGTTGAGCTCGTTTTCGATTTGCTTCCGATATTCAAGATACTTCCTCGGGTTTTCCTTCAAGTAGCTCAATTGCTCTTCGCTGTCTACGTCTCGTCAGAAATTTTCTTCGTCGATGATGCTCAAGCCACGCACATCGAAAGTTCGCCCCGCGCTTGCCAGCCCAGGTTTGTGCGAATCCAGCAGTGATCCAGATTGGCGACCTGACCCAATGATACAGGTGGCTCACTTTCTGCTGGATCGCAGCAACAATTTGAACACCGCTGCTTCCAGCTCCGATGACTGCAACTCGTTTACCAGATAGGTCATACCCCTCTTCGTAGTTTGCGGAATGCATCAACTTCCCCCTGAAGTCCTTCAAGCCGGGGATGTCGGGCCATTTCCAGTTATTCAGCACGCCGCCTGCATTGATGAAAAACTCGGCACTGTCTTCGATCACCGCTTCACTTTCCAGATTCCGTATTTTCAGACGCCAGAGCCCTGCGGGTTCGTCCCACTCTACGTGCTCGATGCGATGTCGCAGTTTGATGTATTTTGCGATGAAGTCGTTTTCGCGCTCAATGTCTTTGAGATATTCCCAGATCTCAGGGGCATAGGAGTAGTAGTGTGACCAAAATTTGATGCTCCAAGAGAACTGGTAGTTGACGGAAGGAATATCGCAAGCGCAGCCAGGATATCGGTTCTCCAACCATGTACCTCCTACATCGTGATTCTTTTCGTAGCAGACAATGTCCAAGTTCTCCATCTCTTCCTCGGCTTTTTTGAAGAAGTTCAGTGACGAAGCACCTGCTCCCATAAGAATGACCTTCACTTTCTTCTTGGTGCCCATGGGCTGCTCTCGGATTCTGTATCCATGTTCGTCGGTTTGCGGGGGTCCCTGATCTCGAATTCTGATATTTTCGTCGGCGGCGTTGCCAGGGGCGTATAACGACTTTGGCTCTGAATGTATGACCATCTTGGTGCTACTGTGATCACACTAGGTGCTAATAATCAAAGGCTGGAAGATGAGAAAGACAAAGGCACATCTGGCAAAGTGAGACGACCTATATGGGTGGAAAAATAGGATGAGGTGTCAGACCTCGGGAGTAAGTGACCATATGGCAGAGTAGAGCGCATCGATAGGCCGAACCTCAGGGTCCTCGGAGACGATGCGGGGTAAGCTCAGAGCACCCAGGCTTGCGGAAGGCATGGGCGTGGCAGGCTTCAATGGAAGTGCTTAGCATACCTAAAATAGCATCGTGAATAGCTACAGTCTCTATAAAGTCCGCCTGAGAAGGACCGTCGTCCGCGAACGACGGCAGTGCTACCTCGAGGAATAGGCTCGAGACTACTGGATTCTGGCCCTAGCGACTGTCAAACAGCTCCTGGGGGTTCATCGAATGTGTCAAACGGTATCAGGAGTGTTGGCAGGGGCCGTGCGGCGGGGATGCGCTCAGAGCGCGCAGGGTATGGCTGATATGATGTTCGCGGGATGGGCAGCACCAGCAGTAGTTTCGAGCTGAGGCCAACGTCAGAGGGCCTTGCACAGCCAGCAACCAGCCATCCGCAACGCGTGCGCGAAGGCGAAGACTGCTACAACGCATTGGGCACACGAAGGCGAACTTCGCATTTTCAACGACGTGGGCGCAAGCAGGCGTTCTTCGTCGAGGCTCCAAGGCATATTGTATGCGACCCACTGAAACACCTCTGGTCTTGGCCTTGGCGAACCGAAGGAGCGACTGACGGCACCCCAGCCAGACGACATTTGACTGCCCGCACCGCAGACGTCGCTCGACCAGACACCCAGATCCCGCCGCCACCGCCCACATCTGCTCCCTCGCCGTGCGGCGCCCGCCCAGTTCGGATACTCTCGTCGCAGCCTCGTAACGCGTTCGCTGCTGCATCGCCGGCACCCCGCGACGAGCGACAGCGCAACCCACCGCACCAGCCGCCCCGGCCTCGCAAACATCCACGAGGCACCGCTATCAACCCGGCGACCCGGCCCGGCGCATGCGAAGGGATAGGCCAGCGCAAGCGCACGCCTCCTATCGTATGGTGGAACATCGTCCGCGGGGCTAGGAATTTGCGAAATCCAAAGCTCAGCTCAGCGGCACCTGCCATGCTGCCCGCGACGGCTTTCGACGCAGCCTCGTGAATCGCGACGTCGACCGCCCGCACGACACATCAGACACCTCGCACGCGCTGCGACCAGACTCCGCCATGTCGTACTACGGCAACGGGCAGAACTACTACAACCCGAGCATCCCGCCTTCGAGCTCGGGCCAATATCACGACGACCGACGAACACCAACCGCTGGGAATGGGAACGACGCAAACGGGGGCTACGGCTTCCCCGCCGCGGGCAGGCGCAACAGCTTTGCTACGCGCCAGAATGACGAGCTTTTCATGGGCGACACGGGCATGAGCCAGCAGCCTACGTCGCCCACGGCCGGCGGATTTGGCAGCGGATACCCGTACCAGTCGCCGACGCAGCAGTACAACCCGCAGCACTATGGCTCGCCCGTCGTCTCCCAGCCGAATCCGCAGCATTTCGGGGGCCTCAACAGATCATTTCCCACCGCGCCTGCGCACCCGCCTTACAATCCCGCCCTCTATGCTGAGAGCAACCTGAACAGGAACAACACCGTGAGCCACCCCTACGGCTTCTCCCCGACCTCGCCCACGACCGGCTCCTACGGATCGCCTACGTTCCATCAGCAGTCGCAGTTCGGCAGAACAACTTCCGTCCAGCACGGGCGGTCAGCTTACACCCCTCCCGCGCCGCCGCCACTGCCAGTGGTACCGGGAAGCGCGCAATCACCGGCCGACGACTGGGGCAGCTATCCGGCGCGCCAGCCGTCGACCTCCTCGCACTCGTACCACCGTTCCTCCGACGCCTCCCACGCTCCGCTTCCTTCCCCGCCTACCTACGATACAGGCTATGGCTCGCAAGAGCATATCAACCGGTATCCCTCGACCTCGAGCCATCGTTCGAATCCTCTTCCTCCGACACCCGAAGTGCCTCCTCACCAGCAGTCGCCGCAACGGCAGGATACTCTCGGTCGAAGACCGCTCCCCCCACCGCCTCCTCCGAACGAGTCCGACAGTGAGGATTACTTTGCCGCGCAGAATGGGGACCGATACAATCAAGACGAGCTGTTCACTCAGGTAGAGAGCATGGCCACTGGCGGCGGAAGCCCTTCTATCCAGGTACAGCAAGCGAACGGAAACCATTACTACAGCCAGGTAGAGCGTCAGCCGTCCGGGCGAAACGGTGGCCGCATAAACGGGGATCATCTTGCACCATACCCAGTCCAGGATACGTATACCAGCGATAGCGATGTTGAAGCAGCTGCTGGTTTGGCTGCTCTTCGAATGGCAGAGGAACAGGAGGAGGCAGACGAGGCTCGGAGACGGAGCGGAGGTGCCGGGCTGTTCAGCAACTACGCATCCATTCAGTCCCCACAGCTACCGAACAATACTAGTCGGCCCGCTGAGGAGAGCGCTAGCGACAGCGACTATGTGCCGGTTGATGTTGGCTTATATGGGGGAAACTTCGAGCCACATTTTACGTACGGCGGCGGCCCAAATCAACTGGCTTCTGGTGGCAGTTCCTTCGAGCCCAGCAGCCATCCGGTATCTTCTTCCGGCTCTCAGCGGCGGTCCGAGGCCGCGAGCGACGACTACGATCCTATTCACCCATTCCCCTCTTTCTCGTCGAACGCTCGGGTAGATACATTCGGCACTGGTGGTCTAGAAGAACCGAGCGCTCGGCGGAGAAGCTACGATGAAGGCGACGAAGCGGCACTTACCGACTACCAACCAGCCGTCCCTGGAGAGCCCCCAGACATGTTCTATCACCCCGGCATGTCCACCAACCGCCCGTTGCCTCCACCGCCTGCGAGCAACAACCGACGTGCCCATAATCAGAGCGTAAGCTCTACTGGGTCATATGAGTACTGGCGTAATTCCCAGCCCTCACGTGGGTCATACCCTGTTGATCCACAATCCATGCAAATGGTGTCTCCGACAGGCACCGTCGTGCCAAGGTCAACCTCCCTACTCCAACATAGCAACACCCCTCAGGCGGTACCACTTCCGAGATCGAAAACAGATGCTGAACAAGGGCATAGAGCTCGACAAGCGGCTAATCGGAACACGTTTTACGGTGGCGCTATTGATAGTGATGGTAATACTCTGACGCCCGCAAGCGCTGAAGCCGTTGCCATCGATTTACCCACTCTCCCAGCCGGGAAGCGATTCAATCCCGCCAAGCTTTCTACTGCCGATTTCAAGAAATGCTCTGAGCCGTGGGCTTTGAGCTCCATAATCGCCTGGCTCAAGGTCATGACCGAAGGAGAGAATGATCTGAAGGAGGGTCCTATTCACGAGGGTCTTGTGGCACTCTTTACGCACAAGGTTTCTACTATGAACATTGCCGATGCCGAGACTCTAGCCAGCCGAGTCGTGGCCGAGATGTACAAGGCTGGTACCCTCGTGCATGAAGAGGAATGGCTAAAGTTCTCCTCTGAGACAATGACCGGGGTGATATTCCAACTCACCGGCGCTGGTTGCTACGCTCCAATGCTGCATACGTACTCTACTCCCGGGCGATGCTACGCGTATCATTGTCAAAGGACACTAAAGAAGTTAGATTTGCAAGGTCCTTCCGGCGCACCACAGTCCGATGACTGGGCTACCTTCTTCAAGCTGAAGAAAGAGGATATCGAGGGAGTGAATAAGAAGGAGGTGGAGCGACAAAATATCCTCCATGAGATAGTGCAGGGAGAAGACGCGTACATGGAGCGCCTCGATGTCCTGCGTAATCTGTACCGTGACCGATTAATGGCCTCTCAACCCCCCGTCATCCCTCCGAAGAAACTGAACAAGTTCATCAAGGATGTCTTTGGCAAGGTAGATGCTGTCAAGAAGGCGAACGAGGAGCATCTTTTGCCTCAGATGAAGTACCGGCAGCAAGAGCAAGGACCCTGGATCATCGGGTTTAGCGACATCTTCCGAGAATGGATCAGGAAAGCGAAACAAGCATATATCGAGTATGCCGCCGCCTTCCCGTACGCAAGCTTCCTTGTTCGGCAAGAGGCCGATAAAAACATGCTGTTCCGCACCTTCTTAGACGAAGTCCGAGCAAACAAGTTGTCGAACAAGTTGAGTTGGGACACTTTCCTCAAAGGACCCATCACCAGATTGCAGCATTACGGTCTTTTGATCGACACAGTCCTCAAGCGATCGACTATAGACAACGAGGAGAAGCGAAACCTCCAGGTGGCGAAAGATGAGATCAAAGCGGTCACATTAGAATGTGACGCACGCGTTGCTGAGATGTCCCGTAAGGTGGATTTGAGCGATCTTCAGGCGAAGCTGATACTGCGACCCGGAATGCAGCGAGTGGAGCTCAATCTGGACCATCTTGGCCGAGAACTCATCTTCAAGGGTGACTTGCTGAGAATGGGAGGCAACCGGTTCACTTGGCTCGAGACTCACGCACTCCTTTTCGATCACTATCTGGTGCTTGCAAAGACGGTGACATACCGAGAAGCGGATGGAGTGACGAAGTCGGAGAAGTACGATGTGTCGAGGCTGCCAATTCCTATGGATTTACTCGTCCTGGAGAGCGAGGACGACGATCCTGTCATTCGATCTGCCGTCAAAGGCATTGCTGCTGTGACTACAGTCAGCGGCAAAGTAGCAGCAGCTGACGCGCGTTTAGCGCGTGGCTCGAGCAACAGTCCTGGACCTGGCACGCTCCAACACACCAATACGTCGAACTCGCTCTCGTCAACGAACACCGCGTCCTCGGGTAAGACGATGGTTAATACCACCGTTCTCGAGAATGGCAAGGACGAGAAGATCATGTACCCTTTCCGCATCAAGCACTTAGGCAAGGAAACATACACCCTCTTCGCGCCAACGGCCCAGAACCGTGCAGAATGGTGCGACAAACTTATCATCGCCAAGACGAAGCATGCGGCGGCGCTATTCGCACAGAATGCTGAACCTTTCCGATTGAGAGTCATGGCCGATGCTGCTTTCGCCTACGAGAGTGCTATGCCTGCCCAAAAGAGTATCACGATCAAGGGCACACCGCTCGATAGATCGATAGAAGAGGTGGAACGGCTGTTCGCGAACTCTGGTCGCCCGGTGCCCATATGCCGGGCTCGTGTCAACTGCGCGACTGCTTTCCATCAGCCGTACGGCAAGCAAATGGTAGCCGTTGGAACCGACATCGGTGTCTACATCTCTGAGTATGACAACCCTCGCGGCTGGACAAAGGTAAGACTTCACGCCCAAAACGTCTCCGCTTTCTGCTAACAACAATAGGCGATCCAAATCCCTAAAGTTACGCAGGTCGCCGTGCTAGAGCAGTTCAGCCTGATGCTACTCATCTCTGACAAGTCCCTAATAGCATACCATCTTGATGCTGTGTGCCCCGTCAGCGGCGTCCCTCCGTCTAACGACTCTACACGTCGGGCACCGCAGAAGCTCTCCGGTGCGCGAGACATAGGGTTCTTCGCGACTGGAGTGATGAAGGACAGGACGCTCGTCTTCTACAAGAAGCGTGAGGGTCTCTCATCGACATTCAAGGTCCTTGAGCCTGTGTACCAGAAATCCACGGAGAAGAAGTCGAGGATATGGAAGTCAGGCCGCACCGAGTTCTTCCGCGAGTACGACGAGTTCTACATCCCCACCGACTGTTTTGGCATCAACCTCTTCCACTCGTCGCTCGCCATTTCCACCGCAAAGGGCTTCGAGGTTCTTACTTTGGATAAAAAGCAACCATGGTCTGTCCCAGACCTCAAGCAACCGCACGTCGCAACTATCGCATCGCGACTCCAGAACCAGGACCCGCTGGGCATGTTCCGTTTGTCGGACCAGGAGTTTCTGCTTTGCTACGAAGAATGCGCAGTCTATGTTAACAAGCATGGCGACATCTCCCGCTCCGTCATTATGGAGTTCGTCGGTAAAGCGAAGAGCGCAGCCATGTATGGACCGTATGTCCTTCTCTTCGACCCTGACTTCGTCGAGATCAGGAATGCGCAAAATGGCCGTCTTAGGCAGGTCATCGCGGGACGAGACGTCAAGTGCCTGGATGATGGGCTGAGCGGCGGCTCATCCCATAACCGGACGATCAAGCTCAGCTTGCAACATCCGCAACAGGATCGTTGCCAAGTCGTTGTCGAACTGGTTCTCAATGAAGGTCAGAAGGAGTGATATGCATGGACGGACTGCATCGGTTAGTGATGGTTGTATGAGAAGGTAATTAAGTTCGGCTCGGAACGGGCGGTATATAAGTGCCATATATGGAGTTGGAGTCGATGGGAGAACTGGGACAGCATTGGATATCTGCCGGGCATTGTATGGGCATCGCTCCTGCCTAGAGCCGACGAGCTACGACACCCGTGATGAATGTTCAGGTGGGATTCTGACATATTCTTCTTGTTTTCTGTTTAACTTTTAAAGGATACCTTGTCTTTCAATTCAAGGAGCATTTGGGCTGTGGCATGAATGAATGAAGGCGTACCTAGCATTCCGCAAGGTGAAGACGGTGTATTGCCTGCAGAACATATACGTAAGAGTGAAGCGCGCGTGCCCTCCCTCGAAAGATCAGCCTTGCCATGCCTTCATCTTCACCTGCGCGATCAAGTTCCTTTCCCTCTCTTCGCCTTTGCCTTTCGGCCGTGGCCATCAAGAATTCCCGTCAGTTCGACGCTCCGATGTCGAAAGGTGGCAGCGAGAGACATGAGCAAATGTCGAGCACGTTGGTAGTCTTTACCTATTGAAGACCGCCAAGAGTCCTTTTCCACAGTCAAAGTAAGATATACTTGTATATGTCGGTATGTGTATATCTAGGTGGTGCTGCGCGTAGTGCTCTAGTAGCCGAATGAACCATCCACGTGGGTTCCAGGCGCGGGGGGCATGCCAAAGGGTATACGGTCCAATGCCGTCAGCCGACGTCTCTTTATCCTTTGCGCTCGTAGGACACCAGGGGAAGGATAGCTGGTGTAGGCAATCGAAGCACGTGTACAGCAGCGGCTTGTTATTTTCCCATAGTGCCGTCTATCCAATTGTTAGCAGATGGCACCTAAACATGAATATGCAAGCCTACCTTCGAGGCTACCCAGATACTTCCTATCATATGACCGGATCCAGTAGGAGAGCATCGGCGGTGGTGTTCGCATTCCTGATTCGCCCTCTTCCTCCTCTTCTCCCACTCCTTCACAGATATCTTATCGACGTTCGATCTATTGTACCCGTACTGGCCCATGACCTTGAGTTGACATGTGTTGCGGGCTATATTTCGATCCGGTGTCTCTAGGGCGATACGGTTAACGTTGAATTGGTCGCAGTGCGAGCTTGAACAGCAGCGAGGCGCAAAGCCAAGCCGCTCTATCCTGTCACACTTCTTGCAGTCCGCGAGCATTGCGCTGGTTTTACTCAGTATCATTCGGATTTGGTTGGTGAGGCCAATGTTCGGCCTTATGCATCCGACCTTCGCGATTCGCGCCTTCACGTCTTGGAGTTCCTTGTCAGACAGATCTCTGCCTTTCCATGGGTCTGCATGCGGGTCGCACATCCGTAGGATGGCCCCACGCGCGGTATTCCCACGTGCTTTGAATCCCTTTGTTGTGGTAGGCTGTATGCAGTGTACTTTTGCAGCAGTTCGGATGACTGACGTGGATTGATCCTCGAACTTCAAGCTCCTCCTCGTCTTGGTCCTCCTCGTTGCCAGGTGCGCGAGATGAAGCGGAAACAGGCACCTCATCGTCTAAATCAGTGTCTGTTGTTTCTGGGTCCTCGTCCTTGTACTCGTAGCTTGATACCGTACGCTCTCGTGATCTTGCCCGCTTTGCATAGTTCGGAAACGCGGGTTCACTCCCAGCTCTACTATGGGAGCTCTTCACCGCAGCTCTCATGCTGCACTTCGTCCATCTCTTCATCCCCTTCGTCGACGCTGACCCTATCCATCTCTTTATCCATCTCATCATCCATCTCATCATTCATTTCATCATTCATTTCATCAACATCTTTCCGACTGACTGACTGAAATCATTGAATTGACCTAGCTTTCTGGGAAGTTATGCAACTATTCTACAATATTCTTGCAGAGGCAGATGAAGGAAAACCACGCGAAGCGATGAAAACCCTCGCTCTTTTTGCCTTTGTTATTCAAATTTAAAACTACTTTAAGGAGTGGGTCGCTACCCCTCATCATGTCAATCCTGCATATCCTCTTAGCAAAGAGGCAGCAGGAATGATATCTAAGGACTTCCGAAATTGGGATTGATTTCGATTCCGTTTCGAGTAAGGATTAGCAATCGCCGGAGAGATACCTTCGCTTCCTTCTTACCTAGGATGAAATTCACTGCGCTTGCGTGCTACGATACACGCGAAACCCGCAGTATTGGTCCTTGAGGGCGGGTCATGACCAGCCGGACGCTGACTGGTATGAAAACAAGGAGGATACCGCAAAACGACAACCCGTGAAGTATATGAATGAAAATTTCGTGACTAGGTTCAATTTAACATGCGGCGAGTTCTACACTCTGCGCAAGTTGGTTGCAAAGAAGCTCCTGATTGCGGGCCTCGAGGATCCAAAGAAGTTGAGGGAGTGGAATCACACTGGAAGTGGGATCTCGAGCCCACCGAAGAGCGTGCCAAAGAGAAGTTAGCCTTTAGGATCAAGAAGTTCAACATTCATCCTTGTTCGGTGAATCAGCAGGGTTGAGTGTGCCTTGGTGGGACGCGTCTTCCCCAGATGCTTTACCTAAAGCGATAAGGCGCCTATCATTCTCCCAACCTCACTTCAACATTACCCGGCTACCAAGACCAACAGGCGGAGAGTCTTCAAGCTTGACCTCTTCTCGCTACATCAACTGCACGGCGTTACGAGGAGCTCGCTCGCGCACCACTTTGTCTAGTGGGACGAGTCAATATTAGGTATAGGCAGCTGCCGACATGCAGGCATCTCAATCTCCCGACAAACCCTCCGGGCTCGGTCTATTCATTAAGAAGTCCCGGGGTCGCACCGACAGGTCGTTCGAGGCTTTCAATGGCCAGTGCTGCATCGAAGCACGCTAGAACACCGCTAGAAAAGGTGTTGAGATGCATCTACCGACCGACGATTCGCCGGCTTGTGAGCTAGCCCGCCGCTGGGGTTGATGTGAGGGGTTCCTGATCTGGAGCTGCGAGTGAGGGGAGCGTCGGATGAGCGATGATGAAATGCCCATGTCATCCAAGAGACATACATCGTCGCGACGTGTTGGAGTCCAGGACGGCTTCAAGATCAATCATAGTATGGAAATGGCCTCGAAAGCCATTATCCGAAAGAACTCGCTCTTGGATGGTGCTTTTCCGCGACTGGCGCAGCCGGATCATCCCATGCTTATCGCGGGAGCCTCTCCAGCCCTCAGCAGCTTACACAGGCTGCCTCGCATGCCCCAGATCTAGGTCGAGTGGCCATCTGAGCCATTTACCGCGCATCATGATATCAACGATATGGTCCGAGCGTTCTTTGCTACTTAGCGGCCGCACTAGCATCGAACGGAGGAATTTCCGCCGCTCTGCTAAGAAATTCGGGGCCATGGCAAGCTCGCCTTGGTTTGCTTGCCAACGCTTCTTCGTTCCGAATTACGGGCCAACCAATGTGCGTCATTCGAATTGGCGTTTGCCTGCTACATGCTTCTCTCGCCCATCGAGGCTCTGGGCAGTGTCCTGCGAGAGCTGCGACAGCCTGCCCTGCGACTCCAGATGTGTCCTCACCGACTCCACGGGATTACGTGGTGGGGAGCGCCGTGGAGCCCCAGAGATAACGCAACCTGATGGTGGAAACAGTTCATCATGAGGCTCAATAGCGGAGTGGGGCAAACGCGGAGACGGATGCACGTATCGGTATAGCGGCGCAGTCTATCCTCGCTGATTGGCCATAAAAGAGCATCATCCGACGACCCCAGCTGGGGCCGGAGCAGATCTCGGTGAGAATCTGGGGACCGTTCATTAGTGCAGCGGCATCTAGCCTACCAGAGCATGCGGTTGTAAAATTCTGCGTCAGCGGAGGGCGAACCAGGCAGCTTTTTGCAGTAGTACTAGATGCGAGCCGCGGTCGAGCTAAGAGTATAAGCCCGCATGGCATGGAGATGGTGGCGGGCTTCGACGCGCGCCGGTGATGCTTTACAACGCCGGGTATGAGTCTGGATTGAGATGCTTGAGCTGTCGCGTCTATCCCAGTCAACAATCATCAAAGAATGCCAGGTATATAGCTTTGGAGAATCCTCACAACAGCAGTCATCAGCTCCACAGCTCTGCAGCTTTGACAACATCTGGGGATCTACCCCACCTTGCTCCATACTTTGTCACTGGTTCTGTGACATATCTTCTCTTCTTCGTCTTTTCTACTGCGGCCACCACCACAACTTCCTACAGTCCAGTACACCATGGGTCTCAAACTCTTCGGCCTTGGAGGCGGTCTAGAGCCAACAATCGATGAGGTCCACGCGCAGCAAGGCCGTCGCCCATCTGCCGCCGAAGCGATCGCCGAGGATAGACGCCGCAAGAGCGTCAGTAACCGTGAAGTTACTGGTGCCAGTCAAATTACGACACGTCAATCGATCGTTCCAGTCACCTTGGTCACTATCCTCTTTTTCCTCTGGGGTTTCGCCTACGGTCTACTTGATGTCCTCAACTCGCGATTTCAGGTTGCGTTGCATATCACTCAGGGAGAGTCATCAGGTCTTCAAGCTGCTTATTTTGGGTAAGGCAGGACTTTGCGCATGCTTGACTGCAGTGGATCTTATTGACGCTTTACAGTGCCTATTTCATCGGCCCGTTGACCTATTCAGGGTGGTTCCTTCGCCGATTCGGGTACCGGTACACATTTATGCTCGGTCTGAGTATCTATTGCGTAGGCGCCTTAATGTTCTGGCCATCTGCAGTCAAGCGCTCTTTTGGTGGCTTCTGCGGTGCCATGTTCATCGTCGGCTCCGGTCTTTCGACCCTCGAAACCTCCGCGAATCCGTACATTGCTGTTTGCGGTCCCCCTAAATGGTCAGAGTTCCGTCTCGAACTTTCTCAGTCCTTCCAGGCTGTCGGATCAGTTGTCGCGCCTGTCCTCGCCTCATTCGTCATTTTCAAGAACGTTGGTGAGAATGGCGAGTCGCTGGAGAGTGTCCAGTGGGTGTATCTCGGAATCGCCTGTTTCGTTGGATTGCTGGCCATTGTCTTTTACTTTGCGCCGATCCCTGAGGTTTCGGACGCCGATATGGCAGATCAGGTATGTTCATGCGGATACCCGTCTCTTGCGGTAGTTAATTCTCCGGCCATTGTACGCACCTGCGAAGGCCTCCAGGGTAGCCGTTACGCACGTCGTATAACCGGAGAATGCCCCAATGTGAGAGCATTGAATATAGTGTTCGATGCTAATACAACGTAGGCCGAAATGACTAGCGCAGCTACTGGCTACCAGGACAAGCCCCTCCGCAAGCAGTTCACCCTCTTCTGGGGCGTGGCCGCACAATTCTCCTACGTCGGCGCCCAAGTCGGCATAGCAGGTAAAAGTCCCTGGTAGAAATAGTAGACTGTATATACTAACTTGTAGGCAGTAAGCATAATCTTCCTGATATTACGCCTACCTTAGAGCAAATATTAGACACTTTCTAATATTTGCTGCCTAAGACATGCGGTATTTGTACCCTAGCTTTCTGAGCGCCTACTAACTGTATCGTCACCTTTAGGGTTATTTCATTAATTACTATACGCAAGCCCGGCCCGATGAGACCACTCTCGCAGCGCAGCACCAAGGAGCAAACTTCTATGCCATCGCACAAGGCCTCTTCGCCATCGGTCGATTCTCAGCCGCTGGGCTGATGTACTTCACGAAGCCGCGCTGGGTCCTTCTCCTCTACCAGTCTCTCATCATGGTCTTCATTATCGCAGCGATTGCAGTCGACACCGGCCACGGCACGGCCGCTAACTGGGGAGGCCTCGCCATGCTCATGCTTGTCCTCTTCTTCGAGTCCTGCATTTTCCCAACCATCTTTACGCTCTCGCTGCGTGGCCTTGGCCGCCACACGAAGCGCGGCGCCTCGTTCCTCGTCGCCTCCATCTGCGGCGGCGCTGTTGTGCCAGCTATCCTCGGAAATGTGGCGGACAAAGTAGGCACGAGGAAGGCTATGGTAGTTCCACTCGCTTTCTTCATCATTGCATGGAGTTTCCCCATCTATCTGAACATGTACAAGGGCAAGGAGTTGGATGCATACCGCGAGTCGCACGTCGGGCTGGAGGAGGGCGCTGTGGATCCCGATTCAAAGATCGCGCATGAGAAGGATATTGAGGATTCGCAGCTTGAGGTCAAGAATTCTTAGAAGCTTTTTCGTACGAGGGCGGGGATCAGGCAAAGGGTTGGGAAGGTGTGGAGGATGATACCTTGAGTCATATTTGAAACGTGTTTCTGCTTTTGATGATTTTGCGGTCTTTGGACTCCTGCGGCCGGAAGGAGTTCCTGTATATAACAGGCACAATACATATACTATTTCACCACATTTCAGCGCCATCTCGTTGTTCCCCCGTAGAATACGCATCCCTTCATTTCTCTGGAGAAGAGGAAAAGGTACGCGAAGACACACGCCCACTCCCTCAAGCCTCATCTCATTCCTTGAGCATGAGGATGTCAATCGAGGCGTACAATTATGCGTTGAGGTAGACCTTTTATCTTGCGCTTGGAAATTCTTGCGCGTCGATTCTGGTGGTATGCTTCTCGAGTGGCCTAGACTAAGTCTATTTGATTCTAGCTTTCGATAGTGGCACTGGCTGAGAGAGCCCCTAGTTTATCACTCGGCCTTGAGATCAGGTGCATAGGCGCAGATTTATGGAGCTGCAATGAGCCATGGGCGCCCGTTCCTCGGTTCCAGAAAAAGACCCTCAACCATCCGCGATAGGACGTACTCACGTGGGAATGAACCACGGAAATAGTGGAGCCCCCACACATTAAAAAAAGAGAGGCAAGTGACTCTCTCATTCTAGACCTACTTATAAGTCCTCTTGAACAAAATAGCCCTATCAAAACGGACGAAACATGCCGAGATTCCGCACCGTGTCCAGCATGGACAATGCACCACCACCTCCGTATTCCGCCAGAAGCCCTTCCTCAAGTCTATCACCAAATCGCGTCGCACACAACCCGTTGATGCAGCTCCGCCGCTACATTATCGAAATCATGGGCTTCACCTTCGACGCCGACTTTTCCCTCCTCAATGAGGCGCTTGGCCAAACAGCATCGACCATCTCCACATCCCCAACCAATTCGATCCTCACTCCAGCCGAGCACGCTGAACTCCTCAGTCTAATTACGCTGATCGAAGAGCTCAAGGCGAAAATTTCAAACACAAGCACGCAATGGCTCACTGTGCGCTCCAGCGACCGCGAAGCCGTCGCCAATGCGGTGATCAGACCTGCGCTCTATCTTGGTCTCCCCGCAAGCTATGTCCTCGAGCTAATCAGCACATACGCCTCGCATCAATGCAATAAAAGCAAGCGCCACCTCAGCTTAATCTCGCAAAGAAAGCCCTACTTTTACAGCCTATTCAGGAGCCTGGCCTTCCTCGGCCCGTTCAACATCGTCCTAGGATTATTCACGAACGAACTATGGTCACACGCGCACATAATTAACATTGCGGCACCAAATGAAGAGGTGCGCATTGTGCTAGGAAAGGCGATGCATGTATACCAGAGGCAGGTGCTGGGCATCCAGGAGGTGCAGCATATAGAGAAAGTCTTCGAAGGTGATGAGTGGAAAAGCCTAAAGAAAGAGCTGATATCAAAGGATGAGGAACACCGAATCGATGCTGCGAGGTGGTGTAGAGAATGGGAGGAGGCGGACAAGAAGGTTGAAAGAGGTGGCCTAAGATATTCTGCCCGTAGGTAATGGCGCATCCAGTATCTTCCATATGGGCAATACCAGATCCTGAAGTTAGACGTTAGCAGCCCATTTAACGCTCTGTCAAAGATCAGATTCTGCCTTCGTCGCGTTGGCAGTCTGTGGAAGCTGCGTTGATGCACTGTTCAAGAAGGCGTTGAGGGGAAATAGATGTCCTAGGAGGCGCCCTTGCCCGTAAGGTTGTTTCATCCATTCCGCAGTTGCTGTGAGCCGTCAGCGAGGTTTTAGATAGGAAGCCGCACCCATATTGAAGCCGAACCACACCCAGTGCGGATGGCAGCGGCGGGCATGCGCCTGCCCACTGCGATCGAGAACCAAAACAATGTCTTCTCTTCATTTCCTTCTCCTCTCTTCTTTTCTCTTTGGCACACACACGAATTCTTGTCTGTACGTACACGTCTACCCTCCCCGCCTAATCTCAAGCCCTATCTATCTATCCTTGCCCTCTCACATAACTGGGTTTCAGCTTTCGAAACTCCCTTTCACCTTCGCCCTGCAGTCAGTTGGTGGTATTGGAATGATGCTAACTTGCTATTTCTAGGCCAAATGGAGAACCCGGAGGCCCAGACTTGGGCCGGTATCGTGTACGGCGGACTCTCCGGCGTTATCTTCTCGTTTGCGATGAAGATATTTAACGTCTTTTTGTTTGCGATTTGCCTCTCGAAAAGGGGCAGGGGGGCGAGGGAGTGGGTGGAGGAGAAGGTCTCCCGCTATGACCTGTGGGAGCAGGAGAAGAAGAAGAAGGAAGAGGGGAAGATGAAGGAGGAGAGGAGAAGGTGGGTGAAGGAGGGGAGGAGGAAGGGCTTGGAGGAAGGGATGAGGAAGGGCCTGGAGGAAGGGAGGAGGAGGGAGAAGAGGAGGCTTTGGGGGTTGATGGAGAGGGAGCTCTCCTAGTCGCGTTTTCTTGGTTTTCCTTTGTCTGGTATGTTATCCCCACTATACTTACCTTAATACTATTCTTACGGGCCTCGATACCCCACCTCCCCGCCGGTGAGGCCTGGGATCACACCCCCAAGTGAGGGTTAGGGGGTGTGATGCGAACGGGGTAAATCAGCATTCTTCAAGCTCGATCAGCACTCTCTCTTCCGCTTCGATCAGCAACTCTCTCTTCCGCTTCGATCA